GATCTCTCCCTTTCCCTGCTTGAACATTGTCCTGAGCTGTGGACCCAGAGCAGAGGCTCGATCGTCCATAACCTTTATGTCAGCCATCTCCGCGTTCCTCTGGCATCGACGTTGCCAGCGCTGGAGGCCTCGCTCGAAGCGTCATTTACAATGGGCGATCCGTACATCACATTAATTAGCATTTCCTCAATGGCTATGACTAGACTTTATCTCGGTCAGGACATGGCCCAACTGGAAGCATTTTGTTCGGAGGCTCCCGAGGATATCCCAATGTGGGCCCAAGATACGCGTGGCGGTGCCAGCATCATTGCTGTTCGTCAAGTTGCACGGGCTTTGCAAGGCAAAACGGAGTTCCGTTCCTCGGATAACGTTATGTCGGACGATGAGCACCGGACTACCTCATTCATGAAGTATTTGGATACCCATGCCAGCAATGCTGACAGACCTCGTGACATCTACTTCGGCCTCTCTATGATCCCTTTATTCCTGTTTGGACACTATGATAAGGCAATCCAGGTGGGAAACATCTTGCTCGGTACATCGTACAGACTCTGGTCTGTGCGTGTGTCTTACATCATTCATTTCTATCTCGCCATCTCACTTCTTAGTCTACACAATGACTACCCTGCTCAAGGATATCTTGACGGGAAAATGGATTTGATCCTCGGTTACAAGGCTGAGATAGACTTTGCTCGAAGCTGCTCTGATGCGAACTATGGTATGTGGGTTTTCATACTCGAGGCTCTCATCGCCGAGGTTCAAAATGATCACAATGGTGCTATCCAAAAATTCGAGGCCGCTATCGATCATTGTCAGATTCATGGATGGCCATTGGAAGAGGCTCTGTCACTCGAGCTGCAAGGTGAATTCCTCATCAGACGCGGCGCGAAACGGGCCGCTCGTGCGTTGATACAGGAGTCCATTGCTGCATGGAGCTCCATGGGTGCTAATGGCAAAGCGCTGATGCTTGCCGAAAAGCATGAATGGTTGCTCAAAACAGCGACCTCTGCTAGAACGGTTGACGTTGGATGTCAAACTCTTGACTCACTCATGGAGATCACTCATGACGCCGTTCAAGACGAGATTATCATACCCTCGCAAATAGAAGAAGACGAGAGAAGACAGCGCTGGATCGAACAAAATGGCGTCAGTTCAGACGAGAAATCCATGGATATCTCCAGCGTGGGTCTCGATATCATCGATCTGTCGAGCATACTGGAGTCCAGCCAGGTCATGTCATCTGAGCTTCAGATCGACAAGCTCTTCACGAAGATGCTTGAGATCCTCTTGGAGTCGTGCAACGGGTCCGATTTTGCAATCATTGCAACCAACTTTGATGAACAAGGATTTGCCATTGCAGCAGTGGCAGACTCTGATAAAGGCCAACGATCATACCCTGAGGGCTTACCCTTCTCAGAAACGGAGAGTCGAATGGCTCAGCATATCGCGTACTATGTCATGCGTACAAAAGAAGAGGTTCTGGTCCACAATGTCCTCGAGGACGAGCGCTTCTCCAATGTCGATGAATCCTATCTCGCCAATTACCCTCAGGGTCGGTCCGTCATTGCACTGCCAATCGTCCAGGCCGACCAACTGCTTGGAGTAATCCATTTGGAGGGTAAGCCGAACTGGTTCACACAGCGAAACGTGGTGGTATTGCATTTGCTTTGCAACCAGATTGGCATCTCGCTGTCGAACGCTTTGCTTTTCCGTGAAATTCGCAAGGTCAGCGCCAAGAATTCGTCTATGATCGAATCTCAGAAGCGTGCCCTCGCGCAAGCACGTGAGTCAGAGCAGAAAGCCAAGGTTGCAGAGGCTGAAGCCAAACACAATGTGAAGCTCAAGGAAGATGCTGCACGAGCCAAATCAATTTTCCTGGCAAATATCTCACACGATCTGCGAACTCCGATGAATGGCGTCATTGGACTTTCAGAGCTACTCAAGGGCACCAAGCTGGATAAGGAACAAGATGAATACGTGGAGTCTATTCGTGTCTGCGCTGACACTTTGTTGACCCTCATTAACGATATCTTGGACTTCTCTAAGCTAGAAGCTGGCAAGATGAAGATATCCACAGTGCCGCTCAACCTGAAGGAGACCATTACGGAGGTTATCCGCGCACTGCGCTTCACCCATCGCGAGCGAGGCTTGGATACGATTGAGGAGTTGGATCGTGTTCCTGCGGAGCTTGTCGTTCTTGGCGACCCTGTCCGCTTGCACCAAATATTCATGAACCTCCTCAGCAACAGCTACAAGTTCACGCCCAAGGGTTCCATTGTCGTCAAGGCAAGGACTGTTCGTGAGGGCAAAGGCCGCGTGCGCCTGGAATGCTCCGTGTCTGACACTGGAATTGGAATTCCTGAAGAGCAGAAAGCACGCCTATTCCGGCCCTTTTCCCAGGCTGATCCGTCAACAGAAAGATCCTACGGCGGGAGTGGCCTGGGCTTGAGTATCTGCAAGGCGATCATCGAGGATGTCCTTGGCGGTGCCATTTGGCTTGAGTCCGAGTCCGGAGTTGGAACAACTGTAACATTCCACTTGGTTTTTAACAAAGCCCCGAAGAAGACAGCTGTCAAGACCGCATGGTCGCAGGACCTGAGCCAAGCAGAAAGCAGACAAGCTCCCCGACCCACCATTCGCGATCTTACGCAAATCCCACGCGATCAGATTCGCGTCTGCATCGCTGAAGATAACCCCATCAACCAGAAGATTGCGGTCAAATTTGTGACTGGTCTCGGTCTCCAGTGCGAGGCTTTCAGTGATGGACGCCAAGCAGTGGATGCTCTCCGCGCTAGATCCAACGAAGGCAATCCATTCCATGTCGTCCTCATGGACGTCATGATGCCCACTTTGGACGGATACAATGCCACTCGCGAACTCCGTCGCGATCCAGACCCCCATGTAAACGAAGTCCTGGTCATCGCCATGACCGCTAGTGCCATCGAAGGCGACAGAGAGAAATGTCTAGACGCCGGAATGAACAACTACCTTCCCAAGCCGGTCCGATCGCCGATCCTGAGTGAGCTTCTTGATAAGTACCTTGCCCCAGTTCCATCTCACCCACGTACTCGGCTGGTACTGCGCGAGAAAGGGTCCAGATCAAGCATGGGTCATGACTCCGGCACGCCAACCAGCATTTCCTCATCCGGGTCGGAAGAAACAGCCAAACTTCCACCAGCCCGGACGTCTAAAGACATGATTACACACCACCATAACCCAAATTCCCACTCAAAATGATACCCTGCACCGTCGCACTGAATAGAAGAGATGAGGCGCATGAAGCTTTTGTCGTTATAGAGCTCAGCGACGCTCATGCTTGTTGATTTCCTGGTTCATCTTCATCATCCCAAACTTAAATACTGGTTATCTTTGGTTTACTATCCGTTGGAGTTTCCTCGGTTACTAAATCTGGCATGTTTATGTTTTATGATTGGTTTCATGAGTTGCATTTGATGTTTTCCTCGTTCTGGTCAATATTGCCCACGATTGTCATGGATGGTGTTATGGAACTTGACTGGGGCTGTATTATCTCCAATTGGAATCGAATTTCCGTTCAATGCATTCATGCTTCTACATATATCCCGTAATTCTGCCATTTACTATTAGAGAAATTACGTAGCAGACGTAAACCTGAACAGCTGAATCCTCATATTGGTTATCTCATTTCATCTAAGTCTGTCTACTGCAGGTGCTATCTATACCCATGGATAATATTGACATGTTTGATAAACCAAAAGAATCTGAATACACCAGACCAGCACCTAAACTCAAACCTGAGCCGTCAAGATCTGCTCAGAATCACCAGATACCTTTGACACCGTCATACACAACTCTCGACAGCTAAGTTGGTGGCCATTTACCAGATTGTCTGCGCTGTAGAGCAGTCTCGAGATACCACTTAACCAGTGATGACTTTTTCGCCAAGAAAGATGTTCTGTTTCCCACTTCCAAGGGGTTTTGTGGAGATTTGCGATAATGTCAATACTGGTTCGGATGAAAATATTGGCGGATCTGTTACTTAATTCCCCACTTCCCAAGGTGATGATGTGTAGCTATTCATATCAGAGCCGAGAGATTGAGCCCCCTTCAAGTATACCTGGCTATCTTTTGAAATTGAGTAGGACGCGTGGTGTCTTTCTCTAGCTGTAGACAACATCGCTGCCCAAAGCGCGACATGACGCGTCTCGGCTTTGCATCGGAAATGAAGTTTTCTTAGATTGATTCTGGTAGACCTTCCATCACCAGTGTTTGTCGATGGATTGATTCCAATTTTATCTACATACAAGACCTCCAGCACACATGTCATGTGCGGCCTCATGCTGTACACAATGCTGCATATCAGCCCAACCCTCCCGAATTCAAGGCCTTGCTACTTCTGCCCATGCAGAGGATCAGACCCAGTACCTACCAAAGTTCGTGCCCACCATCAATGCGGTGATCACTGGGTAGGCTTGTCTTTGATAGGCCCCAATAGCAGATTGTTACAACATCGTTGCAATATAGACCACGTTTGCTCTATTGCTTGTGCGACTGTGAGCGGGAATGCCCTCGAGTCCTGCTGGGGCCATATCTGTAAAGGTGCAAGCCACGTATGACGAAATGTGGGACAAAGGAGGACCAAAACGATACGGTTGCAAGGGAGGAAAGGTATGCGGTACGAAAGTCAATAATACTCCGAATGGGTTTCTCATGCTTGGTAAATGTGATCCGAAGAGCCGTTTGAGCGATGCGATTAATGGAAATGCGATTTGAACTATATAGACAAAGCATAGAGTGTAAGATGTAGTAACGCCAATGAAAGAGAAAAAAATCATAAACAAGGAAGAAACGAAAAACCTCAACAGAGTTGCAGGAAAGCCATCGCCTGCCGTGTTGAAGCTTTTTCATTCTAACCCAGCGCCAGAAATGCCCCTCATATCGCCGTTCAGCTGTATAGTTGCCGAAAAAGACTTGAAAGAAGATGAGAAAATCGGAATGAATGAAATCAGCGCTTTTGCCCATCATTTGCGTTCATGAATCGTTGGTCGCTGCCTTTTTTCCAGCTCTTTATATCGCCATGCCAACTGCTTCAACAGACTTTGATCAGAAGGCATAAGGCTTTTTCCTTGTTCGCCCAGCTCTTTCTCTGTCTGCAGCAACAATTCCCATCGCTTGAGCAGCTTGCCCTGAGCATCGGTGATTGCGGCCAGATTACTATCCTGAGACTTCATGCGCTGGTCCATAGTCGCGTGATATGACAATTTCGCAAGAAACAGATTCATCTCCGACTCATCGTATTTCAAGCCTTTAGCTTCAGGCATGGCGGTATCGTCAGAACCTTTTGCCGGCATCGCGGGTGAAAACCGGGGAAATGGCGAACGGGTAAGCGGACAGAGCCGTAGGAGATTGATGGATCTTTTGAGATATACCAATACCAAAGTGAATGCCCTCTGTCCGGATGGAATGCTGAAAAGCAGGTATTGACTGGGCGTGGCATGGGCTCACGAAGGAAGTGTGTATGCCATAGATAAACGCGGGCGTGTAGCGATGAGTCGGGAGGAATTTGATTGATGGCAAGGAGAGCGATGAGCGAGGGTTTCCTGGGGAGTCCCAGGGAGAGGGGAAAACAAAAAAACAACAACAAAGAATTCAAACGATGGGAACGAGAGAGTCGGAGAGGGAATTGCAAGGTGATAGAAGGAATTAAAAAAAAGACCGACGTTGGAATGGTGTGTGGGAATGCAGAATGGGAGGTGCTGTCATTCCCTTATATTGCAAGCTCACACACATTTCCCCATCGAGAACCTAAAATTGGTCATCCAATACCCGACAACCCCCTTAGTATTACCCGATAGCTGCTTCTAGGGTGATACTAGGGGAAAAGGGGGGCTACAAAACACCCCCAACGGTGCAGGACCAAGCCAACCCGGAGCAGATTGAATAAATAAAATACTGTATAATGAATGAAACCTGGAGCGGCGTATCGATTGCACCTTGTAGCGTAACGGTTTGAAGTGATGCTGGGTACTAACACTCACAAGTGTTTGTCTACGTAAAAAAGAAAAGCGCTATCTGTCTCACGATGATGGCAACCGAGCCAATCGACCCGACCGCAGTACAGACCAGGCTGTTGATTGGTAGGTTCTATGGTAGCACAATTTCCTACCGCCCAACCGGACACGCATAGGAACAATCTGCTGGAGCGTGGTCGAGAGATACAGCAGTCCCGTCTCGGTCCGTATGGCTGTGCGCGCAGGCTTGTGCGTTAGATTCGAAGTCCTTGATGGGAAGGAACGTTGGGCAACCTGTTTGATCGATATTTGCTTCCCGAGTGGTAGGTTTGAATGTACATCCTGACTGGATGAACAGCCTCAAAATATTGAGATTAACTGGGAAATGTTGGGAATCACCGCCCATCTTGAATCTAGCCACGTGGGAATGGAATGACACAAGCCGGATCTGGTATGATGAAAGCCTAGAAATTACACGAAAATAGAGTTGATGTAGCCTTCCAGCCAGTCTTTCAGCCTCCCCGTCAGTGCACTGGCCTTTTTCTTCTCCACTGGCTATACCGTACATGGTCTACCCGTGTCCCATCTCTGCACGGAAGGGGCATTGCGAATTCCCCGACGTCATCTACTAATACTGTGTATACAGAGCATCAGGTGGGGAGAAAGACATTATGGGGGAATATACGAATCGAAGCATACAAAGGAGCCTAGACTACCAAAGTAATAAAAAATAAATTAAAAAAGCATAAAAGCATGAGGTGATCGGTTCTTCATTGTAGACTTGGATACTTCTCGGATCCGAACAGCACCGAACATCGTGCCATTCTTCCAGGGCTGTAACACTGGCGGGTGCCAGGATTCTGTGGAAAATTTTCTTTTCAGAACACATGATCAATGAAGCCCATATAGAGCAGCAATGAAATGGCAAATTGTTTAGGTAGCAAGTAAACAGGAAGACCGGCGTGTTTGGTTAAGCCACTCACCTCAGTACCTGAACTGTTTGTGTGACGCTACATACCAATATTAGTGTTTGAGATGGGATTAAAACCCAGACCAGGAATGATTGTGGAGTATCAATCATGTATTATCAGCAAACGGGATGGAAGACATGGCTTATCCATGGTGGTTTAGGGCTGAAGATATCATCTGATTTCGGATCGCCAAGATTCAATCCCATTGTAGGAACAAGTCACAAGTCCCATCACAATCATAGCATCGTTTCTGCTTAGGTGGAATTGCTGGACTTGGCTTATAAGGCTTCACTACAGAAGATAGAAGACGAATACGGTGCAACAGAACACGCATGCCTCCGTCGGGAACGCACAGCTGCATCGGAACCGACGCCGTTTCATCCATCTCGCATGGACACCTCGGGTCAGATTTGGGTCCAAAGAGCCACTTGGGGCGTCCTTGCGTCCTTGCCATAACGCCCCAAAATAGTGGCGCATGCGAGGAGAGGATCCATATTTGCTTTTTAAGATTTCATGGTGGGTCTTGGTAGGACATCTACATGTATAAGGAGAATTATCTATGACTTTCGGGTAGATGCAGATTTTTGATTTCAGATGATGACCGATGAGTTTGACAATCTTTAGGATTGAAATTTGAGAGGCCGGGAAAATACATAGTTGTAACTATGAAGGTTTGCCATTCAAAATCCGAAATACATCACAGTCCAGACCTACCTTCCTCGTCCCGTCTGGCCATAGCCCTTTCCTTCTTTGCCTTCTCCATATCCAGTGACATCTTGACAGGTGACACTCCAGGGGTCTCGAACACGGTGTCAATCTCCTCTAAACTCAGCCCACTGGTTTCGGGAAAGAAAAAATAAGACAGGACCAGCTGGATGGAGTTGTATGCAATGTACACCACCCAAATCTTATAACCAATTTTGTTGATTCCCACGCTAATGCCATAGCTTTGAGCAGCGCTTGCGCCACCTTGAATCAGACTGTACAGACCCATGCCTTTCGCACGGAGTGCCAAGGAGAGCACTTCCACTGGGTAAAGATTGTGCATCGTAGCGATTAGAGACGCAGAAAATGTTTGGTATAAGAAGATCCAGAGAATGGTCAAAGCTGCAGCAGCGTGGCTTGAGGTAAGGCTGTACTGCCAGGATGTGATGGTCGTAGCGGTTTGGAAAATGATCATAGCGATTAAGCCGGCGAAAATGAGGGTTCGTCGGCGGAATTTGTCAACTAGCAAAGCCCCAACCGCGGTAAAGACGAAATAGGTTGCTGTGCTACCAATTGTAATTCCCAGCTGTTGCTTTGTGGTGTCAATACCGATGGTCTCCAGTGCCGGTGTCATCTAGAATGAATTTGGTCAGTATGTCCATGACCAAGGGGAAGATCCCATGTTCTTACATAGTATGTGATGATACCGCCACCGTTCCACTGCTGGAAGATTGAGTATAGGGTTAGAACCAGAAGTCGATAGCGAGCAGTCTTGGTGAAGAAGACTCGATAATCCCAGAAGTCCGAGAAGCCACTTCGATCGCCCTCCAAAGACTCTTCTATCTGAGCGACCACGATCTCAACAATTGGTTGGTTGACATCGCCACTGGTGGTATGGTACTTGGCTATCACTTTCTTGGCCTTCTCGCGCTGGCCCTTCATGATGTACCATCGAGGTGACTCTGGGGTCAAGAAAAAGATGGTTAAGCAGACAATGGCTGGGAATACAGCTTCAAGGATCAGAGGAATACGCCAGCAGTTGTTTCCGGGCAGGGTGTCTAGTCCGATCATAGCACCCAGCATGACTAAACTGCCTACTTGGAAGCAGGCACCGAAGAAACCAACCATACGACCGCGAAGATGGACCGGAGAAATTTCACCAATATACTGCGAGCTTGACATCAAAGCGGTACCGAAGCCCATGAAAAATCGGCCAGCCATGAACATGTTCAAGTTGGTGGCGCAGCCCTGTAAGATTGCGGCAAGAATGACAATCGCATTTCCAGCGAAATTGATTCCCCGACGACCGATCACGTCGGCAAAAGCCATGAATGGAGCACCACAGACTGTTCCAATGCTCATTAGAGCATTGATGAGTCCGTAAGTACTACCCGCGGTACCAAAACCAAAGTAGGTGTGCCATGCATCCAATGCATCAATTCCACCAATAACTCCCCAATCAACTCCAAAGCCAGCCTGGTTACAGCCCTGCACAAACATGATAAGACCCAAACGAACACCAGCCCATGACCAAAGACTCAGCGACTCCTGGGACAGCTTCCATAAGTCTTCTTCCGTCAATCTCGCCAGAGCAACCTCCTCAATATACTCTTCGCTCTTGGTTTTGGACACCTCTTCTGCCTGCGGCGTGATCTTCGCCATGGTGCAAGTACCGAAAGAGGAAGTCACAAAGTAATCGCAAATATGTACTGTACGACCAAGCAAACCCAAGAATAATTAGTTACTGAGGAACCCGGGGAAGAACCAAGGAGCGATCGCTTTTATTACAGCTCCAGTGAGCATGGAAAACCCGGCCAGGATCATGATGGTGGCTAAAGATTCATGCTCAGAACCCTATTCGGCCACGGAGACTGACAAGGATCCGAGACTAAACAGGGAAAAAAGGAAAGATCTGGAGATCAAGGACTGGGTCTCCTTGCTTCGCTGGCGTGACGCGGCTAGAAAAACGATCATGATTGGGGACTTAGGAAAATGGCGTGAGCCACACTACCTTCCCGGATGAAGAAATCACCAATCAAGCCCTCGCTTTCTCGAGAGAAACATTCTCAGGCGCTGAATGGGAGAGGTGATGGCTCGGGTTTCTCCACCACTTGCAAGCGAGTGCGGGGAAGTGTAGATTGAGCTTAATGCTTGACTTTCGCGCTAGTCTAAATGTCCGGATCAAAGTCAATCTCAAAGTCTGAATTTAACCGGGGTCTGGGTTATCTTACAGACTTTTAGAAAGGAGGCTAGCGGGGATCTTGTCCACGCATGAAACTCGTTCTAAGCTCGTTGATCATACTTTCATAGGCTCCACTAAGGTAAGTCCGATTATCCTTTGAGTCTGATTGACCAATCTACGACACTTTGTTTCCTCTTCTGCATATCCTCTTGACGCAACCTAGCATCCCAATTGTTCAATTACCATGAGTGAGCTGTGGTACGAACAGCCTGCAGCCACTTGGAATGAGGCTCTCCCCCTAGGCAATGGCCGACTTGGTGCCATGGTCCACGGTCGCACCGACACAGAGATGATCCAGTTAAACGAAGCTTCGTTGTGGTATGGTGGGCCTCAGCAACGAACACCCGAAGATGCCTTGAACAATTTGCCAGCTCTGCGACAAGCCATTCGCCAGGGAAATCATACCGAGGCGGAAAGACTCGTGACCACATGCTTTTTCGCAACCCCAGCAAGCCAACGACACTATGAGCCTCTCGGTAATCTTTTCTTAGATTTTAGACATATGCCTGAGCATGTAACCAATTACCGACGCTCGCTGGACCTCACCAATGGGGTCTTGCATGTCAACTATGAGCACCAGCACGTTACATACGAGCGACAGATGATCGCTACTGATAGTCCATCGGTCCTCATTCTGAGCGCTCGCTCCTCGGCTAAAACCGAATTTATCATACGTCTGACCCGAATGAGTGACCTTGAATTTGAGTCACATGAGTACTTTGATTCTGTCGAGACCGTCGGAAAGATCCTTGACTTGGAGGATCTGGGCCGTAAGGAAAATACTATCACCATGCACGTCACACCCGGTGGAAAGGGAAGCAGTGCCTGTTGTATCGTCCATGTTCAAGCTCTTGATATGGACGGAAAGGGCACTATCACCAAATGTGGCAAGAATCTTGTCGTCAAGTCCGATAATGCGGTGGTCTACATTGCGGCGCAAACAAGTGTGAATGGGAAGAAGGGCGATATCCATGCAGAAGCCGATATCAAAAGCATTCCCTCTACTTCACATGATATCTGGAGACAACAAGTCCAAGAGAACCAGGAGATCTGGAAGCGAATGCATCTGACGCTCCTACCAGACCAGTCGGACATTCCTACCGATAAACGAATTATAGGACCCAGAGACCCAGGCTTGATTGCTCTCTACCACAACTACAGTCGCTATCTCCTCATGGCCTGCAGCCATGAAGGGAGCGCGGATTATCCTTTACCGGCCAATCTACAGGGTATCTGGAATCCCTCCTTCCATGCAGCTTGGGGCTCCAGGTTCACAATCAACATCAATCTGCAGATGAACTATTGGTCTGCCAATCTTTGCAATCTGTCTGAATGCGAGTTGCCTTTGTTCAAACACCTCTCCCGAATGGTAGCCAATGGCAAGAATACCGCAGAAAAGATGTACGGGTGTCGTGGTTGGACTGCCCATTCCAATACCGACATCTGGGCCGACACCGATCCTGTAGATCGTTGGATGCCAGGTACGCTTTGGCCGCTCGGGGGCGCATGGCTCTGCTGTCACATTTGGGAACATTTTCAATTCACCGGAAACGAGGAATTTCTCCGAAAATATTTTCCGATCCTTCGTGGATGTGTCGAGTTTCTTCTCGACTTCCTGATCAAAGATGCATCGGGTGAATACCTCGTGACGTCCCCGTCAGTCTCGCCGGAGAATTCCTACTACGACAAGAAAGGTCAGAAGGGCGTGCTTTGTGAGGGATCCACAATTGACATCCAAATCATCGGCGCTGTGTTACGAGATTTCGAGTTAGTAACCGCGTATCTGGGCATGAGTGATGATCCTCTCCTCCCTCAGGTTCGCTCAACTCGCACTCAACTCCCACCCATAAAAATCAGCCAAAAAGGTTACCTCCAGGAGTGGGCTGAGGATCACGACGAAGTCGAGCCTGGCCATAGACACACATCTCATCTATGGGCCCTCTACCCCGGCAACGCGATCACGCCAGAAAAGACACCCGAACTCGCAGCTGCGTGCCGAGAGACGCTTCGTCGACGCGCTGAGCACGGAGGTGGTCACACGGGTTGGAGTCGTGCCTGGCTCATCAATCTGTACGCCCGACTCCGTGACACGGCGGAATGCCAAAAGCATCTGGACTTATTACTGGCCAAATCGACTCTTCCGAATCTGTTCGACAATCACCCGCCATTCCAGATTGACGGTAACTTTGGTGGGGCTGCAGGTGTCGTGGAGATGTTAATTCAGTCGCACGAGCCAGGATTTATTCGACTTCTTCCTGCCTGTCCGAGCGACTGGACGGGAGCTATCCATGGAGTCCGAGCTCGAGGAGGATTTGAGCTGGATTTTGGCTTCGAGAATGGAACTCTCGTGGGTGATGTCACTCTCAAGTCTCAGGGAACAAAGAAAGTCACTCTTGTTTTCCCGGGTGGGTTTGAAATGAATATTGAATATGCTGGCAATTCCAGAATCCCACCTGAGATATACTCTAGATAGACCTTTCATATGTGCAAGCTACGGGGGACGAATTATGTTGCGTATAGCATTAGAATCTAGACCAACGTCGTATAATCCCTGCGCTCTCCCTAACCCGTCACGGAGCAAGCACCGACATCGGCCAATTTCTGGATAAAAAGAACATCCACCTCAATAAATACTAGAACTTAGCCGGATGAGCCCCGCATTTCTTGGACTGAGAGTTTTATTTGAAGTAGAAAAAATAACAACGCCACCTATTGACCCCCCCCCCCCCCAAGCTCAAACAATCAATCAACCCCAATATGGACCTAGCTTCAGTACAAGACCTCAAAGACGTCCTCCGTCCAGACTTCTTCCACGGTTACGCCACAGCCGCAGCCCAGATAGAAGGCGCCTGGAATAAAGATGGCCGAGGCGTTTCGATCTGGGATACATTCGGCCACACACCAGGCAAAGTAGCCGATGGCAGTAACGCCGACGATGCAACACGCGCATACGACTTCTACCGCGAAGATGTCGCATTAATGAAATCCTACGGTGTCAACGCATACAGATTTTCGCTTTCTTGGTCACGTATTATCCCGCTGGGGGGTCGAAACGATCCAATCAACGAACAGGGCATCCAATACTATTCGAATCTGGTCGATGAGCTTTTGGCCAACGGGATCACGCCCTTCGTTACACTCTTCCACTGGGATACTCCACAGGCACTGGAAGATCGATACGGCGGGATGTTGAATCAGGATGCTTACACGCCTGATTTCATTCGGTATGCACGTGTGTGCTTTGAACGACTAGGCGACCGCGTTAAGCACTGGATTACCTATAACGAACCTGGCGTGTATACACTCGCCGGATACGCAGCCGGAGTACACGCGCCGGCCCGATCTTCTTTCCGTGAACGCAATGCGGAGGGGGATTCATCTACGGAGCCATTCATCGTCGCGCACACTGAGCTGGTATCTCATGGACATGTCTCGAAAATGTATCGTGAAGAGTTCCAGCCCTCGCAAAAGGGTACGATCGGCATCACACTGCATGGAAATTGGTCCGAGGCTTGGGATGAGGAGGATGAGCGCGATCAAGCGGCTGCGCAGCGTGCACGCGAGTTCGAGATTTCCTGGTTTGCTGATCCGGTTTATAAGACTGGTGATTATCCTGCTTCTATGCGTGCGCAGCTTGGTGATCGACTCCCCCGCTTTACGGAGGAGGAGTCGAAGCTTGTGCTTGGGAGTTCGGAATTTTATGGAATGAATAGTTATACGACTTTCTTCATGAAGCATAAGACTACGCCGCCAGATATTAATGATCATAAGGGGAATGTGGAGGTTTTTGATGTGAATAAACAGGGTGTCTCTCGCGGGGAGAAGAGTGATACTGAATGGTTGCGAGCTAATCCTGGCGGATTCCGGAAACTGTTGAACTGGATTTGGGATAGGTATCAGACTCCTATTTATGTGACTGAGAACGGTACTACTGCGAAGGGGGAAGTGGCGCCGACGCCGGAAGTTCTGAATGATAAGTTCCGCATGAAGTTCTTTGAGGGGTATGTGGGATATGCGTTGGCTCGAGCTGTGAAGGAGGATGGGGTTGATATTCGGTCTTATTTTGCGTGGACCTTTACTGATAATTGGGGTAAGTTTACCTGAGAGGATACTGGGTCATCGAGATAACTAACTTGCTGTAGAATGGGCCGCTGGCTATGGCGACCGATTTGGAAGTACTTGGATTGATTTCGAGTCTGAGGAGAAAACCCGCTACCCCAAGCAGTCTGCTTACTACTTGGATCGTCTATTCAAGCACTTGATTCGTGAGCAGTAAGTGGCAATAGAGATAAAATACACCTGCATAACTAGAATGTCACTGTACGGCATTTAAGGTTTGCCACCGATTGTGCGCCTCGGCTGTCAGTCATGACGGGTAAAGCAGCGTATTCTAGAGTAGACAGATAGAAAATTATTGCTCATTGGCCGTTGAAAATCTCAATGACAGCAGCTCAGTCTAATCTCGCATGGACAAAAGCATCCACCTTCCTTTCCGAGCGAGAAAGTATGAGATAAGACCAGTTGCGGCAGGTCACTGCGATAACCCTATCGGCTAACCCCCTCATGACTCCAACGCTCGGCTCTATGATACTGACCCCAATAGTGATCAGACATTTAAAAAGAAGCATATAACTAATCGTTTTTGGATTTTCCCCAACTCAACTCTACCGACAAACACCATAGTCATGCATGCAGAACCAATTAAACTGATATTGAAGGGAACCCCCCGAGAGGTATACTTCCTTCCCCGACCTACATATGAACAAGTCTAATCAGTATGCCAAGATCGGCCTTGAACATGGCCGTACTCTCCGAAACCAGATCCGCAGTCAGATTAGCATCTACGAGGCCATGTTCGCGTATACCTCAAAGCTATCCTGGCCCGATGTCCGCGAGGTCGCTAAGGACTTCCAACCCGCACTGAAGTCGCTCGTCCCGGACATCTATACCGAAATGGAGGGAATCGCCGAAGGAGCAGACCTTGACATCCTCGATATCGTCGCACTCAACTGCCGTAGCGAAATAGCCCTTGGAAAATTCTCCGATGGTTGCACGACTTTATGCTGGAAGAAAAGCGAAAATGCGCGTGTGCTTTCTCAAAACTGGGATTGGGCTACGCCTATAGGTCAGAATATGGCCATGGTATCGATTCAGCAGGTTGGCAAGCCAACGCTTTACATGGTGACTGAGGTAAGGTTTCCTGAGATCGTGGATGGAGTCGTACTGATCAATGCAGGCGGGTATCGTTGGTAAAATTGGGTTCAATTCCGCAGGTGTCGGTGTCTGTCTAAACGCCATTCGTGCAAAGCCGATGATAAGCAGCAAGCTCCCGATTCACATTGCACTGCGGCTGTGTCTCGAAAGTGTATCGGTGGGCAGTGCTGTGAAAACTCTCGAGGCATTAGGAGGTGTTGCATCTGCCCAACACATCCTTGTTGCAGATAGCACTACTGCTCTCGCACTCGAACTGTCACCTGTGGGCAATAAGTATATTCCAGAAAATGAAGCAGGACTTATCTCGCACACCAACCATTTCATCGAGAATCGATATGTGGAGGAGCCTCCTTGGCTTTCAGGATCTCCGATTCGCTTGAAGCGGGTTCAGGATTTGGCGCTGGAGCTCATTGCAAATGGGGCTTCGGGAGACGCTATTACACCTTCACTACTACGGGAACATATTTTTTCTGATACTTTCAATGTTCCTCAGGCTATCTGTTGCCAGGAAGATCAGGGTGTCCATGTTTCGATCCGCGATAACACTCTTTTTAATATTGTAATGAATCTGGAACCGGGGCGCTTGGGTGCTGAGGTTGTTTTTGGTCGTCCTGGGTCTGGCGAGGAGGGGCCCGTGCTCCAGATGCCTTGGGTATGACGTGTTGAAGGCTTGTGTACCAGTATATATAATACGACCAGGATGGGGTAATATCCTAGGTACTCAGTAAATAGACAGGCATCCTCATGGATGGAAACAGGCCCACTATGTATGTCTTCCGCCCCGAGCCTCTGATTTCTTTACTCTTCTGATCCCAAAACATTGGCACATCTTTCAGTATTAGCTCAAAGGGTATTTCTATTGAATTTCCCATTCTCCAAGCTTCACATATCCTACAGTATTGTCCCAGCATACAAAACTCACGTTGAAGCTCTGACTTAAAACGAGAAGGTAACGTCTATTCTCACGCTGTTCCACGGGTCAATAACGCCATGCTTTTTCTATACAGGTGTTCTTCTTACAGCTTGCCACCCGTGTCATTTACGCAGTTCCTGCTACTGAAGCATACGATCTCTCTCCCCACCCATCTTCCCACTTAAACACAACCACCCCGACCGATCGATGAATGGCCTATTCATTAATATATACGAGTGTCGCCTCGAAGGCTGTCTTATATGTCCGTGACGGGATGTTTCAGCCAGCTGGATATGAGTCGCAATCTCCCCATTCAAGTCACCAAAAGCACCACTTTATAATGACCTCATTGGCCTAGCAGGATAAGCACTCTAAATATTCGCCAGGCAGATGCGCCCCGAAGAGCTTACTATGCAAGTCTTTAGAGGCTTTGGTCATCTGCCTTAGCATAGAGATGTAGGTTCACCAAGAGTGAACATCATTTAGCTCAAATTTAAAGGCCTCCTGCTGATGAACAATCCCAACGATCGGCGAGCATCGACTACCTGGATTTCTCATCACGGCAAGCCGCACACAAGAAGTTCCGAAGAAGGCTCTTGCCCAGGTCAAGGCCTTAAGCACTCCATGAACTAGTACCTAGTCTTGCAATCTTGTGACATGCCTATGCTATGACGTTGAACACGATGCGGGGATCTTCTGCGCCTCTGTGCCTGTTGGTGTGCCCCTGCAGACCGTCATGCGAAGGGAGACTTCTATTATTGCTTCCCTGCGAAAGAGCATTTCGACTACTCTGGAAAACAATTCTCTGCCATGAACAGCGCGAAATCTGACTACTTGAGAAAAGCATTGGCCGGGGCGTTTCATGCGTACACTCAAGAAAATACTGGATTGGTTGAAAAGAGCTTACGATTGCCAAGGCCGATATCGATTGGGAGGAGCGAAGCCGACCTAACCTAATCGACTTCAGCATGTCAAGCCTCCCTGACCTAGAGTCAATCTATGAAGCGTATGATACGCTTGGCTTCGACATGAGGTACACGGAGCTCAAAGCCAGTACCAGCGCCGCTAGAGGATCAAGAGTTGCTACTTTCCCCATCTTTAGAAGACTCGCAACTTATGTGGTTCACCCATGTCGTTTTGAAGCGATATTGCGCATACACTATGCTAACAGGTTGAATATTATTTCCTCTAGTACACTATACCCTGTCGCCGACACCTAATCAAAGGCCTAGTCCGCAACAAGTTCACCGGCGTAGTCACTGGTGACCGTCGCACCCTGTTCCTCCATGCCCGACTTGTGACCTGGAATCAGAAGCCCTACAAGGATAGCCCCCTGGCAACTAGTGTCGCGAGGGGCCAAGAATGTTTTGGATTTGTTTATCCGAGTCAATAAGAAATTGATCCACAGAACATGCGGGGTATCGCCTGGAAGAGCGCATAAACCGACTGTACGATTGACAATCGCGAGGAATTGACTGGTGTAACCGAGCTCCACTTTATGCTGGGGGCTACATACTAATGCATGGGACTCGTCATTATTTGTGACGATCACGCCAAGTCCAGCCTTCAGCTGAGAGTCTCGCTGTGTGATACGACACAATAAGAGGGGCTTGCATTCCAAATCTCGGTCAACGGGACCAACCCAAACAGCAACTGTCAACCAGTCCAAGCCACTTTATTAATGAGCTGGTATCCCCAGAAGTAACCCAGGTCTGAGAATTCTAGACCAACTTCTGCCTAACCCTTGCCATGACCTCCGGCACTGTTATCCCCGAGGAGCGCCCTGTGGCAAACCCATCAGAAAATGATCCTTTATTGGCCCATTCGGAAGACGTCGGGCAAGATGAAAAGAACGTCTGGTTCAATCTAATTGCGGGTGAGATCACGTCGAGTTTCTATAACAGTCCCGTGAACTGACGATATCGACTTGGCAGATTCCGCCGGTCTTGCTCAGATTGGGATTTGGGTTGTAAGTAGATCAGGAATCCGCAGTCTCACGAAATCATCACTGTCACATCAAGATACATTGACTAATTTCTCTAGCTCGCCGCTCTTGTCTGGTCCAAGATCTTAGCCCAGCCAATCATCCTCTTCACAGCCCATCCAGTAAGTCAAACATGTGAATTCTGTGCAAGGAGGAACAAACATATCTAACCAATCCTAGCTCCTTGCCAGCTCAGCTCTTCTCCTCCAAATCCAAGGAATCCTCATCCTTCAACCCACCACCACCGCAACACCATCTCAAAAACGTACTGGATCGCACATTCATTATACAATCCAACTAATAAGCACTACCCTCTTCCTTGCTGCCTTCATCATCATCGAAATCAACAAAGGCTCCCATGCCCACTTCACCTCCGCCCACAGCATCCTCGGGCTTCTCACCGTTATCTTTGTCGTGTGCCAGTCTCTCTTCGGAGTCGTCCAGTACTTCCTGCCAGAACTGGTTCTGGGCAGTGTCGACAACGGAAAGAAATTATACAAATACCATCGTTGGAGCGGATATGTGGCGTTGCTGGTGCTGGAGATTCCGGCTGCGATCTGGGGGGCGACGCAGACGGACTACAGCATAGGTTTCTTGCATATCCCATTGTGGGCTGTCTTGGCTGCGTCTGCTGCGGTAATAATTGGCTTGGGTGCGAGGATTAAGAAGCAGAAGTTGGGATTGGGAAATTGATTCGAGATTGAGCTGGCGGTTGCTCTAATACGATCTATTTTTTTTTTTTTTTTTTTTTTTTTTTTGTTTTGAGAGAGAGAATGTTGGTGCGATCGTGGGATCATGCATCTTGATGACCTGCTTCATTCCGGGGCTTCCTTAGATATGGTATTTGACAGATATCTTCATTTGCAGGTGCCTTTTAGCAGTGTTTGAACTGTGAGTCTCCGAAAGCCTATTCCTTAGTTCTGGATTCATAGCCATTGGGCAAGCGATAACACCGACTGCGGTCCCATTCGTTGAGTCATTCGATGATAGCCTTGAGTCAATTTGAAGATGATTCGATAGCTTCCGTAAACATAAGAAAAGTAAGAAGAAACAAAACCAAATAAAGATAAATAATTTAAAATATGGAGGTTGAACAACATAGTTCGGGTGGATTCGATGGTTGGTCCAATTACCATTGCTCCACCGAACAGCTAATCCACATCCGCCAATTTCTCCAACTTCTCTCCTATCAACATCATGGCGTCCACAAGCTACATCTGCCTCAATTGCAGGCGGGCGCCCCGATACAGATTAAACCAGCTCCAACTCCGCAGTTTCTCCCTTTCCCCGCGCCACCACCAAATCCTCCGACCAGCAACGGCCCCAAAGCAAACACCGGACGTCAAGCACATCCGCCAGAATGTAGAGCGTTACGCTCAAAACTGCGTTGACCGAAACTACGCCGGCCACACAGGGTACCCCTCGCAAATTGCGGCTCTCTCGGAAGAAGCGCGCCAGCTAAACTTCGACCTGAAAACGCCCCGATCCCGCGCTAAACAGCTCGAGAAGACCATCGCAAAGCTCTCAATCGCAGCCCGCGCCACAGAAACTAACAATGCGCCCACGGACACACAAGATCAAGAAATCGCAGCTCTAAAAGCCGAAGCACAACGTCTTAAAGATGAGTCCGCAGCCATGACAACCCGCAAATCAACCTGCACCGAAGAAATCAACCGCCTCGCTCTCTCCCTCCCGAACCTCTCCTCCCCCGAAACACCAATCGGCGAGACTCCCCGTCTAATAAACTACCTAAACTTCGATCCCGCAAACCCGCCAACCTGGACAAAAAACTCTCCAGCCGACCTCCAGTCCCGCTCGCACGTCACAATCGGCACAAACCTTGGCCTACTGGATTTCACCAGCTCAGCCACGACAACAGGATGGGGCTGGTATTTCCTCATAAATGAAGGCGCAATGCTCGAACAAGCACTAGTGCAATACGCACTAAGCGTCGCACGCCGTCGAGCCTGGAAAGCAGTTTCCCCACCCTCAATCGTATACTCCTACATCGCCGATGCGTGCGGCTTCCAGCCCCGCGACCAGCACAACGAGCAGCAGATTTGGGCTATCGAGCAAAACGAACGTGACCGCGATAGTAAGCCCCAGCGCTCGTTGACGGGGACGGCGGAGATACCACTGGCAGCTATGTATGCGGGCCGCGATATCCCGGCTACAGAATTACCGTTGAAGCTTGCTGGTTCTAGTAGGTGTTATCGAGCGGAGGCTGGCTCGCGTGGCGTGGATACCAAGGGATTGTATCGTGTGCATGAGTTTACGAAGGTGGAATTGTTTGCTTGGGCGGATAATGTTGAGTCTACGGCTACTCCTACGTCAGATGATCTGTTCGCAGAGCTATTGGATATCCAGACGGATATTTTGACTTCCCTTCATCTTCCTTGTCGGGTGCTTGAAATGCCTACGGGTGATCTTGGTGCGAGCGCGACAAGAAAACGGGATATTGAGGCTTTGTTCCCGTCCAGACTTCGTCCGGTGCCGGCGTCCGGTGCTGCTGTTGATCCTGCAATCCAGGAGCTTGAGTCAGCTTGGGGTGAGGTTACGTCTGCTTCTATTTGTACGGACTATCAGAGCAGACGGCTTGGGACGAAGGTCCGAGGTGGTGCGGTGAAGGAGTCGCGATTCCCGCATACTGTCAATGGTACGGCGATGGCTGTGCCGCGTGTGTTAGCCTGTATTTTGGAGAACAGGTTTGATCCTGAGCGGGGTGTGGTTGTTATACCGGAGGTGTTGCGGCCGTGGATGGATGGTATGGAGACGATTGGGGGTAAACAGTAGAAGTTCTCCTGCTCTGTGTATATTATGATAGATCTTCTGGGGGTGTGTACGTATATGGTTGTATTTATCTGACAACTTATCGTCTAGTGCATTACACGCCACTTTGTGAATACTTCAAGTTCAAACAGCTAATCATGGATTTGACATGGATTTCGCATGGATTTGAGGACAATTTTGGGTTGTGTGGGCGATCTATAGAGAACCATAGACAAAGAGGATAGAGGCACCAACACTCATCAAGTCATAACACATTAAACTTAGGCGCAATAAGGACATCGCATCATAGGGAAAATCAATACATAGGAATACAACCAAACCACCTCTAGGACCGAACCAGCAGTCCAGAACGAGGTCAAATAAACCAAAGACGCCAGGATCACAACTCCAAAACATAACCAAATAGGTATCTGGAGGGCAAGCCGCCAATCGACATAAATAACCAACGAAACAAAACGTCGTAAACAAAAAAAAAAGGGATATGGGGCCCACATTTAGGCCCAAGGCAGATCAGCCTCTTCGACCCGCGTGCAGGTCAAATACGGCAGCCCTACATCGGGAGGATTTTCAATAGCCGCAGAACTTGCGCTACTTTGTTCCGCACCACTTTTCAGCTCCAGCTCAAGGAAGTTACGCATGAGCGGTTTAACGATTTCACGTGCCAGCCGTTTAATCTCGTCCATCTTGCGCTCGAAACGTTTAAGGGTTTCGCGGGTGTAGAGGGAATCCGCTGATTGGGTCGGGTGGATCTTCAAGAAACGTTTCAGTTCGTCGTGGGGCAAGTATGCCTGTGACGAAGAAGAGCCAATCAAGCGATATATACGAGCGGATGGATCAGGCGGCGTAACCGGTCTCGATGATCCTGCTTGTGAGCCTGGTGCAGGGGTTTGGGGAGGATTTGTAGCGGAGTTCTTGAGGATAGGAGCTGGGGGAGGAGTGGTACTCTCAATGAGCCACTGGCGGAATAAAGAGACAGCCAACCAGTCGAGATATGCGTTGTTAGGACCGACCCGTTCGCCGCGGGAGGTCGTCAAAGACAGACGGAAGAGTTTAGAATCGACGCGAGCTTTGAGGTCTTCCAAATCTTCGTATTTATCCTCGATTAGATCGAGGACGGCGTTTGGGAGAGGTGCGTATGAGCCGTTACGCAGGTTTGGTAAGGCCGCTGGCCATTGGCCAACGACATGGATGAGGGCTTCGGAGAAGATCACTCGGCTGCGGGCTAGGTATCCCAGCTTGAGGTAGCTAGGGGGGTACTTGGCTATCTGTTTGAAGAGCCGCGAGCCGAATCCTAGGAGGTGGTGGTCCACTCGGGGACCAGTGACTGGTAGCGCATCGTACATATCTGCCAGGGCCAGGAGAGACTTGCACTCTGTGTAGGCCGTGGCGATATTCACGCTGTTTAATACTGGTGGATGATTGTAGAACATGCGGAAGAGGTTCTCGTAGTCGCGAATCAATGGATCGGCAGTATTGCGGTCTCCCCCTTCGGTTCGTGGGAGGTGCACCACTGACTGCATTCCAGCCAGGTTTGCCATAGACCGGAAATAACCTGCCTGTGCATTGGACGGTTTGGTCATCGTTGGGGGGAGTCCGGTGTGATCGCCGCTGGTAAACATGGGAGCGTAGGTAGGTTGCTACTCAAGAGGTTGAGGTTAGTTATGGGCCTAGTACACCCCTTGCTACTTGCGAGTGCGAGTGCGACTGCAAGATGAGGATTGGACTAACCTTCTGAACAAGTATAGGCTCCTCATCCTCTCCCCTATTTTCCCAGTCCAACTCATACCTCCATCGTCGCTTCTCTCCTGGACGCATCGATGACACCCCATTATCAGACTGCGCGAGCGTAGAACCGTTGGAAAGCGAGTCGTCCTCGCTCACCCGAGACAATGTCCCATCGGGCTTCGAGGGACCCGGTGTACTCTGCCCCGACCATTCCTCCCTCGTGCTTGCCTCGAAAAAGCCCGAGCATTGCGCCAGAATCAACCGATGAAGAAGGTATCGTTTCTCTTGCGACCCAGCACGGATCGCGATCTCGGTGTCGCCCGTATAGGTGAAGATTGGGAAATCGTTGGACGAGGTCGATCCGGAGCCGCCGTGGTGGGAACGACCCGATCTATGACGGCGGGTCGAGTGCGAGTGACGCGACACCACGGACGGGGCACTCTGGTTTGGTGCGATGCGATCGACGATTTGAGCCTGGGATACCATTGCGCGCGTGAATTTCTGTGTTCATGTAGATCGAGAGATAGCGCTAGCAACGAAGAGGTGCGTCGGCGGTCAACACCTATTCGCGCAGCCTGATGCCGTCATTAAAAGCATGTAAAACGTGGGAAATGAGGGTGTGGGTGGGTGGATAAGGGAGTTGTGGTTAGAGAGTGGTATCGCGCCGGTGGATTTAGATTTAGTCCCCGCGATCCAAAACAATGGTTATAGATAAATTGCACCCACAAAGACAATATTAAAAATTTTAAGATGTATTCGGGGATTACAGGTACCTGAAGGAAAATCCGGAATCACGTAAGTCAAGTACTCTAGCCTGGTCTACTCTGTGGGTAGCATGTAGTGGTACAGGCCGCAAGCAGCTGAAATCGCAGTGGCGAAAGTCGCTGGCTGCAGGTTGAACCAATGACCGTGGAAGATCGACAATGGAATTCTAACTAAAATAGTTAAGTACAATTAATCCCCAATCCTATAGACCAAATTAGTAGGAATAGTTTGGGTTCGGCGGAGTTCGTCGGGACCTTCCTTATTGAAGCCCCTCCTTTCCCCTCGATCTCCTTTTTTTTTTCTTGGTAACTTCTACATCAATGAGGGACGGAGTAAATCATACCCAATAACCTCGGAAGTCACTCCCTGGGAAATACATCCTTCCGTATACGAGGTCACACGATTCCCACACTCCGGCTTACTTGAAACTCGACGCCCAAACCGCCCAACAAAACAAAAAATCTGGCCTTGAACGCTCATTCTCGGGACAGCTTCTATAGCTGTCCCGATCTGACCTCGCTGCAGATTTCGTCTCCCGTGATTTCTGCCGACGGTTTCGATCACGACATCAACACTGAGCCCTCTCGCTCGCCCTCCCCCGACCCGCTTGCCCCGCGCGTCAAAAAACGGTCCGGCCGACAAACCGTCTCACGCAAAGCGCGGGGCGTCATCGGAAAGGTTCGCGCTTTGCAGCGGATCGCCGCCGCCAAAATGGCGCATCCGTCCATCAAGATCGACACCAGCGTCCAGAGCACTAAACGCGGCCTACCGGATAGCGATGCGGGGATCGAGATGTTGAATGAGCAGGGGAATCCCCGGTTAGAGACAGGGAACACGGACGACGTCCCACCGTTCCTGTGCCAATCGGTGACGGGTGAGTCAAGCGGTGTTGCATGCGCCTATAGGAGAATTTTTGCTGCACGTGGGAAGTATGACGAGACTGACCGCCTCCGATAGAGATTCATGACAAGTTCGAAGATCTCGAGTGGATACAGAGAACTCGGATTTCGGATGGTATGGTGTCTAATGACCCTACTCATCCGTATGCGATCGATACCGATCCGAAGGTCAAGGCGAGGAATCGATACCTGAATGTGCAGGCGTATGCGAATTATCGCATACATCTGCAGGTTCCCGAGGGCGAATGTGATTTCATCAATGCATCTCCGATTATTCTGAGGGACTCAGTGACGCATGAGGAATTGAAGTACATTGCGACGCAGGTGAGTGATTGTTCAGTTCCATCCTAAGATATAGTTTTTGGCTAACCGTTCCGCTGCACAGGGACCCAAGCTTGGACAGCTTTCACACTTTTGGCATATGGTTTTTCATGAGAGCAAGGAGGTGGGTGTCATTATTATGCTCACCCAGACCGTTGAAGCAGGTCGGGAGAAATGCGCCCAGTATTTCCCATTGGATCGAGATCAACCGTCGATGGATATATTGCCCGAAGAACCCTTTGAGGCCTTGGTGAGCGAAGAGGCTCAACCCGACAATCAGCCCAGTATTCTGGGTAAAGTCACGCTTTTGGAATCCTTCTATGACGAAAAGTCCTGCTCCGAAGTTCGCAAACTAGAGCTGACTCTTGGATCCGAGTCGAAGATCGTTTGGCATTTCTTGTTTGCGGGCTGGGCAGATCATTGCAAGCCAGAGGGGCACGACCGCCAGGGATTGTTAGAGCTCATCAAGCTGTCTGCCTCTAAATGCGACTCTGATAATCCACGGGTTGTGCACTGCAGCGCCGGTGTTGGCCGAACGGGAACCTTCATCGCTCTCGATCATCTCTTGCGCGAACTTGAATCGGGCCAATTACTGCAGGTTACCGGTCCCGAGACCGATCCAGTTTATGAATGCGTCAACCAGATGCGTGAGCAGCGCATGATGATGGTTTACAATGAACTCCAGATGCAATTCATTTATGAAGTCCTCCGCGAACAAACAGACGTCAAGCTGGGCAAATACCCGCTCGAGTTCGGAAGTCCGCACGAGCCCCGATCTGCCAAATTACGCAAATTGAGTGATCCCTCAGCTTATGTGCCGCCGTCGAAGCCCGAATTGGAGCCGGTCCTGGACCGAATTCAGACTCCGACGCGAAGCTGGTCTGGGACCCCCGAGGGATCCGATGATGAGTAGCTTTGGCTTACGACTCCTTGCTTGTTATATGTATTCTTTCTTATTCTTCCCTTTGCGATGTGATCACGAATTCCCCGGCTTCTCGATCTTGAGTTATCCTGCTGCATCATACCATGGCATCCGGTGTTGTATTGGTTTTGTTGTCATTGTATTAAGTTCCCCCAATTGGCTAGCTGTCTTTCTTTTTGATCTCTTGTTTCCTTGCGGAAGCTTGCTCACCTTATGCCTTTTTCTTCTCCAATACCCCACAGCAGCTCGGTCGTTGATGCCCCTTGCGCCGTATGTAGTTCTACCCCCACTGGCTGGAATTTTCTAGTCCTGTGTTAGATGTGCTGTATATTAGCTCGATCCAAACCGTGTTTATAGTATATTTGCCAGCGCTTCGACGATCTCCGCGATACAGAATTACATACCTCGGCTCCGATCTAGGTACCCGTTGGCTACCTGTGGACACAGGTATATACAATCCCGAGACCCAAAGCCACTCTACCTATGACCTCTAGAACCTTTGACGTGACACCCACAAACTGTATACCTCAAAATTCAGCGCAGCTAGGCTTGCGTTTAGCTCGAGAATTTTTGGACACAAATACGATCGGTCGTAATTCCACGTTGTCATTAGAAGAGCATAGTGACTGTACATTTCGGGGCTGAACCCCATCGCTCAAGAATCATTGCAAGTATAAACCGAGATCAGACTGGATCCCGAGATCCTTCTCTCAACGAAAAGAGTTTGGACACCATAAAACAAGATAAAACAAAGCGCTGCGCAACACTAGATGACTGGTATCGTACCAACATGAGATTGAAGGCAATTCAGCTATCAATTAGACAGGATAGCCATCAAGAAGAGCATAGTTTCTACTTGGTAGGTTGAAGAAAAGTCTATCAATCACTGCGCTTGCCCGCAGGTTCCACGACCGGCAGACCACTCGCAGCGTTGGCTTTCCGGTCTTCCTGATAGCTCGGAGGAGATGATGATGGCTCAGAGGGCCCGGGACCATCCTCAGTATCCCAATTATCAACGGCATTTTCGTCCCATTGATCTACTTCCCGTTCTAGAGACATGACGCCCGATTCCTGCGGACCGAGGCCATCATCGTCACGCTCAGAATGGTTCATTCCAGTGCCAAGCTCAACATCTTCGCCTCCCTCCGTCATTCCAAAACGGCTCTTCCGGCGACGATCCAGCATCCGGCGGTGGTACCAGCCGCACAGACCAACGGCGCCGAGACTTCCGACCACATTGGCAACGATATCAAATGGGTCGAAGGGACGATCATTGGGGAGGAAACCCTGGACAACTTCAGAGCCAATACTGAGGCCAAGAGTGCAGACCAGGAGAGTCAAGTGCAAGGTACGTCGGCGAGTGGTGTCGAGGATCCAGTAGAATGTCAAAGACAAGAGGAAAAAGGTGAGCAAGTGGAGAAATTTGTCATTAGGCTGTAGATTTGTGGGAATCGTCGATGAGACGCTGTGTGGAAGAAGACCAATATATCCAGCAAGAATGAGAAGGAAGACGAAAGCTCCTGGGGATCGTGGTGTTTACATGTTAGCTTCTGGAGAAGTTGATCGTGCGATCGGAATCACATTACGTACCCGCGAACGGATAACGGATCCGCATGGTGGGTTTAATCAAGAGAGTATCGATATAGTCCCGTCAAAAATGAATTCGCAAATATCCCGATATGATCGGTGGTCAAGCTGTTGAAAATATTCCAGTGGAGGTTGGGGAGAGCAGTTTGCGGAACGTGGATCAATTGGCCCCAGCTGCTGCCTTGTGCGTCATATGTGGAGAGATAACGATGATAGAAAAGCGAGATGGTTGGGATATGTGGCAGTCAAGCAGTCAAAACATAATGAGTCAACGACCCAAGCTGCCCAAAGCAAAAGAAAAGAAACGCAAGTAAAACTGGAGAAGATCGGAGTTATCAGATCTTGGTGAAGTGGAGAGAAGTGAATGTAGACTGCGATCAGCATGGAACGCCCAAAGCAGATCTCCCCCATCTGCCGCGACTTTCCGCCTTTGCGCCTGCCGTAACTGTACTTCACCCTCGTCCAATCTTCCTTACAGAAGCTCCTGTCTTCTTCATCAAAACTTGCCTCCGTGCCATCGCTGTTGGCCTTTCCGACATCACCTGTCGCCTTGGCCGACCGTGCGGTTTCTCTTGATGCCTTTTTCTTCCCAAAAAACCACCTCCCTGTGAATTCTGGGCCCCGTGATCTTGACCGTGGAGAATCGAGTCTCGCCCGCCCCCAGAACCGGGGTTTTGGAGCGAGCATGTCGCTCGGTCACAACGCCTGGCCTCCAGGCAATATTCGCCCGCCAGATGAACAACAGGACTCTCCGCGCCCCGTCAATGGCTTGGTAAAGACATTGTCCGGCTCGCGAACCCCCCAAATACGCGGTTCGGTCAGCGCCGAGGGCCCGAATGCCGGTAGTATGACCTCCGAGCCGGATATCACCATCGAGGAGGACCCGCGCATTGCGACATTCCGCGAGCTATTCCGAACAAGCGAGGCGAAAATTAACGCGCTTTTTTCTGGTCACTACACCCCCGACGAAACCTCCGACGCCGCGGTCGCGGAGATCGAGCTGTCCGAGCTTAAAACTGAACGCGTCGATGCGCCGGCCGCCCCTGCCACTGCACCACCCAAGCCCACCCGCAAACTTGACGATGACTACGACGACTATGACGAGGACGACGATGCGGACATGGTGGATTCGGTCGAGTCGCCATTGAAAGTGAAATCCGTACCACCGTCGCAGGACTCCAATTCCGCAGCCGCATCTGCCCAGCGCCCGGAGACAGCCGCCTCTGCCAATGCTGATGGAACAAAGGAGTCTAAAAAAGAGTCGGTGGAAGATATACGGAAACAACTGGAGGAGGACAAAAAAGCGACGGAGGAAGCTGCCCGGCGCAGCTTCCATACCCTATTCTACACCCTTGAGAATGACCGAGATGCCATGATGGACCAGCAAAGGCTGGAAGAGTCAGAACGACAAGTCGATGCCGAGATTTCGGGACAGGCCAATGCTGGTGGAAATAATGCCGCTGCTGGCTCGAATGGATACAGCTCTTTGAGTAACACCAACCTTGGAGCTTCCAGTTTGACCCTGAAGAACCTCATCGCTCGGATTGACAAGAAGCGCGATATGGTTCAAGCATCCGATGCTGATCTCCGCAGCTTGCTGAGCGAGGTGCGCAAGAATCGTAGCAAGTGGGCCAGTGAGGACAAGATTGGCCAAGAAGAGCTTTATGAAGCTGCAGAAAAAGTGTTGAGTGAACTCAAGGCTATGACGGAGCATTCTAATGCTTTTCTGACCCGTGTCAACAAACGCGATGCGCCGGATTACTACACAAGTGAGAATCGCCTTTCCATCCCAACATTCACAAATATTAAGCTATGTTCTGTATACTGACCTAGACACCAGTAATTAAACACCCCATGGATCTCGGCTCAATGACTAAGAAGCTCAAGGGGTTGCAGTATCGTTCCAAACAAGATTTTGTGGATGACCTTAATCTTATTTGGATGAACTGTTTGAAATACAACACAAACCCTGAGCATTTCTTGCGCAAACACGCTCTTTATATGCGAAAGGAGACGGAGAAACTCGTTCCCCTCATCCCTGACATTGTCATCAGAGACCGAGCTGAAGTTGAAGCTGAGGAGCGGCGACTTCAAATGGCAGAGCTTGATGGTGCCGAGGAGAGCGATGACGAACCCATCATGTCTTCTCGCGGGAGAAAGGCCCCCGGGAAATCGTCTAAGAAAGGTACTGCCCCTTCTCGCAATACCCCTAGTGGCTCTGAGGGTCCCCCAGGGACCCGCACCAGTCAACCCCCAGCACCTGTCCGCGCAGATTCAGACGCCGCCATGGAAACGAGCCAGAATGGGTTCGGTACTCCGCCCCCTGGATCTCATACTCCCTCCGACCCAGCAGGCCCTGGAGTGGGTGGCACAGCAAGCCAGCAAGACGACTCTATGGAAATTGATGCACCAAGCGCGTCAACTGTGGTTCTTAGTGCCCTACTTGGTCCCGGCGCAGATTTGGAAGACCCTGAATACAAGGTCTGGAAACAAGTCACAAAGAAGGATAGGGCGCTCATTGCCGCAGAGCGACACCGTCTTCTCAAAGGCGACAAGGTCAACCCCGAAGAACCGGCCTTGCTCCGAACCAAAGCCGGCATGCGACGATGGCTTCGCCATGAAAAACAAGCAGCCATCGAAGGTGACAAAATGCACGATGCATCTCAGGCGATGGAGCCTGAGGCAGCTGGTGAAACACTTGCGGAAGGTATTGAGGGCGAAGAAGAGAAGATGATACCATATTACTACGACGTCATGTCTGGTGTACCTGATCTTCCAGAGCGGTTGGCATGGAAGGAAGATGCGGAAGGTAACGTCGTGGATGCTTCAGAAGAATACCTCAGAATCCTCCCCAAGGGTTCTTTCCTGCAGCCCGACAGCAAGTTGTCTCGCAAGCTAGAGGCGAATATGCGACAAATGCAGGAGACTCGCAAGATTTGTTCCAAGGTTGGGATCGTGAAACAGATGCAGATACAATCTCAGGTATGTATAACACTCACGCTTTCTTCACTTCAGCATCGAATCTCATTCCCTCCCAGATGTATCAAAATCAATTTCAAAAATACAACCCGGAACCTTTCGCGGAACAGGACGTTCCCCCTCATGTCTTGAATGATAACGGCCCTGTCATTGCCCCTGGAACTTGCCGGGCAGCGCTGCAACGCTCCGTTGCCAAGATTTTCTATCACTCCGGTTTTGAGGAATATCAGCCATCTGCCATCGAAGTTGCGACCGATATTACTTCCGACTTTTTCCACAAAATCGGTGAAACGTTCAAATCATACATGGAAGCTCCTAAGGTTCCTGCCACTGAGTCTCAGGAAGCTGCAACGTCAGCTGCTGAGTGGAAATCAGCATACACCGAACCAGAGATCGTACTTCACACCCTTTCTGGTGTTGGAATCAGTATTGATGAACTCGAGTCCTACATTAAGGAGGACGTTGAGCGGCTCGGGACCAAGCTTGCTGCTGCCCACGATCGTCTCAAGTCACTGCTCACCGACCTGCTTCGTCCTGCTCTTGCCGATGGTGGTGAGGACGGTTCCAATGCGTTTAACGATGGAAGCGAGCAGTTTGTCGGTGGCGATTTCGCAGAAGATATCGATGAAGACTTCTTTGGCTTCAAGGAATTGGGACTCGACCGCGAGTTTGGCCTGTCCCATCTCAGTGTGCCGTTGCACCTCCTTCAGAACCGGATGTACAGTGCAGCCCAGTCACAGAACACCAGTACCACCCAAACAGTCACCATATACCCCTCTCCCCCATCATATTCCCGTATCTCAACCGACACTCTGCCCGATCAGATTGGGCTGGTGCAAGCCTTCTTCAAGGGCAAGCTTGACGCGAACCGCGATGAACCTCTTGTGGAAGATCTTGAACTTCCACCCAAACAGAGACCAATGGCTGTCAAACCTCGTCTACCAGCCTCCGGCAAGATTCCGCCCATGCCTGGTGTCTCAGGGCCCAATTCAAGTCCCCAGAAACGACCTGCTCCTCCAAATGCAGCCGCAGCGGCCAAGGCAGGCGCAGAACCAAGCAAGAAAAAGGCGAAGAAGAACAGTGGTGTTGCACTCGAGATGCCTAATTTCAATTTCGATGGGGATGCAGATCAAGGGTCTTCCTTCGATGCAAATAAAGAATTTTCGACCGACATCAAACCTGAGGGTAATAACTTCCCAGATGGGAACGACGAACCCAATACTACCCAGCCGGATAATGTGCCCATGACCAATGGTACCACCGTATGAGCCGACAAAGAGCTCTGTTACTATACAAGGCTTCTGAGCCGATATTTTCTCCTTCATTCCAATCACATTTTCTTTTACCCCTTTCATTTTCGTTGTCGTGTTTGTTTTATCTTTCCACAATATTTATCTATATGCCGGCAGGACTGCTGGCGATGAAATCCAAAACCCAGGATTCAATCCGCGATTCGAAATTCTGGATGCATATGATGCCTCGAATGAACGATGATACTACCCAAGAAAAAAGAGATTCCCAGGTCATAGGGAGGAAAACTAATCGGTCACAGTAAATCGATTCCATGCTTCTTCCTTGCCCCGTCATTTCCGTTTCATGTATTATGTCCTCACTGCATTTTTAATATTGTATTGACCACCTTGAAACCCCCTTTGTCGTGTTACATTCGCTGCGTGTACAATATCATACCATCCGTCGGCTTGGCCTTATTTGAATTGTCTTGGTAATTGTCTGAGAATTACATTTTTCTATTGGAGAGATTCTTTCCTACGTATTTCTGTCTTCTTAAAGCAATGATACAACGCTACTTACATACAAAAGTAGCATTAGTTCCTATAGTCTACCTTGTCTTCGTCGACCCATAGGAAACGTTTTCAAGGAAGGTTAAAGAAATCATACACGTTTACTTAGAGAAACTCTATAATCGGGATAGGTCGTCAACAATGGGACCTGGAAAAGGTATCTATCTCCAGAAATTGAGGATCTACTACAAGCCTTCTAAAGATCTCCATTCTCTACACGAATAACCTCGCAGACCATGGAGACATCACCAATGCTATTGGAAGTCAGATACTTGGATCTCTACCTGACGTGAAATCACAAAACCCGGCTTGGAAACCACATTTTGCGAATGCTGGAAACGGTCACAAGACCAGCGAGCTCCCACACTCAAAGTTGACTCAGGCTCGTGCGGCAGGGACCGATGAAACTCGCACTTGCACAGCTGCATAACGTTATGGGCATGTGGGTCAAACCTATCGAGCAAGGCTAGGTCACCCTCCTATGGGCCGTAACCGTACTTATAGCCGAAGACTCAAAGGTACGGTCTGCGCCGCTTCTTTCGAATGTTCTCTTCTCGACACTCGTAGCCATCGCCATGGTTCTCACTTTTGCCGTATCCCCCCTCCATTCATTTGTAACGACTTGGACAACGTTTGACCATTTCCAAAAGTATGCACGGCCGATTGTGAACCCCGCGTATATCTCGCTCGCTTTTTGTGGAGCTTTCTTCTTCTCTTCTTTTTTCACAGTTTTCGCTTCGTATTTTCAGGCCATCTCGTCTGCTAGAGGGATCTGTTCAGTTGTTTTGTCGTGAACTCTCAAAGCTGGCAACCAGAGACTAGCACCATCGCTCACTATCATTGGCCCTGACCTAGTTTCTTCTTTAGCCCTTTCATTTGCAAATCGGTATATGAGGATGGTCGCAACACATGTATGCGGCTCATGTTCCATCGTTGTCCAGTTGTACATGTCTTGGCTTTGTTGGATAAAACTGAAGAGACCATGAGGAACAACCGCTTCGACAAATAGTTGTTTTACATTGTTTCCCGAGGCTCATATCGTAAGGAAGTAAAGTATGCCATAGAAGAGAAGGAGGACGTTGTAATGATATCACATTTGCTTTGTGTTCACTTTCCTTTCCAATTTTAGAGGGGTTTCACTTTTTCACGAGTTCGATTGTGTATAGTCTGATGGCTCGACTTGCTGTTTGTTGCTCTTCGCACGAAGTCAATCAAATTTCAGCACGATGTCACTCCTTGTTCTTCTCAGTTGTTCATCCCGAAGAAGAAAGTCGACACATGAAGAGGGATTGGACAAACTGCTGTTGTTCGCCTGACCGGGCAATCCCATCAAGGATCCATGGCAGAGTACGGGAACCGAAGCCTGTTTTATTTTTTCGATGTTTTCCTTCTCTCTTTTTTTGTCTGTCTCATTGGCTCAATACCAAGCTTTTTCTTTTTTTTTCTTCTTTTTTTTTTTTTTTTTTTCTTTTTTTTTCTTCTTTTTTTTTTCTTTGGCCTATTCCCCCTATGATTGAAAGAAGAGAGCAACGCAAAACGTTATGTAAGAATGAAAGTTGAAACAGAAAGAAACGGACCTGCAAACTGGAACGATGTCAAGTAAAATCAATCTATACCCACCACATTGAGAGCGGAAGGTTGTTGGACGAGCCCCTCATGCTGAGGAGTTTGCTTTGGACCCCCTCTGGCTTTACCAGTGAACGCTCATGGGGCATTCGCCCGCCGCTCTGGGGCCCATCGGAAGAGTTCACATTTTCGTGATGACGGGCACGAGCAGTGATCAAATGCGAATAGTAGATGGCCGGGTGAATTGAGACAGGCGTGGTGGATCGGACGTACTGGTAGCTTTGCTCATAGATCATGTTTTCTAGCTCCTCGGGCTTGTGGCCAATCTCATCAAGAACGACCTTGTAATGGACGGGCCGGGCAGTTCCTTGGAGTGCCGCATGTGCGTAAAGGAGGAAGTCCCAGCCATGCGGGCTGGTGACTTCACGATCAATCAGAGTACCGGGTAGAGGGTTGCCGTTTCGATCAGAAGTGCTGTCTTTAGGGTTCGGGAATGCACGAAGATGGTGTCGCTTGTTGGCAATCACCACACACAGTTTTCCTCGCCATTCATCTTCCTTACAGGCCTCAGCCACAACCTTGCGGATGGCAGGAACTTCCTTGTTGAGAACACCACTGATCTCGGAGTCGGACACACCATCTCGGAAATAGTAGATCTGTTTCGGATATTGTTTCTTGCCAACCGTTTGGTACCACTCCCGAATCAGAGGTCCGAGGATACTCCTGATGTTCTCTTTGGTGATGATCTCTACCTTGGTTCCATTGCACTGGCATCCACCCATATAGCTAACTCCATTAGTATCATTGGAGATGCACATTGCCGCCAGAGATGGAGTCCAGACACCCAGTGCAGGGTGGGTCACATCGGCTCCGATGATGATGGAGCGCGGACGTAGAGTTGATCCAGTAGAAGTTGGGATAATGCGGTTAGTCACTCCACCGAGCTTGGCATTCACCTTCATGAGAACATTTGAGCTGTACTGGGGACGGTTATCTATGCAACGTAAGGATTGCAGAACCTGAGAAGGAACTCCGAATCGGCAATCGGCCGATTTCTTGATCCGAAGGTAAACAAATGCATCCTTGGACGGTACAATGATCACCAGAAGCTGAGGCTCCGCTTTCCAAGCCTCTTTTGTTTTTTGGTAGAGATCGTTCATTGCCTCGCCGATATCTTCCTTCATCTTGATGGTGAAAGGCCGGTTTGCAATGCTGCCACCGTGCTGTTTGTATGCCTTCATAAACAGGTCAAGCCATGCTTGAACCTGATCAAAGTTAATATCGTTGCGATGACCAGTAAAATATCCGACTCCCCATGAGCTGAGGGACTTAGTATTGGTTTTGAAGAACTTCTTTCCACGAAGATCCCATCGAGCACTAGTTCCTGGATTGTGTTTGACATTTCCGAATTGAATCTCTGGATTCGGCAACAGACGTGCTTTGGCCATAACCATCTTTTTCCCGATCTTGAGCCCATAATGTGCCAGGCTCGGATCTTCATCGTGGTTCAGGATGGTTTTGCATTTTCTAATGTGTTCCAGACGGTCGCCGGGCTTCTTGGCGGTATACTTGATCATATCAGCAGTCTGGAGATCAGTGAGCTTGAATGGCCATCGCTGAAGGTTCTTGATGACCAAAAGCTCAGCGGGGTAAATCACTCCCTGTTTGGTCATTTGAACAAGAGACATGTGAGGATGTTGCAAGGCCTTGTTGTATTTCATAAGGAAGTATTCCGCCACAGTCATTGACTTCTCTTTGCCTGAGGCCTTGTCATTGATCATCAGCTTATACTCAGACGCACTGGCGTCGATAAGCTTTTCAATGATAAAGCTCTTGTCCTTGTAAGGGCATCCATCGTAGTCTGGTTGGACACGAAGACCCTGAAGGTTCTTGCTGAGCTGGATGAAAGCAGGGCTGGAGTGTCGAACATTCCGGTTGTCAATCTTGGGGCGGAGCATCCTGGCAAGCTCGTCATCAGCGCCGGCCTTGGTCAGTCCTTTCATGGTACCAAGAAGGCTGATGCGGGAAAAGAAAACCGCATGAGCAGTATCAAGGTTCAGCTGAAGACCATTGACACAAGGTCGGATCATCTGAAAGATCCCACGATAGCAGGTGGCACCTGAATAGGCCCCAAGCGAGTAATGGAACTCATGCGCAATGTTCTTGTGTGACGGAGTCTCCTCGAGGCTTTGGAAGAAGTATGCCCGTTTGTGTGAAAAGAATTGCTTCGTGGGCCAATCGCGAATCAGGTGGTCAAGGAAGTCTGAAAAGTCAGTATACACTTCGTAAGAGGTATAGAACGACAAAGTACTGACTAAGTGCCTCGATTACAGACTCATCCAGCTCATGCTTCTTCTGTAACCACCTGCCGATAACTTCCAGATTGACCTTGCGGCGATATTTCATTCTGAAAACCACCTCCTTACCGTAGAGATCAAGCTTGCCCATGCCGGTACCGCGGGTCTTACCTCCAGCGTACTCCAATCGCTCAGAAATATCATTTTCATTGCGGACGGCGGACCTGCATACATAAGTATACATCCTCAAGCAAAGAACAATAAGTCTATTGAACGTACCAAATTGTTTTCGCTCCATCGTAGATGGCATCGGGAAATTGTGTTTTACGTGTCTCGCAATTGAAGCATCGCCGGAAGACGCGTCGGTCCTCATCGGCACTTACTCGATTGTTTCCGTGCTCGACGATCATCTTGACTTATAAGCTTATAATGTCAAAAAAAGAGAGCCGGAAAAAAGGATCACCAACCTCATATTGATGAACTGACTTGGTGGGGAATTCCTTGATCGGGTAAGTGTTCATAACCACGTCGATGGCCTTGCCAGAGTTGTTATAGCCCTGGCGATCGATTGAGCGGGTTTCATTGCGCTAGCAACTTTTAGTTCGCGAAATTTAAAGTAGTGGGAATAGCGGTAGCGAGTAATTTCTCGTCACCATGTGGGATGTTCAGGTAAAGAGGGAAATATTTAGTATTTACTTACCATGCCATACTTTGGCCGGGTGATGGTAACATCGCGGGCTCTCGAAGCGGAGACCTCTCGCTTGCCGTCATCATTAATACCTAGTCTCGACATTGAGCGCCTAGTCGCTTCAACTCTGCCCCTGGGGGAGGACATTTCTGAGGTGGAGCTATCAGGGAAAACACCTGTCAGCAACTTTGTAAGTATCAGTGGATAATGACTTGAAAAAAGAAGTGAGCAGGTGATGAAGCGGAAGTAGGAAGGGTAGGGCTTGCTCAATTATAAGTGTGATGCGGAAAATGAAAGGAGAGCTGTTTGCCAGAAGAGAAAGAAGCTCGATCAAGGCCATGCAGATAACTCACTGAGGGAAACTGAGAGAAGACCGGGAGCGCACGATTGAGAAGTCCACTCAGTGGGTCTCACCGGTAATAGGTATTTGGGTTTGGCTGGCCAACTTCGACGCCGACCGAAGTAATCAGTAAGTTTGTTTGCTGAAACTCGCACTTGCACCGCGAGCAAGGCGGCTTTCAGGTCACCGTCGACTGTGAATCTTGGAGAGTCAAGATCACTTAGGGGAATTTCAAAGGGCTTATCCTCCGCTTACTTGTATCTCGATCAAAGTTTCAATGAGTACCGAGGTCTGTATTGAAGTCTTGATGTGTCAAGGTTGGAGAGGAAGAACGGAAGATCCAAAAGCAAAAGAGAATTACGGTATTTATGGCAGTTGAGTTTGTTGCTGCCTATGATCCGTTTGCTACGACTCGAATCCACAGAGGAACTTCCATTCACACTATCTGCCGGTTTTGTGAAGTCCTCGTCAGGGATGTTGGACATCGCGGGTATTTTGTCACTCAACCCATCAACTATGCACTTGCTTATCAAACCGGTTTTGGCGTCTGCGCGCGTTCGTATACCTATATAATCAATGAACCAACATGTCGACCTATGCACAGATATATAAATTACAAGTATTCTCTTCGAATGCCATAGAAAACCCAACCCACATACCAAATCGGTTTATGGATGCATTACTTCGTGCACATGCCAAATCAACTCCAGCATCCGTACTGATCTGGTTTCTATAGTGAATCTTCCATTTTAAATCTTGGCATCATATATATTCATATAAGTTGAGAAGACCGTAGTATTCATCTAATTGGGAATCTATGTTCCTAAGTCTGCTACTGGGCGAAAGACCCTCGAGCAAAGAATGTCCAGCACGTCAGCTGACCTTTTCCATTTAACAATCATGAGAAACTATACTTCCAGATATTCATGGGACTTATCCAGCATCCGGATCTGAGGCTTCAGCTCATCAAGGTAGTAGTACTTGAGCTTTTGAGTGATCAAAAATTATGGTCCCAGAGTTGCGAAAAATTGTCAAAAGATACGTCGAAAAAAGTATTCAGCGTTCACAGCGATGTGAACACGTCGAAGGAGTAATGCCTATGAAGACGGCGACTTTTCTTACTTGTGTTCTGACTAAATCGATATGGATCTTGCAATTTGGCTTAAATCAAGTGAGCTCATGTATTCTTTGATACCTGGAAACTGAGACACACCTGGGCAGTAGCATCTTTCTAACTAAGCAGCATTAATCATAGAAGAAAGTCAATAGGCAAAAAATGCGCAGATATAATATATTGCACACCTGTTCAACCTTACGGAAACTCACCCCCATAAAATATACATAATCCAACGCTGAACCCTGAACCATGTTGCATCTTGAGGGATACATATTTTTTTTTGCATAAAGCCTAACACAATTTAGAGGAGTCGAAGGATTACAACATCGAGGCGCTCATGTAGCAGCCCAAGTGATGAGAACCAATACAAAGAAATAGACGCAGTAAGACAAGCAGTATCCGGCTGAAAAGGCTAAAGTGTTTTATTCATCGAGTTATCTGCCCTATCCAGGGAATGTACATATGTAGAGGAGACCCTCCTTATTAAAGGAACCAAAAAAAAATATGAGACCACAGGGCTCCCGATGCCTCGTGAAAATGGAAAAATGCCAACCAGACCGACGCCGGCAAATGCAACGAGCTTTTGGACTAACGCGTGAATCCCACCACAGCAGAAGAATGAAAGTGAAAGGCAAAGACTTTTCTTTCAGGGTCATGGGATGTTGACGGGATAGGAACACCAAATATGCGCCTCGAAGATTAGGAGACATGAGACGGTATGATGGAGGCGAGATTATACACAAAATATGAATGGAGATGATGATGAGCGCCAGGGACCTGAGCCTCAACGATAGGAACCTATTATTTGAAGTATTAGTCAAGGGGCCATTGGAGAAATTTTGCACAGAAAGCTTGCTTACCAGGGTACTGATTCTGGCTCGCGCCCCCTCGCACATTCGCTGGTAGGGGAATCTGGGCGGTAGAAGCTGGAATATCAACTCTGCGGAGAAGATCAACCATTTTTTCTGGCGAAAGACGGGATATGTTGTAAGCAGAGGAAGGAGGTATGATGCTGAGAAGATGGACCACATCGCGGGGCAAGGGAGCAGGAGATCCTTGCGGCTTGTATGATGAATTGAGTTGTCCGTTCAGTGGTGTGGAACGCTTCTGCTGGTCAACGCGTCGACCCTGGACGGCCTTCAGCGGGGACTCAGCACGAACAAACTTGCGGGGACGATCAGAATCATAGTCATCGTCGGCGGGGTAAGGCCGTTTGGGGGAGCTGAAAGAAGCATCTTGTGGGTCGATGCGAGTCTCCGGCATGATGCCGGTTGCCATTGTCTTTGGCCTGGTCTGAGTAGGAGACAGAATGGGCTGGAAAGACAAGGGATTAAACGAAGGTGTAGAAAATCGGTGTGTGAATTGATCCAGCGTGGGATCTTCAGGGTAGAGTTCTCGCATACGAGTTTCCAGGTTGATCACCTGAACCAAGTCACCGTAGCGGGACTCATACTCGTGGAGAAAAGAGAAGATCGGCTTAGCTTTGTGCACACTGTCGGGGTTGGCAGCAAATCTCCGAACAGTTGTTTCAAAGACGGCCCTTGCGTCTATTAAAGTTGGTTAGTGCCGTTTTCAGAACTAGGGGATATTTTCAACTTACTGATGATATCGTTGATGTCAATGAGATGCTTAAGGTATTCCAGGGCAAAGTTTTCATCCTCAGGGAACAACTTGGCACCTCTCTCAAAGATCTTGGTTGCTGCAGGGTCTTTGTAGCAGTGGTATTCCATAAGTGCACTAGCAATGTATACATCGCTAGTGATACGACCTCTCTTGCGAGCCTCTGCAAAGATCTGGCGAGAGCCTGCCAATTCTCCTGGTTTGCCTTTGCCCTGAATGCGACGCATGGCACGCATCAGTGCAATCCATGCAAAGGAGACGCTCTTTGAGAGAATGTTGATTTGAACACCATGGGCTTTCCGAACAGCATCAATTTGTGCTTTCTTGGCTGCCTCCTGCTCCTTTGCCTCAGTTGAAACATCATCGTCGTCGTCATTGGGCACAGTCTGCCCTTCAGGGATTTGCTTCGCAAATGCCTCTTCGATACGTAAAATGTCTTGAGATTCCCGAGCTTTGGCCTTGGTGATCAATTCATAGAGGGAATCAAGCAAGGGGTCGTAAGGCTCCCTGACCTTGGCTGCCCGCTTGACAGAATCCTGCTCCGAGTCGGACGTAAATTCCAACCGATCCGCTCGCTTAAAAGACAACAAGCAGCTCTCTGGATTGGCTTCGATACCTTGCTTGAGGAACTCGTTGCCCTCGTTCTCCATATCGTTCAGAAAGCAGAATTCGGAAGCGTCAAACCAGATCTCGGGCAAAAATCGGAGAGTCATCAAGGCCTGCTTGTAGACATACACGACGCGAGCTTTGAACGCAGCAGGGTCATCCTCTTTCAAAACCAACGGATCCTCTTTCTCCCAAGCGATCCAGCGCTTCCAGATTTCGACTTGCTGAGCATACTCAACGTCACCCTCGGATCCAGCGACAGGGGGCAACCGGGCCAGGGACGTTCGAACTAGGTCCCGGGTGATATTCTGCAGCTCAGTATAAGAGCTTCGCGCTGTCATGTACGATGGCGAGTGCTCTTGCAAGAACTTGCGGCCCTGGGAATGAAAGTCAGATCAAAGTGTAAATACGCGACGTAGCTAAACTCACAGTTAGCTTGTTGAGGCCCATCTCAAACTGATCGTATTCCTTCCACAAAGCATTGACAGCCTGGGTCGGAACACAAATTGCCCTTTGGTATGCTTTGCGCAACAAGTCCATCTTCTGCTGATCCTGCCACCCGGTGCCTCCAACGGTTCCTGGACCGGAACGAATGAACTCAACGTAGTCGGTCCAAATGTTCCCACCGTCCTTGTCCATTCCGACATACTGAAGAGCCAGATCGTACGCCGACGAGATGACTCGTCTCGCTTGTCCGGTGGTATCAGTGGTCAATGGGTTGCGGCGACGAACATAGTCCAGATAAACCGACCAAAGGTTCACACTCGGAATTGTAAGAAGGGTTCTATTGAATATCTGCTCTAGGCGGAAAAGTTCATTGAGTTCGGATTCCATTGTCGCATAAGCTACCCATTGATCGGCCTATGCTCCATCGATTAGTACCCTTGATTATTTGGGTGAAATTAGTAGAGATAAAGCTTACCGCCATGGGAAACACCTTCAAGAACTGCTCGTAGACCTCGCGTGCACTGTCGAGTCTGTTACGGCTTCTGTGCTCAGCAATTAACTCCAGCCATGCAGAAAGATCACCTCGGGGATCCTCATCAACCCGATCTTGCAAGATGCCCACCCGGTCATGGGGCAACCGAGATCTGCCAGCTGCAGATTCGTCAGGTACAGGAGTAGGAACAGTACTGCTTTGGTGGCTCGCATCAATCGCGGCCCCAGTCCAAGAAGCTTGGCCAGAAGCCGAGGGATCGATATTAGGAACAGGAACATGAGAATAAGAACTATTGACAAGATCTGGCTTTGCGCCCGCGCCCTCTTGGTGCGAGGATACATCTTGGGAAGTGTTTTGATTTGCATTTCCTGAGCTTGGATCTTCAGACATAGTCACAGGCATGGCATTTGTGTCATCCACCCCAAGTGCCGCTGGCGGCTCATAGTCCGCCTCTTCTTTGTCATCCTCATCCTCATCATCCTCAACCACAAATCCCCCAATCGTTCTGGTCTGAGGTTGTGCCGTCGCACCTGCGGGAGGCAATGGCGTGGACGACTGAGACTCAGCACGCGAGGGGTTCTGGGAAGAATTCGGAGAGTCACCAGCAGCGCCAGTGTCCGTGTTTTCAGTGGCAGTCGGGTTGGGAGCAGCGACATCATTTTCATCCTCCTGGGGGTATTCTGCAATTGCCTCGTATTGGTTGTCCAGGGTTTTCGAGGGGTCATATTCTTCTTCGTCGTCATTATCGGCAGGTTGATCTTCTGTTGAAGCCGCATTGTCAGATTCGGCTTCCATAGCTTGGGCCTGAAAGAAGGCTTGCTCAGCCTCGTTGTCTGCCATTGTCAAAGCGAAATCTGTGATGCGTTCAGTGAAAGGTGGTGAAGATCTGGGTTAGGAATGGGACGGGTTGAACACGAATGCGGGCACCGTGGTGAGCGAACGGTGAAGAAGGGGAAAGGTGAAGGGAGGAAAAGGTTCGCCGCTAGGATCTGGAGCTGACTCGCTGTCCCACCATCTAGATTCACCAAGTATCAAATACAAGGCAGCAACTGGACTTCACAGTGAAGGTGGTTCACAGCCAATGCCGACTAGCACAAGCACGAGCAAGTTGAGTCTGCAGCTATGTCACGTGGGCGGTGAGCGCGCAAGGGACGCGAGGTGCGCGTTATGGTGGATTTCGCGGGACGCTCTCCTCGCATCATGCTTTGGACTCGATCACTGCATTCCTTGCGGTGAAAAGAAATTTAGTGAAGTGGTTTTGTTTTCTCTTGAAATTGTTTTGTTGTTCCCCCAGATTTTCCCACCGCCCTATAAAGTTGACCACACCTCCTTTTCATTCGTCCTACTATCCCACCTTCTTACACTTCCCAACCCGTACATAATCTCTCGCAATGTCGGTCGTCTCACTCTTGGGGGTTAAAATCCTGAACAACCCCGCCACTTTCACCGCGTCTTATCAATTTGAAATTACTTTTGAATGTCTTGAACAGCTCCAAAAGGGTATCGTGGCGATTCTGTCTTCGAACAAAAAATAATGGAACAGCAAACAGTACTAACAATCAATCCCTAGATCTCGAGTGGAAGTTGACCTACGTCGGCTCCGCCACTTCGTATGTTCCTAACCAACCCAATTTATTAATGGGTTCAATGGACTGAACTAACATCAATTTCAGTTCTGAATATGACCAGGAACTCGACTCTCTTCTCGTCGGTCCCATTCCCGTTGGAGTGAACAAGTTCATCTTCGAGGCCGATGCCCCCGACCTGAAGCGTATCCCTCCCTCCGAGATCTTGGGTGTGACCGTCATTCTTCTCACTTGCAGCTACGATGGCCGCGAGTTTGTTCGTGTCGGATACTACGTCAACAACGAGTACGACTCGGAAGAGCTGATCGCCGATCCCCCTGCTAAGCCTGTTATTGACCGCATTCGCCGGAATGTTCTTGCCGAGAAGCCTCGTGTGACTCGCTTCGCTATCAAGTGGTATGTTGACAAACCATTGCCTATGCACCTATACTAATTGTCTCGTTTCTAGGGATTCGGAGGAATCTGCTCCCGCAGAGTACCCACCTGATCAGCCCGAGGCTGACAACCTTGACGATGACAGCAATGCCTACGGTCATGAAGAGGCCGAGCTTGAGGCTGCTCTTGTCAAGGAGCTCGAAGAGTCCAACAAGCCCGCCGAGGGCGACGACCACGAGATGGAGGGCGCCGAAGCAACTGCGGGCAAGGAGGACGATGATGAGGATGATCTGTCCGATGCTGGCAGTGAGGATCTTGAGGAGGAGAGTGATGATGATGATGATGACCTTGATGAGGAGGAGGGGGTGATGCCGACGAGGATGTGGAAATGGGTGATGATTCCGAGTCTAAGCCTGCCCAACCCTCCCATCCTGAGGTCATGGTTCAATAAACAATGGGTTTGGATCCCATTAGCCGGGTAACGAATGTCTCACTTCCTCATGTCACACCTTTCTATGCCTTTCAAATCTCTATGCACTTGATGACAAACAATATGCTACTTTTATGACACCTAGCCCATACCTGAACAATACCCCTTTTCAACACTACATAGCGTTGATCGGGATCTCCAAATAGAACCCCCTTGTGGAAACAATTCCGTGTAGATCCTCGAATTTTCTGGCGTTATGCTACTGTAAGATCAAAGCAGCAGTGGGTATCTCATGTAGGTATGTAGGAGCCATTCGGTTGTTTGTATACTGTAGACATGATGTAACGCATCCCGCATGGTTTGAGCTTATGAAGGAGGCCGGCTAAAGGAATTTGCCTCTATGGTGACGATCAATGTCTCAGAATGTTAGGACCAATCCCGACCTTTGCCAAAGTACCTACCTACTGCCACTGTTAAATAGCTAGGCATAGTAATGTGAAAAGGTAAGCTAGAGCGGAGTAGATAGTATAAAACTGCAGCTCAGATATAAACACCATATGGTTACACAGCATATACTCTAACTTTGCGTATACAGCCCCTACTAAAATGTCACGCGACATCTAAGTCCAAACACTTGGAAAACTGAAAGCTCCAATTTGGGTAATTAGGTCTAGGCCGTCTTTATGCAGAAAAAAAAGTCTCGCTAAAATGAAAACCTAGAGCCCGAATTTCGACCCAAGTACTGCAAAAAGATGGTCAGTGCGTGACTAAAGAATGCAAGGGGGGTGGAGAGGGGCCAAGAAAGGGCAAATGACGGCAAGTATTTCGATAGGACAATCTAAGAAGCGGAAAATAGGATGAAGTTTACTTACCGCCAAAGATAGCTTTTTTCTTTTGGTTTTGCACATACTTGCCCACATCTGTGGCGAAGTTACTGCTGTTCTCCTCCAGGCGATCCATTGTGTCGCCTACCATTCCAAGGCGCTCTGTGCGCTCCTGAACTTGGCGAGACATATATGACCCCCAGCCTTCCTGGTTACCTTGTTGAGGTGGGGCTGCGCGGCCTTCTCGGAGGGCTTTGCGCTGTTCTTCCTCGGTAAGCCTCATCTGTTCGAGCATTCGCTTTGAAGGGGGACGGTCTGGGCCTCCGACTATAATAATTGTTAGATGTCATGCTGCGATATAGGTATTTAGCTGGTGGGGGCAACGTACTCAGAATATCCATATCGGTGGGTGACACATATTGGGTACCGGAGATCCACTGAATATTGGTTATTGTAGGGCGTGGAGGAATGACTTTCTCTGAGTCGTAAAGACGATCTTGCGAGGGACTCCTATATCGATGTTAGCATGTTGCATTTGTGACGTTGTGGTAAAATCGTACAATGTAGTTCCTTTGCCCCATACGTTAAATAGGCTGACTTGCGAAGGTCCCACCCATGCCATCACACTGCCAGTAGAGGTAATGCATGCTTCCGAAAGGCGACGCATGTCAGCGAGATGGCTGATATTCTTGGATCCAATGTCTTTGAGGGCTGGGATAGAAAATGCACGGACATTTCCATCGCCGAAGAGCCCAACTAAGCTGTAGCCTCGGCCCTCAGTCTTGACCACTTGGGCTGAATCACAGAGGTAATCATCCCATGTTTTGTGTGCGCCCTTAGCGGTTGGTGGCTTGAAGATCCGGCATCCGGACACTGTAACAGCAATGACAACACCGTTAATCCTCACACCATTTCTCAAACCACCAACTGTATTCGGTGTGGCAAGGGCTTGGCCACCAGACTCCGCATCAATGGGGATTATTTTAATGACCTTGTCCTCAACGTTGGTAACTCCGACATAGCCTGCGGAGTATGTTCCATTGGCACCCGGAAGAATCTTGAAGGTGGCTAAGTTCCCCCTGTTTGTGCCGACAAAGCAGCAAATACTCGAATAATCTGCAATCAACCCTATTAGCTTTATCATAAGCATGAGTTTTTAGTAATGGCTACCTTCGCTTTCCAATGTCATTACGCCAAACTCGATGTGAGTAGGCCACTCAGCTGGCATGCTATCCGAACGACTTGGCTTCCGGAAACTGCTGCGCTTCGGTGCCTTCAAGAAATCGGAGATTTGTGCAATATGAATGATGGCAGGGCCTCGCAAATCTAGAATTACCAGGCCTCCACCCTCGTAGCCAGCAGCGACGAAGCCGACTGGGCTGTGTTTCAACGCTGTCACGGGCCCCTGCTGCATATCCAGGAGGGTGAGAGGCAGCATGCCCGTCTTCAACCCAGGGTCAGTCCGGTTAGTGATGGGTGTCAAGCGTCCAGGGCCCTGATTGGCACCAGGGGCCTCTTCTTGGCCATACGAGGCATTGTTGCCCCATCTGAAAATAACAAGTTCGCCGCTTGCCAGCCCAACAGACAATTCGCCTGTCCCGCTTGCCGCAAGTGACATTTCGGTCACTTCGATATTGCGAACCCGGCCCACTGCCCGAGCCAAGTCTACTTGAATCGTTTCGGAATTTTCAATCTCATCGTCATGGCCGCCATCCCAGATGCGAATGGTACCATCTGCGTGAGAAGTAGAAATTATGTTTCGGCCCTCGTAGCGTTTGAGAGGGTTCCTCGCCTCGGCACCGCCGAAGACGAACTTAGGGCCTTGAGCCCGGCGCTCTCTTAGCCCTAGCCAGGTATCACGAGAAACAGGTGTGAGTGTGACCTTGTTGACGAATGGATGAACGAATGTCAGATAAGGATGGAGCATGTTAGTTGGCGTAATTGCATGGCCATTTGGGAAACTCATGGTAAGTAATTCGCCCGAGGAGAGGACAGCAAGGATAGCGATTGGGTCGTGGGCCCCAGCGAAGTATGGCGAAGATCGAGGAATCAAACAATAGGTCGTGGCCATCGCACCGGGTGGGATTGGGAGACTGATGTGTTTCCTCGTCCTCTCAAAATAAGCGGAAATAACCTGCCAAGAGGATGTCTGATAATTAGGGGTCGGTCCCATATCCAAGAACGTGAGGCCCTTGTTCACATCCTGGGCAGACTTTCCGCCTGCAACCAAAAGACCTGTATCATCTGGATTTTCTTTAGCGCACCACGATACTTTCGTGATAGGCTCCTTAGGCCCCGTTGCTTGCTCCGGGTCTGGCCGGCCCCCGCCTGGTTGATCAACATTGGTAGCTTGGAGTGTTCGAGCATGGAGCTTGCGGCCGTCCTTCGAATCCCAAAGGACAAGACTAGTGTCCTCGTGGACAGTCAGAACAAAAATCCCATTCGGATGCCAGATCGCATCAATCAGTCGGGGCCTGCGCACGCCGCTGGAAGGCCTACCAGGGTCGCCACCTGGCGCGCCGACAGGGACCTCATAGATAAAGTACTTTTGCGCAATGTTTTGCTTGAAGGTGAATGTCACTGCACCTTCCGGGTATCCCACTAGGATCTTTCCAATGTCTCTAGTAGAGAATGCGAGCGACACCACAGGGCAGAGGCGGGACCTTGGGTTCTGTGCCAGCCAGAGGTTCGGGATCTTGAAAGCAGTCAAGGACTCTCGGTCTAGATCGTACGCGATCACGTCACCTAGATGAGAGTTAGTACCGATGGTTCTGACTTCACATTATTTTGTCAATCCACCAACCATTCGATAGACCGATGAAGGCGTAATCAAGGCTTGGGTCCGTCGCAAGGCATGTGGCTTGACCCGGAGGCGCATACGAGGTCACCAGACGCCGAGTATCCAAGGAGTATATGCTGATCTCATTCTTTGAGTCGATACTGACAAGCTTGTCGGCACAGAACTGAAGAAACTTCGCTGAAGCTTTGCGGGGAAACTCAAAGACCACCAACACTCGCCCCTGTCCAAACACATAGATCTGGCCACTTCCGAACTGGGTATCACTGGTGCCGACGGCGAGAAGGGACTGTACTGGTTCATACGCTATCACACTAATCTGCGAGTTCACACCGCATCGTTCGAACTGGAATCGCAATACGTTAGCCCGTTGTCAAAGAAAAAAAAGTTGCCTGGGATGCCAAGACGAGGGAGACGAACGTCGTCGAGCGCAAAGAGCTCTGGGGACAAGCCCTCAGACAGGTCCTTTTGAATACCAGCCTGCTTGCCTCGCAGAAACTGAGCCATTTCGTGCAAGCCGGGGTTGTGGCCTCTTTGCAGGAGGAAAATGAAGCAAGTGGAGCTTGGGGAATGTTCGCAGCTGACGACATGGCGGAGAGGCTAACGGATTGCCCCGCTTTCCGGGCGCCGCAGGGCAGAGCGGCTAACTGTTTGCGATCACAATCTATGAACCTTCATCTATGAGCTATGGAATTGGGGTCAATTGTATTTGTTTATCATTAAACACTTCGAATGATCAACAGACTATAAGCTCTTCCAAAAGAAGCCTTCGCCATTGTCTACTTTCTGTTGATGCCGGAAAACACCAAATCACATGCCGAAGTATAACGGTTCCACACCGAAATTCCATTATGCATTGATTTGAAAAAGGGGCTTATACCTTGCAGAAATCAACGCCTGGTCACGGAACCGAATAGGCTAAGCTAAAATACCGCATATTTCAAGGTTCTTTTGTATAAGGCCACATTCATGGCTTTCATTCGTAGTGATATGTTCCTGTCCTTTTTGCAACTCAATAGACAAAGCTGTGGACTTGGCCTCTCAGAAGTCCAAAATCGATTTATAAGGATCTTGAATACATTAGACTGTCGACTCTTTCTCCTTCGCGGGGGTATCAACCCCCTTCGGTGAGGGGTCGTAGATCTCAGCAACGTTAAACCGCTTCAACTGGTCATAATCGCTTCCCACGACACTCATTCCGATCACGTTCTACAGAAAAATATCAGTAATTGCTGATGCAAGCATTAATAAAGGAATTTACCTGAACAACATCGACCAGAATCATGAGATCATAGTTCTTCAGGTTGACTGGATGTTCGGGACCAACAACATCGGCGACAGTCTTGATGATGACATCTCGGTTAAGCTTGTTATTGCCCCGACATGTGGGCCTGATAGCATACTATTTTCAGGATCGTTTCAATTAGTATCAGGAACCAGATGGGCAAGATCATGGCTGTCCGTGGGCGAGTGCGGATTGGAATTTACCTTCTTTGGAGGGCCTCCTGAATGGAAGTGCGGCTTAAGAACCTCCTTCGCGAAAGCTTCAAGATCCACACTAAGGGTCTTTTTCATCATCGAAATAGGAGTTAAACGCTTAATGTATCGGCTCTTCTTGATGTCCTTGTTGGCTTGCGCCTCGAGACACAGCTCATGGACAATTTTCACAGGATCAACCGACTTGTCATTGAATCGTGCAAAGACCACTGCTCAATGATTAGCTTGACATGGGGTTTTAATGACATGAATTAACATACCACAGGGTATATCTAGCTGCATGGCTTGAACTGGGCGTGTCTTCTTCTGACTTGCCTGCATGCTCTCGAGTTCTCTCCGAATTTGCTCTTCAATGTCCGCATCATCATCATCATCATCCGAGTCTTCATCATCTGACTCGGCATCGTCCTCAAGGATCTAGGGGGAATCAGTTAGGAAACCGTCACACAGTAAATATGAAGCCATATATGCTGCTGATTTGCTGACCTGTGAGAGGATATCTGTGATCTCAGCGACACATTTACTTTCCCTGCCAATGTCGCAAGTCACAAAGATTCCTACATCTCCAGCTTCGATATCAGTGCTCTTACGCTGGGACTGAGTCCATTGTCCCTGCTGGCATGGTTAGTGTCCATTTCAGCGCATTTGAATCGACGAGCCACACCTTTCTGCGCTTGGAGGACTGATTTGAATTATTTGGCATGGTTCTTTTGCCTGGTCCGGCCATCGATTCTCTGTTGATAGGAATTTCCGTTCCAAAAGTAGTTTAAGTCGGCTATCGCGGGGCGGAATTTGTGTGGATGAATTAGGTTTAGCGGGTGCAAATCGTCTGTGGATCAGCAGGTCAACCCAAGCTTCAAGCTTCATGGTTGTAGTACGAACGTGAGAAAGTACATGGTTTTGTATCTACGGAATTGTTTTAAAGTCCTTTAGAATAACCCAATTGAATAGGAATCTACGTTAGCTCGTGGTACCTGTCAGTGTGATACAATTGTACCGGATGGCATGACATCAACGGTCCAATCATGACGTAGTTAGCCAGTCTCATGTTAGCTCTCGAGCTGATCCGGTAAGAAAACGTCCCGGATTGCCTTGTTTTACAAGTGGGAAGATCCGGACTGGCCCGTGAGATCTTTGTTTAAAAAGGTCTTGTGTTCTGTCAACCTTCTGGTTTCCCCTCACTTAACTCAATCCACCAGCACACCATGTCATCCACCGACATTGCTACGCGAGAGCTCAAGAATCCCGTGGACGTCGCAGAGTATTTATTCCGACGTCTACATGAGGTTGGAATTCGTGCTGTTCACGGAGTGCCAGGCGACTACAATCTTTCTGCTCTGGATTATCTGCCCAAGTGCGGTCTTGACTGGGTAGGGAACTGCAATGAGCTGAATGCCGGTATGGTTTGAAAGTATTAAATGATTAAAACTGTAAATGCTGATATGATTTCTGTACATAGGCTACGCTGCTGATGGTTATGCGCGCGTCAAAGGAATCAGTGCTTTGATCACCACATTCGGTGTTGGCGAGCTGTCTGCTCTTAACGCCATCGCAGGCGCCTACTCGGAATTTGTTCCGGTTGTCCACATCGTCGGCCAGCCAACCACACAGTCCCAGAAGGATGGAATGCTGCTTCATCATACCCTTGGCAATGGAGATTTTGATGTCTTCGCCAAAATGAGCGCCGGGATTTCTTGTTACGTTGCCAAGCTGAATGATTCCCACGATGCTGCGACCCAGATTGATAGTGCGATCCGCGAGTGCTGGATTCGCAGCCGTCCCGTCTATGTGACCCTTCCTACCAATATGATCTATGCGAAAGTCGACGGAGATCGCTTGAAGACCCCAATTGACCTGTCATCGCCCAAGAACGATCCGGAGAAGGAGGACTATGTGGTTGACGTCGTTTTGAAGTATCTCCACGCCGCCAAGAACCCTGTTATCTTGATTGACGCTTGTGCTATTCGACACCGCGCATTGGACGAGGTTCATGATCTAGTCGAAGCTTCTGGCCTGCCTACATTTGTCACCCCAATGGGCAAGGGCGCAGTGAACGAGGGCCACAAGAACTTTGGCGGAGTTTATGCAGGAAACGGATCTAACGCAGGAGTAAGAGAGGTGGTTGAGTCCTCGGACCTTATTCTCAGCATCGGAGCCATCAAATCCGATTTCAACACGGCTGGATTCACCTACCGGATTGGACAGCTGAAGACTATTGACTTCCACAGCAACTATGTGCGAGTGCGGTATTCAGAGTACCCCGATATCAACATGAAGGGTGTCCTTCGCAAGGTTGTTCAACAAATGAAGAAGCTCAATGTATCTGCGATTCCTCCGATCAACAACACTCTTCCACAAAGTGAGAAGACCTCCACTGACCAGACCATAACCCACGCGTGGCTCTGGCCGACTGTTGGCCAATGGTTAAAGGAGAATGATGTGGTCCTCACGGAGACAGGCACTGCCAATTTTGGTATCTGGGAAACCCGCTTCCCTGCAAATGTGACTGCGATCAGCCAGGTCCTTTGGGGCAGCATCGGGTATGCCCTAGGGTCATGCCAGGGTGCGGCTTTGGCTGCCAGAGAGTTACAGAATCGTCGTACCATTCTCTTTATCGGTGATGGCAGCTTGCAATTGACCGTTCAGGAGCTAAGCACTATTCTGCGCAACAAACTAACCCCTATTATGTAAGTCTTTCTTGCCACACCATTTCCATGCTTGAGAAATAGTCAAACTAACTGGGCTGTTATTACTAGCTTCGTCATCTGTAATGAAGGCTACACCATTGAGCGATACATTCACGGATGGGATGCGACCTACAATGACATTCAGACCTGGGATCATGTTAACATTCCCAAGGTCTTCGGTGGCGGCGATGGCTACAAAGGATACCGCATCAAGACCAGAGATGAGCTCCACAAGTTGTTCGCTGAGCCCAGCTTCAATGATTCCGACAGCCTTCGCGTAAGTTGAGACACGAATCGATAATTGAATTTGGCTAATGCAACGTGCAGCTGGTTGAGCTTTATATGCCTCGCGACGACGCTCCTGCTACATTGAAGTTGACTGCCGACGCGGCGGCCGCGCGTAACAAATAGGCGATTTGCATAACATGTCTCTAGAGTCGCCGACGATGTTTCGAATAAGGGCTACGGATCTGCAACCCCGCACCCAGTGTAGCGCAGTGGTTGGGATCATAATTTCGTCGTCCTTTTCTGTCTTCACCAGATACAAAATCCCCTAATTGATAGCGAGTCGAGTATAATGAATCTCTCCTCATGCATGATGAAAGGAACTCTACATTATTTTCCCAACGATGTTTCATGTAGCGGTGAATTACCGGTCTAGCTTAGGCGCTAGAGCCGTTCCTTGACCGACCCATTGACCGACCCAAGGATGTTGTGCGCCATAAATACAACTGTGAGTTTCTTTACGGGGCTTTCTGAGAAATTGGAAGATCAACTGGCTCAGGCCACTCATGAAGTTTCTCCATAGTACAGAGCTATGTAGATATTGTGGGGGCTAGGAAACCAAGTCACAGAGTGATATAGATCTCGATAATATTCATGACCAAACAAGCGATGAAATAAGCGTAAGCATGTCATATCTCTTGATGAGAACGAAAGAGACAATCGAGGTTCAAGAGAAAACGGGCAAAGGCCATAACTAAAGTAATAAAAGCGCGCATCCCATTCTTTCAGAAAAAGGTAAGACAAAATTGATGTCCAACTAATGGGCTGAATATCTGCCCTGGCGGTGGGGATCTGCGTTTATATGATTGGGAACACTCATCAATAGAGCCTAGCAGCTAAAAGCTCATCTGGGCATGGGTCAATATACTGCCTATCAGAAGGGCTGGCACAGATTAAGAAACTAGAAAGCAGGTGCTGAGACGTCGGCGGAGCTATGAATAACTTTAGCATGATATGTGCGATGTAGCGTGTTAAGGGTTTAGAAAAATTAATTTTTTAATAGCAAATAGTATACATCGAATTTTGATGACAATCTTTTATACAGCTGAATAAATGGCAGAGACATGTCGGCCACACTCAACCCGCTGCTCCATACTCTTAGTACGCTTACCAACGGGGCCTTTGTGTCGGGGCATAATCTGTAGTCGAGCTTCAGGCTCTGGTTTCTTCGACTCTGGAGGTGCCTTGATATGGGTCGGGCGAGATTGATTGCTTCGCTTTCCAGTTCCAAGTTGGAAATGCTCATTGCCTCCCCACCAGAAGACCTCATAGCCGAAGTCCTTCGACTTGTCCAGAGAGTCGATGTTATTGCCACTGATGGTTGTCTTGTTATCCAATACCGCAGCGGCATGGTTTGTGCCGACGGACATGTGACGCAAACGAATAGGGGCTAGCTGCTTCATCTTCTCGTCGTACTCGCCCAAGCCACTCAGGTCCTTCACTTTGGTGGGTGAGTCTTGAATGTGAATCCATTTCCCGGCCCCTAAGGTGCCCCAGATACCTCTACCACAAGACCAGGTTTCAGCAGTGACGGTGCCTAGGTCCCGAACCTTGGTGGGGTCTTCTTCGCTACCTAGAATCCGCTTAGAATCGACGGTGTAGAAAGTGGTGGCTCCACCGGCGGCAACACTCGTGATGGTCGGGGAATATAATGCCTTTCGGTAATACTTTTCCGCGGGAAGCGTAAAAGGTGTGTCCTTGAAAGGTGCTGAGGGCTCGTATTCCACGCCCAACTGCCCAAATGAGTTGTCTCCCCAGGCAAAGAGGCGGCCTTCCTTGGTCAACGCCAGAGAGTGGTAGTCACCAGAGGCGATCTGAGTGACCTTAGAGCCTTTCAACGTTGTAACTTCGTGGCATTGGTCTGCCGGTCCACTGGGCCTAGTGGTCCAGGTCAAGCCAGGCACACCAAGTTGACCGAGGCTTGGATACTTCTCGGTTGACGATGCCGCTGTGAAGACACGACCAGAGCTAGTGAGAATAACAACATGTTCTTGGCCACCACTGATTGCGGTGACCTTTTCACCAAGCTTCAAGGCTGGCTTCAAAATGCGGTAGCTCAAAGCAGACTTTCCTCCCCAAAGCGGCACCCAAGAGCTCTCCCGAGTTTTCGGGCCACTTGTTTGTTCCGACTTAGAGATAGGAACAGAGTAAATGTTTCCATCAGAGGATAAAGCAATGAGTCGACTCTCGGACAATGCAAGGGAGATCAGGTTTTTGCCTGTCAGGGTCTTGCTGGGCTTATACTCAGTCTCAGAAAAGCCCTTGCCCCACTGCACGAGATCACCGTCCTCAGTAATTGCAGCGCCAGACTTCTCATCAACTTTGAAATCCCGAAGCACCTGACCGTTGAAATACTTGAATCGTCGGGGAGATTTGATGTCGGTGTCTTTCGATCCTGGGTCCACTACTTTATATTCATTCGATCCCCATGTATAGACCCCAGGGCTTTTCAGACTTCTCTTCTCTTGAATAAAGTCCGCGCGCAGATCGTTAATATCAACGACTTCATTCTTGGGTAGCTGGCTGTCGATCCATGTGTCTTTCCAATTGCTTGTCAGGTATGAATATCCAAGGAAGCCTGCTGTACCTGCGACCGCAACCCCAAGCGAAGTAGTAACCCAGTTGGAGGGTGATTGCTTCGCTTTACCACTAGCCAGTCGTCGCCAAGGAGCATTCAGAGACCGGCCTGTCACAAGAGTCGGGCGGAGGTGGCGGGTAAATTGCACCGCGGGCTGTCGTACTCGATTTGCCAGCATGATAAATGTCGAATATGGCCAGCTAAAACATATCCATGGGTTTCGCTTGGGGGATTCAGGATGACCGAATAGATGAAAGGAAAGCTAGAATCACAAAATGCGGCCGGGGAAGCTACATGTAGTTTGCGTCAGATCGGGCGGACTCACCCGGCAGAACTTCCCCGATGCAATACACTTACGCATCTCCTACTCTGTTATTCGCAATATCCGTCACTGGCTCTGTGCTTCAACTGTGGCTTTCACAAGAGTGATGAGGAGGTGAAGCCCCAAATATAACTTTCTGCGCCCTGACCGCAACCATGCCATCCACGAAGCAGCAACGTGCCCGCCGTCAGACCGCGCCATCGGGCCCGCCGCGGAAGCCAACTGCCAGCGAAACACAACCGCGCCTCGAGTCAACACAAGAACAACCTTCCAATATTCTCCAATGGAGCATCCCGAACTGGAATAATGAATTGGAATTCTCCCAGTGGCTCAATGGTGTTAGGGATGACCTAGTTGAAGAGAGTTATGACCAATACCAGTAAGTATGGATGAACGTGGGGTGAACATTCTCGAGACTAATCTGGACCTTTTGTCGCAACCAGGAATTGCCTCGATGACCTCCAACAATCGAAGGAGCATATTGATGAAATATTGATGAACACTTTGACTCTCCTTGACGATCTATCTAGCCTATCCGAATCCTTCAGATCTGTCGAATCGCAGACATCGAACTTCGAGAAGCAATGTGAGGGTCTTCTGTCAGCACAGGAGCGCGATACAAAGCTCGCAAATGGCATTCAAAACAATCTTCATTACTATGATTTCTTGGACCCTGCGTCCCGGCGACTCAATGCTCCAGGCGCTGGAAATACAGTTCGCGACAGGGAGTTCTCGGACATGCTCAGGCGCCTTGACGTGTGCTTGGACTACATGGAAACCCATGTAAGTAGCATGGATTTTGCTTCTTGTAAGGTAGGTACTTCTGCTAACATTTGTTTTAGCCTGAGCAAAAAGAAGCAGAGGTATACCGCTCCAGATACCGGCTTCTCCTCACCCGCGCCCTTACCCTTATCCGCGGCAATTTCGTGACTGCTCTCAAAGATATCTACCAAAATGTCTCGAAGAAAGTTTCAGATCAGAACTTAAATGAAACAGCTCTGTCGGCACTTCTCTACGCCAAATTCAGGGTTGGAGCCCCAGAGTTGAAGCAGATTGGAGTCGAGATTCAGAAGAGAGCCGTACCACCCTTGAACCCGGAACAGAACAGCGAGGCCGAATATCAGAGTCTGATGAACGAACTACATAGCAATTATTCCGCCACTCGAGCCCGGCTTATCATCCCGCTTGTTCGCAAAAAGCTTATCGAGATCACACAGACACCCAGTTCAACGAAAGACTTAGTGTCATTTGCTCGCGCAAGTATCGGCTACATTCGCGGCGTCTGTCTAGATGAATATGATCTATGGGGTGAATGGTTCCACGGGCAAGGAGGATTATACGACTTTCTCGAGACTATCTGCGAGCCTCTCTATGACCACCTTCGCCCTCGAATCATCCATGAGGGTGACATTGTCAACCTGTGCCAACTCTGCACCTTGCTACAAACCCGGTACTTCCTAGACCCAGAAGAGGAGCCCGAACATAATGATTTAAATCAACTTGACTTCTCTACTTTGATCCAACCGGCTTTGCAAGATGTCCAATCTCGATTGGTATTCCGAGCCCAGGCTGTTCTCCGTGATGGAATTGAACGATACAAGCCTCGCCCCGAAGACATTGATTACCCTATGCACAGCCGACAGATGTCATTGACAGTAACCGACACTCAAATCTCAGGCAAAAAGGACACGACGGCAGCCACATTGATCGACATGACGAAACCTGATGGCGACGAGACACAAGACAAGGACGGAAAATGGGACTTTGAAACTCAGACAGCGCTCAAAGGGTGGTATCCTACCTTGCGCAAGGCAATTTGGCTTCTCAGTCGTATCTACCGCCTTGTAAATGTAAGCTGCCGTTCCCCAAAACCTATACAAGGACCAATTTTTACTCACCTACTTTAGTCAACCGTCTTCGACGATCTTGCACATAACATCGTTCACCAAACAACCCTATCGCTCTACAACGCCAGCAACCTAATCTCCAATAGAGCAACCCCATCAGATGGACAGCTATTCCTAATGGGCCACCTCCTAATCCTGAAACAACAAATCGTCGCCTTCGACATCGAATACGTCGCTCCAGAAGTCTCCTTCGATTTCTCCGGCGTCACAAGTACCTTTTGGGAACTCCGCGAACGAGGCGGCCTCTTCAATCCCCGAAACCTTATGCGCCTCGTTGGCCACGGTCTTATCCCCCGCGTTGTGGAGAACATGCTCGACGCAAAGGTCGAGCTGGACGGGCGTCTTCGCACTGTCATTAATGATTTTATCAATGCCTATGCTGCGCGAATGACCGCTTCCCTTCCTGCTAAGTTCATTGATACGAGGAATCTCCAGCGTGGAGAACTCATTCATCCTACTTGCCGTACCATTGAGAAAGAAGTTCCTGCACTGAGAAAATGCTTGAATGAGTACATTGACGATACGCGGATGAAGGAGACTCTTGTTGGTGCGGTGCAGGATCGGACGATCCAGATTTATGAGGACTTTTTGGAGAAGTATGCTTCTTCAGACAAGGCGAAGGGCTTCATTAGTAAGAAGGGCAAGGGTCGGGATGATGCTGTGTGGGATGTTGAGACCTTTGCTGAGTGGTGTGAGGGTGTTTTCAGAGTTGGGGTTGCGGGTTTACAGACTGAGGAGGTAGAGGATGATGATCCTTCGAGTACAACCTCTTAGACACGTTGTTTTTCCTTTATCGGTATGTCTTTTTTCATGGCATTGCGAGCATAGATACCATATGTAGCAGTTTTCAAAGGAAGCAATTCCAGTCTCTTACTGAAACGCTTGGCCATGTGCAGTCCACGGGTTTAGTTGACATCGCATAGTCTATAAGGTCCATAGATAGCATTGCACATATATGTGATTAGGTACTTTATAAGCGAAGTAATTTGAACTGAAATCACAGCCTCACAGCAAACCGAAAGGCACATTAGCATGAATAGTTGAGCCTATATTTACAACGAAGAGCAACGCCAAGCTCATGGACACCAAAAACCCATTCCATCGCAACCATTTCCAATTCCAAATCTCGCTCGAACGAAAGAAGAAACTTTCAAGGGGTATGTATATGACGCAGGACAAACAAACAATTATCAAAACACAGCTAAACCAAGTTTCATCCAAGAGAGAAGCACGGCGACTAGGCACTGGTTCTAGGAGGGCGGCAGAATTTTGGCATACAATTCAGTATCGAGGAAGTTGTACGTTGGATCCGATACACAGAATGGGTGCCGAGTGAGCAGGGTGCCAGCTGTGGGCCGTTCAGCGGAGTCACTGTCGTTCATTAGCATCTAAGTGTTCCAAAGGTTGAGGGGAGCATACACTGTGAAACAATCCCACATGAACGAAAGAGCCGCGAGAGACGCATTTGCGCTCACATCATCTGGAATAGGAGGAGCTTGACCAAGACTACCTAGCTTGAAGATCGCGCCGATTGCCTCTTCCTTGCTCCATGGACGACGACCTGCGAACATCTCTAGCACCACACAACCGAGGGACCAAATGTCAACCTTGGCACTGTAGCCTTGACCCTTGGACTGAATAACCTCCGGAGCCATCCAGAAGACTGAACCTTGCATAGAATTGGTGGAATCGTTGCCGTAGATGTTATCGGTTTTCTTAGAGATACCGAAATCGGAAATTTTGCATGTACCATCGAGATCCAAGAGAATATTGTCTGATTTCATGTCTCGGTGGAGAATTCCCTTGTCATGCAAATAGGCGAGACCACTGAGGGTCTGTCGAGTGAGCGATTTCACAACGCTCTCTTCGAATTTACCGTGTTTCCGTAGACAACTACCAACGGACCCACCAGAAATATACTCGAGGTAGATGGAAATGGATAATTCACCTCGTTCGCAACCAAGGTATTGAACAATGTTCGGATGCTCGAGATGCTGCATGGTATCGATCTCTTGGTCGAGAGCATTTACCATTTCCTTGATGCGGTCTCGGTCGGTTCCGGCAATCCGTGGATTGATCTCAACTTGTTTCACAGCCAAAACCTCACCATTGTCGGCATTCATGCCTAGGTAAACACGACCATAAGTACCTTTTCCAATTAGTTGACCACGGATGATACGGAAGGTAGGCTGGCGTTCTGGAACAGAGCCACTCGGCCCAGCCTCTCTGGTACCTTGCGGGATGGGATCGAGCCGGCTGATTCGACTGCCGGGTTTTGGACTGATCTGCATGATTTTGGCACCGAACATTTTCGTACTCTTGCGACGGAGCATTCCTGACTGTTGCGGACCAGAAGAGCTGACGCTTTTGGTGCGATGAGAATCATGTGCAACTTGTCGAATGGATTTGGTTCTTCCGAGGCCTTTACCGCCGCCAAATCCACCTCCTTGGTTCATCAACTTATTAGCAACGACCTTAGACCCTGCCTGCGGTCGCATGGTTGATGCATCAGTCCCGTAAGGATTGTTTGAATCCATATTCGACGATGGTATAGGAGGCGGTTGTGGCGGTTTTCCCCGAGAGTTCGGATCATCAAATTGATTGACCTTGGAGCTTGGCGAGGCCGGTTCATCCAGGTAAGGCGCGTCCAGATCGACATCTGGGAAGAAGCTATCTAGATTGTCGATGACTCCTTCCACAGGGGGTCTGCTAGCCCAGACATCTCCATTGGCAAATGAGTTTCTTCGGTTAGGAGGGTTCTCATCAACGGGCGAATGATCATGGTAGAAAGTTCCAGTGTCCTGGTTGTCAGAAGTATCTCCGCCAGAACTTTCTGCAGGGACTGGAGATGCAAAGCTGACCCTTGGCCCCTTGAGATCCGTGTTTACGGTGAGGTTGCGCTGCATGGTCTTCGTCTCCGGTTCAGGTTCAGGCTTGCTCTCGTTCTTGTGAGCCAAAGGAACCATGAAGAGACCATCATCAGACGAGTCATCATCATCAGAGTCCTCGGCTTGTGCCGCTGGCTGTGTGGTTCGCTGGAAGGAGACTTCGTTCTCCTCGAAATCGAATGCTGGACCAAACGACTTGCGGGTTGGCAGGGACGGCCGCTCGGGGAGGTCATCCTTCGCAGAAGAAGTAGCAAAAGATACAGGCGAATTTTCATTGATCTTTTCCGCGGAAAGTTTTGGACCACTTTGAGAAGAATCTGTAATGGGGTTTTTGTCAGTGTCCGGTCTAGCCATAGAATAATATTCACCAATATTACAAAAATATGGTTGGTGTGTAGGCGTACCCAATGTTGTCCTACTCGAGGCTGTTTCAGCAGAGTAAATGGTCGGTGGCCGATCATCCGAGCTGGCACTATCGCGACTGGCAGAAGAAGGCGTGGAAGAGACGTTGACCGATGGGTTGCCAGTCGCGCTGATTACCCGGCCAACGCCAGTGATGGCAGCCCCCAAGCTGTGGGTTCCAGGCGGTTTTCGAAGGGAATTGACCTTGGTGAGCGTGTTCGACTCGTTTGGAGCAACGGGCGGTCTCCGGAAGGGCACCAGTGTTTCCGACTTTTTGTCATCGGACGGCGAGACTTTCTTCGCTTCGAATGGTGAATCACGAGGCTTGTCAAAATCGATGACTTTTGCACTTCTGAATCCATTTTGATGACTACCATCGCGGGGCAGCCCCGGGGAAGGCGGGTGCCGTGAGATATGATTTTCCTCTTGCTTTCGCTCAACCTCTCGTTTGTATGCCTCATGGCGAGCAGATAGGTCGTCCTTATGAGGATCCGCTTGTGAGGAGGCACCAGGTGTGGTGGCCTTGAGTGTCGTCTGCCGGGAGCTCGTGAAAGGTGAATTGGGATTCGCGTGAGTCTGTGGTGATATCCTCGGTTCTTCACCCACGGGTTTCCGAATGATGGGGGTATGCATTGCCGTAGGAGACACAGCCTGCTTGTCGGGGGATACTGAAGATATTGAAACACCAAGACCATCCATTGGAGACGGACGGGGTTTTCTGCCTTTGACAAATAACAACCTCGGAGAACCATGTTGATCTGGTTTCTGTTTTCGAAAGCGAGACAAGGATTCGTCATTCATGTAATCATCGTGATCAGCTTGTCCAGGTTCAGTGAGAAATATTTGGGCGCTGCCCCATTCAGATATCCCTAGCTTATTACAAATGCCTGCACGAAGGGAATCTGGCGTGTCCATATCCGTAATGTCGATCAAGCGGTAATTCAAGCCGTCTACGGTCACTAGGACCCATTTTTTAACTTTAGCTGTTGTTGCTGATAATGGGCGCTCAGCTAGAGACAAGTCACTGGTGCTGAAACCAGGCACTGAATAAGGTACATAGCGAGGATCTGGGCTCGGGGGTTCGTGGTCTGATTCTTTAGGCGATGGGTAACTCGAATCGGTTCCTTTGGTTCTCTTTCTGAGCCGGTCGAAGAACCCTTTGCTGTGGTCCTTTGCGTGGCAAGAGGAAGGCTCCCCACCCCACGGCCGGCCATGGGCGTCCTGAGGTGATGGGCGAGCAGCCTCGGGGCCTTTGCGGTTCTCATAGTAACGGGCACCAATTCCAGAATTAGGGCCTCGGCCAGCGCCAGGGACCGAGTCAGTACTGTTCCCACGAGAGTGGTCGTGTCTGAAAGGCAAGTCTGAGGTGGACGATGATGCCTGTCCGCCATACGAAGGTGACGCAAACTGTGTAGCGGGACTGCCACTCTTCGGGCTGCTTTCTGGCCGAAGAGAAGAAGACCCTGCAAAGGTTGCCGCATCGTTAGATAGAGACGGGCTTTGGCGGCGATGTTCACCAAGGGCTGCCGATAGAGTACCACGTGTAAATTCTGATCGCGCAGGAGCAGTCTCACGTAGAGGGGACTCGTAGGGTGAGCCGTGCCCAGTGGGATTTGGCGTGGTGAAAGAGCGTGTTCCCTGGTTACCCTTTTGGCCGGAGGTGTTTGCGGCAGCCAGCTGCTCTGCAGTAATATCATTTGTCCCTTCAATGGCTGAACGGGGTTCTCGAGGAAAATAAGTAGTACCAGGCTCAATGACTGGTGCCTCCTGGCGCAGCGGTGTAGATACAGAAAAGTCCGTTGCTCCATCGTGGAGTTGGCGGATAAGTTTGCGAATACGCAGACCTTCGTTGCGCTCCACGCGTTCACGCTCCGAGTCCCATCCAGTGCCATTTCGGACGCACTCCTTAGCCAGCTGAGGATAGACAACCTGATGGATTTTTCCAAGATTGCCTCGCCCACCGAATTGGAGGCCCAGCTCCAAGAATTCAGCGCCTTGTAGCTCTAACGTTTTGAAAGTATCCTGCCAATCCTTGGAAAACTGGTTCCTAGCAAGCCAGAGCAGGACCTTATCGAGAGGCCATTGCGCTGCCGCCTCACTTGGCGAAAGACCACCCAATGACGCGCCACTGGTATTATGGCGATGACTTGGCGACTTTGTGAGATCTGTCACGGGGTTAACATTCTGTGGCGGCGGATTCACATGCTCATTAGGCAGTTCATGAAAATTATTGTGGATGCCAAACGGCGGGGCCATTGTTCGTCCTCCTCCTGGGGTCTGCGGATTGTATGCCCCTTCAGAATATACCGGGGCTCCCGCAGGGCGCTGCCCATAAGGCTCATAGGTAGACCGCCCGTGAAAGTGCTCATATAATGGTGGAAACCCGCCGATAGTGTCATTGCCAGGGACGTATGTTGCCGAGGTGAGGGGTGTATCTCCAGGGACAAAAGTCGCCGAAGGGTAGGATGTGTCCACGGCAGAAAAATTGGCTGGTTTATATGGGACGTGCTGAGGTTGAGGTGGCGGCGGTGGCAGAGTGTATCCGGGTGTCATGACCTGGCGAGCGTAGGCAGGTTGCTGTTGCCATGATTGAACATACCCTGTTTGCACTGGCGGTGGGCCCGGTGGAGGAGGTGGCATGCCAGGCACTCCGACAGGCTGGAGTTGCGCCGGCACCCGTGGAGGGGGTGGAGGAAGGCCTGTCGTGAAGTATTGTTGCCTTTGACCGTCCATGGCGAAGCGAGTGATTTGACGGTCCAAATTAAGGATTAACGCAATGCACAACCAATATTCTCACAGTAAGACCACGCGCGATAGAGGTCTTGAGTATAAGTCGCTATTATCATCCCGTGTGGTGGCGGGGAAAGGTAAAAATATTTTCAGTCGCGAGATCGTTGGCTTCGCATCATAAGCTTCGGCGACCCCGAAGTTGATTTTGGCGTTGAAAATGCAGACTAGGAATCGAATGACAGGAAGAAATAAAGCACCGCGATGTGTCTGATCGGAAAACAGCCAGCTGTTTCAAGCTGGACTCGATCCTGAAGTAATGTTAACGTCAACTGGCTGTCGCAAAGAAATTGGGCGAGAGGGCGATCCCCCTCCGATCGGGGACGAAGCAAGAGCAAGCGACGGGAGTTCAGATTCCAGCCACCCGTAGTGGGGAATTTCTTCCAAGATAAACAAAAGGACCTACCGAGACGAGACCGCAGGGATGCAAAGCGTTATGTGACAGGGGAACAAAGGAGTCAAATCTTCATAAACATTCGATGCCCGGGCGCTTGGGATCGTCACGTGGGCCTAGGTGGAGGTGTTGTTTCCCGTAGGGCTCATTTCTGTTGCTTCGGAGCAATATTATTGGATCGATGCAGCTTTGCTTTTCCCCTCATCTATCATTTCCGACTAAAAATAACCTAAATACAATTGGGCTCTTCGTAATTGTTGGGTCACCAGTCTTATCGGGATCTATGTTACTCTCCACGATTTGATTTTCTGGCCCCCAAAATATCTACACTTCTCTGTACTATGGAGAAACTTCACAAGTGGGCCTGAACCGGTCAACCTTCTAATTTGACGTCTCAGAGAGCCCCGTAAGGGACTGACAGCTGAAATTTGTGGCGCACAGCATCCCTGGGCCGGTCCAGGAACGGCCCTAGCGCCGGAGCTAGACCGGTAATCCTCCCTACACGAAACACCATTGGGGAAAAAAAAATCGAAGACTTCATTCCATCATAGCTGCATGAGAGAGTGATCATAATTGAATCGCTATCAATTGGGGATCTTCATAACTGGTGAAAATAGAGAGAGACGCCAAGATTATGGGACTTGTGCGGCATCCGGACCCGAAGCTTTAGCTTATTGAATTTGTATGAGCACTTGAGCTTCTTGGTGCTGGGGGAATCTGGGCCCCGGAAGTGTGACTAGGTATCGTTTGGTAGTTTAAAAACCCGAAGGTATCCGTGCCCAATCACTAGCGCGTTCTGGGCTATCTCCCGTTTAATATATCTAACGTGCTTATGTAGCGTCATTGGACTTCAACTTTGTGGAGTGCGTAGGAGGATACCAATTGGATCTTTTCGGATGAGTTTTCAAGCCAAATGATGCTGGAAATTTATTTCCGACAGATATCGACTTGACTTAGTGAACGCTGAAGTCCACGTTGAAGATATTTCGCAAATGGTCTGGGGGTTGCGATCTGGCTTGGAGGACGTTCAGAATTGATCAACATGGAACGAAATACCGAGGAGAATGTTCGAGGAGGTTATACCGCAAATCCGTAAATGGATGCGCTTGAAGAAGGTCTCTTTCGGATCTATGAGCCTGGAAGAGTCTTCCAGCAAGTAATGTGAGTATTCATAAAGCGTCCGTGACGAGAGACCGGTTTGAACCCCATCGAACCTATCTGGGGGTGGTTGAGATTGAAACTTTTTCAGCTCCATCCAGAGCTTGTTCAAATAGGACGATCTGAGAGTGATTGACTCCATTTCAAAGCATGTATAAAGGAAGCGTGGTGGGTTCTAGATCAGAGCATGATTGATACATAGTGTGATTCTAAGCATGACGAGACGTTTAAGAGTGGTGTAGGACGCATGTGGATATTATGCAAATTATGAAGCAATTTTTATGTACGGGATATATTTCTTAATGAGCACATTAAATTATCTATAATTTGAACAAGTATGGTGGTGTGGTATACTAGGTTATAGATATTTGCATACATGTGTTTGATGGTGTGGGGTCCAAAATTGAGCTGGGGAAATACTTTTGACTAATTAGTGTACTGTAATATAACATAGACATTTGAAGAACATATCGAACTCTTATACTGCATTGGGTACCTATGGGTGGAGTAGTAAAACAGTCAATATCACTGTTTGTCAGTTGCCTGTAAAATCCGGGCTGTTCATTCGCGGTTCCACCTAAAGAGACGCCTAGTATGTAACTGCCAACAATTAAGTTAAATTTTATGTGTAGGCCTAAGATCAAGAACGTTCCAATAAATACTCCGGATAGTTGGAAGTGGGTGGTTGTCTGGGTGACCGCCACCGCCTTGGCCTTATCGGATGCAAACCGAGCAAACAGCGCCGCGGAGACGCTTGGACCACTGCTTATCCAGAAATTTCCCCCAAAAAAATCCTACGCCGTTTCAAGCTCCCAAAACATAGCCACCATGCCTCGCGCACAGCAAAAGAGAGGCCGTCGGGCTGAGAAGAAGGCCCAGACGGAAGGTGAACCCAAGCGCAAGTTCGACGACGCCCCCGAAGAACCCGTCGCAAAGCGCATGAAGTCCTCCGAGGATACCGACGCCAACGTTACGTACGATCACGCCGCGGACTATGTTCCCCTTGACGCGGACTATGTTCCCCTTGATGTTGAGGTCCAGCCATATGGCGAACAGGAGGAAGGGGAACAGAGGGGCATCGACGACAATGGTGACATGCCTTTCTTCGGTCTGCTCGACACCGACGAACAAGAGTACTTCTCGCGCGCTGGCGAGATGCTCGAAGCGAATGAATTCGAAGACGCCGAGCAGAAGCACTTATTCATTGAGAGTGTATACCGGGAGGCCAATGGCAAGGAATTGAAAATTGCTTGTAGTCAGGGTTGCTCAAGACTCATGGAAAAGTTGATTTCGATGTCAGACGTCCGACAAATCCGCCGGATCTTCAGCAAGTTCATTGGTCATTTCCTTCACCTTGTCCAACATCGTTTCGCCAGCCATTGCTGCGAGACACTTTTCATCAATGCGGCTCCAGCGGTTATGCAGAAGACATCGAAGGCACAGGCGAAGAAGGACGAGGAGGATGGAGAGGAGGAACCAGAGTTGTCACTGGCGGAGATGTTTATGAGCGTTATCAAGGAGTTGGAAGGGAACTGGGGTTTCCTTCTGACGGAGCGTTTTGCGTCTCACACAATTCGAGTCCTTCTCTTGGTTCTCGCTGGAGAGCCAGTTGATGTTGAGTCAAACGATTCTATTGTTGCTAGTCGTGCTAAGGAGAGATTGAAGCTCTCGACAGCGAACACTCAAAGTGAGAACGCAGAGGACAAGGAGAGCACCGTGGTCAAGAAGCGAAGCGTTCCTGAATCATTTGAGCCTGCGCTAAAGAAGATCATGAATGATATGGTTTCAGGTCTCGACGATGTCTACCTGCGCGCTTTGGCCACTCACCCTGTTGGAAACCCAGTTCTCCAGGTCATGCTGACTCTTGAGCTCTCCCACTTCGGAAAATCGAGCGCTAAAGATCCCAAATCTATTCTGCGGAGATTGCTCCCCGATGAGAATGTCGAGGAGGGTACCGAAAGTGCAAACTTCATCCGCGGCTTGCTTTATGATCCCGTTGGTTCTCGTCTTGTGGAGACCATGGTGCGCCACATGCCCGGTAAGGTTTTCAAAAATCTTTACAAGAACAATCTTCGTGAGCGCATTGGTTCTCTTGCCCGGAATCAAACGGCCGGTTATGTTGTTTTGAAGACGCTAGAGCGACTCGGAAAGGACGACTTGAAGGATGCGATGGACCTTATCATCCCTGAAGTCCCGGGCCTGATTGAGAGATTCAGACTTATCGTTCCTCGGACATTGGTCGAGCGATGCGTCATTCGTAACGTTGACACAAAGCCTTTCGCCAAGGCACTCAAAGACGCCTTTGACCAAGACCCTGCCGCTCGTCTTCGCCAGATGCTCCGACTCGACGTGACCCCCGAAGAAGTTCCCCAATGCAACGAAGACCAGGAGATGCAAGATGCAGGCTACGAGGGCCACAACGAGCACAAGAAAAAACCCACATCTACCCATTCATCAGAGAAGCTTCATGGCTCTCTGTTCGCACAGACACTACTCTCTGTCCCAGGCCCACTGAGCGATCTCGTCTTCAGCGGCCTGCTTGCTCTACCATCCGAGACAATTATTCAACTCGCACAAGAATCCACATCCTCTCGTGTCCTGCAACAGGCATTGAAATCTAAAACTTCCACCACCCAATTCCGACGACAGTTTGTTCCTCGGTTCCAAGGTCATTTGGCTGAACTTGCTCAAAACACCAGTGGATCTCATGTGGTAGATTCTCTGTGGGATGCCACCAAGGACATCTTCTTCGTAAAGGAGAGAATGGCACAGGAACTTGTCGCCAACGAGATGATTCTGCGTGACTCGTTTATCGGCCGTGCTGTGTGGCGCAACTGGTCAATGGACCTGTACAAGCGTCGCCGGGGTGAATGGGTTGGCCGGGCCAAGGGCCTTGACCAACAGCCTTCTTGGACCGAGGGTCAGGGAGAGCGACCGAAGTCGAAAATTGAGTTGGCACGCGAGCGATACGCTGTGCAGCAGGGCATTCAAGACGTTAGAAAGGCTGCTACTGATGAACAGGCTGCGGCTGCTGAAAAATAAGACCAAACAGAATTCTATACCTTGTTAATACCACATCTCATTTTCATTGAGCATTTGTCTTTATTCTCCTTTGCTTTGCATTACAACATTGTCTAAACAATTTGACATTGTCATTCATTCTTCTTTCACTTCACAAAGATTCTAGCTCGACAATTTCATTGTCTTAGACAGTAGCAAATAGACCTTTTGTGAGTCGAATTGTGCTTTATTCCCAAGTCTCACTTATATGAAAAGGTCTGTTGCCATTGTAGACTTCTTACTTACCTCTACTTTAAGGCATGAACTCGAATTCAGTTATAAAATAACTTGTCCCCTACCATTAACACAATAAAATCCACCACTGCGCATTTCTTCGGATTGAGCGGCCACTTATCAATAACACGTGACGAAAGATCAAGCATCTCATTTCCAAAATGGGCGAGCTCCTAGCAAGCCAATCATTCGTCTACCTTGACGAGCCTTATAACGGCACACTGATAAGCGATAACTGCTACAACGCCATAACTCTCGAAGCTCTTACCCCAAACGGACCCGTGAACAGCTGGAACTGCATCATGCTCTCAATTAATGACCATCCATACCTGCGCCGACAGTACATCCCATCCAAGTACTACCTGCGACAGAATCCCCACGTTGTGGAGGACCAGGTATGGATTGGCGTTAGCATGGACTACGGTGTGTGCAAGAAACACACTGTGCGAGATTGGTTCAAAACACTGAAACAGGCTATCGAGCAGGGACACTATCTAACAACTAGGGTTCCAAAACGTGTAGGTGTTTACAACGGAACATTCTGGATGCAGATGCGAGGGTACTTCAAGGATCTAGACGATGGCCTTGTTCAAATTGCAGTAGAGCGACATGTGGATTTGTTAAAACAGCTTATACATCATGGAATTGTAACCGTCCAGAATGAGAGGATCCTCTCTCCCTTCACAATGTAGACGAATGACTAGCTAAGACTAGAACACTAACTCTTTTCACCATTTTTCTCTTTCACATCTTCCATATGGTCCTTGTGATCGAAAATCCTTGAAACTTCCTCCAATGATCTTCCCTTGGTCTCTGGAAAGAGGAAATAGGCCAATAAGAAGAACATTACCAAACAGCCTACGTAAACGAAATAATACTTCCATTGCAGAACGGAAAACGCTACCGGATTGACGTACTGGTTGAAGAAGCACGCGACAGCATCCGTAGATAACGTAATTGCCAGACCCTTTGCTCGGAGCTGAAATGGCAGGATTTCAGCCGGATAGGCAATGAACAGTGGCGAGTACGCTAGATCGAAGCCAGCAAAGAAGAGGAACAGCATTGGGACGACAGCGACACCTGCAGCTGCGATGTGCTTCTCTTGGAAGAGACCGGCTGCGATGGTGGTTATGGATAAGAAAAGAAGCATGCATGCTGTCGATAGCAACCACAGAATACGTCTGCCGTAGCGCTCCGATGCGACAGCACCAGCCGAGGACAAGATAAGATTCCAGATTTGCAAGCCCACATTGACAGCAGCTTCGTGGGAGGCTTTGGTAATGCCAACAGAGGCAAGAATCGGAGCAAGATAGTAAGAGATGATACCTATGAACCAGTTAGTCGAGTGATATCTTTTCTGAAGAATTGCTTCATACCGTTTCCAGCCCACTCCTGCATAAATCCACATATAATACAGATCGCAAGACGGTGCATATCTCCCTTCGACGAAAAGAAAGTACTCCAATAACCGGGTTGCTGGTGCTGCGCATTTATACTGATGCAAATCTGATGATACTCATGCTGAACAAGCTCATCATCCGAATTCCCATTAGCATGAAATTCAGCCAAAACTGCAAGGGCCTCATCTTTTCGTCCCTTCGAGACTAACCACCGTGGACTCTCAGGGACAAAGCACAGACCCACAAGCTGGGTTAGCGGGAAGAACGCCTGTAGCATGCAGGGTATCGTCCACGACCAGGTGGTGTGCATACTCAATGTGGCCATGGTAATCGCAGCGGAGACAATAGATCCTACACACCATGCTGCATTATAAAGTGCTGTGGCCGTTTGTCGATGGCGTGGATGCGCGATCTCCGTCGCCAATAATGGGGCTGCGGTTTGTGCTGTCCCCACGCCTACACCTGCTAGAACGCGGCAGCCGAAGAAGGCCCAGTGACTGTGTACAGCGGCCTGGACGAGAGATGCAATAATCACCAATGCCGATCCGACTGTTACGCATTTCTTGCGTCCAAGGATATCGGCAAAGTAGGATGCTGGGATGAAGGATATAAAGGCGCCGAGTGAGGTGGCTGCGATGAGAAGACCGAGGATATGAGGGTCGAGACCGCCAATGATCTCTTTAACTGTATAGGTAGAAAGTTTAGTCAATATGATTTGGTCCAAGAGTTATCTGACTTACACTCAGGCAACACAAGCAATCCATTTATCAAACTCCCGTTATATCCCGTTCCAGCAGATGAAGCGAACATAAATACAATCCCCAAGTTCAACTTTCGCAGACCTGGATCCCTGAGCCAGCCCCTCTTCTCTGTATTCGAAATGCCCTTCAGCTCCTCCGACATATCGGAATCCGTCATTCGCTCCATAGTCTACTACCGTCGAAGGTTCGTAAAAGTCCGTAAGTGGCCGTCGCAAGGCCGTCGAGTATCAGTCACAAAACACAAACCAGTCAGACATCCCTGTTCTATTAAGCTTTTATATTTAAGCTACACCTCATTAAACCCCGAACAAGGGTTATCTACATTCTTACCCTTTTTCTCCATGAAGCCACACAGCGGTTTGGGAAACTGCTGATCTAAAACCCGGGGAATGCAGGGAGGAATGCATGACCTCTTATTTTCAGAAACTGGGCACATGAGACGGAAACCAAGTATAATCTGCTCGAGATCTATCAAGGAGTTACATCATGCGTTGTATCAGTAAATCAGTTACGTTTGGCTTTTACTCGCACGGAACATAGGAATCAAAGGTTATCATCAAAATTCCAAGCAGCTCGAGCCCTAACTTTCGTTATATTACTCGTCTGATTCACCGAGTAGTGACGCATACCGGTTCCCCAGCCCACAGAATCCCTCGCACTGTTCTCCCACCTCCTTGTCTTTCCCTAGTACCTCCTCTAGACTCCACGCGATCCGCTCCGCGCCTATTCTGGCGCCTTCGAGATTGGGTGCTCCGGGTCCTAGACGTAGTCCGGCCATTCGTCCGGTCATGTATAACGGTACGTCTTCGCGCCACATTAGATCTTCTGTTAGACATGGGAGACCCTCTTTGACCTCGACGGGGTATTGCTCGTTCATGTGACTTAATAGAGACATTTCGCGCACGTCTGCGCGGGCTCCGGTCGCGAAGTAGATGTAATCGATTGGAGGTAGATTAGGGATTGGTGGATCCGTGGTCAAGGTCCATGTTTGGGTTTCCGGATCATATTCATGCGAGGCGATCACTGTGTTTGTATGAATAGATGCACGGTTATGGGCGGCATGTTGCTTGACAATCCTCGTGAAGCGAGGTGTAATACTACCGCCATTCCGGGCGGTTTTCATCATTTCAAGGCGTTCTAAATAGGTGTTAGAGGTCGCTCGAGATCACATTTTTGACTTCACGAACCTTCGTCGGTGTCTGCGGAGAAAAAGGCCGCTTTCTCGAAATTCTTGTATTTGCCCATCCAGGGCAAACTGATATCGAAATGCTTGACTGGGGATGAATTAGCAACAAGTCCCAAGAAACAAAATAAGACATCACTGATACTCACTTTTAAGATCGGAGCGCATCAAGAACCATACTTTCGTTACCCCCTTCCGCACGGCCATATCCACAAGCTGTGCTGATGAGAGTCCACCTCCAACAACAACCACATTCGTCTGCTGTCGAGACTGAATTTTCGTGCGTACATTAACGCTCGGGAATGTCTTTATGTCCATGCTGTGACAGCATGCATTAGAGCCCTCCTCTGGGCTGGAAGGCTTCCATGGAAAGATCTTAGAGACGCCTGCTCCGCCAGCACCGATAGCGAGGACAACAGCTCGACTGTAAAATTTCAAGCCAGATGTCGTGGTCAAAGTAAAGATCTTATCGTCTGACACTGGTCCATTTCCTCTCTCGGGTAGGTAATCATACGTCATGCCCGCAACCTCCTCTTTCTTTATCAGGTTCGGGTTATTCAGGCCATACCGGTCGATAACAGTATTGCAATAGTCGGCGAAGAGGTCTGTCGAAGGGGAATAATAGTCTTTGCGGTCTCGCTCGTCAATTTCGACTCCAATAGTTCTAGACAGAAATCCCGTTAGTACCTCCCTCTAAAGATCATCGGGAATATATGTGCATCCACAGATGTATACACAAAGCCCGACAAATATGTAACTCACTGATTCTTCCCACCCTGTCTCCGCTTTTTCTTCTTATGCTTGCTAACATCCTTCCCAACACACCCAGAGATCTCCCAAAGATCTCCTTCTCGTCCCATCTCCTGTGCATAAGCAAGCATCCCATCCCGATCCCCTGGATCAACGTGAAAGAACATCGGACTCCTCAACTGCTTGATCTCCAAAGTCCGGAACGCATTATTCCATCTTTGCATCCACTGGTCACCCGATCCATCTAGGACGAGTGTGGAGATAGAGGAAGAAGACGAAGTAGAGGAAGTCGTAGACGCAAGCGATGGAACAGAAGAAACCGAGTCCGATGATGCTCTGCGCTGTCTATCCGGCACCTCATCACAACATTTCAGCCCGCGATTCCACTTTTCCGCGCGAACACCGTTCTTCTTCGTTCGGCCTGCTTGGACGAGATTCATTTTGCCAGCATGTTTTTTGATCCAGTGGTATCGCTGGTGTTCTTCGTCGGTGAATACGGCCGAGGGTGTATCTTCGTGGATACGGGCAGCAACGCCTAGACCGCAGGGACCGGCGCCGATGATAATTACATCGTGGATTTCGCTTTCGTTATTCATATTGAGTAGGGCGAGAAAGGTTTTTATCACATGTGTAGTTCGCGATAGAGCGGATGAATTAAAGTGCAAGGCGTTTGTAGAATTTTACAGGGGCTTTCTCTTTTATATGAGGAGCACGGCCTTTGGCTATTTCTGCAATGTCCTCATTGCGCACGCTGGCTATCGAGGTACTCTTACTCCCAAGGTCCTTAGGGCTCAATAGAGAAGGTTCCCCACAGTGAATGTGGATCGGATCGGCGTTTAGAGGCTGTCAGCCCATGGGGACCTTGGAGCTTGTTGAATTGGACTTTCAACTGCCCGTATTGAGAAGCTCATAACATACTAATACAGGTTACTAGATAAAGTTTGAAAAATCATAGAAAAGAAAGAAAAGAAATTATGTTATCAACGACGAAGGGGGAATTGACAAACAACCACCAAAGAAAAACCCAAACCAAAGCGTTAATCGTGACAAGAAAAAGAAACAAAAAATTGTGAATATAAAACACAAATTACCACATAAACTCCACAGTAATCTCCAACGCCTCAATTTCAATGCCTTACCAGGCCAAACACCTATTTATGCCACTTCTTCGCCCTGATATCGATGTTCCTTGTTGATCGAGGAACACCACCTCCTTCCCGACGATGCCAAGCATCCTGAGGCCAAACCCATCCCCGAACCCGCTTAGCGTCACGACGCTCGCCAATTTGCGGCTCGGGTATCCAATTATCTTTAGGTTCAGGAAGGACTCGCTGCCGGGTAAGGGCACCCGGACCGCCGACGTTGAGGTGGGCGGAGGGTTGATGGGGAAGTGGAACGGATTTAGAAAGCATGAGCAGGAAGTACAATGCCAGACTTGCTGTCATGGGCGTCTCATGACGATCTTCCAAACATTCCGACTCAGGCACGGGTGACGGATGCCGTGAATAAGAAGAGCCGTGAGAAGAAGAAGAGAATGAACGTGCGCTGATTGGTGTCGCTAGGGCTGGGACATCGCGCGCAGACAGGGTGGTGGCTGCTGTTTTGAGTGGAATTGGGGCTGCGACTTCGAGGTATCCAAAGTATGGGACGTCGCAGCCATCGTCGCAGCCTGCGCGGACGCAGAGGAGTTCGATTTCGGTGATTATGAAGCCGTAGCGGCAGGAATGTTCTCTCATGCATCGCTGGAGATGGGCTAGGCCGTTTAGGTATTCGACGCGGCGGTGTGGTGCCTCGTTGCGCATGGCTGAGTTCCATCTGTCGAAACTTTTGACAATGCCTACGAGTCTGCCTCGTGGGAGTCCTGCGCTGGTGCATTCTTTGTCCGTAGAGTAGTTTGCTAAGAAATGTGGGTGTCCGTGGTTTTTGTGTCCGGTATGACGGATATCCGGGGCTGGATAGAGTTGGAGGTGCTCTGCGCCCTGGGAGACGGCTATTGCTGCGTTGACTCGTGGAGCGTAGAGGTCTCGAATTAGGGCAACGAGACCTGGCTCAGACTCTGGGGATAGCCGTGAGGTGGGAACGCCTACTGGAGGAGCAAGGTTTCCAGGAATCTCGGTGTTCAGAAGCTTGGTGAGTCCGTGAATGGCATCGATAGTGGCGAAGGAGAAGGAAGTCCAGTTGCGAAGCTGACGGATATCCCACCAGAAGTAGTCATGCATTCCGCGGGTAGGGATAACGCTGACATTACGGACCAAGTTAACTGCTTGGGTGGGAGAGGTCAAGTACGAGATCAAGTTGGTGGATGGTGGAGGGATGTCTTCGCGTGGACTCATTAGGTGCATTGGTGACCTCTGGGGACCATGGATTTGGCTGCAGCAATATTGAGGTGTCGGTACAGTCAATGGATGTCGTGGTGTGCGTACAGGGGCAAGCCGAGGTACTTCCACCGCCGGTTGCTGGGGTTGAGATGGATAGACCACAATGTTTGGGGTCACTGGGGTCACTGGCGTAGTTGGACAGGTTTGTGCCTGTACATGGGGCACATATTTTGGAAGCTGCCGGTAGGTAGGATATCCATAACGATTTAAGGTAGCCTCATCAATACCCGACGCCGAGACAGATCGACTGTGACCTCCAGATCCCTTGCGCTTGTTTGACGTGATGTTTACTGGAGATGACAAGGCAGAATGACTGACGAGGCTCGTGGTGACGATGGGTGAAATAGGAGATACCAGAGGCAATCTATCCCCAGCATCTGGTTGATTTCGCCGAAGGGATGGACGGCTGAGAGAATAAGGTGCAAATCCAGGAGTGTTTCGCGTGCTGGACAAGACCCGTCGATTACGCAAAGGACCGCCAGCAGAGACCGGCTCGATGACCACATCCTGGGGTCGAATCTTTGGCAAAAGTGCAGGGCCATGATGATGCCGAACTGGCGAGGTACCGGGACTAGTGTTCCCCGTCATCGTTGACCATGGAGAAGATTCAGCCGAGTAGATAGAAGAGGCAGATGCGTTGCGACTATGTCCTGAGCCAAGGTACTCCTCATAAGGCAAACCCGGCGGCGTGGTTGGCTGGTAATGAGCGTGATCGCTAGACATGGTGCAATGAAGGAGAGATAAATCGACAAATTCACTGAGCCTCAGTATCGAAGGGACAGAAACGTCTTTCCCAATGGCAAGTTGAAAACGAATGTAGGTCGAAGTAAGCTGTTTAGATCAGGACCCCTTCCGCGTGGAGGAAGATAGACATGACCGTGAAGGAGAATGCTTGGATATTAAATGGTTTGGGATGAGTAGGCTCAAACCAGCCAAGCAAGCAGATATAGATATAGAATAAGGGCCCACTCACGAACCCCAAGCGGATCTTGAATAACCTGAAACATGGAGAAAAGCTCCACGGTGACGCCAACGGAGGCTCATATTCTTTTTTTGGGATCCTGGTCTCCGATCTAGGGCCAGGCCTACTATGCGATGAAACGCGAGACAGCCGACAACTGTTCCTCACGTCGCGCGACAGGGTAGACTGAAACCCCGTAAAGGGTCTCTATCCGGGTATAGTGCGGTTTCAGCGGTCAGTCGCGCGTTAAGTTGTTACTATATTTTGCATCAGTTTCGACGGTATTCTTCAGATTCCATCTTGGGAATAGTGCGCTGCAGAGTGATCGAACACTTCTAAATTCAGTAACAATTAGGTCGTAATTGTCAGGTAATTAGCGGCCTCATCGCTCTAGGGGTAAACTCCAGAGTGGGAACGCCATGCCTCAGGAATCGCCGGGGATGAGATGGGCGGTTAGCTTCAGTAGAGAAAGATAAAAATAGCCAGAGCGTGTGCTGTGACAATGCATGAAGCAGAACTTTCAAGTCAGGGTAGATGGATCCGAGGAGGTTCCTCCATAGGGGAAGTTGGGAGTGTGATTACTTGGTCGGCGGCTAGAGATGTAGGTTAAGTCTCAAGTACGCGCCGGACGATCGTCGTCACACACTTTTCGAAGTTCCTGCGACCAGTAGATCACACCGAAATGTCCCATAATTAGCAGAACATCCGTTCATGGTTTCAAGTACTAAATTAGGGGTAATTTGAAGGCCAAAGGAGTCTAAAACCATGGAGATCAATTATTGAACACCACAGGATTAGTTGGACACCCTCACTAGCCCCCACCGGGGGTAGAGCGGTAATCGTAATTCAAGTCAGTAATCTGATCAAGTACATACCCAGGCACCTAGTTACTCGCATTAGACTACCAAGTAATGTGACAATGATAAGGAGTGATGTGCACTGGGATGGCACCTTGTGTGTCCTATACCGCAACTTGACCGAAGCGATACCTTGCATGCTGGCCCGAATTAAGAGAGGTCATATGGTCGTTGATACCTGGAAACCAGGTACAGGAAAATCTTGCCCGAATTGTAATTACCACGCTAGCTCAAACATGGACTAGTGAGATGTTCGACTGAGTTTGTGGTGTTCAATTATTGATCTCTAAGAACATTAATGTTTGCAGCTCATGTGCACATTTCTTAATAGCATTTTTTCCCCCTGATTTACGCGCTAGTGGACTCCACTTGACTCCGTTTCATGTGTGTGCTTTCTTAGTAATATTTGATAAGATTGCCTTGCATTAACGTGGCAGATCGTACGATTGGGAGTATGTACTTTGGCTTTGAATAGCTTCAACCTCTCTTTTCTCCCACATGTAAACAAAAGAATAAACAAAGTTGCACACAAACCGTAAACCACTACGATGCGTCGACTGACTCTAGTCTAGAAACAGAATAGGAGACCGTAGACGCATAAAAATGACCGAATGTTCAAAGTTCTACAATTCCGGAATATCGGAGTGGTATTCCGTTACCCTTGTTGAATTCTACTGTCATTTCCTAGCTGTGGATCTTTTTTTTTTAATCTTGAGTATCCTTACACCTTAAGCTACAGTGTGACCGTGCTGAACAAAAATTACCATCTCCTAGACGCTTGCATGGTGAAGTATTGGTAATGTTGGTTTGAGGTGGGTACTCATTAGTCTCATTTATCTCAAGAAGCACGTAGACCCACCATGGCGCTTCAGGTCCAATGGCCTATACTGCCCGAGTTCCTTGAGGTTCTTTTACTATAATCTTCTCGCAATTTTGTGGTCTCTCTTTATTTTGAATCCTCTTAAAAGGTTTAAAGCGGAGTGCTTGGCTGAATAGATACCGGCACCTTGATTTAAGGGTGTCAATTTGTTTGCCCAGGTGGATGTTGCCGACTAAGGCTACCCATAATATATCTTCATGATCCGTGATACATCAGGCTCCCGAAAATGTGGAAAAGAAATGAAGTGTTTTATTATGTTCTGGCATATAGCCAACTGTAAATTGATATTGTAGCTTCTAGCTTATTTCATCATTCATCCGAAAAATTTGCGTAACAAAAAAAATAAAAGACAATAATTATCATGGGCTTTGCACGGTCTATTCCAACGCAAAACTCATCGAAAACGCTGGTGGGGAATCTTTTGTGAACCGTCTAAATAACAGGCAGGGGGTCATATCCAACGGCAAAAGAACGGAACGAGCAGACCATCTAGGCCTTGATCTCGTACTTGCGGCGGAACATGTCATCGACCTCAGTGAGGAAGTAAGTTCCGGGCAGCAGAGTCTCGGTACTGCCGGAAGGCTTGAAGTTCTTCTGCAGGTGGGCGTGCTCGCGCAGCTTGCACATCTCATCGTAGGCAGCGGGGGTGAGAACGTTGCGGGCCTCGAGGCGGCTCTGGAGGTTGAGCTTCTCAACAATGGTGGAGACATCGCCGACGATCTTGGCGCTGAACAGGGAGGAGGCGAGACCGGAACCGTAGGAGAAGAGACCGATGCGCTTGGGCTCGTTGGGGGAGAAGGTGACGTGGCTGAGCAAGGAAGCGATACCAGCCCAGACGGTAGCAGTGTACATGTTACCGCACAAGTTGGCGACCTGGAGACCGGGGGAGACACGCTCAGCGAAGCGCTTCTTGGTCAGGGCCATGAAGGTCTTCTCAACGGCCTTGTCGGTCAGAGAAGCGGCATAGTCCAGATCACGGAGCTCAGGAGCGACCTCGGCAAAAGCGGGGTGGGAGGGGTTGGCCAGGTAGTCGTTGTAGAGCATGCGAGCGTAAGACTTCTGGACCAGCTTGCAGGTAGGGGCGTGGAACAGGAGGTACTCGAAACGGTCCAAAGCGGTCTGGGACTCGTCGGTGGCGCCGTTGGTGCCGTTCTGGTTGGCCTTGAGGGCCTTCTCACGGACATCGTAGGCCTTGTAGCAGGCATCAACAGCCTCAGTGTAACACTTCAGAGAGAAGTGGCCGTCAACGACGGGGTACTCGCTGGTGAGATCGGGCTTGTAGAAGTCGTAGGCGTGGGACATGTAGGAGGCACGGAGGCCGGCCTCGAAGACAATAGGGGCATCAGGACCGATAACCATGGCAACGCAACCGGCACCACCAGTGGGGCGTGCAGCACCAGCAGCGTACAGAGCAATATCACCACAGACAACAACGGCATCACGGCCGTCCCAGGCAGAGGACTCGAGCCAGTTGATGCTGTTGAAGACGGCGTTGGTACCACCGTAGCAGGCGTTGACGTTGTCGACACCCTCGATGTTGGTGTTTCCGTGAGGGGCAAAGAGCTGCATGAGAACGGACTTGACGGACTTGGACTTGTCCAAGAGAGTCTCAGTGCCGACCTCGAGGCGGCCAATGCTCTTAGGGTCGATGTTGTACTTGTTCAGGAGGGAGGAGAGAGTGGTCAGGGCCATGGAGTAGATGTCTAGGTTTGACGTTAGTTTTTGACTTTGCGCAATTGAAATAGAATGCCACATACCCTCACGGTCATCACAGAAGCTCATCTTCTTCTGGCCGAGACCGATGGTGTATTTGCCCTCACTGACGCCATCGTACTTCTCCAGCTCGGACTGGTCAACGCACTGGAGGAATTGTTAGTTCCTTAAACTCACGGATTCAATTGCACTGATAGAAGCCGGGGGCACAAACCTGGGAAGGGAAGTAGACCTCAATGGCCTTGATGCCGATGTTCTGGGGGCGGGCAGACATGGTGGGGGAGGGGTATAGAAGTGGGAATGTTTAAAGGGGTATAACACAACCAAGGGAAGGAAAGTCAAGTCAAAAGCGAAATGCAAAGGAAGAGAGATCTTGGACGAGAAATAAATAAGGATTCGAGGGCCCGTTTATAACAGAAAAAGGAGAATGTTGTGTACTCGGATCTACCGTGTACGATCTGTCACCCACCCTTTTTTTTTCTTTACAGTGGAGATGCCACTTCTACACCTTCCTTTGAGCCGAAGTGGATGGACTTGGGATCAGTTCGTGTTAGATTCTAGAATTGAAACTATGGTAGCTTTTTATTCACCGCTGTTTGATATTGGTATTAGAATTGAACATTCACATTGGCATTGGTGTTGCGAGAGCAGATCTTCAACTCGTATGTACCGTACTTGTAGATCTAGGAACAGGGTCAACTGGCGAGTCCAAATGTACGGTGTACAATGCAGTCTGTTCCATCTTATCAGGCTCCACTTGCTTCAAGTTGGAAGAATTGTTCTTGTTTCCCTGGTAGCGGTGGATCAGATCCGTCATCTCCGTACTCAGATGCAATACATATGCAGTGGCCTCACTTCGGATATCCTCGCTCCAGGGGATACAGTGGGAGATACTTGTAGACTCTTCGAGTATACGGAGTATTCGGATTAACATTCTTCATGAATGCCTCCGGACACTCCGCATTATGCCGTATGAGTGGGAACATTTAGATTAGGGAGTTAACCAGGGATGATCGTCCTTGATTTATGGGTTTTCCAGATGGTGTACCCTTGAACTCGTGGATTTTATGTCGCTATAGTTCTTCTATAGTTCTTGTCGATTACGAAATGGGTTACATAGAGACACGCGTTAAGGAAATACGAGTGGCCAAGCGTGGGTCACTGCGCCACGAGAGAACGAGAACAGGGAGATAGTCCGGGGCATCCATCAACCTTCAACCTACCACAACCCTAGCCATCCCTCACTCACTCCGGGATGTGGCACACTCGTTTTCTATTTCTGACAAATAAATCATGATCTGGAAGATCTCCGCATCCGCGCCCTCCACTTGCCACGGCTCCTGGGAGCCCACCCCGTGCCACTATGGGCGACGATAAGTTCGAATATCAGGAACTCCCCATCCCCTCCTACGAAGAAGCGACCGGTCAACCCTCATCCTCGCGCGAACATCTCAGCGATGGCAGCGATGCCGAACGTCAGGGGCTCCTCGGTCGCGAGGCCTCTCACTACCAACCCCCAACCGTGGAGTCCGTTCGCGGAAGCCTAGATGACCTTGCTTCATCGGCATCGGGCTCATCCCGAGGTTCAGCGGATGAACTGCGCCGGGAACTAGACCAAATGGACGTCGATGACTCCGCAACATCTTCCAACCGTCGTCCCCGATTACGACACCAATTCACCAAGCGGTTTTCCACACTCACTCGAACCCTCTCCGCAATCCATCGGCCTTTACAACGATACCTACCGAGCCTCCCCAGCTTTCGCTTCAGTTTTAATCTTCAAGATGCTCGGTCGCGCATGCGGGATCAAGGATGCCTCATGTTATTACGACTGTTCGCCCTCATGCTGGTCGTGACGTTGGTCTATGTGTTCTTTATCGGCGATATCTTCAACCTCAACAATCGCATGATCATGGGCCAGACCTACAGTTCCTCGTCGGTCGAGAATTTTATCCAGGGCAACATTAACGACACCAACATCGCCGAAACCCTTAAACACATTACCTCATTCCCCCATATCGCCGGTACCGAAGGTAGCTTTTATCTGGCAGAATGGGTCGAGCAGGCAATGCACCGGGCGGGCTTCGACGAGGTCGAGCGGGAAGAGTTCCAGGTTTACCTGAACTATCCGCGCGCTGATGGTCGCAAGGTGGCCATTGTCGACCCCCCTGCTTTGGTGTGGGAAGCCACTCTCGAAGAAAATGACTCCGAAACCCCGGTGTTTCACGGCCATTCCAAATCCGGCAATGTGACAGGACCTCTGATTTACGCGAATTTCGGGTCTCGGGAGGACTTCAAGCTGCTTGCCGACCGTGGTATCTCCCTTGACGGTGCAATTGCCCTGGTCAGATACTACGGCACCGAACCAGACCGAGCTTTGAAAATTAAGGCTGCCGAGCTGGCTGGCGCTGCGGGATGCATCATCTATTCTGACCCAGCTCAGGACGGGTTTGTCAAAGGTCCTGCCTATCCAAAGGGACGTTACATGCCAGCTGATGGGGTTCAAAGAGGTGGGGTTAGCCTCATGTCCCAGGTTGTGGGAGACGTTCTTAGTCCTGGGTGGGCTTCCACCCCGGGTGAAAAGCACCGGCTATCAATCGAAGATAGCCCGGGCTTAACAAAAATCCCCAGTCTTCCGATCGCCTGGCGCGATGCGCAGCGACTGTTGCAGGCCCTAGAAGGCCATGGCTCTAAGGTTCCCAAGGAATGGGTCGGTGGTGTACCCAAGATTCAAGGATGGTGGACCGGAGATCAGGATTCGCCGACAGTCCACTTGATGAACCTCCAGGATGAAGTAGAGAGGATGCCCATTTACAATGTCCACGGGACAATTCTTGGACTTGAAGAGCGCGACAAGAAGATTATTGTTGGTAATCATCGTGACTCATGGTGTCTGGGAAGTGTTGATCCTGGCAGCGGAACTGCAGTCTTTCTAGAAGTTGTTCGAGCCTTTGGTGAGCTGCTCAACTACGGCTGGCGACCACTTCGTACCATCGAGTTTGTCAGCTGGGATGGGGAAGAATACAATCTCATCGGCTCGACAGAACATGTCGAAAAGGAGGTTGAGAGCCTGCGGAGCAATGCCTATGCATACCTTAATGTCGACGTTGGTGTAGCTGGCTCCGAGTTCCGGGCAGCAGGATCGCCCGTGTTTGAGCGCTCGATGCTGCAGATCTTAGGACGTCTCTCTGACCCCACTGCCAATAAAACACTGAAGGACATTTGGATAGAAAAGGGCAGCAAGCTGGATCCCCTTGGCGCTGGCAGTGATTATGTGGCCTTTCAGGACATCGCAGGTACCTCCAGCATTGATTTTGGATTTGAGGGCGAGCCCTACCCTTATCACAGCTGCTACGAATCCTTTGACTGGATGGAGAAGTTCGGTGATCCAGGCTTCCAGTACCACAAGCTCCTCGCACAATTCTGGAGTCTTCTTTTATTGGATGTTTCGGAGAATCCCATGCTCCCATTCGACATACAAGCATATGCCCGAGCCATCACCGGCTGGGTGAAAGATCTTGAAGGATTTGTCAAGTCTAAGAAAGCCAAGGTTGACCTGGAGGTCATGTTCAATGCAGCAGCAGAGCTAGAAGCCAATGCAGTCAAGTTTGAGGAATGGAACCAGCTCTGGCATGATACTGTCTGGGGCTCTGGTGGATACGAGAGCAATGTCATGGCAATCCAGCGTGTGAACCACAATCTACGCATGGCCAGCTTTGACACGCATCTCTTAGATCTAGGAGAAGGCGGCGGCGTGAGTTGAATTTTTGCCCATACTTATTATTCCTTACTAACATAATTCTTCAGATTCCCAACCGCACCCAATTCCGCCACGTTATCTTCGGTCCTGAACTATGGTCCGGCTACGATGCCTCCATCTTCCCTGCCATCCGCGACACCATCAACACAGGCGACTGGTCTCTCGCTCAAAACTGGATCGATCGCGTTGCCGACATCATTCACACTGCCAGCAATGATCTCCTACACTAAATGTACATTACCTCCTTTCTCATTACTCTCCATTGTCCATTTTCTCATGCATACCCCTCACGCTTGTTCTTTGGCATTTTCATTGTTACTCTACCTAGGCACTGTACAGCCTGTCTCTGGTTGGAGTTCTTACATCTATATCTGTCTCTGCATCTCATTTTCCCGTCATATATACACCGGTCACTTTCCTCTTGTGGCTTCAGCGGCTTCCCTAGATTTGATCTATCCCAGTGATAACAATGAATACGCTCAATCTCTTATTACAAACAACAAAACTACATTTGGGTATCATAAAGAATAAACACGACACAAGGCCCAGCTGACACCACCTCAAACACGAGGTAAAGGCGGATCAACCGCCAATAAAGCCGGATGATCTGCCAAAGACTGCCAAAAGCTCGCCTCAAAATCCCACAAATCCTGACTTAACAAAGCAGCCCAATCATCATTCCCAGTCCCCTCCTCATGACTTCTAGGATCCGTCGCAGCTTGCCCACTATCAGAGTGAAAAGAGTCCAAAAACCGCTGAATAGTCTGCGTAGCTTTAGACAGCAACGCATAATTCGGATCACCCGGTCGAACGATGGTACCAATCTGCACCTCAGCCACAAAAACACTTAGATCTTGCAGAATCTTTGTGCGAGCTATATTCTGTGTCGTGTGCGTATGTTGTTTCAGAAGGGCAAGAAGAATAATTCCTGCCGCGGGGAGACCGTAATACGCGACCTGCGCAAGATCAGGGTTAGCACTGAAGCAACATTCTATAGAAGGATAAACAAAGTCTACCTTCCAAATAAGACCAGTTCCAGAGTTAGTCAACTGATCGCGTAGAAGGATACATTCCACGACAAGCGCGAGCATCTGCCCCGCTGTCTCGATGATGGGAATATCGGGTTCGGTCATGGTATTCAGTAATAAGAGGCGGAGTAAGAAGAGGACATGTAGATGCTGGAGACGAGCATGGGCTAGGAAGTCCCTGTCAAACGGAGTTCGGGAACAATGTTTTAGACTGCCACTAAGGCGAAGGGTAGCTGGGAGAGCGAGCCATTGTTCTTCGGCCTTTTGCTGGATTGTACTGTTTCCATAGCATCGAGTTAAAATTGAAGGTATGAAAGATGGGCTGATGCGAAAAAAAAAGTACCTGGCTCTTTGCAGACATTCTGCATCTTGCTTATCCTGTAATAATTCCCAGATCTCTTCTTTCAGGAACGCGCAGAGTGCAGACCAGCGCGAGTCGGCTCTATAGCCAGGCTTTGAATCGAGGTCCCAAATATGTCCATTATAATTTCGATTGTCGGTTGTTGTTGTTGCACCTGCAGTCGTATGACTATCTGTGCGTGGAATTGTCTGGCAAGAGGGGATTTGAAAATGGCAGAATCGTTTGTTCATCCGTGGGGGACGACCAAGAAAGATAGCAATGTTCTTGTCCGCGGAGTATATGCGCGCAAAAGCGGACTTGCGTAGTTCCATGAGAAACCGCGGGATACCAGGCTTAGCCTCGAGGTTCTCATGGTATCCCATGGCGAAGGTAGAGGAGATAACATCGCCGAGTTTCCGCCAGGAGTGATAACCTTGGTAGATGAGCTTATGAGAAAGATAATATCGCCGGGGAAATAGAGACTTACTCTGATCGCCATCCACATAGGAATGAACGATGAAATTCTCATATTGAGCAATTAACTGTAGATCATTGAGACAGTCCAGTGAAAGTGAAATCTCCAGCGCGAAATCACAAAGCTTCGTTGTTAGTCGCCTCAACGTATATTGATCTTCCTCCGCTGTATAAAGCAGTGGGAAGAATGGAATATCAATTGTAGCACGACTAACCGCCGCGAAGAAGATGCCGATTGTTTCCCAGCGACAATTATGATCCATGAACTGCATCGAGAACTCGGACAGGTCCATCGCTTGATGGAACTGGAGTGGCTGCGCAGAGTTATGGAGTAAACGCCGTGCATATGTTAAATGCCAATTCTCATCATTCACAGCGAAGAGCTGGCTCACACTTTCAGCGAATTGAGCCACGAAAGGTTCTGCGAGTGCAAGGTTCGCTCCCTTGGCAAGCCAGAACATCACAAGCTCTTTCATGGCGGAGAGAGGATATGCTGTTAGCAGGTGTCGGAGGACATCAGCTCCCTGGAGCAGCAAATGGTTGTCGCCGACCCATTTTGGATTCAGAGCTTCAGAGCTTCCGGTCTGAGTGTTGATGCTGTGGTCTCCATCTGTGGTGATGTGTTTAAATATGGCGGCATGGCTAGAGGACCCCAGGTACCCAGGATTTGGGTAGGGATTACGCCGAGGAGTAAAAGATGGTGATGGGTCCGGTGGTGGCAAGTTGCTAAATCCTCATTAGTGAGCCTCTCAGATTTCAGACATGCATGTGTATATTGTAGCATTGTTCGGTCGGTTCCACTTACCTCGGTTTCTCGATGCGCTTGCGCTTGAATGGCGTGGTGCGGTAGATGCACACGCCCTTGCCATTTTTACATCGCGAACAGACGGGCTGCTGGTGATCACAAGCAAGCTTTGCCTTTCGACAAGCTTCACAAGCAGCTAAGCGCGATGCCATCAACACTGGTAGGCGGAGTGTTGTCCGCAAGGGAAAAAGTTCTCGGCTACAGACGGGCGTGAGGGCCAGTCGGCGATAAGATAGTGGGGTACAGTTAAAAGCGGGGACCAATATAAAACATCCGGATCTGCACTTACTTCTTACATCTACCATCATACTCTCTTTACTTCAATTATGGCTTCCACCGACACCGTTAAGCTCGCGGATTATCTGCTCACTCGCCTACTTCAGCTAGGTGTCCAGTCTGTCTTTGGTGTCCCAGGTGACTACAACTTGCGCTTGCTGGACTTTGTTGTTCCCGCTGGTCTGCACTGGGTGGGGAACTGCAATGAGCTTAATGCCGCATACGCAGCAGATGGATACGCTCGGATCAATGGCTTGTCTGCTCTGATCACTACATTCGGTGTTGGAGAGCTGTCTGCTGCCAATGGTATCGCCGGCGCTTATGCTGAAAGGTCACCTGTCGTTCACATTGTCGGTACCCCACCGCGACCACTCCAGGACAATCGCGCATTGATGCACCATACCTTCGCCGATGGCGAATACAAGCGCTTTGCTGCTATGTCAAAGCACATCACGATCGCGCAAACCGAGTTGCAAGATGCCACGACAGCACCAGAGAGAATCGACTGGATCTTGCAGCAGGCTCTCATACACAGCCGCCCCGTCTATCTCGAGTTTCCCGACGACATGCCTCATGTTCTTGTGTCATCGGCAAATCTTAAGACCCCAATTAAAGTCCCAGCTGCCCCCAGCCCTGCATGTGAAGCTGAGGTTATTAACCGCATCCTGGAGCGAATCTACTCCGCTAAACAGCCCGCTATCCTGGTAGACGGCGAGAGCAAAGCGCTCGGAATTGTCGACCAACTCGATACCCTTATCAAATCGACTAAATTTCCCACTTGGACTTCCGTCTGGGGCAAGGGACTTGTCGATGAGTCCCACTCCAACGTCTACGGCCTTTACGCCGCATCATTCGGCGACAAGCCCGCACAAGAATATTTCGAATCGACCGATTTAGTCCTTACATTTGGCCCACACTACAGCGATACAAACAGCTACTTTGAAATGGCAGTTCCTAAGCCCGCCGCTGCCATCACATTCAGAGATAGCACTATCCAAATCGGATCAGATATCTACCGCGATATCTCTCCTCTCAAAGTCCTCACTGCCATTTTAAACAAACTTGACTCCTCCCGCACAACCACCGCTCAAGGCCCACCCAAACAAGTCATCACGCTTGATGATGTCAAACCTACCGATCTAGTCGCACAGAAGAACTTCTTCAGACTCGTTAACCCACTCTTCCGCGAAGGCGACATCATCCTCGCAGAAACAGGCACAGCAGCCTACGGCGGCCGAAATTTTAAGCTCCCGTCGAAATCGCGTCTATTCACTGCCGTCACCTGGCTATCAATTGGCTTTATGCTTCCCGCTACCCTCGGTACCGCGCTCGCAAAGCGGGAACTGAACAAGCCGTCTGGTGCACGGAACCAAGCGATCTTGATCATCGGTGATGGCAGTCTCCAGATGACAGCGCAGGAGATTAGCGTTATGATTAAAGAGAAGTTAGATATTCTGATCATTATCATTAATAATGAAGGATACACTATTGAGCGAGTTATTCATGGAAGGAAGCAGGCATACAATGATGTGCCGTTCTGGAGGAATACGAAGGCGCTCGAATACTTTGGAGCGGATGAAGAGGCTGTAAGGGAGAACACCTTTACGGCGAGGACAGTGGGCGAACTGCAGGATGTACTGAAGAATGAGAGGATCAAGGATGGGAAGGGGGTAAGGATCGTGGAGGTCTTTATGGAGAGGGAGGACGTGCAAGAGGGACCTTTGCTTTGGGTTTTGAACAAGCAGCTTGCGGAGGAAGAGGCGGCCAAATCTGCTTAGATGCTTCTTGAGTTTATCAGAGATAAATTTAGACAAGGTTTATCAAAATGGAGAATTTAATAACATTGAAATTGCCATGGTTGTGCCTAGGGTTCTGTGGGGTCGCAGTAACCAAAACATCAGCCGTTAAATCTAGTATGGTGGCCTTGCAAAGTTGGTCTCATTTACACCGTTAACACCGCGGAATACTACTGCTACTACTGCCTAGAACGCTTGATCCACCCAATAGCTCTTAGGTATGTATCAAAGCACCCGTAATGTAAATGCCGATAATGACACATCAATCCCCGGTTTCTGGCCATTTTACCACGTAAAGCTTCTTTCGAGCAAGTACATACATTGAAAATGGGTCTTAGAAAGTTGTAGGTCGAAGGCACCAGCCAAGTATTATTATGTGGATAATGGCCAGTCAAGTTCTGAGATGATTGTACAAGGGAACGTCAATTTATAAATTATCGTGATAATATTTCCATAGCACTAGGCTAATCTTTTGGATAATCATAATCATCATGTGCCTTTATAGGCAGTGGAGACTTCATGCGCCACGTTTTGGATCAACCCCAGGATGTTGTCGGGGATCACAAGTGTGAATAAAACAGACACGCCTCCATATTCCTTGCAGAGCTTAGGCACCCTTGGTTCGGCTGCGAGTGCGACTACCAACTCCCTCAGTCGGGACCGCCTTTTTGATGACCTCTTTCACTTTCTCCTTCTTGGAACGGCCGGCTTTCTTGGAATCTCCATTGGAATCTCCGTTGGCACCATCGGTGGTAGCTGAGGCTGGGGCTGGGGCCTCGGGCTCCTTGACAGGTTCTTTGACAGGTTCCTGTTCTGTCTCTAGCTTTTGTTTCTTGGGCTCGGGCTCTTCTGTCTTTTCAGCAGGAGGAGCAGCGTTATCCTTGTCTTCGGTGACTGGAGCTGGAGCTGGAGCTGTAGTAGAGTCAAGGTCGCGCTTCTCACCAGTTTGGGGCGTTTCCTTTTCGACTGTCTCCGTATTTGGCTCTTCTGCCTTCTTGGACTCTACCTGAGCTGCTACTGGAGCTTCCGGCTCTGAGGATGCAACGGGTCCATCGAGAGGGGGTTCTGTGGGTGGAGCATGCGGCGGCTGGGGATTAGGAGCCTCTGCATGATTGGTTTTCGCATTTGCTCGATCCTCTGTCACGGCCTCGCTATCTGGCTTTGCCGGATGCTCGACACTGTGAACTGGCTGAGTGGATTGGGCGGCTGGAACTGTGTCTGATTAGTCATCATATACTGAAGTGCAACAAATGTGAATAGCAGCGACACTGGCATCCCCAAAGAGATGAATACCTTAGAAAAGGTTGCAATTCATCTGGATGGACAAATTTGCAGCTAGAGCACACGTACCTGGAGCCAACAGGGGGTTTTGCGCGGGCACACCTTCACTAGCCATGGTAGATCGATGATGTCAGATATGGGCACGTGCCTTGGGGAAGGATAAAGAATTGGGATCGCTAGGGTAAGGCGACTGCAATTAAAGTAATACAGATAGACTACAAGAGAATAGTAGAGCAGAAAAGGAATAAGAAATGGATTTAAGACGTGGGAGAGGTGAGGTTGCGCGGTGACGTTTACTAAGAAAGATGGAGACGCTAACCCGATTGATTCCCTCGCAATGCGACTGGGCCGATTCGCCTCCTGCGACCCCATGCTGAGACCGCCGTCACACAGTGATTTGCTCTTCACCCATAACTGCTTTTCTCCATGCAAATGCCTCTTCATTCCCGTTGCATCCCGTGTTGCTCTCCAGTTTCTCGCTGCCTCATGTACTTGGTACCTGTATGCCAAGCCGATCTCGGAGAAGTTTATCCGGATGGCGCAGGGCGGGTGGGGTCTGAGTGCGGAGTACTGGAACCATCTTCGTCATGGCGCACTGAAGTGCTCCGGGAAATGCTGGACACTGAAATTGACGTCGTTGACGCCAGAGTGAAACATTCGTGTCCTCCCAAAATCAAACTAGGAATTTGACTGGAAGTATGGATCTGCGATAGCCCTGTCTCGGTACATCCAGACGATGGCTTGCTTTGACTGTCTGCCTCTAGTCTGACTGTAGACTGTGTGTTTATTCCCATATAATATTTCGTATTGACGGGTAGTCATTACCCGTCAATGCAAAGCCAAAAACCATAGAAAATCAGGTCAAGCTCAGCTCCAGGTGACTGTAAATGTCTCCTTCCTCCCTAACAGAAGAACGAATGCGAGATCCCTCAGCATTTTCCGTTACATTGCCCGGGAGCAACACATGCACATTGCGAGCCAAACCTGTTGCATCTCGAATCTTCTTCTGTTCGATTAGAAGCCGGAGAGCGTCACATGCAATACGAAGGAAAGCGTCTCGACGAGAATCATTCCAAGCCTGGACTTTGGGTGATGAAAGGGATTCCACAAAGCGAATGAAAGGTGTCGCGTCGGGATGAGTCGGATGGCAGAGGGACACGCTCGCAAATAACAACGATCGAGAGGATGCCAGAGTAGAAATGACGTTTCGGTACTCGTCGTAAATGTAAGGGACAATTGTCTCAGTCAACGGTTTGGCGTCCATGGCGGCACGACTTAAATGGGCTCCAGCTGCGAGCAACATCGGCTTTCCCGTCTTGGTTTGTTGGGGCGACATCGAATGTATGTGACAGATACGTAAATAATATTTGAAGGCCGAAGCAAGTCCTTCTCCATATCGGAGCTCAGCATCCATAAAGTCGGTGAGGAGATGGCTAATGCTTTGTTGGGCTACTGAATCTGTGATTCGACCATTATAACCGCCCAAATCGCGGCTCAGCAGCATTCTGATCCACTGGATAACGGTGTCGTGAAGCCCCTCGGCGACCATAAACTTGGTTAAAGATGAAGTGGTCGCCCGTGACTGCAGCAACATCTGCCGTGAGGCCCCATCGGAGGCCCAGAACCATTCAACCACGCGAGATGCGGCCCGCGAAGTTTTCATCGCCTTACTGACACCTTTCTCAGCAGGAGACCGTACTAAAAGCAGCTGGGATTTTAAACAGTTGGTGATTATTAACGGCGTGACAGAGCCTGAGGCAGCCAGCTCATCAAAGACGAGCATAGGGTCCTTGGCCAGTCGATTCTGTTCATCGATACCTCGGACAGCATGATGATCCGGACTGGTGCCCTTGGGCGGTACAATTCGGAACAGCGGATTGTCTAGAATCGTATGCAGATGCTTGTCGGTTGCATGACGTGAGGATTCGGTATTCAAGGGCTGTCGATCGCCCTCATGGGTGTCCGAATTGGATGTTGGGTACGCGTGGTCCAGCTGACGACGAAATGAAGAAGTGAGAGCGTTGAGCAACTGCTGGGACTCCCTTGGTGTCCGAGGAAGTGGCTGGTTGATTTTTGGCCAGGACTTGAACTGGAAAATAGATGTACCCTTCATGGTTCGGATGCGGTGAGTCCCAACTCGATGTGACAACTCCCAAGTGTTTGGCCCCTTGTGAAGGAGATCGCCGCGAGGGGTGGGCGGTGAAGACCCAACTTTGGGCGGGAGTGGATGACGAGCAGACCAAGTGGTGCGATCGGTCGTGAATGAGACGTAAATTGGATAGAGGAGCAACGAAGGGGATTCAATGGAAGAAAAGAGGGAGAAAACTTCAAGTGAAGTACTTGAGAATTGAATAAAATACTTAGTTTTAAGTCTACGTTCTTTGGAATCATCCAACTGAAAGACCAAGCAACACACCAATAGGCGCCACTCGCTAAAAAGCCAGGCAGCGCCAAGACCAGCTGTGACTGGGAGCAACACATCAGAACTTAGCTTTTGCCTCTATTAACACTCCCCCCCCCCTTCTTCCAATACCAACACTTTTCTTGCTTTTTGCTTCTCTCTCTGGATTGCTATCCGGCCCGTGTGCCTGTGGTCCATTTCTGGTGCTTTTCCTCTTGCGCGAGGGTGCCATCTTACACTTTTTCACCCTACCTTCTCAGATCCTTCCACGAAACCCTTGCGACATCGTGACTACCTTCCTCATTCCATTTCTTCCATCTCACATACCCACACACAATGTCCGACATTCAGAACCGACCCTCTGCTCGAGGCAGAGTATCCGCTCGCGGTGGCCGAGGTGGCTACAGCAACAGAGGTGGCCGTGGTGGAAACAGCAGATCCAATGCCGACAGCTCAGACATCTCATCCTTTGATGAAGGTGAAATTGGCCAGATGAAGAAGAAGTATGCTGACACTTTGCCCACTCTTCTGGAGTTGTTCCCCGACTGGAAGGATGAGGATCTGTTATTCGCTCTGGAGGACTCAAACGGTGAACTCGAGGAAGCAATTGAGCGCATTACCGAAGGTTGGTCCCCCAGAATCACAACATCACCCAGCTCGTCGGTATATCACCAATTCCATGACCTGTTGCTCACACAATTCCTTCAGGTAATGTTTCGCAATGGGGAGAGGTCAAGAAGAAGACTGTGGACCGGACCCGCCCCAAGCCCAAGGAGGCTCAGAGCACTCCAACCGAGTCGAACGCAGCTCCCATCCGTGCAGCCCGTGGGCGCGGTGGATTGGAAAGCCGTGGTCGTGCCCGTGGAGATCGGGGTCGTGCCGGCCGTGGTGGTCGGGCTGGTGCTCAAACAAATGGAGCTCGCGTTGTCAGCACTGCAGAGTCTGTGCCTGCGCCTGCGCCTGTGGCGACCGAGCCCGTTACATCCAACGTGACAGAGGAGGTTGACAATGAGCCTGCAGCCACAGAGTCAGAGCCCCAGACCAGTGTGATCCCTGAAGGCTCAAAGAAGGGTTGGGCTAGTTTGTTCGCCAAGCCTGCTCCTCCTCCCCCGCAGAAGAAGGCTCCGCAGCCCGCTCCTGTGCCTGTTGTTGAGAAGGCTCCCGAACCTGTGCCCGAGCAGAAGGCTCCCGAACCCGTCCCTGCCCCTGCCCCCGCCCCGGCCCCGACACAGAAGACCCCTGTTGCGAAGCCGATCCAACCTGTTGTCCCTGCCATCCCCGCCGCTAAGCCTCCCCAGGTTGACTTGACCGAGACGAACCTTGAACAGATCCCCGACGTGTCCGCTCCCGCTCCTACCGCGACTGCTGCCAGCACCGTTGGTAGTGCTTTGGACCCGATGGCAGCTGCCCAGGCTACTCCTTCTCGTGCTCCTCCTTCCAACGTCCCCGGCAGTGGATACAAGCAGGGTGCTCGTGCTCCCGGATTCCAGCGTCGTGTCATGGAGCAGCAACAGGCTGTCGTGATGCCCGGCAACCACGCGGTTGACCGTGCTGCTGTGCAGTTTGGAAGTATGGGACTGAACGGTGACGCTGTCGACATTGATGAGAACCGTGAGGAGGCCGAGACCCGCGCCCAACCTCCTCAGCACTCCCCTGTTGCCCCTCGTGCTTCCCTCCCTCCCACCACTCAGGCTGCCACTGAGACTCCTACCGCCCGCCCCGCCCCTGGTCTTCCCCCAGTTCCTCAGGGCTCCGTTGCCGATTCCTCCTTCGACTTCGCCCGCTACTCCGAGACCCAGAAACCTTACGATCCTTTTGCCATTCCTGCCAGCCAGCCCCAGCAGCAGATCCAGGAGCCTTTCGCCAACCAAGCCCCCACTCAGCCCGCTGCTACCACCGGCAGCGAGTACTCTCCCTTCTACGCCGCCGACCAGCAGCGTTTCCCCTACAACTACTACGATAGCTATGGCCAGACTCAGAATGCCACTGCTGCTCCCCGCGCTGCTCCCGGATTTGGTGTCTCGAGTGCTGAGGCTGCGCCTCAGATTCCTACCACTCAGGCTCCCAGCCGTTACGGTCCCGTCGATGCCACTAACAGTGGCCACAACACCCCCAACCCCACCATGCCTGCCGCCAACCAGACTCCTGCTTCCCAGCTCATGCCGGGCCAGCAGAGTGCCTACGGCTACGGCTACAACCCTTACTACGCCAACCCCCACTACGCTCAGTACATGAACCAGATGAACCAGCAGCCGCAGTACAACCGCAACCGCCCGATGTATGATGATGCTCGCCGCTATGACGACCCTAACCAGCCGCAACAGCAGCAGCAGCAGCAGCAACACTACGGTATGCCCCACAACAACCAGTACGGCTACGGTAACCAGTACGGTCCCTACGCTGGTAAGGGTGGCATGTACGGCCAGCCCCACGGCTTCTCCTATGACCACACTTCTTCGCCCGCCAATGCCGCTGCCAGCTTCAACCAGGGTACTCCCGGACGTGACTCCGTCTACGGTGGTCGGACCGGCTCTGCGCAGCCTGCCGACAACCAGCAGACCGCTGCTGGTACCAATGCCTTCAGCACTGGCATGTCGGACGTCTTTGGTCGGTCCCAGGCCGGTGGATTTGGTCAGAACCCCTCCGTCGCCCAGCAGGCTCCTGTGACTGCTGAGGAGACCAAGGGCTTCGAGGCCCCCAAGGCTGGCGGCCCTAGCCCGTCCCTCGCCCAGGCCAACCGCCCCGGCTCTGCCACCAACAACGTTCCCGGTCAGCCCCAGGGCCAGACCGGTCTTCCCCCGCTGCAGGGTCAGCAGGGTCAACAAGCGTTCGGCGGCTACGGCCACCTGAACCCCCAGTATGGCGGTCTTGGCGGTCTCAGTGGCCATCAGGGTGCTGCTTCTCAGACCGGTGGCTATAACAACTACGGTGCCGGATTCAGCAACTACTACGGAAACAACAACCGTGGTGGCTGGGGCAACAACTACGGCCACTAAGGAGAATGACTATTTAATATTTTTTTGTCTCCCTGCCATACACATATGGCGTTGCATATGCAGGTGTGAGAAAATCAAAAAGGGCGGGGTTTCTGTTCTATGTCAGACTTGATCACATCTTGTCCAGGCAATAAACAAAACCTCCTATCATTTTCTTTTTCATCTTTCTTTCCTCAACATCTGTGTAATCTCTACTCTCTTCTGGGAGCTTGGCTGGCTATTCCTTTTGGGGGGACTGGGTCGCGTTTTCTTTTCATGCTATTTCCTTTTGCTACACGCCCGAGGCGGTCTGTATTAAATCCATCAATTTTCCCCTCTATGTACCTCTTGCCTCTTTGTCTTTTTTTCTCTTTTTTTTTTCTTTTTTTCACCCTAGCTCTCGTCAATTGAGGTGTTATTCGGTGACGGGTTTCTCTCTTTCTATGTCCCTTTTTTTTGTCCTCTGTCATATGCATCTGGGTATGGCCGGGGTTGTGGGTGCTCAATGAGCCTTCAAAAAGTGTGATGAGTTATGTACGCACCTATACGAACCAGATATTGCAAGACTCAATAGATCCTCCTAGGGCAGAAGCTCATGACTCCACCTCGTATTCGTATTCACCCAATCTGCCCGTGCATATATGCTCCGTTGGTCACATGCGCTTCCTCGTGCTTGAACGCTTACTTGTCAATGGTTCCTTCCAAGTGAACAGCGTAAAATTTTGAGAATATTGACTTATCTTGATAAAACGCATCCATATTTGATTAATCGGAAAGACCTCGGGGGTTTACCCCGCACCTGCTACATTATATATTGGTGCTCCACCATCTGGGGATACATACCACTGTACCTGACGTGCATTCTACACAAGCAACGAAGATAAGGCTGAATAATAATAAAAAAAAAAAAAATGAAACCAAGATCATATGATTAGGTTGTTCAACTGTTGATCTGCTCGACTCAAGCATATAAGCAAGTGGCACGATCACTGGGACTATATACAATCAAAATGCATGACATGGTCCTCCAAATAACCAAGGACATCACAAAACCAACTCTATGTGAAGACAATCGGGCTAAGGGACAGGACTAGATAACCCGAGAGACAGAGTATGTGGTCCTGGCCCGGATCCACGAGAAAAAAAAAAAAGAAAACACCCAAAATGAAAATGAGAACGGCGCCTCAAGCCAAACAGATCTAGGCATCTACGCATCAAGGCCAAGGCCCTCAGGACCAACCTTGTGGTAGGGAGGCTGAGCACCAGCAGCACGGGAAGCATCAAAGCGCCAGATTCCACCAGTCTTGTCACCATCCAGATCCGCAGTGAGTTCCAGCAACCGAGCAAGCTCCTGAACGGTAGCATCGTCATCCTTGACTTCAACACGGTTGAAGAAGCGACGCTCCCATTCCCGGTCCTCGGCTTTCTCTACCCGGCGCATTTCACGCTGGGCATGCTCAATACGTGACTTGTGGGCGGAGACAGCATCCATGTCGTTCTTCTGGATGTTCTCAGCAACCTCCTTCCAGGCACGACGAGACTCGTACAGATCCTGATTTTCGATCGGGGCCAAAGTCAACGGAGTAGTCTTGTTCTCCTCCACAACCCAGGTATCGACGACATCCTTGGTACCGGCCTTCTTAATGGTGAAGGTGTTTGACCATTGGCCGTCGATGGTATACAGGGGCTTCTTCTCGCCCTCACTGGCCTTGTACAGGCTTGCGGTGAAAGTGTTCTTCTTTCCGCTCAACCAGCCCTTGCCGGAGAAATCGATCTTGGAGACGTAACCGCTGCTGCTGGCGATTTTGGCGGTCTTCTCGAGCTCCACGAAGGGAGTGCCGTAGATCAAGGACTCGATGTGCAGGTTGGGGAGGGTGATCAGGTATCGCTCCTTCTCACCACCGGGGAGAGTAAGGGTGTAAAGAGCGTGTCCGATCTGCTTCACCTGGATGGTGCTGGAGAAGGATGCCTTCTGAGCATTGTATCCTTGGAGCTGGAGGAGGAGCATGTGTCAATGATTGTGATTGTGAGGAGCACGTGATACACTTACCTCGACGCCATTCTTCTCGTTCGAGATCGCATACGCTGTAGCAGGGGGGTGGTGGCTGCAGATTGCTTGTGAGTATCTCGAGGATTCGATTGAGATTGGAAAAGACCACGTACCTGACCTGCTCACTGACCAACTGTGTCTCGCCAGTCTCGGCATTACCCTGCCACTTACCAATGAACAGCTCACCAAGGAAGGGGTTCAGAGGCTTCTTCTCGCTACCAAGCTTCTCACTACGGCTGCAGTACTGCTGGTGCAGAGTAGTCAGGAACCATTTGAGGACAAGGAGGGCCCGCTTCTCCGGATCCGACTCCTTGGCGGGGGCCACGAACACGTCGGGGTGTTCAGCCCAGTAGGCGGAGTACTCAGTGAGGGAGGTCGAAGACAAGATGAAGGGAGGGGCTGTCAGGGACGAGAGATCTCCGTTGAAAGAGGCGATGGACTGAAAATAAAAAAGATTAATTGCAGGAACTCGAAAATAAAGGTGGCATGCATCCCACCTTGAGGAAACTAGTCCACGAGCCCTTGCTGTGGGCGGGCACGGCGCTCTGGGGTTCTTTAGGCGACATTTTGAGAATTAAATTGGAGAAAAAAAGAAATAAAGTCAAACAGCTGAAACACAAGAAACTCCCTCTAGTCAAGCAAGTGGGGGGGATGAGTTGATGTCAACGGTTGGCGGTCAGAGGATAACGTCATGGCAAAGTTGCATCGGTGCCTCTCGGTGCTATTGGTCGATCTTGATGAACAGCCACACTGTCACCCCTACAGTATTAACAAGCCCTGGGTTCCGGCTGGGGTAGATTGCGCGTCTAAACTATGACTGTATATAAGAATATATAAGAACTCATAGTACTAGTGATACTCATGCCCGATGGGCCCAGGTGGAGAAAAATACCGTAGAGATCGAGGGGCAGATAAAAAATCTCCGATCCGTGTACATCTCAAACATGTCTGACATTTGCCAGAGCCCTCTGATATTCAAAAACAGCAAAAGTCCGTTGTTATCGCTTTATCGCATTGCCTAGAACATATCGGATTCTTTTCCGCACTGACTCGGCTGTGGCAGAGACTAACCATGTCCCCACGCTATCCTGTCTCAACCATTGGTTGCCATGCCCTGGATCGGACCCTGGAAGAGCCAGACTCAAGCCGTTTGTACTGCAGCATGGACATTTTACTGCCTTACGGACTACAAATCCGACGTTTTGACTGAATGTGACCCCGCCGATCCTCGGCCAAAGATAACCATCGCCGAAGATCCAAGCAGATTTTTCTTTCTGACTCACTGCTCTTAATTATATTCAATCAATGGTTTGCTATCTTTTCTGGTCCTTAAATTGTGCAATTGAAGCATTCTTCTCCTGATTTCGGGAACTATATCCCCCGCAGTATGCCATCGGAAAGATCCCGCGGTTGAAAGTTGAACTGATTCCATCTACGAGAGCCTCTCTTCTCAATTCACAAAAGCATAAGGCTTGGCCTTGGATATATCTTATTCTTATTTATCTCCGATCACTGTATAGCCCGCCAAAAGCGGTTGACATTCAGAATGTCCCCGACACACTCAACTTCCAGTATCGAGGAAGTTCCCTCGGTAGAAGAGATACAACCCCAAAGAACCAAATCACGCCGATCTGAAGCAGGAAATGACCTTCATTTGGTTCAAAGTCACCTATCCCATCATGATATGCCGGTCACCAACGACGACGAAGAATTCCACGAGGTTGACGCCGACCAATATCTACGCTTCTCGCATACCCGCAAGATAATCATTGTTGCTGTATTATCTTTCTGTTCATTTCTCGCTCCTATTTCCTCGACATCAATTCTGTCAGGTGTTCCGGAGGTCGCAGTGACCTATAATACCACCGGAAGTATTATCAACGCCAGCAATGCCTTGTACCTGGCGTTTATGGGTATCGCGGCTCCTTTCTGGGGTCCATTTAGTCAAGTGTGGGGACGGAGACCGGTCAGTGCACCATATAGTCCTCATGCAAGAAATATTGTTTTTCCAGGGGCTAACCAGATCTTCCAGATCTTCCTTACAAGCGCTTTTCTCTTCTTTGCCTTTAGCATTGGCACTGCGCTAGCTCCAAATCTCCCAGCATACTTTATCTTCCGTGTTCTCACTGCCTTCCAAGGAACGTCTTTCTTGGTCGTAGGCAGTTCTGCCATTGGTGATATCTACGAGCCTCGTGCTCGTGCTACAGCACTAGGCTGGTTCCTATCAGGTACCCTCATCGGACCAGCATTTGGACCTTTTATCGGCGTACGTTCATCCCCCACCATTTCCAACTAAACCAAACTAACTCATTAAAGGGTGTCATTGTCACATTCTGCTCCTGGAGAGTAGTATTCTGGCTCCAAACGGCACTAGGCGGCCTCGGCACGCTACTGGTATTCTTCTTCTTCCCAGAAACATACTTTCACCTCGCCAAAGCAGACCCAGCCCAGAAGTGCACCAAACAAAAAGCCAAGTTCCTTTGGCACCGTGTCAACCCCGCGCGCGTTGGAATTCTTCTCTTCTCTTACCCGAATCTTTTTTTCGCAGGCCTAGCCGCTGGCGCTCTAGTTTGGAACCAGTATTCCCTTCTGACACCTATCCGCTATGTCCTCAACCCCCGCTTCCATCTGACAAGTCCAATTGAGTCGGGCCTTTTCTATATCGCGCCTGGATGCGGGTATTTAGTGGGTACGTTCATGGGGGGACGATGGGCGGATCACACAGTGAAGAAATGGATCCGCAAGCGTGGGGGTGTTCGTGTCCCTGAAGACAGATTGAAATCCTGTCTCGTGTTCCTCGGCATCGTCATCCCGGGTTGCATTCTTGTTTATGGCTGGACTGTTGAGAAGGCCGTTGGCGGGATTCCGGTGCCGGTACTTGCGATGTTTATTCAGGGTGTTGCGCAGCTCTTTTGCTTTCCCAGTTTGAATACCTTCTGTCTGGATGTGATGCAGTCTTCGGGTCGAAGTGCTGAGGTCGTTGCCGGTAATTATATGTTCCGATATGTCTTTGCTGCGATTGGCTCTGGTGTGGTACTTCCAGCCGTTGAGGCTATCGGCGTTGGATGGTTCAGTACCATTAGTGCTTTGTTTCTTGTTGTCGCGGGTCTGTGTGTCTGGGCCACTACTATTTTCGGGGACAAGTGGAGACAGCAGGTTGATGCTAAGAATCAGCGGAAGGCGGGCATTACTGGGGAGCAGCCCTCTCAACCAGATAGTGAGAAGAGAGCCGAGGTCTAAGTATGGGGCCCATTTGCATATTTTTAATTCTTCTGGCAAAATTTAGATACATCACTGAGCAATAATGTTTTCTTCAGCCAATTTTTCTGCAATGTACAGCGATAGAAGGTTAGGCGAAGAGGAGAGAAGCTATCTATTTTCTTGAATATTGATTAAATTTTACTCTGCCACAAAAAGTCATCAGTAGATAGTGCTAGAGTCAATGATCTGACTTTTGGGGGAGATTTCCAACGTGCGCTTTGACCGGTATGTTCATTTGGTCACCTGGTGGTCTTAATACCTTAGTATCAAGGAGATCAAGCCAATTTCTGCATCAGATCCGGGTTAAAGCCAGCATTCCTCTATTTATAGATTCATAGAAAGCTAAACTTGGAGTTCTGTCAAGGTCAGTTAGACCCTGCTGTGACTTCAAAGCACGTAAGAATGATAATTATGGTATATCAAGTAGCGACCCATCAGCGCCTGACATTTACATGCACATCCTAGCATTTCATATTTGAAAGGAGGACTTGTGATTCGATAATTCAATTCTGCGCCGGAAATTCCGCTAAGCTTATATTTAGCGTGGTCACCCCATCCGCGGGTGTAACTGTGTCTAGAGTGTATCGATCTATTAGTCGCTTACTTGCGGAGCTCCAGGAAAACCGATTGGAACGATCCACTGCACATTGCCTTGAGCTTTGCACTTCAACTTCTTTTACCTGCATGGTAGCGAGGCAATTGGTTCTGGAGATCAAACAGTCCCCAACGGGTGAAACCATTACGATGCCATACAGCAAGGGGGATCCCCGCAAGGAAAGCTTTGTAGTGTGAATTGCGACGAGTTCTCAATCATTGTAAAGCTTCTCTTTGGAGGTGTTTGCCTCTAACGTCCTGTTGTGTAGCTTGACTGCTCTCATATTACAAGAGTCAGTCGGGTGATCACCATTCCCCAGGTCTTTATTCGTGATCGAACCTTTGTGCACCTTACAAGGTTATGAGAGAGCAACGAGAATATTAAAAATAGGAATCTCATTTAGACATATATAAACACCTCCATCCAGCTTCTTTTCAGTCATTCTCATCATCTGAAAATCCTCAACTAAAAGTCCAACTTCGAACCAAAATCTTCACCCACAATGGCTATTGACGCTGCATTCCTCGAGTCCAATGACGGCCAAGCCTACGTCTTCAAAGGAGATCGTATGGTTTGCATCAAAGTCGTTCCATCCACAATCCACGACAAGGTTATCTGGGGACCAAAGTCACTCGCAACCGGCTGGAAACCTCTTGCCAAAGTCGGTTTCACCAAGGTCGACGCAGTTCTTCCAGTCCCCAACAACAAGGGTCACATATGGGTGTTCAGTGGAACTCAATATGCCCGGATCGATATGGACAAAGAATCCGTTTGGTTTGGTCCTGCGCCAATCGCTAAGCATTGGCCGTCGCTCGTCAAGGCGGGCTTCACTACCGTCAGTGCTGTTTTCCCTACTCCGGGAGAACCGAATCATGCGTATTTCTTCCACAAGGAGCAATTCGCCCGCATCACCTTAACTCCCGGCAAGGATGAAGACACGGTTTACGATGGTCCTGCTCCTCTTGCCAAGCGTTGGCCGGCCCTTGAGAAAGCAAAATTCACTACTATTAATGCTGTGATTCCGACTCCAGGATTCGCTAATGATGGATACTTTTTCTGTGGCGAGCAGTATTTACGTCTTACTGTTACACCTGATGATAACCGTGACACGGTTGTGTTTGGGCCTGCTCCTATCCAGAAGCATTGGACTTGTCTTAAAGATCTGTGATCGCGTGTAACGTGAAGGGGCTTATTTTGTGGGGTTGAAAGTGAGGAGTGATGATCCTTTTATCTGTTGCTGAGACTGGTCGGAATGTATGCGTTCCAGTCAAGTGCCAGAAAAGGGAAGCAAAGGGCTCCGGAAAATGAGTCTCAATCTCAGACGCTAGTTACAAGTGAAGAACTATAACGTGAAATTGATTATAATGCAATGATCTTGCATGATCATTGCCTATTTGAAGGAGCTACATCAAATTAGTCATTCTAGGTGTCGTAGGTCATCCATATGATAAGTCGAGAACGAAATTTCCAAATCTGGAACGACCGGAAGGCTTTATATGTAATATTGTTGACGGTAAGGCTGGGTAGAGATCGGCTCCCTGAGCAGCCCTGAGCCCTCTTTGAGCACGCCTCGAGTACCTATCCCGGGCCAGTCCCTGCGGTCTGTCATCTTGCTTCTACATTCTTACCTGCTACGCTGCTAGCCGGGCTAGACCCAGTGTTCCTGGGAGCTGAGCCGCTCACCCGGAGATTTCCTTGCGTAAACGACGATATGCACGATAAGGTCTATGTGATAACTTTGGTTGGAAATTAGATTGGAAAGAATATTATTTTGATGAAAATAAAGAGGGACATGTAATGTCGAGACGGATATATGAATGCCCGATATCTCAGCCGCCCATCAGGGGGTTCTGTAACTTGATTGTTTATTGATGAACATTGCATGCCAACTGCCGAGGCTCAAATCCAACTCTAACTGTTCTGTGATATGACTCGGCATATCCTCCTGTTTATGCCACCTGGAGAAGTCGTACCCTGTGTCTTAGTACACCATAAACCCAACGATCATAACCAACCCAGTGAACATGATCCATTGCTCCGGGAAAAATGATGTAGCTACCGAGCACTTTGCTGTGTCTAAATTCCTGTATACTAGCGGAAGTTCCTAAAAATTCTAAGTTATAAAGGACCACATACCCCCTCGTGCCCATGAACACATATAAAGGAAGCTTAGCGTAACGTCCTCGTAGAGTGTAGCGTTGTAGTAAGTCGTGTTGTAGCAAAGGTTTTTAGCCTTACAAATCTCCGATTTGTTCGTGGATTGGAGCGTGAATGAGGCGGTTTCACACAAGCACTTCACATGAGACCGCTTTGTACTAGACGCCCCTGTAGAATAGTTCCCACACTTGGTGGTATTGAAAGTTGCATCATAGTACTGCTCCCCACAACATGGCTGCATGCAACTTTGGAACCCGTCCACCCAAGCATCATAAGAGCATGGCGTGTATGCAATTACGCTCAAAGCCCAGCAGAGCACCAGGAAAAAATATGTTGAACGAGGACGATGCATGCTCCAAAGTCAGTAGGAACGTGTGGAAAAGAGAATGTTTGAGAATTACTTAAACGTAACGGTGGCAGCGTTGTTTTTCGAAAAAATTCCAACAAAAATTTTGTTGAAATTCACTTCATTCTTGTACTTAACAATATCAGTTAAGGCGTCAACTTAATTTCCTGCTAGACCCGGAGTGCTATTTGAGTCTCCATATATTGTGAATGGTACTGTAGCCGACCTACAATGTCTCCACTCTTTCCACCCCACTACCCGGCCTATGTTCGCCTCTCAGATACTGCGAGTAGCCGAGAAGTTTTTTATTTAAGAGAGAGCTAGGAATATATCCAAATCAAACCACCAAGTTCTTCAAAACCCTCCGGTTTGTGGAGACCGAAATTCAATTTCGATCGCATATATGAGCTTCGAAAGCGACAAGTCACTTGAAAATGTCCCGGAAAATCTCTCATATCCTTTACGCTCCTTCATCGGCTCCGCACGGGATTTCGATAGTCCTAATATAAGTGCCAGTGTCAAGGTTGTCAAGAGCTTAGCTTCCCGAGGTCGGTTTAGCGCTGCCCTAAATAAGGCGAAGGTGCCGCTAGCCGATAGGACGTGTCGGCGGAAATTCGGGAAGAACCTGCTATTTTAGTGCATAAGGGACACTTTTGCTCGACAGAAAGACTTTTAATTAGGATCTAGTCACTAGGGGTTCAGGGGTTCAGGGGTCCAGGGCCCTGCGCAGATTCCTTTTGCATGACTTAAGACTAAGTAATGATCGACAATTGTGGACGTATATATGATTCTAAAACAATTCTTTCATAAAATATCTACAACAGCCTGACTTTACTATTTTAAGCTTTTCCAAACAAATTGAGCGAGGCTTAAGTGGTCTATGCTAGGTAACAAACTAAGCCGAAGAGATCCTCTTCGGCTTTAGTCCGCGAAGCTTGGAATGCACTAAACCTAAATCGGTGTGCTTAACGAAAGATGTAGTATAACTCTCGGATTCTCGACGGGGACTACTTTATTTAGAGACAAGCCTTTTTCCAATCGATTATCTCATTTACCACCGACAGGCCGGATACCCCACCACTGGTGAAGCTGAGCCGGAAGAACCGTAGATAGAACCCTTCGTGGTCAGCACGGTGATAAAGCTTAGCAGCTACGTTGAACTACCGTCGCCTAAAAGTTATACAGAAACTAACATACGTCTGGAGCTAATTACAGGATACCCACACATTGCCAAACGAAGGAAGCATACCTCCATTAATCATTATGTAGGTATTTCTGAAAATTCATCGGCGAAATAAATGACCCAACCCAGAGATTGAAGAGTAATCTCTACATTCTGCTAAACACGCTCTGATAATTTCAGCATCTATTGATCAATGTTCTCGTGGTGTGCATGCTGCGAAGTCTCCTTATCCTGATCTGGCCCAGCTTCAATCTCTGCTTGAGTTTGAAGTACTTTCTCTTCGGCGGGCGCATCAATATGGGCATTGAACTCCTTAGAAGGATTAACCAGGAACAAGGTAGCTATGAAGATCCCCATGATTAGCAAATGCAAGAAGTAACAGAGTCCTCAAGTGCCTTGAGTGCCACGATCACGTACCTATAGCTGCCACAAAAACGAAACAGGCAGCTGTGATCCAGGCATCGCGAAACGCAATGCTATATGCATCTTTGAATGCGGCGAGCGCCGCCATCCCTATAGCTGGCGTAACGCCCGGAACGGACTCCAACGCATTGGCGCTCCCTGATGACAGGGCGCCGATAAGTGCAGGTAGCTCAGCCTGTGGAAATCCCAGCGGCAGGATGGCTTCAGCAATGTTCGGAACCAGATTTTTTGATAGGGAGTTATGAATGATGGCATTGTTGATTGCCAGTCCAATTGCGGCCCCGACGGATCTGATGGAAGTCATCAAGCCGGATGTGATCGATATCAACTCAGGTGGTGTATCCAGTTGAGCGGCTACCATGACAATGGGTAAGATCATTCCAACCCCGAGACCGGCGAATACGGGGTATCCCCAAAGGACGGTGAGAGGAGTGCTCGGTGTTATCGTTGCCATGAGGACATTGAAGATGACCAGAGATGAGACGCCGACAAAAAGGGGGCTTCGGACGACTTTTCTAGCGGACGACCATGATCCTGCAAGTGGGGCGAAAGCGACAGACGAAAAGAAAGCGATGGCGAAATGGAGAGCAACGGTCCAAAGTGAGCCCCCGGTGAGTAAGCCAGTTTCGAACGGGTAGTAATTGTTGCAAGTAAAGAAAGAAAGACCCTCTGCAAATGCAATGGCGAGAGAGATTGGGAAGTTCCGGCTTTTAAAGAGACCGTGATGGAGCATCCCGTCGCTCTTCCAGCGCCACTCGTAGAGAATAAAGACGATAAGGAGCACCACGCCAATGATGAAAGGCGCAAGGATGTGAGCATCAGACCACGTATAGGGATTCTGAGACCACGCAAGACCAACACAAAATAGGGTCAATCCGGGCGAGAACGTGCCAATACCAATCCAGTCAAGTCGTCGCAGTTTCTCACGAGTATTCAACGCAACTTGAGCCTCTCGAGGGGGAGGGTTATAAAAGCAAAAACAGAGTATTGAAGATGCCATAAAAAGCCCGGCGACGACATACCAGTAAACTCGGTAGTTGTCAAGGTTGTTATAGCGAAGCAGTGAGCCACCCAACAGCAGGCCAGCCACGGCTCCCAGTCCCGCAGTCAAATTTATTGTGGCCTGCGCCGTCGGTCGGTGTTTTCGTGGTAAAACCTCTGAAACAACGGCGAAGAGCAGAGATTGGCTGCCAAAAGACATACATAAGAGGCAGAAGCCGCCAATTACCATGGCCATTGACGTTGCCCGTCCGATAATAAGAGAGCCGGCGAACCCACAGACCATCAGGACAACCAAAAACCATTTTCGACCCCAGTAATCAGCAGCCTGGCTTATTGGTGGAGTCAAAACAGCAGTGAATATAGTAAGAATTGAGCTTGGCCAGACGCTCAAACTGCTTTCATTGAATAGCGTAGTAATCGGCTGAGCTAGAAAGCCGGCGCCAACAACAGCGAATAGCTGTGCCAGGTAGATGAAGTTGATAGCCTGAAGACTGGTTAGAATATGATTTGGACTTTAAAATGTCCAAGAACAAGGCATGGCATCTGTACAGTAACAACTAAGATTGTCTTGAGGCCAATATGGACTTCCTCGCGGAAGGTAGAAGATCGAACGGGTGCCATCTTGTGAATAGGTCATGAAAAAGGCGAAGATCTGCGTTCCTGCAGAGACCATGTGGATCCAAGGTTGTTTCTATACTCTTTTGTACATCGGAACCCCACAAAATCTAAGTTTGGGATTACGCGGGGTACACTCGGCATGTTCACTCTCGTGTACGATACTCGCCCGTAGCTCCTCTTAGCCCTTGCCACCATTTCTTCCACCCAGTCATAGGTGCAGTACAGTCTTTGAAAGTGCCTAAAATCTATCCGAAATGAATCAGGGAATTCCGAGAGGCCTCGACCAGCTCGATCAACTCTCGGCATCCAGCCACAATATAACCGAGCTCATTTGGGGGTTTCTTAAGTAGCTTTCAAATGATAAGGGTATCTAGAGCGTCATCATCTCAAAGGTTCTGGAGAGGTCGTCTTCTACATGTCATCGCTACTGTTTCTTAATATGCTTCGGAGCCGGGTCTCTAAGCCCTAAACTTACAAGACTGGTACCTCTCCCGAACATCTTCTACACGGAGGAAGCAAATGTCGGGAAATCCGATATCAAAAAATCATAACGTACATTGACTTTTTGCACTCTCTAGCTGCATTAGAGGACATTGGTCTTTCCGCGTACATTCTGTCCGTAAGTTCAGGACTGAAGCCTCGAGGCGCAAGACACTTCGAAGCGATAAGATTGAGACGTTAATATCGAGACATGATAAGCCCCTGGATTAAATATACAGCGGGCGTTTCTATCGGCATTTGCGGGGTCGGTAGTCTTGATGGTGGGGATGCTCAGGGTGGGGTAGTCCGGGAGATGATCAGGGCCCTGTGGACCCTGCGCCTAAGCTGGAAGGAATCTGACGGGAAAACATCGACGGCTACGAGAGGCAAACCAAGTACAAGCGAATCAAGAATTTTGCAAATACACCTATTGTACATGGTAGACATGACTCATTATCTATCCATATAACCCGAAACTACCAGCTCGGAATTTCCGCTGCTCTCCTTTCAGCTATTACCATGGTACTCACAAGATATAGAGTTGACTGTATACGAGGACAATGATTCCCCACATTCCGAGGGTAAAAGCTCTGGCCCGAACCCGTGGCCATCTGTGGGCACCAATAGCATCCCCGTTGACAATTAGGCCGACCACGAGCTGATAAAATCTACGCCCAGTGGGACCAGTTGACGAAGTATCTCTAGAAGATAAAATGCAATATAGTCATACTAAGTGACTAATTAAATGAAATACCCTATTACAGCCCCTATTCCGCAACATTGTCTCCCAAAATAGTTCCAGGACTTGCACAAATCTCTTTTAAGACCTGCCCAAGCCACTTGAAGTCTTCCAACTCCAGATAGATCTGTCCACTAAGTCGAACCCACAACCATGAACCATAAACAAAGGGAGAAGTAGAAGCAGAGTAGTCCATCACAAGTTTCTGATGCAGACGAGCAGCAAATTTGTTTGCTTGTAGAGTAGTCAGAACAGGCCATTGTCCCGTTTCCTTTGCTTCTTCCCCTGCTCCCGAATCATTGATAGTGATCGGAAGACGCACATTGGCAAAAGCACAGTCTCGAATACGACAAGGTCCCTCTCTCTCCGATCCAGGTTCCCCTAAAACATTCGTTCCGAGGATTTGAGCGACGAGGTTACCACCTTCAAATGCTATCTCTCGAATGTATTTAAAGATAGCATCCTCGCCCCCAGGTATGCGCGCTCGGAATCCCAGGGCGGTTGGGACAGTCAAATAGGAAGTGTCGTCGGTGATTGCTGTGTTTTGAAACATCATTTCAAACGATGATTTTGAATCAGGATAAGCTGGATAGTCATGCTCCTGCGCTTTTGGGATGACAATGTGAGAGGTTGGAATTGTCGTACGGATCAGGTTTTGATTGCGGCGAGGGACATGGAAGACAGAACACCCTCTGGGGTTGTACAGCCACCTAAATCGAGGAATTAGACTCTTCATATCTCATCGGCAGACTTGTGGGTTCGTGTTCTTACTTATGGGTGATGCTCACGAAAAAATCAGGTCTGATTTTGCCTAAATCGATAGGAATTTGACCAACTCCATGTGCACCATCAATGCAGCTGAGAATCTGATGCTCGCGACAAACTTCCGTTAATCTTTCGAAAGGAAGTCTGACACCAGGCATACTGGAAACGGTGTCAAAAATAGCGATTCGGACGTTGAACCCATCTTCCTTGGCTTGCTGCACTGTCTCCTCAAACTTGGCGACAATATCTCCGTGGGTCATCGGAAGCACACAGTTTATCTTCCGAGCTTTCAGTTGGGTAGTCTCCATGACAGACTGGATCGTTGTTTCACATGCAGCGAAGATAGTGGAAAAGTAGATGACCATATCTTGTGGACCAAAAGAAAGATTTCGAAGCACAGTGTTGATAGCAACAGTTGCACTTTTCACGTAGACAATCTCGTTGGTTGGAACATTTAAGTAAGTGGCCATTGCCTTTCGGGAAGCGTCCAGCAGTTCGGGATGTAGGTAGCGAATGAATCTGTCCGGACCTCCTTCGAGTTTATCTTGGAGCTTGCGGTGCTCATCTCGAACCTCAGCAGGAAATGTACCATACGCCCCTAGCTAGACATTAGTGATGGTGAGGTAGAAGAGTAAGATATGGAATCTAACCATGGTTGAAGTTTTTCCAATTTTCATCCAGAAGGAATTGGTCGAGCATCGAATGCCCTAAGGCCTGCGATTGTGAGATTGACATTTTATGTCGCGAATTTTTTAAACTGGCAGTGTTATAAATGAAAACAATTGACAGGGAAACATCATCTATAAGAATGGGCCAGTCACCCAAGTGGGTCCCGGCTCGTTATTGACTCATCCGAAGGGCGCGAAATGTGTAGATAGATATCTGATCCCGTCTCGAACCCTTGTTATCCTTGAATAACCGTGTCGGTCAACTAGCTTGTGAAATGAAGCTTTGGGGCACACAGACGTGAAAATTAGAGAATCTACCTTGGGTCCACGACTTGTCCACTCTAAGCTATTTTGAGGCACATAAGCTTGCCGCCGCTATAAGCCCCCTTTATCCCAAAAAGAAAAAAGGAAAAAGGAAAAGAAACGAATATTTAAAACTGCATTGATGATAGCAATGCTCAGTACTCTAATCGTCCGCACTTGCTCTGTTTCTATCCTACGTGAAGTTGGCATTGCTGTACGAATTCTAGGCTTGGACCAATTTGTTTTCTGAGATCATATAATGTCTTCTAACCTAATGCATCCATATACTCTAATCGAATATAGGCCGAAAATAACCAACCTATACTATTGAGCCTCTGTGGCTTTATTATCTCCACTCACTACTCCCTTCCCCTTCGCGAGGTCATCTGGGCTCAATCCAGTTTCCGCAACAACGCGATCTACCTTTCGCTGCTCGGTAAACTTTCGGCAGTCTTCACGACCCTTCTCAATGTCCACGAATCCAATTGCAATCATGGCACCTGTACAAATAGCAAAAAGGAAGGGGAAGCCCATCCAATTGTTCCGGGTATCGTTGATGATGGCCTGAATGACATTCGGACCAATAATGGAAGACTTTGATTGACTTGAAGTTAGCAGAGGAGTGAGGTTATTGGAGGTTCGCCACTTACTGCTCGATTGGTGATTCCGAACAGTGCAAAAAACATGTTATCATAGCCGCGAGGCATGAGCTCGCTGATCATTGTTTGGGCGTACTGTGTAAGCCGGTGATTAGCTAATTTCCCGGGTGGGGAGGAGGCATGGAGGAACGCACAGCATAATACGGCGCTTGGAACAACCCAAAGATCACATTATAGAAGTAAAATTCCCACTGAGACCCGTCAGTATTGATTCGTTTACTTGACTGAGCTAACATACCCTATGGTGATAGCCAATTCGGCTGGTCCATAGCCCCAGCATCCCCCAAAATGGAATGAAAACACTGAAGAAATTGGTGATCATGAACATGGTCTTAGTCTTCAGCTTGAAGTATCGCTGGATGTACCAAAACCCAAATGTTGAAGTGATAGAACAGACAGCTTGCGTAATACCGAGGTAGGTGATTTGCAAGAAGGAAAATGAGACGTAGTCGTTTTGGATAATTGAGACGAGAGTTCCTAAAACAGATGAGCGAAAGCTTTTCAACCACAGCAGGCAACATACCAGTCGTGTTAAGCCCATCTGCTAGCAAGAAATATGCCACAAAGTACAGAAAGGTCTGAGGAAGAGCTCGGATCTCTCTCATCGCAAGCCAAATCTGTTTGAACCCAATGGTGGCATAATTTGAGCCCTTGGGGACTCTAGGACCGGGTCGCTTTTGCTGAAATAGAAACCACCATATCCCGAGCACGACCCAATCTGTTCAACCGGTCAGACTGTACATTGCCTTCAAAGAAAGTCACCTTACATGAATTAGTGAGACACAGTGCCAGATTATTCGAGTACTGATTATTCTGCATCGGGAGTAGAACGCTCAAGTTCAGTACCAATGTGAGGAAGTATCCAATATTGCTATGCGCAGTCGAGATATTGCTGTATACTATTTGTCAAAAGCATGAAAAAAGATATTGGGATGACTGTTACCTTATATGATTTCTTTCCAAAGACTCAATCGCATCGTATTCCTGCTGGTTGATCTTGCCTTCTCCAAGCTCATCTCGAGCCTTTCGGACATGTGGCATGTACCGTGCAAGTCGAGGAAAGACAGCAGCATAAAACACCAGGGTCGCGCCATAGGCGATATATGCCACAACGTACATGCCCATGGCAGCAGGCCATTGGCTAGGCTGTCGGATTGCAAGCATGCCGTATTGTAATGCCCAGGCGACGACCGTCAGAGCCAGAAGAAGCCATCGTCCGAAAGAGCCGTAATCTGCAGCACTTCCTAACCAAACAAATATGACTGTCATGAAAGCAAAACAGAGCCCGTTGGCAATCAAGATCACCGAGGATGTAGATCGCGTACCACCTGCCCACGGCACCACGCAGGCGGATGAATCGGTGCAAGGCTGAGGCGGGTTGGTGTCGGGTATGTATCCGGCATTCGTCAAGGCCCATTGAAATCTGGCAAGTCAGCCTCAGTGTGCAGTGTTTCCAAGGTTGTGCATGTTCATGCAGGAGTAGCATACAGGGCTTGGCTGTAGGAGCCTGGACCGACGCCATTGTCACCTGATTTGTGGGAAAACAGTCAGCTTCAGGCCTTTTACCCTGTACTGATGTCCGTGATGGAAGCATACCGTTATAGTAGAGATAATAAGACCAGAGCTCTTTCCGAGTGGTGGTAGGTTGGTCATAGGCATCTTCATCGACGCCAAATAATCGCTCATATTCCTGCTGCGTATCACTAGGCTGCGTGACTACCACTTCATCGACAGTGGCATCTTTGGATACTTGCCCTCCAGCTGCTTCATGATCGGTTGAGCTCGCCATGGTTCCGTACTCACCCTGGCAGAAACCTCGGAATGAAAGGAGGAAGAGAGTTTCGGGCACTGCAGTTGTTGATCTACCCCGCATTCTTCATGAGATAGGATACCCTTGCTACAATGGCACTTTCCCCACTTATCTTAGCTTATCTCAATGTGACCGTAGATGTTGCATCGTCTCTACCATATCTATGCAGGTGAATAGTTGCTGGAGATCTTTGCACCTCCAACGTTACGTCGCAATCACCACATAGTCCTCATCGTTTGAACAGCAAGTAAGAGAGTAAGCAATTATCATCAAGTAATCTCCATTGAGGCCCTGAGCGCTAATTGCCGCCATAGTGGAGCCGGTAAATCGGGCAGTTTCCACTTCTCGATTCCATCCCCGCGCGACCGTTGACTACTCATCATCACCTCGGGTCTCGACATTATGGGCTCAACAGACGTCCAGAAGCAGGTTGGCCAGGTATGAGAAGTTCAACTGACCCACCGTATTATGCAAGTGACTGAAAACTCTAGTTATTTGCGGTCGGCTTTCACGGCCACACCCCTAGCCCGGAGATCAAAACACTCATTCATGACTACCACGTCGGAGGCGTCATTATCTTCTCTAGAAATTTCCAAGATGCCACCCAGCTGCAGGTGAATGCCTCCCAAATGTGTCATCATGTCCTATGTACTGACGCATCTCTCGTAAGGCTTTGACCTTGGCCTTGCAAAATGAAGCCAAACTGGCCGGACACGCGCGACCTTTGCTCATTGGTGTTGACCAAGAAAATGGTCTGGTCACCAGAATTTGTCCTCCAATCGCTACTCAAATTCCAGGTCCGATGGCTCTTGGTGCCACTGGCGATCCAGAGACGGCTTACCAGGCAGGCAAGGCCACAGGCGAGACCCTAGGGTTCTTCGGTATCAACATGAACTACGCTCCAGTTTGCGACATCAACTCAGAGCCCTTGAATCCAGTGATCGGTGTCCGCAGCCCGGGTGATCATCCGGAATTTGTCGGCAAGTTCGCTTGTGCCGCGGCGCGGGGTCTTCGGGAGCAGAATGTTGTTCCTAGTGTGAAGCATTTCCCCGGTCATGGCGATACAGCTACCGATTCACACTATGCGTTACCGGTCATCCCAAAGGATCGTGACGCCCTAGATCGATGCGAGTTGATTCCATTTCGCAGAGCAGTCGCAGAGGGTATTGAGACGGTGATGACTGCCCACATCTCTCTACCAAAAATCGACGACAAGCTTCCGGCAACGTTGTCACCTAGTGCGCTCGCAATCTTGCGCAAGGACATGGCCTACGATGGAATGATTATTACTGACTGTCTTGAAATGGATGGAATCCGAGCTACTGTCGGTACTGAACAAGGCTCTGTTCTTGCGATCAAAGCTGGAAGCGATAGTATCATGCTGTGCCACACTTTCGAAGTGCAAGTTGCCTCCATTAAGAAAGTATGTGAAGCAGTCCAGTCTGGAACGATCGAGACATCTCGCTTGGAAGAGGCATGCCGTCATGTTGCCTATGTAAAAGACAAATTCTTGAACTGGGACACAGCTTTGCGTCAAGGTCATCTTACAGAGCTTGATGCACTTAATAACAGGAATGCCCCATTTTCCAAGGAAACCTATGAGAGATCGGTCACTCTTGTTCGTGACACTAGTAAGACTCTGCCTCTCCCGAGAACTGGGAATATCGTGCTTCTTTTCCCTGGAAGTAAAATCCCTGTCGGAGGCGCTGTGGATGGTGAGGGAATGGGTCGGCAAGGGTCATATAAAGTTTCCCCATACCTGAACGCGCTTCGATCTCACCATCATTCTGTCATAGAAATCAATTACAAGGATACAGGACTCTCCAATGAAGAATGGGATGTCGTCAAGGCAGCTGAGGCTGTCATTTTTGTCTCCATAAATGGAAGAGAAGCACCATACCAAGAAGCACTTGGTCGTGAACTTCCACGACATGTTCGATCGCTCGTTTCAATTGCAGCTTGCAGTCCGTATGACTTCTTGGAGGTCCCTGAACTCCAGACATACATCACAACTTACGAGCCAACGATTGAGGCTTTCACTGTCGCGGCAGGCATTATCTTTGGCCAGGTGGTACCAAAAGGATCTCTTCCCATCCAACATGGTCCTTTAAAGAGTAATACGCCTGTGACAATCTTCGACACCGAGAATGATTTGGATGACGTGGTATCTGCGTGGAGTGAGATCTTTCCAGCCTACAATTTACCGTCAGATAGCTTAAAGACATTGATTCTTCGGGGGAATCCGCACCACTTTGTTGTCCGGCTCGGCTCAAAATTGGCGGGATTCTGCCTTGCCTATCTCAACGCCTTCGGTCCACCAGCGACTGTGCACATAGCAGTCCTAGGGGTAGCTTTAAAATACCAAGGTCAAGGAATCGGCACGTCTCTTCTGTTGGAGACTCGGTCATTCTTCAGAAAGAACTTTGGAATCCAAAGTCTACAGCTCGGCAGCTCGTTCCCTCGCTTTTGGCCCGGGATTCCTCGTGAATTTCCTGACTCGGTGCAAAATTTCTTCATCCATCGTGGCTTCCGGCTCAGTTCACCCGAGAAGCGATCAGTGGATCTGTATCAGGACATTCGCAATTTCCAGTCCCCCGAGAAATATATCAAACGGGCACAAGATCGAGGCTTCCGCTTCGCGCCTCTACAGCCCGAGGACTACGAAGCATGTCTGGTTGGTCAGAGGAAGAACTTCTCTGACAAAGCTGTACGTTTGTATAATCTTTGACTCAAAGAGTATGATCTAACTGTCTCTCTAGGGGTGGGTTGAAGCGTATGTAATGTTACATCCAAGCAAATTTCCATCTTGTGTGATGACTGCCTTCGATTCCCAGAACCGGCAAGTTGGGTGGACACTGATGCTGCCCCCGTGTTCTGAGGTGAATGAAAGCTGGGCATTCCCGCAAATATGTGGTCCAAATACTGGCCTGATCGGCTGTGTCGGTGTTGACGCCGATCACCGAGCATCCGGCATTGGTCTCGCGCTCATCTGCCATGCCGTTGAGAATATGAAGCAACGAGGGATTGAAGGGGTATTCGTGGACTGGGTAGCTCTAGATGGATGGTATGAGCAGGTCGGGTTTACGACTTGGAGAAGCTACCGACCCGGTGAGATATGAGATAGCTGCTCCTATATTCCAGAGCATTTTCGACTCTGAAATATCACCACGACAAGTAGCTCATTGTCCCAATAGTTATACATGCTATAGACATACATTTACCATAACCCCACAGACTGTCTGCGACAAATTCACACGTAATTATATTCTTACTGTACTTAATAGTGGCTATGAACCTCATCTGGAAGCCCATTAATGCTTATCAGAATTCTCCATAGCATCAATTCTCGCCCGAGAATTCTTAAACCCCTCATTTCTCTCCGCATCCGTACGCCCAGTATCTGGAATATAAGCCCCCTTCCGCACAGCACCCCTCTTCTCAATCTCATCAACCCACTTCTTCACAGCAGGGAACTCAGCAAGATCAATCTCAAGCGCACCAGGGGCGCTACGAACCCACGAGAAATTCGCAATATCCGCAATGGTATACTTACCACCGGCTAAATAGGGGCTCTCCTGCAACCGGGATTCGAGAACAGAATACAAACGCTTCGTCTCGTCCATATATCGTTTGATTCCATAGTCTGAACGCGCACCAGCAAAGAGGCGGAAATGGTTTGCTTGGCCTAGATTAAATCAGTCGGTGCTGACCTGGGAAGCTTGGTGAGGTGATAACATACCTTGCATAGGCCCGATACCACCCATTTGGAACATGAGCCAGTTTAGCTGCTCAATGTATTCGGGTGTTCCCGGCGCATAGCTGATCTTGCGATCAATATCATACTTCTCAGCTAGGTAGAGCATGATCGAGCCGCTTTCAAATACGCGCTGTGATTTATCGGTGATTGCAGGGATTCGGCCATTTGGATTGATCTTCAGGAACCAACTGTCATCGTGTTAGAGATAGCCCTGTTGGAAGAGTTGGGGGATGTTCCAGCATACGCCTCTTTTTGAATGTTAGTGCTGATATCAATTGGCACGGTCTTGTAAGATAGGCCGAGCTCTTCGAGGGTAATGGAAGCTTTAATGCCATTCGGCGTGGGCCAGCTGTACAAGGTTATATCTGACATGGCGGTGGATGTTGAGAGTGCACGGAACGTCGATGAGAATTGAGAGAGTCGCGATGCAGCTTTTAATGAGCTAGAGCCCGTGCGGGGTAACATCATTATGAGATAATTGGAGCTTTGAAGAACTTCTGACTGGCTCTGGAGCTTAAATATGTACAACGTTCCATGTTCTTGACGCATGTGTTCCCCGGGGTTTCAAGCTCATTTGTCAGCATCGCGCGATGGCGTCATTTTGTTATTTGCGAATGAATGCCAAATTTGCTAGAGATTATAGGCATTGAAGCTTTCAATTTACCTGAGACTTTTTTTTGCATATTCCTTGTACGTACTCTCAACTTTTAAATGAGGAACGTGGGATAATCTAGATTGCCTTGACTTGAACTCGAACGCGGGCTGTTTCCATTCTGCCGTTATTCACCGGTATTTCAAAAGTGCGTGTGAATAGCTTCATCTACCACATCCCCTCCGAAACTGAGCATGACTGTTCTTCCATTTACCACACCTAATACTTGGATATAATTAAATCTGATTGGATCATTATGTTGTGCGGATCAAAATCTAGCTATTTCATTTTAAAAAAATAGCAAACATCAAACCCAGGGGGGCCCCTCGGCGCCTTACGGCTGCTTTCAAGGGGGTCTGCCACTGGGCGATGTTTCCCGGTTATTGACACTGTACACCGCAGGCCCCGACGGCTAGCCTGCAGTGCACCGATTTACGGCAAATGGGAGGGCTTAGCCAACTCGACCACTCGGTGTCAATTGATAATTCTAAGACCTGGAAGTAATATCTAAGGGAGCTCAGATTACTAGTCCTAATCGACGTTTCCATTGCACCTTTTGAGGTTCCGAGACTTCCAGCATCCAAGGAACTTAGCAATTCTATTTCCTTTACGGGTCTTTCCAGCCTTTTTTTCGTAGGGCTGTTGTCAGTGTAAAGTTCAAAGTTCTGGTAACTCAACAGCAGATGCACCATATCTATTGACTCGCTTCTAGGCTCTTCTGAAGGGTTATAGAGCTTTCCGGAAACGCATGTAGAGAGCCACCGAACAATTTTACTCATTGCATTAAAGTCAGCATATCTTGAGGTTGATCCCAGGTTCCAGTTCTATTGTTTGTTTCGTTTGCTCGTTCTGCATGCCATGTGACCACTTAGCTCCTCCCTGATGCGATTCCTTGCCCTTCAGACGATTGATCTTGAATTTCAACGATTATGGCTGCTTTCAGTAACCCGCATGGATGATCCCCACATGGTTTACGGCCACGAGCTTCACGTTACAACCCCCAGACGGGATAAATCGACCCGCTCGAGCCTCGCCGAGATTCCCCGCCTACTTCTCCGGATGCAGATGACACAGCAAAATCAGACCACACTCATGTGTGACCTTGCCATTTTGCCATCCCTGCGCTCGGGACTGGCTTGGCTCCTTGGGGCACAAAGTCTTACACGTGGACATTGTACTTGGCAGTGTGATGCACGGAGCGAGCGTAACAAGGTCTAGTCGGCAAGTCAGGGTACAGCCCGGAAGCCGAGCCGTTTCGGCTTCGATGGTCAAAATGGCCATGCGGACAGAGGTCGCTGTTTATTTCTGCACCGTACGTGGGCTAGACTCACGGCTTTTATTCGGGAAGGAAAGCACTTCCCGAGAGGGAGTCGATGACAGGGGCCAAATGGATCTGAGCGGCCAGGGATCTTGTTCGTTAGCGTCGGGCACAGACTACCATAATTTGGTAGCTTAAACTATCTCCAGAAGGATTACTGCGGCAGCTGGGGCCGAATCTGATCTTTGGTCGGTATTGGGGTAAGTGATAGTGTCTAACCCCAGATTGCCCCCACTCTCCCCGTGGAGAATGCAACCCGATCTCGGTTAAAACTCCCTTGCATGCCACGAAGGGAGGACCAAATTCGCCGGATGCGATATTGTTCTCGAATCCGTGGAAATGCAGTACACGCTTGGAGCAGCATCCCAGTCGATCCGTTTCAAGCCACCAAAGTCAGCTCGTACAAATCTTGACGGTAGGGATTAGGCTCATTAGCCCGAACTTAGTATACTCGTATCATGCATCAAGGGGCCTCAATCAGCGAATCACAAACTACCGAGGCTCTTGGTCTTGTGTAAATTCCCAGCAAAAGGAAAGGGAAGAAAATTCTGAGCTGGTTGTGTTCCAGTTGAGGCCCGCACTCCAATGGACAACGCCAGTGGCGTTAAGTCTCCACCAGCATTTCATGCACAGTGCCTTTGCGCCCCATGCAGCATGGCTTCGATGTTATCCTGAATTTAGCGATAACGGTCAGCTCCATAGTGACTGACCCAATCGAATATTAAATTGCCTTAAACAAATGAAATACTCGGATCAAGTTGAGCTTTTGAATTTTGAACAAAGAAAAACGAGCTGATGATGAAGATACAATGGAAGAGAATTTGGCAAACGCCCCAGAGTAGGCATTTAAGACTACTCTCAGAAGGCAGTCATCCGCATCTTCGAAGGTCAGAGCAGCGCAAATTGCTAACTTTGAATTTGACTTCGTGTCTCTCCCTAGCCGGGCAACGTGCCAGGTGCTCAAGCATCAATCCACGCGGCAGTGGGCCAAGAGTTACCAAGAGCTGTGGTGCTATGACTAGCAGAAACTAATCAAACGGACCGGAAACACACAAAGTCTGTCCAGGATTCGTGCCCAGACTCCCCGCTTCAGCTATGGGTATTACCCCATGGGCAAGTGGACCCCTCCCCCGCCATAAAGATCCCATATAGTAGCATTCTAAATGCACGAAGCTAGCTCTGCTCTAGGTCTAGCTGTAAAAAAACGGAACAAGAACTCATGTGGCCCAATTAGCGTGCGCTGACCTTTTCAACCGGGCTAAGATGGGAAAAGGAACCTTCCTGCATAAACCATAAAAGCCGGCAACTTCCCATCAGAATTGCTTGTTCTTTTCTTCATTTCGCAAAATCTTGCGTGTTCAAGGCAACCCGTTGTCTTGCACACCCCACATCTCCTGCTTTGCTTCTACTTTCTTCCTCTTCCCCCTCAATCCTCGCATGACTTCTCGATACTCGACTGTTACCCTCATCACGTTTATTCAAAATGAAGAATGACACTCTCGAAGTGGAACACCCTCAGGGGTCGGTATTTTCATCCTCTTATAAACACAGAATATTAACTATCGGCAGCATTGACTATGACCACAGCAATGCTGAGAAGGGTCATCTTGAGGAGGTAGATCTGCACAACAATATTTCTGCCAAGTACGTTTACAAGCTCTCACATCTAAAGCTAAACCTTCCTCCAGACATCGACTAACCCAAAAATAGAATCAAGAACCCACTCGCCCATCTTACCGAGGCTGCGGTCGTTCGGGACGTCGGAGAATTCGTCCGCCAATATGATATTCCCCTCGAGTACCATGGTTATCTGACAAAGGGAGCTCTTGTTGCACGGGACCCTACCGCCTACGAATCCGTCCCAGATATTCACCCTGAGGAGATCGCCGCTCTTCGTGATGAGGTGAACCACAAGTGGCGCCAGCCTAAGGCCCTCTACTTCACTATCATCCTTTGCTCCATCGGGGCAGCCGTTCAAGGCTGGGACCAGACTGGCTCAAATGGAGCCAACCTTTCCTTTCCCCAGGCCTTTGGAATTCCGGAAGATGAAAGTATCAAGAACCAATGGCTTGTTGGACTTATCAATGCCGCTCCTTACATTGCCAGTGCCGGTCTAGGATGCTGGCTATCCGATCCGTGCAATCGCTTCCTTGGTCGCCGTTGGACAATCTTCATCTCTGCCATCTTCTGTATCATTGCCCCTATTGGATCTGCCTTGACCCAAAATTGGCATCAACTCTTCGTCACTCGTCTGCTACTTGGAATTGGAATGGGCCTCAAGGCCTCCACAATTCCCATCTTCTGCGCTGAGAACACTCCAGCCGTCATTCGAGGTGGCCTGGTAATGTGCTGGCAACTATGGACCGCATTTGGAATCTTCCTCGGTTTCTGTGCTAATCTAGCCGTGAAGGATACTGGTAACATATCGTGGCGTTTACAGCTGGGATCAGCCTTTATCCCTGCTGTACCTTTGCTCGTCGGTGTATTTTTCTGTCCCGAGTCTCCCCGCTGGTATATTCGACGGGGTGAGATGAACAAAGCCTTCAGTTCTCTCCTTCGTCTCCGTAACACTCATATCCAGGCTGCCCGCGACCTGTACTACATTCACGCCCAGATTCAGATAGAGCAGAGTATCATTGGTGATAGCAACTATCTCACTCGTTTTGTGGAACTTTTCACCATCCCCCGAGTCCGACGTGCTACTCTCGCCTCATTCACCGTGATGATTGCTCAGCAGATGTGTGGAAGTAAGTCATATCTCCTACGTTAAAGAAGAAACAACTTGCTAAGCGACTCTAGTCAATATCATTGCATTTTACAGTTCCACTGTCTTCAAAAATGCCGGCGCAAGTGATACCGCAGCGTTATTCGCGTCGTGGGGCTTTGGACTAGTCAACTTCCTATTCGCATTCCCAGCGATTTGGACAATTGACACTTGGGGCCGACGTGCATTGCTTCTCTTTACTTTCCCACAGATGGCTTGGACATTGCTCGCGGCTGGATTTTGCTTTTACGTTCCAGGCAATGGAGGAGCACATCTTGGCAGTATTGCCCTCTTCATCTTCTTGTTCGCCGCGTTCTATTCCCCTGGAGAGGGTCCAGTACCATTCACATACTCCGCTGAGGTATTTCCACTGTCTCATCGTGGTAAGTTCTTGGAATAATTCATAAAGTTCTGTCTTCAAGCTAATTTCCACACAGAGGTTGGCATGGCTTGGGCCGTAGCAACTTGTCTAGGATGGGCAGCCGTGCTCTCAATTACGTTCCCCCGTATGTTGGCAGCAATGACAGCAACCGGAGCTTTTGGTTTCTACGCGTGAGTATCTTCAAGTTGTGAATATACTACGACGGTATCTAATATGAGATCTCTTCCCTAGTGGTCTAAACATTACCGCATTAGTCATGATCTTTCTTTGGGTCCCGGAGACGAAACAACGAACTCTCGAAGAATTGGACTACATCTTTGCAGTCCCTACTCGGGTCCACATGCACTATCAGCTCTTCAAAGCTCTGCCCTGGTGGATTCAGCGTTACATCTTCCGCAGAGATGTACAGCTTGAGCCTTTGTACAAGTTTGATGATTTGCCTGGCTACGGCGAGAATGTCAGTGAAAAGGCAGTAGCTGATGTTAATGTGAAGAATGATACTCATGTGGAGGAAAAGATTTAGGGATTGATTGATTCTACTTATGATGTTGATGAAACTGGAAGATTTGCGTTGACTTGATGAGGACATCTTCACTTTTGAAACATGAGTTCGCAAGTCTAATTGAATGAAGTGACGTTACAAGATAGCCTTTTCGACAGAAAGAATTTGACAAATCTCAAAAAGCTCTATCTACTGCCATATCTCTACACAAAGGTCGCACTTCTGCGGAGTGAAAACTTGTTTCAGATGATCTATTTTCTAAATCTTCAATGCTTGAGAATAAGGCTTCATGAATTTTATGGCACGAAAAAGCAGAACTATAAGAGACAGCGAATGTAAGGAGCAGAGGAGGCCACGGGCTCAGAGGGGCAGTCCAAAAAGTTAACCAATGCTCATTTTAACGTTTAGGTCCGAAGAGACTTTAAGCGTGAAGCCTGCTAACTTGTATACCCCTCAGGGCTTCAATCCCAGTGGCTGGGACGGTCTCGATCCTAGCTGGCGGCTCAATTTCCAGTCATTGATAATCTCAATGCTGGGACACGTTTCAAAGCAGCTGAACTGGCATCGTGGGCTCTGAAGGATCTGGAAGCAAAAAGCCCGCAAATTCCGCGATGCCAATCTCTTCCGCGGCTTTCGGATGCCTGAGGACTTAGCCAAGCGGAAATTAACTGCGGTTCCGCCGGTATCTGTGCTGAAAACAACACTGAGGACCAGTTTGCCTTTGTAGAGGGCGAGTAAGCCTATGCTGCTCTGGTGGTCCTCAATCATCCGATCCCCTCTAGGGTATTTTGAGGACAAGTCAACGTCTTACCTGCTATAACGATAGCTATGAGAGTGATGTCTCGGTTGGCCATGATCGAACTCACTGGTGGCGTGCTAAAAGCTGGAAACTTGTTTGAACCGACAACTTTGGGTGCTTCGCCTTCAATCTTTTGCAGCAGGATTCAGACTTCCTGAAGGGCCGCTAGCAGATTTTAACAATGCTACCTCCTTCTTGGAAACTTACATGTCTCCTATACTGGGGAAATCAGAGTGTTCGGGCTTGGACGACATGATCAGAGTCTTTTTAATAGCTTCCCTGATTATACCTACAGTCCAACGGGACCGGCCACGAACTACTAGAGGCGATACGCTTCCATCTTTGGAGGTCCCTAGTACTTACCACTGGTGCCGAGAGGGTATAGCGCAAGAGGATGAGATACTAAATGAGCATGGTTAGACAGACAGATAAAAGTACCTACCCGTGAACCTGCCCAGGCGAATAGTTTATTATTTTTAATAGCAACTTACCACTCGCGGACCTTAACTCAGGCGCCTGGGAGCTTGTATTCATGGGTACTTTATCGAATTTGTAATTCCACATTCCGCTCGGGAATGTCATCAGTATCGTGTTGATCACGGCCGCCCCTGGCACATTCCTACGCCCGGCGACGTACAGTATCCGCCTATTCTTCCATAATATATACTTGCGCAACAAAAACTGGTGGTCAAGGTTGGCCCAACTTTTTGGGAAATTAATGGAGATCTTCTTCCAGTGTAAGAAGAGATTTACAAGAGAAAAGTAAAGGTTAAGTCTGACTGTTTACTGATCTCCGCTCCAAGCCGATCCAGCGAGCCCTGGGGCAACGCAGCTGATCCATGGTAAAGGAACATCTGATGTGGGTACAGTGCAAGATGACGAGGACAACTTCTTCCAGAATAAAAGCGAAATGAGGGTAGGGTCAGATGGTAAATTTTTAACACAAGATAGTAACAACTGGAGCAAGATACAAGTCATGCAGCAAACAGTCATAGGGCTTACGCAGGTCACGCTCATGACGACTAATAAGGTGTATCACGTGGGAGTTCGAGATGTTTTGGTCCACTTCCGCCCCTCACTCTCTCTCTTCTGCCCAAGAGCATTCCGCTGCGTAACTTGCTTTCTCTTGATCCCCATGGGCGACCTGGTGGCTCTCCAAGCTTCTTGAACAGATATTTGAATACCTCAGAGGAAAAGAGCTTTTTCTGCGGTCGTCGTCCGCTCTTCATTTTTCCTGCGTCCCCACAAAAGCTGCCCTCGCCCAGCCTCCATATACCAGCAGCAACGGTGGGGTTCGGACCCAGTGGGCTGCTGGGTGCTCCTATAACAATCTAAAATACACTATCTTGACCGCCTCTTCTAAAGCTCCTTCACTCCATCGCGGGACTCCAAAAAAGGGCAAAAAAACACAAATTTTACTAATTGCGTTTCCCCGCTGTTGAATTCGAACTTTCCGCTTCCTGCTCGGGGAATCAACCTCCTGCCTGTTGACGGAGAAGCTCCTTTTCCCCTATTTACATCTGCCTCGAATTGACTTTGCCCTCCATCCTCTGTGAAGCACCGTCATGCCCTGCTTTAAAGGTCTCGCAGTGAGCATCCACACTCCGGATGGCCCGATTTCCGAATATTCCATTCAGCGACACTCGCGCGCTTCCCGTATAGGTTGCTTCATTCCGGTCCCTCCGCCGAAAGTCCCTGACTCCAAGAACGGCAAACCCGAGCAGTCAACGTTCGCGATCTCTATCACCCTCCTTAATCCTGGCCAAGATGTCCCCTACTCTGCCCCCAAATCGACACCCGATTGCCCATCCCCGAAGCCAAAGGTTGTTGGTGGTCTTCCAGGCCAGACATCCGAGTCCGGCACGGTCGCACCATATCAGGCATTGACCAATGGGGCAAATGAGACCGTGGCGGCGTATATCTACTTCGATGGTAGACAGAAAGAGGAAGTGGCCACATTGCTACGGAGGGGTGAGGAGACATGGGTGAACTCGCGTTGGGTGAGCATACCAGATTCTGAGGGCGGAGGCATCGCCGAGCGCGAGTTCCTGTTCCGAGAGGTCGGTCTGGAGCGCTGGCTCAACGGGTTGGATCTAGAAGGCAAGGATGCGGCTGCCAAAATTGAGCGCCGGAGGCAAAAGATGGAGAAACGCCGGGCGAAGCGCCTGGAAGAAGGTCAAACTGCTATGGAGATGGAGGCGAATACCTCAGCCAAGGACAAAAACATCATGCGCTATGGAAGCGATGCCAAGGCGCCACTGGAGAATGTGTCTGATGATGATCTTTCGGACTCTGATGATGATGATGACCCGATTCCGGAGACAACTGGTCAGATCAAGGTCGCTCTGTTCCGTGTTTTGGCCTCAGGAGAAATCAAGCGGGGTGAATATTCCCCGCAATTTGATGCTCATGATGATGATGAGGAAGGAGGCCAGGAAGGTGGGAATGGAGCCGATATTGATCACACCACCAGTTTCGCAAAGCCCAAGACTCTCGATCCGAAAAGCATTAGCACCCAAACGGTTACTGGCATTGATCCGACTGATAAGCCCTATGCCACCTTTACTTTCATGTACCGTGGAGAGCGTACGTTAACTCACCACCTGTCTCTAAATTCGAAATGCTAATGATGGATGAAATATACAGGACAATTGCAGAAGATGGGCATTCTGAAGGATCCCAAGGCGCCAGAAACTCCGGCAGCGAAGCGGAAGTCATTACAAGCGGACTTTTCCAGTATTGGCCCTCTGAAGCCTGGTGGAACAGTTGGGTTCCTCAATTTCCGGGACCAAGAAACCGCACAGAAGGGCAAGAAGGGTGAAGACGAAATGGACAGTGATGACGACGACACCGATAACCCGATCCTGAGCAAGGCCGACGATGAGGAGACAAAGGATGACGACCGATTCTTGTCTCCCGATGATATCAGGCGCCAGGGCGAGCTGGAGGAAGGTGTTCGCAAGATCCGGGTAGGTGAAATCACCAATATTCTTATTGTCCATGATCTAACAAAGCCACAGCTGAAGCGCCAACACTCCGCCGAGCCGTTTAGTGGCAGTGGTGACAACAACTCTACCGGCACCCCGGCTTCTGGAACTACTCCACCCCCGCCTAACGATCGCGCGATCACCCCGCCTAAGACTATTTCAGATGCTACTGCTGGCCCCTCGGAGCCACCCCAGCTCCAGGTTGAGCCCCCTGCCGGGTTTCTAGGAAGTCCTCTGAAGAAGCAACGAGCGAGTGTGTCTACCGCAGATGAGAATGCTCTGCGGCGTCGCATTGCCGAGTCCTCCGGTCGGATCAATGAGGTCCTTGGCGCTGGTACGAAAGATAGCTTACCTGCCAGTGTAGGGTCATTTGGTGATAAAATTACGGCCACCGAGCCGACCAATCCATCGGTCGAGGATGAGGAGCTGTAAGACTTGGCACGGTAGCGCTTGTTTTGCTAGAGCTCCGGAATGGCGCTTGGAATAGAGTCTTGGAGCCACACGAAGGCATTCGCAACTGCCCTTTTCTTTTTTTTACCTTTTACGCCGTCATGTCCAAATCAACTACAGGAAGCATTCGGAAAGGGGGATACATTAGCTGTGTCGCTTATAGGCGGCTTGTTTATAAATCCGTAGGGAGGTGTCAAAAATCATATTCCTTCCTCAAGTCCAGACTTCTGAACGTAGCAACTGCACCATGCTTGCAAGGGGGTTTCCACGCCTCAGACCCGCGGTTCCATACAGACACAATCGGACTCGGCCCGCTCGCGTTCTCCACCAGGTGAATCAACCCGATCCGCTGTTCTTCGACATTGACATTGACATTGACTGACATAGACTGCGCCAACACGACCCAAAATGATTCTCGCACGCTCATCCGATCCCTTAGTCTGGATCGATTGTGAGGTAGGTGGTCCCCCGTTGTCTGTCGAGTGCGTACACGCGTCACAACCACACCATATGAAGAGAAGGAGAGCAAAAAAGCTCACCCGCAACAGATGACCGGCCTCGACGCCGAAAATGATCAAATCCTTCAAATCTGCTGTTTCATCACCGATGCACAACTCCAAATCCTCGAGCCCAACGGATTTGAGACCGTCATCCACCATCCAGACTCCACCCTCAACGCCATGAACCCGTGGTGTATTGACACGCACGGTCGCACGGGCCTCACGGCCGCCGTCCGCGCCTCGACCACGAGCCCCTCCGTCGCTGCTGAATCGCTCCTGGCCTACATCAAGCGCTACGTGCCAACTCCGCGCACTGCCTTATTGGCTGGCAATAGTGTACATGCTGATAAAGCATTCTTGGTGCGTGGTCCGTACGCTGCGATCATGGAACACTTGCATTACCGGATTCTGGATGTTAGTACTATTAAAGAAGCGGCGAGACGGTGGGGTAGCGATGAGTTATTAGCGTCTGTTCCACCCAAGCGGGAGGTGCACTTGGCGAGAGATGATATCCTGGAGAGTATCGCGGAGATGCGCTATTATAAGGAGAAATTGTTTACTTAGATGTGTTCTTGTTTCCCGGGTTATGAACTCATGATACTCTTGGCGGGTAAAGTTGCTGGAGCTCAGTGCCCCGCCCCGCTATTCAGGGAAAAGTAAAACAGCTTCAGAGAAAGTCAATGAAATAGCGTTGAGGTGGCAATCGGTCAATGATCCGTAATTAGTAAAAGCTATGATCAATTGGAAGCTCTTTCATAATTGAATCTCCGTCCAATTGGCAGGGATTCATAGTAAAACGCCATGTTTTAAATTCGTGTAGTGGGGATGATCAACACATGACGCCAACCCCTCTCTTCTTCCAGTCGGTGAACTTCCTCTTCTTTTCTACACCACTCTCTAAGGTTTCTCACCATGTCAGTTCAAACGGTTTCCTTCCAGTCTTTTGCTGACCAGAAGCCGGGCACGTATGTGTTTGCCTCTCCTGTCCTTTCCACTCATTTCTAACGATGCCTCCAGTTCTGGTCTTCGCAAGAAGGTCAAGGTCTTCCAGCAGCCCCATTACTCCGAGTCCTTCATCACTAGCACCCTTTTGTCGATCCCTGAGGGTGCTGAGGGTGCCTTCCTCGTCATTGGTGGTGATGGCCGTTACTACAACACTGAGGTGATCTCCAAGATTGCCCAGATCAGTGCCGCCTACGGTGTCAAGAAGCTCCTGGTGGGCCAGAATGGCATTATGAGTACCCCTGCGGCCAGCAACCTGATCCGCGTCCGCAAGGCCACTGGTGGTATCTTGCTGACTGCCAGTCACAACCCTGGTGGTAAGTCACACCCTTGATACTCTCACCAAGGCCAGGCTGCTAACAACCAATTCGAATAGGTCCCGACAACGACTTCGGTATCAAGTACAACCTGGCCAACGGTGCCCCCGCCCCGGAGTTCGTGACCAACAAGATTTACGAGACCTCCAAGTCCCTCACCTCCTACAACTATGTTGACGTCGGCGACGTCGACACCTCCGTTATTGGCACCAAGACCTACGGTCCACTGGAGGTCGAGGTTGTCCACTCCACCGCGGACTACGTGACCATGATGAAGGAGATCTTCGATTTCGACCTGATCAAGGAGTTTCTCAGCACCCACAAGGATTTCAAGGTTCTCTTCGACGGCATGCACGGTGTGACCGGTCCCTACGGCGTGGACATCTTCGTCAAGGAGCTTGGTTTGCCCGCCAGCAGCACCATGAACTGCGAGCCCAAGCCGGACTTTGGCGGCGGTCACCCCGATCCCAACCTCGTGTATGCTCACGAGCTCGTCGAGGCCGTCGACAAGAATGGCGTGCACTTTGGTGCTGCCAGTGATGGTGACGGTGACCGTAACATGATCTACGGTGCCAACACCTTCGTCTCGCCCGGTGACAGTCTCGCCATCATTGCGCACCACGCGAAGCTGATCCCCTGGTTCCAGAAGCAGGGTGTTTACGGTCTTGCCCGCTCCATGCCCACCTCCGGTGCCGTCGACCGCGTCGCCAAGGCCCAGGGCCTCGAGAGCTACGAGGTTCCCACTGGCTGGAAGTTCTTCTGCAACCTGTTCGATAACAAGAAGATCTCCATCTGTGGTGAGGAGAGTTTCGGAACTGGTAGCAACCACATTCGTGAGAAGGATGGTGTCTGGGCTGTTGTTGCCTGGTTGAACATCATTGCCGGTGTCGCCAAGCAGAAGCCTGAGGAGACCCCCAGCATTGCCTCCATCCAGAACGACTTCTGGAAGACCTACGGCCGTACTTTCTTCACTCGTTACGACTTCGAGAACGTTGACACTGACGGTGCCAACAAGGTCGTCGCCACTCTGGCTGACGTCGTTGCCCAGGGCACCTCCGCCGGTGAGATCGATGGTCGCAAGATTGTCGATGCTGGCAACTTCTCCTACACTGACCTTGATGGCAGTGTCTCCAAGAACCAGGGTCTTTACCTCAAGTTCGACGATGGCAGCCGTATTGTCGTGCGTCTGTCTGGTACCGGCAGCAGTGGCGCTACCATCCGTCTGTACATTGAGCGCTACGAGGACGATAGCTCCAAGTTTGGTCTCAATGCCCAGGAATACCTGAGCGAGAACATTGCTTCGGCTCTTAAGCTCCTCAAGTTCAAGTCTTACGTTGGACGTGAGGAGCCTGATGTCAAGACCTAAGCAGTGTCTGCGTTATAGTGTGACCCGCTGGATGGGGATCACGGCTTTATTTTCGATGTGAGAAGACGATACGACGACCGCGGAAGCCACGTATGAGATAGAAATAGCAATTTGTTCTAGTAATATGATGTCCATTCTGCAGCGTTGACAAAAATTGGAACTGGTTTCGTAAGCTTTCAACGTTCGAATATGGTTCAATCTTGCTTCGTAAAACGGAACTATCTCGCTATCACCGTAAATTTTGTCTGGAAGTGAAGATATTTGGTATATTGAATGAGGCCCGGCTGAGTGACAATTTTCAATCCCCATCTGTGTTCGGTCAAGCCAAGTGAATTCAGGTAGCAGTCTGAATCCTTTACTTTCTATGTGTTGTGGTGGCTCAATGATTGGACTGCACCAGCAGGGACACTTCGTGTATAACGACCTCCGAGTAGAAAGTTCTTCATGCAAAATGCGAACACGTTATACCCCAGCACATCGACCAAGCCGAACCGGTCAGATGAAAGCACTTGAAGAGACGACGTATGTGCATCGCTGCGGATATTCATCCTGGTCATTGAACTGTATTGGAATGGGACAGGCATTAAACCAAATAGCGGCGGTGCTGACCCTCCCCCTCCGGGCTTTGGACTACTGTTACTTGTCAAGCAAGGATATATTTCAAGCAAGAGAAAATATTTCCTTGCATGCAGAGATGTTTCATACTTCGAGAAATCTCACCAATTGAGCCATGGCTGAAGTACAGATTACTAGGGTGAATGCACCATGCAATAAATCCTTATCTCATGCAGTGAGAGGCGATGCATCGAATACACCGATTTGAGCGAAGTCGGAGCATTTGAGATGACAATATGGCGCCTTAATTATGCCATAGATTCTAGCAGGATCGAGACTCGCGATGGTTTGATAAAGTCCCCGCCCTGGTTATTAAAAAAAAAAAAAAAAAAAAAAAAAAAAAAAAAAAAAAAAAAAAAAAAAATCCAATTAGCTGTCATTTTCGAAACATCGTCACATCGTAATACTTTCTTTGAAAATCACACCAAGCTCGCAGCCGAAGCCCTCAACTTCTCCTCCCACCATTCCCTCCAACGCACAACCCGCTCCTCACGCCTCGCCTCTTCAGCGGCAAACACAACCGCATGGCTTCGCACCGCCTCCTCCAACGTACAACCTACGAATCTCGCCTGCGCAGTCTGAATATCCATACCCCCATTCACCACAGCCTCAACAGCAGCCACATACTGTCCAGCAAGTCCATAATCACCACCTCCATGCGACTCAGCCCTCTCAGGCGGCGGCTTCGGCACATTATGAACAGTCGTCTCCGCAGAAGCAAAGTTATAAATTGAAATGCGATGACTGTCATACTCAATCTCGCCCAAAGTCCCATAAATCCGTCCCCTTCGTTCACATTGTTTCTCCGTAGGTGCAATCATATGGAACGAAGCGGTCTTCGCAAGCCGGTATGGCGTCTCAGTCTCATCATCCCACGAAACAGTAACAACCTGATCATCCACAACATCGTTATCAGCCTCATAAACACACCGTCCATACCAAGGTCGAGCCGCGATCTCCGAATCAGAATGCGTATTGATATTCCAGTCCTCGCCCAATTTAGCAAGCAACTGTGCCTCCGCAGCATGAATACCTTGTCCCTGATACGCATCTTCAATATCAGGACAGACAATGTCGACCGGCCACCCCGTGTGTCCCTTCGCAAGATGTCGATCATCATATATCCGCACGGCACTGTAATTGCAATCCCTCTCAGCAGGACAAGAAAGACAATTCGTGGCATCACCCGCGTGAACCGGTTTCCGTTTCCGCCGGAATTGCGTCAAAGACCCAGCTGATGAGATACTCCGTGGGAAATGCGGATTCAAGCCTTCGTTTTGCGCGTTCTCGGCTGACACAGGCGAACAAAGTAGCCAGAGAATAAAATCGATATCATGGCATGATTTCGTTAGTAGAGAGCCATCTCCTTTCGCTGTTGCACGACGCCAGTTCCCGCGGACATAGCTGTGCGAGAAATGCCACCAGCCCACTGGCTCCGTATGTTCCAGTGAGACTATATCTCCGATAACACGGTCTTCGAGTAGGAGTTTGCGAAGTAGTTTGTTATGAGGACTATAACGAAGGACATGTCCAATTGAGAAAATCGTTTTCGGGGCGAGAGCGGCCTCATTTGGACCCTGGGGTGGTTGGAGGGTCCGGTAAACGGTCAAACAGTCATCCAACGAGAGGGCCAGAGGTTTCTCGCAGAGAATATGTAAGTTCAGCGGCGCGATCGCTTGAATGATTTCGACGTGTGTTTCGTCTAATGTGCAGATGAAGACGCCATCTACGCCGAGTGGGTGATTCAGCACTGCATGCTGGTCCTCGTTGTGGTCGCTCTTTTTGATCTTGCGTCGCTCGGTCTCCCACTGCACCCACTCACGCCAATCTGTAAAGTCCTGTCCCTCTATGGGTGTCTCCGAACCCCAGATATAATTCCGGCCGAACTCGCGCCTTTTGAAGGCGTGCGGCTCGGCGACGGCGTGGATAGTTCCTGGGGTTGTTCTCGTGACAGCACGGGCGTAGGCGTTTCCTCGGGACCCAGCGCCGATTACTAGGTAGCGGGTTGCCCTTGTTGAAGGTTTAGATATCTGGGCGATATCTGGAGGTGGGAGTTGGGGTTCTTTCATTTTCGGTGCAGATTGGTGATGGACAGAAGCTTAAACCTGGGACCCGGTGATCATATGGATCAAGTGTTCTTTTCTGAATAGGCCCTTGGCTGGGTTATAACTTATACACGAGAGCTATTCAATACAAGGTTGTACCCAAGATGCGGGGAGATGGAACATCAGCAAGATCGGGCGGACGATGATTGGCGGTCAACCGTCGACCGTCAGAGTTCATACCACGGGACGGCATCTATACCCTCAAGCCCGCTTTTTGGGCAGGTCTAATCGTGGGGATTCAGCAAGAAATCTCCATGGACGTTCTTCAGAGTTTGCTAGAGTGGGATGAGAAGAAACGCTTTCAAGTTTGCTGGTCCTTATCCATGCTGAATTACACTGAACACGAGATATTCAAGCTCCATTATTTCTAGAATGATATTGCCTACAGGCCGTATAATGAACGTTCTATTCATCCGTATAACGAATGTTTTCATCCATCTGCATCATCTGTAGGATTCCTTTAAGTGTTGCCTGGGCAGGTCGCAACACTTCAAAATTGCTTTTTTGGAAGAATTTAAGCAGAAGACTCACACAGTTGCTGAAACGGAGGAGATAATAATATAAATATAGATCATCATTTGCATATTTCAGATGAAGAGAGGGACAGGGGGAGGGAAAGAATGGCTCATTCCGCCAAGGTGTGCGGTGGAGATCATCAACCCCGCATCAACATCATTGTGAGTGCTGTCTATGGCTAAGCCGCCAGCCACAGGTACCAATACCAAGCATGCCTTTACGAATTGAGATTAAGAGCCTTTTCAGACGGTCTGTCAAGACAGACCTCCCGGGCCAGGCCAACTCAGCGGAATCAATCTCCACGGCGAAATCAATAACTCAGCAAACCATTAATCCAAAACAGTCGCCTCGCGCTGAAGATCAACGCGGCAAAACAGCCACCCCACAGCTTTTAGAGTTAAAGGGCCTTTGGAAGGAAGCCTACGAGGAGCTTTACAAGGAAGACGCACGCTTGATCGAGGCGTACGAAGATGCACTACTCCAACAAGACGATCTTGGGTCACAAAAATCATCAGCAGAAAGCGATACCGACACACGTTTGCGATCTTTGGTCGAGCGCCGATTCGAAGAGATAGAAGGCTCGAGATTGAAAATCATATTTGCAGGAAAAGAGATCACTGTCCGGGAACAGGCCCGTCGGGCAATTGACCTGATCGTCTCCCTCAAGCCATCCATTGCAGTAGCAGTGGGTGCAGATCCACACGCAGCATTGGCATGGGCGGGTTTCATGCTTCTCCTGGCCCCAATTTCCAGAACTCTGACCCAGGATGAAATTGCCATGGAGGGTTTCGAATATATTCTGAAGATTCTGGTTCAATATCGAGTCTTGGAGTCTACCCACGTTGAGATATATTTGAATGAGTCAACTCCAAAGTCCAACGACGTCAAACCTCTGGACGAGCTTGGATCGTCGATCAGATCTCAGACCGTGAAGCTTTATGTGGCTGTTCTGCGATACCAGATGCGACTAGCTCAGCATTTCGCACAATCGGGTTTTCTACGGTTCTTTGCGGATTTGAAGATAACTGACAACTGGGATAGTATGCTCCAGACTATCAAAAAAGTTGACGAGTCGATAAATCGGGAGCTGAACACTGTTTCGGGCAATACTTTGCGACAGATCGAAAGAGAAGTACAGAGGCTTCATTGCGAGATAGCAGAATCACATCATGTGATGAGAGAAGCACTAGGCGAAACAAAGGTACGTCAAATTCTAACTTACTCTGGCGTACATAGGTGGAACTGTTTTGTAGGCAGTCAAGAATATCCAGCTGCTCGACAGCCTTACCACTGCCAGCGGGGCGGCGTTCAATTCCTATGAAAATCGGAATAAACCCCAATGCTTAGAGGATACACAAACCAGGGCTCTGGAACGAATACAATCTTGGTGCGCCTCTTCCAATCGGAATATTTACTGGCTCCGAGGGATGGCTGGTACAGGAAAATCTACAATTGCCCGCACATTCGCAGCAGCTTGTCTTAATCGACAATCTTTGATCGACGGCAGCCCACTACCCGACAATACATGCCTTGGTGCAAGCTTCTTCTTCGATCAAAATGAGCGAGATCGGAACAGTCCGAGAAATCTTTTCACCACGCTTTGCAGGGGCCTTGCAGACTCACTTCCTGGCCTAAAACCTGAAATATGCAGGTCCATCGAAATGCATCCGAATATCCAGAATGAGATGCTTATCAACCAATGGGAACACTTGGTCTTCCAGCCTCTTCTGGAGCTGGACAGGCGTATCTTGACTCCCCTGACATCTATCATCGTCATTGATGCATTCGATGAATGTGAATCCGAATCGGAAAGCGACATTGACACGATTCTACAGCTCATCGCCAGGGCTCAAAAATTGAATACCATACACTTGAAGTTCTTCATCACCAGTAGGCCAGAATTAAACATTATTTCCAGCTTCAACGCTATCGTTGACGATCTCCATGCGGCTGAATTGAATAAGGTTTTAGTCTCTCGTGACAAAAATGCGCCCAAAGACGACATCACGAAGTTTTTGGAGCACGAAATTGCCATCATTACTCGAAGAAAAATGCTCACGGCTGACTGGCCTGGTGAGGGTAAGATTCAAGAGCTTGCCTGGAAGGCTGATGGTTTATTCATCTACGCCGCAACGGCGTGTCGCTTTCTCAGCGACCGAAGATTAACCAAGGAGCGCCTGAAATCGCGTCTGGATCTTCTTCTCGATGGCAAGGTGGTGGAGCGTTCTCCACAAAAGGGCCTGGATGACATTTACAGCCGAATCCTTCAATTCTCAGTCATTGGAGATGCAATCGAGGAAGAGAAAGAGGACATACGGAATCGGTTCCAGGTAACTGTTGGAGCCATCGTTATGTTGTTCGAACCTCTATCAGCGACTGCTCTAGGCAATATGCTGTCAGTACCGGAATCCACGATTACAGAGACACTGCAGTGTCTCCTTTCGGTTTTATCCGTCAGTGAAGAGGATAAACCTATTCGCCTTCTCCATCTCTCTTTCCGGGACTTCTTGCTCGATCCTCAGCGATGTGTCAACGAAAACTTTTGGATCTCACAAAAGAAGAAGCATGGTGAGCTGGCTTCTGCTTGCCTTGATGTTCTATCCAAGACTTTGAAACAAGATATCTGCTGTCTCAATGACTTTTCTTCTCTCGCTGCAGAGGTTCCGCTCTCTCAGTTGAACCAATACCTTCCAGCTCATGTCCAATATGCTTGCCGCTATTGGGTCGACCATCTTCAGCGGGCCGGCACAGATTTGAAAGACAGCTATCAAGTCCACATATTTCTGAAGGAGCATTTTCTACACTGGCTCGAGGCTCTAAGCCTTTTAGGCAAGATTTCAGAAGGAATATATGCCATTATAGTGCTGTCCGAGTATATAGGCAGCTTGCCATGGCTCTCCGAGGATATCTACAGCTCGGTGAGCACCAAATCTCAACCGCGATGTTTATCTAAACGCAAAACACTGACAAATGTGCAATCTAGCCTGATAGTAAGGTGAATCTTACCGAAATAGTCTCCGACGGAAGGCGCTTCGTACTCAAATTTAGGTCAATCATCGAGATTGCACCTCTTCAACTCTATAGATCAGCTCTTCTCTACTGCCCAGAGCTGAGCATCATTCGACAGACATATAAGCACCTGGTTCCCAAATGGATAATCAGTTCGCCCACGGTAGAGAGGAGATGGAGTCCCCTATTGCAAACACTTGAAGACCAGCAAGCACTCTACGATGTTGCCTTTTCTCCCGATGGAAAAATTGTTGCATCTTCATCGGTTTGTCTCTACGATGCAGCGACGGGAACCCTACTGAAGACCCTGGATGCTCTTAGCGAGGATAGCAATCGAAGCGAGGGAAGTGCTGTTGCATTCTCTCGTGACGGAAAACGCGTGATCTCAATATCATGGCAAGGAGCTCTCCGGGTATGGGATGTATCCTCCGGTCTGATAATCTCCGAAGTGAAAAGTGCCGTCGTCGGTACAACAGCATTTTGGAGGATTTTCTCACGAGATAGGACTCTTGCAGTGGCATTGCTGAATAGCAATACGGTCGAAGTCATTGACATTGCAAATGGACGAATCTTGAAGACATTCCAGCCGCATGGGGAGAATGCCGTGGATTCTTTAGCACTCTCCCAAGATGGCCAGCATCTAGCATCAGCCTCTAAGAATGGTGCTATTCAGCTCTGGAATACAGTTACAGCTGCCCCCAGACATGAGCTCAAAAGACCCTTCGAAGATATGTTACTGGAAACTCGACTTGCATTCTCCCCAGACGGTAAGTGGCTTGCGGCATTGTCCAAACTATATGCAATCTCGCTTTGGAATCCTGCCAATGGAGAGTTTATGGGTGAGATTCCTGGCTGGTTCTACGATGCTTGCTTTTTGCCTGATAGCAATGTTCTTGTGACATCTTGCGAGACCAAAGATGGCGATTCCGGCCTCGTCAAATTATGGGACGTCTCATCAAGAAAACTACTGAAGGCAATCCCGGCCAACTGCCTTGGGCTACAGCTTTCGCCGGACGGCAGATACTTGACATCTGCACCTCTGCGACATGGAGCTTACGACTCACAAGGAGGTGGCAGAAGAATTAATGTTTGGGACATAAATACCGGAATGATTCACAAGGTTTTTCACAGCCCCTCTGACGATCTGAGCTGTCTCACGTTTTCAAATGATAACAAACTCCTGGCCTCTGCATCCGATTTCAACGGTACCATTCAGCTTTGGGATCTGGTCACCCACTCCCAATTCTTACACGACTCCCAACAAGATGGAATTGACAGCTTCAAACTTTCTCCTAATCGCAAGATAGCCGCTTCTATCACGATTCCATACTCGAAGGTTCGTCTATGGGATATGGAAACCGGTGCACTCCGAGGAGAGGTTTCCGGTGGAGTCTCCTCATTCTCGCCAGATGGGAGATGGTTCGTCACCTCCAACGGGAAAACAGACGATATCTATAATGTGGCTACAATGGAACTTGTACACAGCGCTGAGAAGCTGGACCCCAAAAGACCGGGACGATTCGCGTTCAGCCCAGATAGCAAGTTTCTCGCGCAAGACTTCTCCGATCCAGTCTCTCATATGGCAGAAGATCGAGCAAACGAGATATACGCCGAAATTCCAGATGATCAGCCTATAGTCCGAATATGGGATGCAGAAACATGGAAACTTCTCTTCACATTTGAGGCTCGCTATAACCGTATCACAGCGATGAAGTTCTCTCCGGATAGCACCCTTCTCGCTGGTGCGGTATTTCGTCACCTGGATCGACCCCGAGCAAAAGAAACCAGTTTCATTATTTGGGATGTTCTCAATGGGTGCCGACAGAGAATTGTCACTGTTCCCGTCTTTATTTCTGAATGCTGGACCGCCGATCTTGCATGGTCGCCTGATGGAACTACCGTGGCCTTGTTGACAACGGACCGGAAAGTAAGACTATGCCATGTGGCGAGCGGGCAGGTGAAAACTTTGGACTTGCAAGAGAGGGGAATATCTGTTGCCTTTTCGTCAGATGGTTTACTGTTAGCGGCTGGATCGATGATTCAAGGTTCCATTGAGCTTTGGGATGTGCACACAAGGACTAGGATTGGAATACGCAAGGCCCTTGGCTTTCATCACTGGTTGCAGTTCTCAGAAGATTGCAAGTCGATAGAGACGGACCACGGTTGTTTCGATGTTGATGCCTTTTATCCTGGTCAAGAGCTTGCGAGGAAACGTGATTTTTTGATTGAGTACGATTGGGTGATCTATGGGGGTGAAAGGATATTGTTGCTTCCGATAGACTATCGAACTACCTGCGCTGTTGCTGTGAATGATCTGTTACTGATGGGACATGCATCAGGTCGTGTCACGAGTCTTCGGATTGATGCCACAAGCTTTGGATCTATATAGAGAATTACTAAATGGGATGATGAAGATCAAACATAGTCATTCCAAGGTTACTGTATTCAATATATATTATGCTATTGAGATACACATGAATCTATGCTTTCTAGCTACCGACTTCCACCCTGTGCCCAAGTACAGATCGAGCTTCAGCCTCACTTAATGTATCAATCTCCAACTCAACAAGAACAGCACGAGCACTCTCGTTGTCTTTGAACAATCTTTTTTCCACGTCCCATAGGTCCAGCCCAGCACTAGACTCATTAACAGCTCCATCGCCGGGATCAGCGACCGACGGAATTAGGTTGAGAAGTCGCAGACCCTCGTTGAGCTTCTTCATAATCAGCAATGAGCCGCCTGGATGGCCAGCCACACCCAGGGTGTTATCAACCACGCTGCATATTTGTTCAACGTCACTGACTAATTGGTTCGCACCGGCCGCGGAGAAAGTATTCCGAGTCAGGACGTGATCCCATATGTAAGTCTGAATGGAGAGGAGAAGCTGACGCGACACTCTTCGTAGAGGCGCCACGCCAAGAGCCTTAGAAAGGAATGCAAGTTGGGAAGACAGGGTGCGCATCGCGTGTGCCAGATCAGAGGAAAGTGAGAGAGGAGAGGATGCTGAGCCAGCGGATGGAACGGAAAGAGTAGCCCAGGTAGCTACACGGGAATAAGGCTTCAGGGCAGCAGTGATGTTCGAAATCAGGGTGGAAGTGATGATTGCTTCCGATCGTTGTCGAAGACGACGGTATGCAGAGGCAGTTTCATCGAACAAGGCACCGTCCGATGTTTGAGGATTTTCTACCCCATTGACAGCTGGCGAAGTGCGCGCTGCTACTTCGGCGACGGTCATGGAACCTGCGACATTTTTACCCCCTTGGCGAACCCGTTCTTGGAGCTCGGACCAGAGTTCGACAAAGAATACATCGTTGCTCCAGTCCTCCATCTTCTTTTCGAGATACTCGGCACTTCCGAAGACTCTGCAAAGACGCTCTAGACCTGCAACGTCTTCTACACTGGCTTGCCCGTCTGCTCCTCGTACTGTTCGGCCTAGTGTAGACGTCATGGCAAGGTAGGCCTCCAAAGCAGAGTGAAGGCGCTCGTGAAATTGATCGAAAATTGTGATTTGAATGTCGATGAGGAATCGCAATTTCTGGCTGAAGGAAGATAGAGGCTGGTAACGTTCTGTGATGGTCTCCAGAAGATCGTTTACTCGAATTGCGGATTTTGTTGGTTTAGTGGCGGTCAACTCGACGCCATCATAATCAATCTCTCCACCGTCAGCAGTCTCGATAATATCCTTGTATCGAGCCAGAGCAAAATCTTTCTCGACTTGAAGCCAGCGATCATAACATCCCTGTTTGGCAAGAACTTCTCCAGTCATGCCCTTCCAGTTTCCATCGGAGTAAGGATCTGGTAAGTAGTTCCAAGTGTCCCGAATCTCGTTGTCAAATTTCATCAGCTCGTGTATAAAATGGCTGAGCAGTTGGGGATAGTCGGAAACTTGTGGGAGGAATGAGTCGATTTTCTCTCGTAACATTGGCATGAGAGCATTGATGAAAGCATGTAGTGCATTATGAAAATTCCATTCCAAGCTGACACCTGCCAACTGAGCCTTTGCATCGAGAATTGGCTGGAAGTATGAGGTAAAAAAGCCACCAAATTGATTTATGAGGTCCAGAATATGGGAAAGGAAGTATTCCGGCTTGTCGAGTCTATTTGTCGGCTTGTCACCGCTGAAGTGATACTTGAAACGCAGATCCAATGGATGCACCATAACCTCAAGAGGGAATAAGCAAGGAGGTTCGGATCTCTGGTTGATGCTCAAAGCATCACGATGTGGGAGTTCTGGTGTCTGCAAGTCAATCAGAAGCTCAACATCATGTCTCCATTGATCCAAGAATTTGTCCGTGATGTTCAACTCCCGTGATGGCCATTTCAAGGACGTAAGCGTCTTCTGTAGTTGGTCGCCAAAGAAGGTCTTCAACTGCTCCCTTAATGCAGACGCCAGTTTCTCGGTATAGTCGACAAGGTGGGGCGCAGCGCCCTCAGCAGCAGGTTGAGCTTCTTTCAGGGATACCACGATACTTCGTAGCTGGCAATAGGGTTGTAAAGCGGCTCGAGGATTGGAGGAGATACTGGACAAGGCTTTCTTGCTTTATTGCGTTGTGATTAGTGTAATTCAGTTCCAAATGTCGGCGAATGCATACCTCAGCTCTTCGGCCTCCTTCAGCAAACTCACATATCCCTTAGATATCTCCAGCCGCTGAAGCCTTTCCATACTCTTCTCCAGCCGCCGTACAGCCTCATCGCTCGTCTCTGATTGTGTAATCGCCTTCAGCCGCTGGTCGATGTCCGCCTGCTCGGCCGCGAATGCCTCGGCACGTTTTCGAGTAGCTTCAGCATGGTCGTTGGATGCCTTTGTCGCATTTGAGAGGGCCTCGTGCGCATCTGTGAGCTGGATTGGCATAAAATCAATTAAATGTTCTGCGTGGAGGCCGCAATTGCGGGACACGAGGGGAAAGTACCTGCTTCCGCTGGAGCTCCTGTTGCGCGCGGAGACTTGAGAGGAGCGAGTTCAGACTCTCAAGATCAGCAGAAATCTGGATTTTATCATTAAGATAATCTTCGACTCGTGTCCGCTCGTGCGAGGACAGAGACGTGGGTGGCGCCATTGTTGCGGAGGGAAGAACACGAAGCGCAACGATGTTCGCGATGTTGATCTCCGCCTTTCGGACTGACGTCTGCCATCCGCAACTGCTCCAGTGGCAATGCAAGTGCCTGCTCACCCATACATTGAAATATGTCCAGCCCAGCTAAAAAGCGCAAGCACAATGGTAATGAATCATCGCCGCAAAAATCGCGCGGTATCGAGTCATTCTTTAAAGGGCAGACTAAACAACCCGTGAAAGTCGAGCCCGACGTCACTGAGCAGACCCTCTCGGATGAAGCTTTGGCGCGCAAGCTCCAGGCTGAATGGAATGATGATAATAATGATCAACCCTCTACTTCAAGTGATACTCAACCTACGACAATAGAATTCGAATCAACTACAGCTCCGCCAATCCCGTTAATACCTGCAGATACAACACCGGGGACTTCAACGGCGGCCAAAAAGAACACACTATCGTTGCAATCATCCTCAGGTACAGAGGACACAGTTTCTCTTACCGTACCCTTTGATCAAAGCCCGCAAACATTTGACGCAGGCAAATATGCAGCGGAGTTGCGACCGCACTGGGCCTCCGAGGGCGGCGATGCTACCTACGCTCTGCTAACAAGGGCTTTTGTCCTAGCAAATTCAACCACAAGCCGAATCAAAATTGTCGATACTCTCGTCAACTTCCTCCGAGTCCTAATCGAAGGCGATCCAGAGAGTCTCCTTCCGGCTGTCTGGCTAGCAACCAACTCTATCTCGCCACCATACGATGAGCTGGAGCTAGGATTGGGCGGTTCATCCATCTCCAAGGCTCTGAAGAAAATATATGGCCTGGACAATCAAGGCCTCAAAACGCTTTACGATCGACATGGAGATGCGGGAGATGTTGCTTTCGAAGCTAAGAAACGCCAAAGCTTCACATTGGTCAAGCCGAAACCTCTGAAGATCAAAGGTGTATACCAATCACTCCTCAAAATCGCCAAGAGCAAAGGGTCCGGAAGCCAGGAGACAAAGCAGCGAGTTGTTGAGAAGCTCTTGCAAGATACGCGTGGGGCCGAGGAGAGTCGATATATTGTCCGCACTTTGGCACAAAACCTCCGAATTGGCGCGGTGAAAACTACCATGCTCATCGCTCTTGCGCGAGCATTCCTCTACTCAAAGCCTGCTGGGGCAGAGTTCACCGTTCTCCCACAGCATGAAATCGCGCGGCTGAAGAAGGACGAACTCTCCGAGCTGTACACTAACGCAGAAGAAATCGTCAAGGCTTCCTACGCTAGACACCCAAATTACAATGATCTCGTCTCGTGTCTTTGCGAAATCGGCGTGAGTGAGGAACTGCTTCTCCGGTGCGGCCTGGTGCTACACATTCCACTCCGACCAATGCTAGGAAGCATCACGCGCGATCTTTCGGACATGTTGACAAAACTGCAAGGACGAGACTTTAGCTGTGAATACAAATACGATGGACAGCGAGCTCAAGTGCACTGCGACGAGAACGGCAAAGTATCCATCTTTTCTCGTCACTTGGAGCTCATGACAGAAAAGTACCCTGATCTGGTATCGCTTGTCCCCCAAATCCGGGGTGAGGGTGTCTCGAGCTTTATTCTGGAGGGCGAGGTAGTCGCCGTGGACCAACAAAATGGCGACTTGCAGCCATTCCAAACTCTCACCAACCGAGCAAAGAAGAACGTTGACATCGGAGCCATTACCGTTAATGTCTGTCTATTCTCATTCGACCTAATGTATCTCAACGGCTCGCCGCTTCTAGATCGCCCGTTCCGTGAACGCCGCGAACTACTTCGGAGTCTATTCGTCGAAATCCCTAGACGATTCACCTGGGTAAAAAGCCTCGATGCAACATCCGCAGATTCAGAAACTGTACTTGAATTTTTCAAAAGTGCCACAGACGCCAAATGCGAGGGAATAATGGTCAAACTCCTCGACAATGCAATAAACCCTACCAAACAACCCATCGAAATCAACACCGAAGAAACCCCTTCAATAGAACGGGAACCCACCACCAATCCCCAAGAAAAGCAAAAACCCAACAGCCGCCGCAAAGCCCTCCTATCAACCTACGAACCCGACAAACGCCTCGAATCCTGGCTCAAAGTCAAGAAAGACTACAGCACATCATCCGAAACCCTAGATTTAATCCCAATAGCCGGCTGGCACGGCCAAGGCCGCAAAGCAAAATGGTGGTCCCCGATCCTCCTAGCAGTCCGCAACCCCGAATCCGGCGCACTCGAAGCCGTAACAAAATGCATGTCCGGATTCACGGATAAATTCTACGCAGCCAATAAAGAGAAATACAGTCCCGGGAGTGCAAATGTTATCTCGAGACCTGCGTATGTGGAATACTTCGGTACGCCGGATGTATGGTTTGAGCCACAGGAGGTGTGGGAGATGGCTTTTGCAGATATTACGCTTAGTCCGACCTATCCGGCTGCTATTGGACTTGTGAGCGAGGAACGGGGCTTGAGTTTGAGGTTTCCGAGGTTCTTGAAGGTCCGGGAGGATAAGGGAATTGATGAGGCTAGTTCTTCGGATTATTTGGCGCTTTTGTGGAGAAAGCAAGGGGAGAGGGCGATTGAGGCGGGGGCAAAGGATGGGGCAGATGATGTGGGTTGGGCAGAGGAATGAATTGATATGTTGGTCTTCTAAAGTTTGGGGACGAATCTATGGTGGATGGGGTAATGTAATGCATATAATATAGCTTATGCAGGAAATGATATACGATTAGATGAATCAAGAAGAAGTATCGGTAGACAAAACACAGAGACTTCAAACTATTGGCTATATTCATGTGGTCGAAGACCTCCTGTGTAAGAGCAGGCAAGTATTAAGTACACGGATCATCACGATGAGGTCGGGTACAAAGGATCATAAGGGACATGTTGAGTGCAAAGGAAATGCAGGCAGAACTGCCGTGGCAACGCAAGACAAGGTATGAATATAATAAACGTCATTCATGGAACAGAAATGCAGGACATGGGCCATGAACAAAGGAAACGCCGTGGATGCAGGAAGGATGTGCTTGATAGGAAATCCGAGACTAGCCTATGACAAAGGCCTCGGCACGCTTCAAGAGGGGGGGAATTAAAAGGTCAGGGCAGATAAGTAGATGCATACATAGCAAAATCGTCAAGCCGTCACAAGAAGTAATGGGAAGCAAGGGGAATAAATGGACATAGAAGTGAAAGAAAAGGTGTTGAGAAGAATATGGAGAAATGCGGACTTAGGGACGTAGCTCGCCTCCAAGTTGCAGAGCTAATCCACCTGCACCCTCTTTGGTGGGCATTCGAGGAGAGCCGCTTGGAGGAACGAGAGCGTCAAAGTTCAACCGTTTGCGGGCATCCTTGTTAGCAAGAGGGGTGCGAGAAGGGTTTCCCGGAGTTCGACTACCCCAAACTGGCTGTGCAGGACTGGGTGTCACATTCACAAAGTCCGCAAAGTTGAATTGCTGGCCCGGGGTTCCAAGGACAGCATGTTGACTCGGAGGAGTTGACGGAGGGAAGATGTGAGCATGCGAGCCAGCAGCCACCCGAGCCGGAGTTGGTGAATTCGCCAGGTAAAGCAATAAGCCAGCCCCATCATCTTCATATTCACCAGGTCGATCCGCTCGTGCCAGTCGTGCGTGCTTTGGGGGCGGAGTACGAGGAGGCGAAGAGCCCACCATGGAGCTCACATGCTGGAAACTATGCAAGGGCAAATCAGGATCGTTCTCTTCATCGGAGTGGCCGTGGTATCCTGGCGATGACATTTCTGGGATTGGCGCCTCGGACATAAAGGGGACTCGGCTCCGTCGTGAGGTGTGGCGGATGCCCAGGCCGGGAGAAGACTCGGGCAGTCGATGGGAACTCTTCCATGACACTCGGGGCACCTTTGCTGGACGTTCTGAATTGGAGTCTGACCGAACACGCTTGCGGCCTGCCGTCAGCATTGGCGCCATGGCGAGAGAATCAAAGGTAACGGCATGCTTGTTCCGGGCCGATCGAGGAAGTTCCTTGGAATAGGTCGAGGCTCGCAAGGGCGGGGACGTAAAGGGAGTCTCACAACGGCTGCGAGAGAAGTCGGAGGAGGAATCGGAGGGCTTTTCAAGATCAAGGCGACCCTTGTTGTCTGGAAGGGTGGAGGTCAACCCATGAAGCCGGCCATGTTGGTACTTGAGTTTGGCCAAGCCCAATCGGTCCTGTAGACTCAGAGACACCTATGATCCCCGCAAATCAAGCATTAGCTAAAGCTGTTCCTGACAGGGTCCAAGTATGCAACTTCTTGCGGTGGCAACTCTACAGTTGTGTTCCTGCATCAGGCACAAGACCCAACCACCGGCCCACTTGCAAAATTTGGTCCATCTCCTCCCTTCCTTTTTCCCCTGGATGCGCTTACCTGGGCAATATCAATCTTGCGAATCGTTTTCTCCGCTGAACCAGGCTGTGGCAGGGTCATGTTGGGCAATGATGAAGAGAAAGAGAACCTGACGGAGACCCAGTTTGCGGGTTGGCAAGGCAAGGGCGGGAAAGGGAGCCAATTGGGCGATCGATAATGGAGCCGAAGGGCACACTAGCCCCAAATTGCCCTTGATCTGAGATTTGGTGAAGAATATAATATAATGGGTCTTATAGAGAAATTTAATTGAATGGGGAAAAAGGTTAAAATCAATCAACAAAAAACGAAAAAGGAGTGCAGAGTTATGGTTCGAAGGTTGTTGTTTGCGACGCGTTCCACGCGATCAATTTACGCGAAGTCGTGTTCTTACTCATTCCACGGATGCACACATGCCCTGCACTTGGTACCGACACGAACTATACGGTTTGACCTATAAGAGGAGATTTGTTTCTTTCATGTTCTTCAAGAACATGGACCTATACCCAAGTACCATTGAAGAAAAAAAAAAATCGGATTAATCGAGTGGGCTAAGGCTGATTCCCCACCTGAGACCGCAAATTGATTTTCTCGGATTCTCAGTGGGACTGAGTCTGCCACAGAAATCATCTGGAATGTCATTCCAGATTCCTGCTCCACTTCAAAGCCCTAGCTTCACCCATGTCATGTCGGACATGTAGCTCTGGAATTGCCATGAGGTCAGTGTCTCGATGCGGAATGCTAAGATCTCCGGAATCTGCATTACGTTTACGGCCCCTTGAACTGCCAACACTAAAAAGATCACCAAGCATGACACAACGCAAGTGCAAGCGATAAGTTCAGGGCCTTGCGGCTGTCTAGGGTCAAATTGCCGAGTCGACGGCCATGCCGGAAATGCCGACTCTAAAATGGCCCTCGTGCATAAATTGACTGCAGTGATAGCGTGGCGTACAGAAACAAGGAAAATAGGCGTAGGGTAGTTTGGGGGACATGATAATCCTAAAGTTCGGAATTCACTATGCAGATCAGCTTAGTCGAAGGCTTCCAAGACTTTAGAAGTCTCAGATATGTGGCATAGCAACAAGTCTTATCTCAGGGGCCAAAAGCCGGTTTTTATCCCGACCACCACCATCGATGCATATTGCGTCGAGATTAGATTGGCATGGGGGGTCTGGGGGTCCTGGTTTGCAGCTCTCATACTTCCTGAGATCTCTAAGGTGCTTCAGAATTGAACGGCCGAGCAGAATTAGCTTGACGAACGGACCTTCAAACTGGTATGTGAAGCCTTAGCTCGACGCTAGATCGAAACTAAGAGCGTTAGGGCGATCATTAAAGATCCACCGGTGAAACATTGCGACTCGCGATAGTGGTGTCGCTCTCGGGGGCTAGAGGGGTACGTAATGTATTGGTTAAAAGTCCCTGTACCTTGGACTGAGGGAGATTGAAATCTGGTTGGGACTTTGATACATGCTAAGTATAGACGGGGCCTTGAGGCGACTTGTTTTATTTTTTTTTCAGTCGGCTTTTGTTCTTTGCTTTTCATTGATCTTCCGATTGACGGTTGCCTTATGGACTGATTTCCTGTTCTTCTGTTTTCCCCCTTAATTCATCTGGCTCGACTCAAATTGACCCTTTATTTCCCACTTCTTTGCGGGGCGAATCCACGGCGTCGTCACCCGCCGCAAACGGTCGCGCTTTCCTGTTCCTGACCCTGACGGCAACTGCCCCCCCCCCCCCATCTCTCCTCTTTTTCCAGGGTTTCTTCTTCGAAGAACTCTTGACTCTGGAAATCCGCCCTGCCCAAAATGGCCTTTTTCAAACAGTTGCGTCGTCGCTCAAAGGCGAGTTTTCATACCGATTCAAAAACAGCTGCCGCAAAGGTGGAAATGGTCGGCAAATCTTCGTCCACGATCGACACCTCTTCCCACAGCTCCATAACTCCGCCATCGTCGATCAAACCGACCCTCTCCTCCCCCAATCTTCCTTCCTTGACCGAACTGAATGGCAATGCCTCGCCTCTACCCCCGCCCCCGCAGCGCCCGGGGCCGTTGGGGTCGCGCTCGCAACGAAATAGCATGGTGGTAGGTTGAAGCTCGTGAGACTAAGGGGACACGGTTCAGTGAGCTAATTGGAGGTCGGCCTCACTAGGGAAGCTCCTCGTCATCCATAAATGGAGTCTATCGAACTCCTTCCAGCTCGCCATATGCGCCAAGGATTGTGTCAATCGCCGATAATTCTTGGGTACGTGTCCTGCATATGATCGAAGAGGCCAGTACTAACACATCCATATGCAGGTCCACCAAAAAGTCCTACTCGTCTATGGCCAGATTGGAGACCCACGGAATCACCCGCTGGACGGAAACATCACGGTCTTCCATCACCAAGATAACTTCCCATCGACTGGCTGGCCCGTCACAGAATCTCACTTCAAAGCCTTAGTCCACCTGGTGCCCGGTCCCAATCGCCTTCGCTTCGATTTCATCTCCCCCAAACTCTCCTCCGGCAGCACCCACCCCGCGATTCACTCCCAATGGATTTGCATCAACTACCTTCCCCTGGTCAACACACCACCGTTGCAGCTAGTCGTTTTACTCGGAAAGGATTCAGAGGGCACTTACGATGCCGTACCAGAGCGGGTGGAGCGAGAGGGCAATGACTTGGACATGGCAATTCGAAAATACCGAACGGCGGCGTACCTATGGCAGGCCTTTACCGGGGAGCAGATGTTCCGCAACAACCTTGGACGACGCTGCTTCCGCTTCGAGGAGGAGTGGCAGTCTGGGACCCTGAGCCGTCGCGATATAGCGGCCGGACAGATGCGCAACGAAGCCAAGATTCACGTTGTTCGCACTGATAAGACAGTAGCAGAGCTCCGGGACCTCAACATCGCCCAACAAAACAAAAATGCGCAGAAGAAAGACGAGTTGTTCGCGATCGCAAAGGAAGCTGTGCGAAAGCATTTCAACACTCGACCCGGCCAGAAGCAATACGTCTCGGTATTGCTGCTCGACTCGCACTGGGAGAAGGAGCAACAAATAATCACAGGCCACGCCGCATTAGGCTCCGGCGGTGACGATATCAAAATGGCCATCTTTGGATCCCACAGTCTGCAAACCTACCCATCGTGCTTGGAAGAAGTTGTGGACGCCTTTTCCGACTGCACACGGACGGATACGGAGTTCGTCGCCAACGACAACGGCGAAGCGGGATCAAATTGGGAATCTGCGAACATCGGCATTGGCGCTCATCTACATGAGGTGGGACACCTCTTTGGATGCCCCCATCAGGAGTCTGGCGTTATGCTCCGCGATTACGTACAGTTTAATCGCTCCTTTTTGACCAAGGAGCCATTTTGCACTCGTACCAAGGCTCAGGGCCTGAAGGTGTGTCTACCTAATGACGAGTGTGGATGGCATCGGTTGGACGCCCTCCGTTTCAGGTTTCATCCCTGTTTCCGACTGCCAAGTGATGCGACGGTAAGCTCAGACGACAGTGTCCAAGTCTGGCCCGTGGAAAATAGTAAGATTCTGTTCACTGCGTCATCTGGCGTCGCTTTTATTGAGCTATACAAGGAGGGCGATGAATTCTGCCACACCTCTATCGAATATCTGAACAGCGATTCTAGCAGCAATGGTCTTCCGAAACAAATTACTCTCACCGAAAGCGAGCTTCGCCTGAAACTCTTTGGCACTGAGAAAGAGAAGAAAAAGAAGATGAAAGTCATTGTCTACTCCGGCGCCCTGGGCAGTTACACCGTTGAGGATGTCGGAGCTTTGAAATCGAAGAGCTCTTTGGTCAAGCTCCCCAAGAGTCAGACAGGCTACAAGAGTGGAATTTTAGGTTTCTCCTCGATGGACGGCAGTGAACCTCAGCAACTGCTTCTGGAATGTGCCTTTATTGCGACCAAGCTCTTGACCTCTATCAAAGTGTACCATGGAAGCGCTTTAGATGGCATCGAGTTTTGTTATGAGGATATGACCACTCAGCTGTTTGGCAAACGCGGCGGAAAAGCTGGCGGCGATGAATTTGTCCTCGGTAAGTGATGACAGCAAGGCCACAAAGAGCCAATTCTAATCGTGACTAGACACTCGGCGTGGGGAGATTTTACTTGGATTCTACGTCCGAGCTGGCCTCTGGATTGATGGAATTGAGATTCTCACGAGCCTGGGAAGAAAATCCAGCTTCTATGGCAACCCTAATGGAGGATCAGGGTAAGTTCTTCAACATGAGGAAATGCGAACTATAGCTAACTCCTACTCTAGGCACACCTTAATCCCACCTCTAGGCTATAAGATTGCCGGTATCTCAGGATCCTGTGGATCCTGGGTTGATGGTTTCTCACTGATCGTCCAACATTGAAAGCGATTCTTGCATATCTCGTGCTAACCAACACTTGAACATTCTTTTCATCTTTTCCTTTTTTTTTACCCCTGCATCACGGGTGTTGACCTGCAAAGCAAAACTGGCTAAGGACCGGCCAGTAAATATACACGAGGTTCTGTCAGGCCATTGGGCCTTGTCCATATCTTTCGCTTTTTTTCCTTCCTTTCTTTCGAGCGGCGTTGTTGGGCTTTCTTGCGGCTGCATTCATGTACACATCGTACCATCACTTTTCTCTTCTTTGTTGCTTTTCTCGACAGGTCAATGCGCCTACGGTGATTCGTGCAGCGGCTGCACCGGGACATTTTGTACAAGGGACATTCATATGGGCAGACTATAGATGAATAATATCACACAGCATGGTCGCCAGCGGTCAGTGCTTCACCTTCCAGACGCTTCCAGACCCTTTAATTCTCGGCGTGCCGATATTGCATCAGCCTTACGTTAATCGAACTACATTCGGTAAAATGACGAATTGACACAGCCACACTGTGTGATCGAGGTTGTTCTATGTACTATTGCTTGCGTACTGGAAATGTATATCCGAGATAAAGAACGGAGACTTTAAATACACACTAAAAATGATTTGTCGGTGAAGGCAGGGAAAGTAATGCGAGCCAATTGATGAACATATAAATGTGGAGATGTACATATGCTTGACTCGATAAAGTACATCAAAGCCCCAAAAAGGGTAACTGATATGTATACGCAGTAAGCTCTATAGGGCAACATGCATGACTCATCATTTCAATGCATAAGATCTACGAGGAAATAGGTCCCTTCTCCATACAGACAAAAGCCTGCATACATCCTTGCTAGCCCGTACGCATGGATCGCAACCTGATGGAACATTTTCTCGCTACTCCACCAAGACCCATCTGGTCATGAGCGAGCTCCGCAGAATGTACATACTTGGATTATCATTCGTACTTCGGACATGCAGGATCACATCTGACTGAAATTCGCCACACTTCCTTCCCCCGAGTACATCCACCGCATCTGATTGGTCCAACGCCATAGACCCCCGTTCCGCCCGTCCCGTCTGCCTTATGATGAACAGATGTAGTCCGTACGTTGGACAATCTATAGGTAGTGCTTTTAATTCTCTCCGCTTGAGACACGGGATAGCCCATGCTCCAGATCATCCCTGTCGGTGCGCTGCGTCAGCTGGAACTCCTGTGGCGCGGTTCAGTCGGATACTGATCTCCGCTGTGGCAACCCCGCTACATGGCCTGACTAGCCCAGTCTCTGCCCAGGTGGTCGCACATGCTTCTACATGATCCTAGCCTTGCCCATTAGTCATTGCTATTGGATGAAGAACGGATCTGCGTTGTCATAGACTATGCGGAAAAGGCAGCCGTTTTCCTTTTCCTTTGTTTGCGCCACCGTTATACACTTATTCATACTATGTTACCCTCCGTGGCATATACGTCCATGATCGTCATGAACACAATTAGCTTTGTAGGGTTTTAGAGCACGACGCAATATATATAATTAGTCTTTATCTACCGTGTACAGCGTGTCCGTGTCAGTCAATTGCGAGGATAACCGTGTGTTTTTAACGCCCAAGATCTCCACCGTGACACCATCCCTTCAATCCCATTGGTTCCTGCAAGCCAGCCGAATACTCGAGTCCACCTCGTGGCTGAGGATCGCCGCTGCGAGGATCGCGAAAACGAGCTGTGGCTCTAATATCATCTGTTTCACAATAATCGACCAATAAGACAAATTGATCGACAACCTATGAAGGGATAGGTACCAACTACTACATAAAGCCACCGACCGAAATTTCCAGTCTGTTCCTTATTTATTATCGTGACTGCTCTGCCGTCCTCCCATTCAGAGCATTGCAGTTCTCCTGGCCGTGCCCCCAGCATTCCAATTCCCATTCGTGCTGGTGGCACCTGCTCCCTTGTCGATCCAAACGCCCAATAAGCCTCCTATGACGATGTGGCTTTCTTTTCTACCCCCTCTCCTGGGCCCGGGATACTATCACTAAGAACACAGAGCAATGTAATTCGATCGAAACCTAGGCCCAGGATGCGTTGTCTCCAGCTAGCTCAAGCTCTAGCGGAGAATGTGGACACGAAATATCGACACCTTGAAATTGACAGGGACCTACTTCCTCAAAAACATTAGCTACAAATATACATTTCGAACGTAGAACTGCCTCAGGTACATGCATAAGTACACTCGCTTCTTCGTGTCACCGCACGAAGCAAGCCTGCATATCTGTCCACCCAAAAGCAGAATCAAATGCAACCGACAACCACATGAGAAGGGGTAGTGATTTGCATCAACACTACGTATGACTTTCTCACCCCTCAAAGCCTCCAAGCCCGAAAAAACAACAAGAGCGCCTCTGGGAACGCCCGCCTATGCCAGGGGCGTGCAATGGCTTCGTTCCGGAATAATACATAGATTATCGTGATGAATGTTATGATGGAGAACGCCTTATGGCTTTTGGGCTTAAGAGCATACAGAAATGGCTGTCTGTGCTGAGTCTGACGGTGGAGCTTTCGAATCGAGCATCCTGTACTGAGCATCACTACCGAATTCAGCAAGATTCATCGTGGGTCTTTCTAATCCCTTCTGTTTTCGATCCGGCTTTTCATCCGGCGAATCAGAGTGTTCAAAGACCATGTGACCTGTGTCATTTTAGGAGTGTTGTTTGCAGGGATGCTCGCCACGCGCATAAGTACCTATGCCTAAATACTATATGCCGTCATAGTATCTACGGCTTTTCACGAACGGTCCAAATTTGGGTTACTTAATTTGGTAGCCGCCCAAAGTCTGATTGCACGGCCCTCGGCTTAGAATGTCCCGTGCGTGTAACCTTGCGTATTGGTACTGTCGATGGCACGTGCAGTAGGGGTTTCTGGCCATTTGATTGGCGGGCTGTCAACCCAGCAATCAATCTTGGGGTAGAGTAAAGGGGGCTGTACTGTCAGGACTGCGTATTTCCGATCGCACTGTATTGTGCTCCTGGCGTTCCAGTCCCCAAGTAATGGCGTACGTTGTATTGTACGGAGTGATGTTCTACATAAAAGGGAAATTATGAATACACATTGCTTGTACTTGATATATTCTGTGATAATAGATTGCCCATTCCCAAGAGAACGTCAACGTGCATTGATCCAAAATTTCAGCTTGATTGATAGGGCATAGACCTTTTGGCCAGTTCATCGAACCAGTTCGTGCCTTCGCGAACAGCCGAGAGCCCTCGGGACCCGTGGTATCTCCCCGATCGTTCTCGATCTCTGAACGGATACCTACAGTGCTTTTAGGAAGGCGATACTCGGAGATAAGAATTGTTTGCTGACACCGATGTCAACGTACGCCTCATTTGCTCTTAACCGTGGTATCTGCAATCGTCGATGATCGGGATCAGTCTGTTGTACTGACGACGGGGCAAGTCCGGTCCGATCAACCGCCTATCACACTGAGTCAGGCCACGGCCACACCTCGACCCATGGAAATGGCTTCAAGCCACATGTGCTGCATATGGCTTCTCTCGGACTGACATATTTTAGAAATGTGATAAATCTCGTTGCCTGCGATGCCTACCGTCGATAGCCATCATGTGCACCATTCGATCTGCGACTTACACCGTTTTATGTGGATTGTAGTGGACAAGGTGTCTTTTCTTTACCGCTTCGACGCCACCGGCCACGTTCTGGGTCGGATTTTTGGCTTGAAAATTAATCTATTTGATTTTACTATACATCCATTGGCGCGGAAATTAGTTGTGTTGACGAATGATCTATCACAATAAGGGTTTGTTTGAATCATTATCTCTACAGATGCGTCAGTATGATACACTGTTCGGTTTGTCCAAAATTAGGCATGTCAACGTTTAAAGGTTGCCGTGTGGGGGAAGCTTGAACCCAGACACTCGGGACGCCTTTATCGATAGACGGAACGACTCCGGCTGGATCATCGAGATGCTGATCATAGGATTAAACATCGCAATCATGGAAATCGTCTCAAAATGGGGCTGCAATTTCATCCAGGGGCATAGTTTTCGTCTAGGGCATGAAGTTCTCCAATTCGCTCAGGATCCATTCTCGGATCGATCGAAGCTCCTCCTCGATCAGTAATACCCCGATAATACACCGTAAGTTACGTTTTGGTCCCGAAAAGAAAAAAAATTAAATTCAAGCAGTAATTTTAGTAACGGCTCCACTTGACACTGGGTCATGACTTTTTCTTTTCCCTTCCAATCACTGTTCTCCATAATTGCTCTTTCTCCCGTTCCTCTTCCTATCCCCTTCGTACCAATCATTTCCATTCCATAGAAGGAAGAACTAAATAGAATTTCTCTCTCCACTCCAGAAAAAGGAAAAAAAAGGAAAGGGAAAGAAAAAGAAAAAGGATAAATTAAAATTCCCAAAGAAAAAAAAAAAGAAATTAAAAACATTTCCCCAAATCACCTCCCAAGCTACCTTCTCTATGCGACCCCTGGTCCTTATCGGCAGTGGCAACACCTCTCCAAACTTCCGAAAGCCTCAATAATCCCTCCCCACTACACACCCCTTCTAAACTGTGGCTCAGTTATGGTCAGTCGATCCTAGGTTTCTTTGCTATTCGTTATTGGAGGCTCCATGGACCGTACCCTCATCTCTATTTTTTCCTTTTCATAACATCATAGACCGTGTGTCCACCCCTCCTTCGTCTCTTTTCTATTTTTTATTTCGATATTCGGGATCCCCTTCAGCACCCGCATACAAAAGAAACCTTTCCCAATTACACATTGGACACTTTTGGCACCTTTCCCCTACTTCCTGTGGCAATTTGGTGACACAATCCAGACTCGACCGAAAAAAAAAAAATCCAGAGTATATTCTGGTCCAGACCCGCCGCCTTCCGTCTGTTCCTGTCTCCGCTTTTTTTTTCGTGAAGTTCGCATAGACATTATCTTACGCACCCCCCCTCTTGAGCCACGACCCCCACACTCCTTATTCAATCTTCTTGACACTACCACCAAATCCTAAGGTGCAAACACAACAGCCCTCGATATTGTCCAACCGGTATTTCAGTGCATGAAATCCGTTGTCGAACGGTTGAAGATTGTCCCGAACGAACCATACACTTTTTGACCGTATCCGAGTTGTCGGGATTGGGGAAAAGCCCCCTCTACACGCTAAAAAGGGACCACGACAACGCAATTCTTGTGGTCACATCGTTTCGCCACAAGTCAGATGGTTCATACAGATCGGAATCTACCTGTTCGATTTTCCGATTCTCCTATTCTCTGCGCATCCCACGTCAAGCACTGCCAGTAGATTCATACACCCTCAATGTTTCGCAACCGGTGGGTACCGCCCTGGAACTCTATAATTCAGATTATAGAAAAGGAAAGAAAAGTCATCAAATGCTAACCACGTTATTCAATATAGAAACAACACCCAGAAGCCCGACGATGACTTCATCAGTCGCTTCCAACAGACCTTCTCCGATGTAGTACCTCGTCGTGAAAGTGAGGATGAGGGAAGTCATGGCCATTTCACAGGAATAGGCGGGTATGTGGATTTTAATTTCAGAGCATTGAGATCAGAGACTGATTTGGTGAACCGACACAGATCGAATGTGCAAGGCCACGACGTGAAACTAGAGGACCACAATATGAAATTCATGCCCGAGCGTACACCCCGGAACCTACAAGATCTCAATTTTTCGCCGTCCTGGATGGATCCAGCCTCAATGAACATGATTCCTATGGCCAACCAACACCCTGGCTTCTACACCCCCAACTCCGGCGGTATGGGCGCCGTTTTCCACAGCCAAGCAGGCGACCTGCACACACCAACCGCCGGCTTGCACACTATGACTCCGCTCTCGCTCAGCAATCCCATTACAGGGCCCCAAAACCATCCTGTAATGGGGCATTTCAGCCCCCAGTTCCTTGGACACCAGATGCCTGAAATGAATCCTTACTTGCAAGCCTCTTACGCACCGAGCGCTTTCATGCAGCGCGATCCAGGTTACGATGTCATGGATGAGACAGTGGATGACTCTTCGGTCAATGGAATTCAGCTCGATACAGCTTCAAATATCTCCAGTATGACAGCCTCGACGGAATTTTCATCAGTCCCTGCCACTCATCCGATTGGTTTAACATACGCCGGTGAAAAGTACGTACATGATGAATGGCAACTTAATGACCGAGATCAAATTTCTAACTTGTTCGCCAGATTCCGTTATAATAGTTTCCTTGCGTGCTCCGACCGCAATGGTCAAGCACGCGAGAGAGATTCCTGTGTCCTACCTCAATAAGGGCCAGGCCTATAATTTATCAGTAGTGGATTCGCAGCCGCCGATGCCCAGCTCCGGTCCACTACGTTACCGAACCTTTGTCCGCGTCTCATTCGAGGAAGAAGAGCAGAGGTCGAAGCCAGCTGCCTGTTGGCAATTATGGAAGGAAGGTCGAGGTACTAGTGAAGCACACCAACGAGGAGGCAAACTTCTAGCCGTCGAATATGTGGACCCGCTTCAAGGCGGCGATGAACATAAGCACCGCCAATTGCAGATCGAGCAGATGTCCTTTGATGGGTTCTGTGTGACCTGGACCGCCAACCCAGCTACTGGCTCTTCCGACTGTAGTATTCCCGTGCGATTTAACTTCTTGTCTACTGATTTTAGTCACTCGAAGGGTGTTAAGGGTATCCCTGTTCGGCTTTGTGCGAAGACCGAGCTTCTCTCACCAGGGGAAGATGCGGGTGGTTCGCGCGAGCCGGAGGTGTGCTACTGCAAGGTCAAGCTCTTCCGAGACCATGGCGCTGAACGAAAACTGTCCAACGATATTGCACACGTTAAGAAGACCATTGAGAAATTGAAGCAGCAGATCGCTCAGGCTGAGATGGGCGGTGGATTTGGCAAGCGCAAGCGTGGCACAAATGCCTCCGCGGGCGTGAAATCAACAGACCGGTCCAAGCCTCCACTGAAGCACAAGCGCGCCTGGTCTTCAGGTTCACAGGATGGCTCCGATAAATTATCATTGGAGGATGATCTACAATCGAAGTTGGCCATGATGCAGGATATGTTCTCGTCAACTCGGTCCATAAGCATCCTTGCTCTTCGTGGCGAAGAGGGTGATGATCCTGATCAATACCCAGTTCGATTACCGGCGGAAAGCGAGTTTGTTAAAACAGATGGCCTGAACTACCAAAACCACAGTGCTTCGCAGTCTATGGAGTCCTTGATTTTATCACCGACCAGCAGTCATGCTTCCTTGAACATGAACTCACCGCACTTTGGCACTGCTCCGTATTTGAAAGACAAGAACCTGAACATGAAGGAAAAGAACCCAATTTTTGTTCCAAGAGTGGCATCTAAGGACAGGGTTTCACAAGGATTCATCGAGGCTGTGGATATCGACCCTACTTATCGACCTCCTGCTGAGCGACCGCCCAAGCCGAGTAAGTTAATTCACCTGAACATGATTACGCCCATTACTAATTCCAATATAGTTGCATGCTTCTACGTCCGATTTTCAGGGAACGAGAATCATCCCGCTGATTACTACCGTGCTATCTACTTAACAGAGCGCACAGTCCGGGACCTAATGAAGAAAATCTCGGAGAAGCAACAAATCGACCCATCACGGATTGTTCGCATACTACACGTCAATGAAGCCGGGTTACGAATCATGGTCGATGACGATGTGGTCCGCGAGCTACCGGAAGGCCAGGACATGGTTGTCGATATCTACGAAACGCCTGACGTTGAAGTCAAAAATCACGACTCGCCTGTCTCGCCTGGCTCCCCGGTGGAGATCAAATTAACATATTAACGGACTACCACACTTCATAGATCATGTCACGATAATCCTCAGCACTTTCCCTCCTGTGCTCCTCATAGATTGACAGTTCCGTCTTCTTTTCCCGATCGTCGCTCCGGTTCTCGCCTCAATCTCGTCGGTCTACATGCTTACACCTATGAGCATACTATTTACCTGAGATTGATATCCCTTGCACCTGGCGTGCAAGCGACAGAGGCCTGCACCTTTTCGCTTTTTCCTTCTGCAGTCTCCTTTTAATGGATGTCTATTATCTTATATTGGTTCTATTGTCAATGAAATGGCGGTTATCAATCATTCCAGGGGCGTTATTGATTACGGTGATAATACACGAATCTCCGGGCAATGATACCCTGTCCCACTACGCGTTGATGAATTCTTGTTCTTTCTTTCTGCTGCATTCCATATTTCTTCTTTCTACTGAATCTGAAGGCGTTGGGACACCCTGCGACGGTATATGAGTTCACGGGCCGACCTGGTGCAAAGTTGCTGAGGTATACACATTGTTGCTTACTTTACTTTATTATTTTCAAAGTTGTTTTCGTTGGCCTGGATTAGGGACGAAGCACACGAAGTTGATACCCCATTCCAATTTTGGAAACCTGCCCCTATTTACTTTGCGTGTCCTGTCCTGCTCTGCACTTTATGTCGTTGAGCGTTTTGACTTTCTGTGTTCAGCTATTTTATTCAATTGTGGGCGCATTGTATACGTTGGATCTTATCCGACACCGGGGACGAGGTTAAGAATCCAACAAATATTCCATGGATAGGTTACAGAACACGACAACCTAGTTTATAAGATCAAATACCTTTTACTGAACCTCAAACCACATTTATACTTGAACATGAAATTTTATTCAAAGTGCTCTCCATGCGGGGGCATCCCTTTTGCTCAGACATAATGCTCGGCACTAGTCTTGGCGATCGAAAACGCATACGTAACAAAGCGCAAATTTCGTATCCATTTTCAATTTGCCGTAGTGGGTAAACCAACATCCCAAACCCCATAAAAGCGGGTTCACAGCTTGCGAGACCGAAACGCAATTTTGAGCTGTTAAGGAACTAACCCCGAGATCATCAAGCCACGACTCCAAATCTACCACGGTAACAAAAAAGCCCACACGGATGCACGTTCAGATTGAAAGCGAACCGCGAAGGAAAGACATTATTGGGAAAAAAAAAAATTGAATTGAAAGAACGGCCCCACCCCCAGAGCCGGGCCCAGCAACCTGGTAACAGTCTCACGGGTGAGAGCGAGACACCAACCACAGTGTGAAGGAGGCGACGCTATGGTGCCATGGACGGTTATGATGTATGTTACCCGAAGCGGGAGAATTGGGGATGAGGCATCCGTTCTGAGAGATGGATGCGATTGGCGGGCTGAGCTACCATTGTCTGCTAGCCAACCATAATGGAAATTTTGCATTGGCGCCGGAGTTGTATCTCCATCTGATTCAATTGGCTCATATGGTTGCATCATTGAGTTTGTGTTTTACTACGTCATTTTTCTTTGAGATACTGTTTTTGTAGTGTGGATGATACGGTGATTTCGATTCTTTTTGGTTCCGGGTCTTTCCTTAGTCGTCGAAATGGATCGAATTGAAATTAAGGAACGGAGTAAAACGGTAGGCTTTTTGTCATTACTTGGCCAATTGATTTTAAGTTTGGGATTTCGGGGAAATTTATCCCATTGCGTTCAATTGGTGACGTTTAATGTGAATATAGTGTGCATGTTGAGCGCATCTAGAACCATAGAGCCGTTGGAGCTGCCTTTTTGATACTAGTGATATCTTAGTTTCTGGAGTAGTATCCTCTTCCCTCTTCGCAAAATTAAGTGGCTCATTTAGTGTGTTTTTCGCGAATGACGTTGCAATAGGTTGCCGAGTTAGGTATGGCATATGTATATTGCGAGCAAGGTTCACCACTCCCCTATAGGTGTGGCGTTCTCTTCCACAGTCTCATCTACAACATGATAGGTATATTTTGTGAGGGATAAGACCATTCAACCTTCTGTTGAATGTTTGGCGTCTCGTATCACGTATTGCGAAGGTTTATGCCGTCGCGCACCTTCCCTTATGGGCTCAATTTTAGCGCACTCGGAGTCGTTACACGTGTTCCTATGAATGCCCACAACGGAGCACAAGGTAGCACCGTTTGAAACCGCTTCGCTGGCTATGGACCCAGATGCAATTAGCGAAGCACTAACATAATAATAAAAGGAAAGTCCTCCGGGGAAATCTCCGTTACAGTAGATGAAGATCCCCTCTTCCGAAATCCCCACGCCAGCCGCCTAAAGTAAACGGCGCCTTCGCACTGGCCGGATGAGAAGCCGGGGCTCCTCATGACGTCAGCCCGTTAAACTAGACCAGACCATCCCAGCTGCCCCGCCATCTCGCTCTTTGAATCAGCCCAAATTCAGATCCAGAAAAACCATTGGTCACGTTCCTGCCGATCCCCTCCCCTGTCATATTACCCTTCCCTCTAGTTCATTCCACTCGTAGATCGAGATCGATCATGCCCCTCAGCCCCTCCTCCCATTCGGGGCAATCTCCTGGTATGGAATCTAGAGCGTAATTACGAACCCGACCGGATCCCAGGGTGACCCTTGTGTTCACTACGCCTCGTTCAAAGGACTGAGCGCAGGTATGGCCTCGCTGGCATGTAATTTGGCCTTTCAATAACGCCCAATAAGCCTTCCGCAAAGCCCCATGACATCATCGGCAATGTTCCTTGGAAGCGGAGTACTGATAGCTGCCACGCCCCACTTGACTTTTACCACGCGGCTCATCCCGGTACATGGTTAGAACCGCTTGGAGATTTCCCGTATGCGTACCGTATAATAAACATTGCGCTAGTAATTAGTAGCGGTCTGGTATTTGTCTCTGTTTTTGTTTCTTAGCGGATTGGGGTATCTCTAGTCCCGTTGGGACACGGGATGTAGCGAGAAGAATCGGTTTCCACTTACCGAATCGCCGACTTCCGACTCGGTACTGCCCCTTGGACTCCGAGGGTTTTGGTTGACCGTGCTTTTTTTTATTCTTGTGGTACGGTACTGTACGCTCTGGTGGACACAAGGACATCACATATTTTGGGACTTGACTGGGCTAGTGCTTCGCTTCGAAGTGGTATTTTCTGTATAGGCTAAGCTGGCCGTTTGGCCTCCAGACATAAGCTTGTTGGGTGACCGGTGCATATAGGGCTGAGAGTGTTTTCGGCCAATAAAATGCTAGTTATTTACTTCAGTGTATCCAAGCTTCAGCCCTAACCTGTTTGGCTTTGAGGCTCTACATCTCCCTCGTGTTCCACATGTTATGAGCTCTCGAACGACGCATATCTAGTTGTAGCGTGGATATGTGCTTACTCCAAGTTTGATTGCAACGGTTTGCTTGGGGACGGCGTGCAGAGTTGCAGGACCACAAAGTCTACGTCGTCTGCAGCACTGCACATCGTCTATACGCCAGTTCCCTTGTGTAGACTGGAGACAATTTCCCTGTGGCTATTGATTCCCTCAGTGCATTTTTTTCGAAAACCATTTTTTCGAATGTTTTCTCATTAGATAATTGTCAGATCGTGTAATCAGACTGATGACATCGAATCCATTTCATGTCTGTTTCCCGAGTAGATTGCTTTCCCGTGGCTCATTGACATTCATAGAGAGTTCAGCAACCATCTAGGTATCTTCATGATTCCCTAGATTAGGTACTCAGCCAATAATCATAAATCCTATGCTATGTTCTCAACATTGCTCTCAGTGATGCACATGAGTATATGGAGACCGAGTTAGGCAGCTTTCCAGGCACATTTTAGTGTCCACCTCACTTGATACTTGGTATAAGCACAGAGCTCCTCCTCAAGGGTCGTACCTTCCAAAACAGCGCAAGATGGCAACTTCCACTCTCACTAGCGTGATTTTTCATTGTTGTTGATGTTCATGAGCTTCTTTCTTTTTCATCTTCTTCCTCTTCTTGTCTCCCTACCTTCATCTTCTCGTTCCCAACCTTCATCCCCTTGTCCCTCGTTTATCACACTCGTTACATCAACTCGTCTGTCGCTTGACATATTGAACCATCACGATGATCCTCGTTCGCGCTCCCCTTCAGGCGGTGCTCCTTGTCATCGAATTTCTTGCGTTGATGGCACAGGCTGCTGTTATCAGTAGGTTTATTCTTCTGGGCGAGGGGATTCAACTCCTCGATACGCCTTGTTAATTTTCAATGATATGCTTACCCACTCTCAGATCGTGATGTCTCTGATATCCACGCCAATCGTGGACGTGTTAACCTGCGTGGTCGTAAGTCACTTCATGTTCTGATGCGGGAACTCAGTACACTAATATGATATGACAGTTGACCACTTCCCTATTCTAGCAAACAAGCTTGTCGCTCGCGGTAAGCTCCCTTCAATTGAATTCTTCTCATCATATTCTACCTACTGAAACTTCTTAGCTCTGTCGACTGATTATGTCACTTCGACTTCCACTGAAATCAGCTGTGCCCCAGATGTTCCGGGTTGCCCTCGCACTTCTTGGACATCTGCGGTCCCAACTGCATCCTCTATCTCGAGCGCTCCTGCTTCGACTCCTCTTATTCTGACTGAGTCCTCGACCTCCAGCGACCCAGCTGTGACTTCTGAGACTCCCATGTCGAGAACCCCTCTTGTCACTCCTGGCATTTCGCCTTCTGAGTCAAACACCCCTGGGCAAACTGCCCAAGTTAGCACTTCAACTGATACTGTTGTTGAGCCCTGCCCTTCTGGCTCCAAGACTGGAATGTCCCCCGTTCCAACTGTGCCAGTCGTTACAATTTCTATTGAGTGCTCTCACACCACAGGTTGCCACCCGCCTGCTCCCAGTGTTCCTAGCGTTCCTGGAGCCCCTGGCCTAGGTCCTGGCGCTCCTCCTGCTCCTAGTGTTCCCGCCGTTCCCGGCGCTCCCCCTGCGGGTGCTCCTCCTAGTCCCAGCGTTCCTGGTGCTCCCACCAAGAGCATTCCTGATGTTCCTGGCATTCCCACTGGTAACTACCCGCCTGCTGGTAACAACCCTCCTGTTGGCAACAATCCTTCCTCCGGTAACAACCCTCCTGCTGGCAACAACCCTTCCGCTGGCGGGCACCCAACCCCCAGTGGAAGTCTTCCCGGCAACCCTACTCCTACCAAGGCATTCTCTAAGGCTGCCAAGGTCCCGAGCAAGATTGTCAACATTGTTGTCACTGGCTTCGTGACTTTGCTTTTCATTAGCACCTTGTGAGGCTCTACAAGCTTCCGCATAAGGTTGCACTAGGCTCCTGCTCACTGCGGGATTGACCGTGAGCTCCTTGCGGTGTTTCTTAGTTTCAGTCTTTGTTTTTGCACGATGGACTAGTCTCGTGCCCTATGGTACCTTGGGATGCAACATGTGCTGCTCTAATATTCTCATTTTTCATATCTTATGGCTGACGACATGGTAGCCAATTAGCTTAGCTAATATATGTGTTTTCCCAGTGTTCTCTTCTCGTAGTCCAATCAATTCAAGTGAACCAACAGGTTGATGTGGTCAACCGAGCTCTGTCAGCGACTGGCTTCTGAATTTTGAACGCTGGTTGAAATCCATTAGTGACAGTCAGGACTCTTAAAGTATTTCCAATATGATTATGGCATTAACAGGTCTCGAATCTCGATTGCAAGAAATGGAGTCTCATTCAATCCGGGCACGTGAAGTTATCCCGTGCGCCTCAGTTGCGTTTTATTCTATCAAAGTCAACCCCCTCCTTTTCTTCTGCTTTTGGCCCTCCTTCCCTGAGCATATCCAGTCTCCCTTATCTGCAATCACTTTCTACACTCAGTAATTCAGCGCTATTCTCATTGAACTACGGCTAACAAAATGTGATCTCGTAGGAAAGAGCTTGTGTCTGAGTGGGGCTGATGCAGACTCTTGGCAGTGATGTGTCAGCAGTGGTTTTAACTACAAACTACACCAAACCCCACACTTAAACACTCAAACAAGCATGACACCGCCAGTAATGCTCGATGCAATAGATCATCGGACAGAATGAGCCTAATACAAACAGAGCAAGCATGCCCCTAGAGCTTTGGGCTATGGTCATTCAATAACGTCGAAACACCTACGACCCAAGTGGAGATTGAATGAAATCGTGCATTGTATTCCAACACTAAATCACGTCCCGCAATGCACGGGGCCATCCGAAAGATGTGTGGGTATCACAAAGGAAATGGATATACAGCATGCACGCATATGAACAGGCGAAATGGATGAGTACTATGAGTAGACAAAGTTCCGCACCAGAAATTCAACTCACTCCTCGCCTTCGTTACCAAGTGACTCAATCTTCCTTGTTAATGCGCAGATTCGGCATCCGTCTCCAACCTTATCTCGCAAAAGCCGCGCGGTTGTCACCTTGGGACCCACAGTACGAGAAGCTGTTGAAGAAAACTCCTCAGACGGAGATGAAGGCCGAGGTGTACGTTCTGCCACGCTGTTTGTGCTCGAGTTTTGTGGTGACCCCTCCGGATGTAGATGGGATAGGTGGAAGACGTGGCCACAGGCAAAGCCAACGAGGATCTCTTTTTCGTTTGTCTTGAATGGAACATGGCATCCACCACATGTTCCACGCTTGGGACCAGTGGGCTTGGTCGAACCACTAGACATTGATGCAGCGTCTGGGTTTTGGTTCTTCAATGTTGGTGTCAAATCTGTATTCTTCTCATTTGCATCCTCGGCTATATTGAATGCGATTCCGCGGCGTTGCCCCCTGCGCAAAGTATCCATTCCCAAGGCGACCTCACCATGCATGACTCTCGCAGCGCCCTGGCTAATAATCGCTTGCAAGTCGTGTTCGCGGATCAAGCGAGTGAGACCGTCTCGCAAACCTTCGATTTCTAGACCGCTTGGGATCCGGCGCACAAGCTTTATTGGGTCAATAGACGTTCCAGCCTCGACGAGGAGTCCATGAATGAACTTAGGCTTGTCCATGGAGTAGTCAAGAAGATCCTCCCAAAGGTCAGGATCATCTTGTGACTTGGCAAATGAGATGGCCTGGGATACGTCCTTTAAGTCAGACAAAATCAGGTTCAAGGCCCGCTTTGTTTGGCCCATCTTAGACAAAAGGAAGATTAATTCCGGGGTAAAGTGGCGTTGTTCGCAGATTGAGGTTGCAGTCTCGAAGGTGTATGAGATGCTCGTTTGCAGGAACTCCATCAGCAAAGGTCGATCGTAGTCCGCAAATACTTCCACGGCTGTATCGGCGAACTTATCGATTAAAGCCTTTCCTTCGTCTGCAGCTAATTTGCTCGCTGCGTCCCTGGCATGGGCCCCGCGACCTCTGGCTGGCTTCGACGCGTCCTGAGGAAGAAACTCGCCACGCCATAGCGCACGCAGATAAAAGTAGATGAAAAGAACACGATTTGCGTCATTCAGCTGCTGGACCACAGTTTCTGGGGGGACAATTCCAGTGTAGGCCTCTCTGGCAAGTAACTGAATTGGTTCTGCAGCTAGCTCTTCCAATTCAGATTTCGGTGCTGATTTCATCTGCGTTTTGGAGATTCGAATCATAATGAACGCCACGATCTTATCAGACACGGCATCGACCAAATGATGTTCCTTAATCAATGACATAGCAGCATCGGCATCTTGTAGTTTAATGTAGCAATGTAAGGCCTCTCGGTAATGGCCACCCACAACATACATTTTGGCAAGGCAATCCGTTAGAACCCTCCATTCTTCGGAGTCTTCGCGTATTGAATCGGACTTGAGCTGTTCTTGAATTGACAATGTCACAGTGTCGGAGTTGAACAAGTCAGATGGCCATGTCTCAATCAATTCCTTGAATTGGGCTAGGTCCCGGGAGACATAATCACCAAGGATAACTTCATAGACCTTCGGAGGTAGCGCATTGCGCGTTTCTGTGGGAATATACGGTGTGATATCGTCCACTTTCTCACTCTTAATGAACTCCCATGCCCAATGTTCCCATCGAGCTGCGTGGTTGAGAACCTTGCTGCAGACTTGGGCGGCTTCGCTCCATTTTTCATCATGAATAAGCTGCTCAATCCAGAGTTCACCAAGCCGAGCCTTCTCTAGGTCCGCAGCGGAAACCTGATTACTACGACCGGCGGTGATTATTGATGACCGGTCATCAGCAAAGAAGTCACCCAAGCTTGACTTAGATTTGAGGGACCCGGCATCCTTCGAGACCGAGACTGAACCCGCAGCCTCGGGATGTTCATTGAGAAGCTTCCACGCATCTTCGTACTGCCCACGTGAGTCGAGCCAAGCCAGTCGGTCAGAAAGATCCCTCTTCACAGCAACAACACAGTCGTATGGGCTATGAATAAATATCTTTGCGCCTGAAGCAACTGCAACATCCTGTACTTCTTTTGGAAGCTCATCAACAGGCAACTGTCTAGAGCTAAATGATGGAGGGACTCGTGCAGAAACCCTATCGCCACTGCTGGCGGTACTTCGGATGCTAGCACCGGAGCTGAATAGTCGTGCCGAGTACATTGTTGCATCCAGAAGGCCATGACCAAGAGTCCCTAGGGCCCCACGCTGAACAGCTTGCCCTTCAGGGGTTTTCCATGGTGGCAAGACACTTAGATGGTAGTCTGATGCAGTCAGGCCTTCAAATCGATTGACGGAAAGCGTGTCGGCGCTGAGCTCTTCCTTGGTATCTAAGTCAATAAGTCGCAGTTCAGGCTCTTGGCCTCTCTGGCGATGCCGGGACCCAGAAGAGCTCTGGTCGCCATCTGCTTCAATATATGCCAGGATAACAAGAAGACGAGGCGTGTACAAAGAGATTCCAGATATCATACAATCTGTTCGTAGACTGAATTTGAAAATCAGCAATTGAGTCTGTGAGGAAGTCAGCATTGTGACTTACATAGTAGTAACCTCTGCAGAACCATATTTTTCGCCCTTCGAATGCTTGCTCGCCCTATCCGGGTAAACATCAATGACCCATACAGTACCTCCCCAGCCCACGACAAGTTTTTCAATCTTCTCAGTTGGTGCTGGAGGCGGTGGTGCAGTTTGTGCCGTATCATCACTGGAGTCAAGATTATCATGGTCGTCCAAGGCCGTTTGGTCAATCCACTCGGCACGCGCCTTCCAAACGCTCGCCATTTCTTCCCATCCTGGCCCATTTGGCCGGTCTATGTGACTGATCCGCTTCCACGCAAACTCGGCCTCCATGGATTCTAGATGCAGGTTGGAGCGCATAATCTTGATGCCCTCCTCGTTGGCCCAAGTAACATATTTGCCTGACAAAGACCACCGGATGGTGCTGATAGCACCTTCACCACTGTGCAGAATTACATCCTTTCCGCTGTTGTTACCCAGTCCCATTGATCCCAACCAGCTTGATGCCGCTGCAGTTGCTCCTCCCATTGTAGTAGCATTTGAACTGGCCCCCACACGACCGCCGGTGGTCAAAATTAGCTCACCAGCTCGCCCACCGGAGATAAACGTTCTATCATTCTTGTAATCTGGCGAAAGGGCGACCGCCTGAACAGGTCGCCCAAAGTTCCGTTTCATGATATCTTTCGGATCTACCAACGATGATATGCACACGTTTCCATCGATCGACGCCGATGCGATGTAAATTGCGTTGGACGGTGTGTTTGGGACAGCCGCTTGTTGGCTTGACCTGTGACCCCGAATACTGCCCGAGCTGGTGGAGGTCCGTGTCGGAGGGCGAGAATCCTCCGCGGCTTGTCTGACTGCAGCATCGAGCTTTGAATTGGGCAAGGGCGGCGGGAATGGAGATATAGATATGGATGTGACGCTTGCTGAGTGGGCATGGTATACACGGAGAGGTTGCATTAGGGGTAATAAAAGAACGTGCTGAAGAGGGTTAGCTGCGTATTGACAGCCGAGGTAGACCGAACAGTCTGCTTACTATGACACCATTGTGTGTTCCCACGATCTAGATATCATGTTAGCCTAGCCCTTAGGCTCTCAATGGTACAGGATGTCCTACCATCTTGTCTCCTGCGACGAGGAATGTGCTGGTCGCGTCCCCATTGCGATAAACGGAGCTCAGATGCTTGGACAGGTATGCATATTTGAGCTTTGGCTCTTCATCTTCCTCGTCGGATTCATCCAAGTCTTGATCATCATCGTTGTCTCTATCATCGCTGCCCGCAGATTCATCTTCACTGCTTTGATGACGTCGCTCGTGTTCCTCGGGGTTCGTATCGGAGGGTGATCGGCTGCGCGGAGATTCATTGTTCTCTCTGAGGCCATTCTCAGGACCTCCATTTGCTTTTGTCTCGCCAGGCGCGTCCATGGCAAGTCCCTTGTGGCGCCTGGAGCTCCCAGGCCGGTTTAGATCGAGATGCGACAAGCAACGGGACCTGGATTGTTGCAGCTTGGGAGCTGGGGTCGGGCTGCTCCACCCCATGACTAAGCGGAGGGGGATTTGGTTCTGCAGGCCATGACATCGTTTCGCGCTTTTGTGATTTGTACTCGTGAGCAACCAACATGTTCACGAGAGCCTCTCTCTGTTCTGCCTGCAAGCGGCCAGTGCCAATGCGGCTCTGGAGACAGCCTCAGAGTCAATATTTACACGCAACGCCCGCATTGGAGCTCCCGCGCCGGAAAGACTTCTTTTCGTCCAATGCGCATCTTTCGCAAAAGCAGTCTAGCAAGGAAGACGGAGCTGAAATTTTGGAATCCCAGAAACAACGCAGGCGTGCAGCAAGATCTCCGGCAACTCCGACATCTCTACGACGTGTTGCGGTAGAGGCACAAAGGTCAAGAGAGGGATCTGCCTCCAAGGCCCAGCTCAGAGAGCAGGGCATTCATCAGACCAAGGTAAGGTCGCGGATACTGACATCAAGGCCACTCCTAACTTTTGAGGGTTCTAGATAGTTACCGCCTATGCTGTCGCTGAGCAATTTGACATACGCAAAGTCCGAGAAATTTTACAAGAGAAAGGTTACGAGCCGGATCCATTAAACACCGGTCTCTATCCACAAGTTGTCCATGTGCAGATTCCCATCGATTCGATAAGACGAGTCGGAAACCCGTCAACAAAAGATCTCTCTTCCGACGAAGTAGGCGATATCTTCGTTTTCCCGTCCGGGACAGTAGTGGCCTGGGCTCTACCCGAAGGATTTACATCATTTTTGGCAACAAGAACCCTTCTCCCAGCGGCTGAGGGAGCCCATGTGGATGATTTGGAGACTGAAGACCTCGAATTTGTAGAAGATCCCAAGCGGGAGAATAGCAGCATCAAGGGCGATACCATTATTCTGGGAACCAGGTCCGGTTATCAGAGCTCAGAAGTTCCGTTCCCGCAACAACAATCTATTGATACCGTTTTGACCAAAGTTGCTTTCTCCTCTGGCCTGGCCCGGAGTACAAAACTGGCCGTTCTTGAGACACTCTTGTCTAACTATTTTGAGTCTACTCGCACCATACCCACTCTTCTATCAAAGGGCTCCCGTCTCCCATATACCCGCGATTTTATTCTCCGCAAGACCGGCCAACTACTCAGTGTGCGCGCACAGTTGAATCTATACTCTGAGCTTACGGACTCTCTTCCAGACATCTTCTGGGACAGTCGGCATGAGCTTGGATTGGAGGGATACTATGAACAAGTGGGCCGGGGCCTCGATGTTGGGATTCGCATCAAGCTCCTGAATGAAAAGATGGACTATGCGCAGGAGATCGCTAGTGTACTCCGCGAGCGTCTCAGTGAAACCCACGGCCTTCGACTCGAGTGGATCATTATTCTACTCATTGCTGTCGAGGTTGGCTTTGAAGTCCTCCGACTATGGAAAGAGAGGGTGCACGAACAAGAAGAAAAGGAAAAGGAAAAGGAAAAGGAAAAGACGCGCAAACAAGGAAACTAGGCCATCCAAGGCCGACTTCATGTAACATAAATGCAATGGCTATTACAGTACAAATAAGATACCCCTTCACTCTTCCGCCTTTGAGCTTTTGACTCGTGATACTTATTGGGATCGATCTGCCCTGCCTCCTCCACGCGCCCAGGTTCATCCACCCGTGCTTTTGTTTGCAGTGCATCCTCACCTACCGCTTGCCCTGTGCTAACGATTCGCAATCCTTACACTGATAGCTGTTCAGTACACCCAGGCAGGGAAGTGTTGATACTAGCCCATTCAGGAGGGAAAATGTCCTGCATCCGCTGTGCCTAATCATTAGCGGCATCTATTATTTATCCATGTATAAGAGAGATGTTCCACCTCAGGATGTTTCGCTAAAATATTCTGCGACTTATTTATCCACTAGACCTACCCTTACATGCTCAGTACAGCATAACCCGGAATACTGGGACGCAGAGGACATCCCTCACGACCGCGTCGGAGATTGGTTCATATTATCGAGCCGGCATATGAGCAATGGGTATCGCTCCTAGATCATCTGTTATTAAAGGGGGATTGGGAGGAGAATCAGAGTCAGGTGAGCTACATACGCTAAGTGATCAGGTATGTAATAATTTGTTGATACACTACCAACTGCATTCATATGTATGAACATCGAGACACTCCATTCGATACGGGGAAGAGGACTACGTACAGTGGCCAATCCACTCTCACATATAGTCCCACTTCCCGCGCCCTGCGCCCCACCAATCAGACAAACCACGTCCTCTGAGGGAGTCAAGTCTACAAGTAGAGCTTTGGCTGAGTGTAGCCTGGTGGTGGAGGAGTCCAAGTGAGCTGCATTGGCTTATCACGTGTATTTCAGGTCAACTGGACATCTCTTGTGATGTGTCTGTCTCCTGTGATCATCGAGGAATATCAGCTGATCGCTAGAACCGACGTATCCAAATGGGGCTTATCAGATGATCGCCTTAGTCATCTGGACGATAAGAACCCCCTCGTTGCTTGGAACTCTATTCGTTCAACTTGCAAGGTACCTGTTCAGGTACTTGAAACCCTGTTTCTATTCTAGCTTGGTGCTTCATCTCATCATCGCATTATGTGGGGCTCATCACAACAGGTCCTGGAGCTCCCAGGGCCTCAAAAGATCCTCAAAACACTTGGTTCGCTCTTGCTATCCTCAACTGCGGAGGAAAGGACCCCGGGAACTCTGCAATCTTGCCCTCGGTCGGAGGTCAGCTGCCAAGCCAAGTATAATGGCCAAGATACATGTTGCTTCAACTATCCGGGCGGCCAGATGCTACAAACGCAGTTCTGGGATACCGATCCCGCAGTCGGTCCCGATGACTCTTGGACCATTCACGGGCTGTGGTAAGCTATCAACAACCCTTTTTAAACACAAAACGGACTTCAAGACGTCCTTTGAATATACACTAACTCTTAACAGGCCTGATCATTGCGACGGCGGGTTCGACCAATTCTGTGATTTCAGGCGGAAGTACAGCAACATCTCGCTGATCCTGATTGATTCTGGTCGTGGGGATCTGCTCGACTATATGAGCGAGTACTGGAAGGATTACAATGGCGATGACGCTAATTTGTGGGAGCACGAGTGGAACAAACACGGTACCTGTGTCAGCACCCTTGAACCACACTGCTACGAGGATTATCTCCCTCAGCAGGAGGTAGTAGACTATTTTGACAAGGCCGTGGAGATTTACCAGCAGCGGCCATCATACAAGGTCCGTCTTACCCTTCTGGCCCATACATACAGCTACAAGATTTGAGCTCAGTTGCTGACTCCTTTCTCCTTTCTAGTTTCTGGCCGACGCCGGTATTGTCCCATCAAATCGTCAAACCTATGCACGCGAGGATATCGAAAATGCGCTGGAGCTTGGTCATGGTGCACCCGTTACCATTCACTGTCGAAGAGGCATATTCAACGAGGTCTGGTATCATTTCAACATTGCCGGTACTCTGCAGGGCGGGAAATTCGTCACTGCTAATCCCGGTACGTTCATTCAAAATAGTTGAAGAGTTCACGGGTATCAAAGAGCAAAAAGCTGACTATGGGTGTGACAGACGGTCAGAAATCAAATTGCCCCGCTCAGGGTATCCACTATCCGCTGAAGCGGGCCCAGAAGGATCCATCCAAGACCACCACTAGCCATGGATCGGAGCCGACGGACCCAGGAACTCCGTTCAGTGGCAGAGGAAACTTGTTGGTATCGACCCTTAACCAGAGGCGCGGCTGTATCATCAGCAAAGGAACATGGTATCAATCTGGGACTTGTGCTACTTTCCGGGCAGAGAAGGAATCAGGTACGTATCTCCTTTGTCCTGTTTGATACCGTGCTTTATGTGGAGCTGCTGCTTATTTTTTTCTTTTTCCTAGATGATACTTTCACTCTGCAATCAAGCAAAGGGCCATGCTCCTTTGACGAGGGTATGTTGAGCTGTGGAGATCACGTTGGCATCCCTAGTGTCTTTACGGTACGAGTCTAACACTGTCTCATTCATCCAATGCCTGTCATTTTCTTTGTTCTAACTTTCTATTATACAGGCTGAGGATGAGAAACTTGCTTATGAGGGTAAGACAACTTTTTACGCAGACAAGCCACCCAAGGGCTTCACACAGAGCACCGTCTACTCCGACCAGGAATCTCACCCGATTGAAATTGAGATTACTTGGAAGGCGTAAAGTCGCAGGCTTGAGGCATTGAGGAGTCTCGTGTTACTCTAGCTACATATTTTGGGGGGTTACCATCATTTTTGAATTTTTTTCACAATTACATAGCTATATAAATATATACTACATACATGGAGCTAGATAGGAGTCGTGGATACTGCATTTAAAGAACAAGCTCTATTGAATTCACTCGAGGAATGCCTATACTCAGAAAGATGATTGTACTTCTTCAAAGCTAACCATGCACTTGCATTTATACGTAGCGATAGATAATAGATACTACCTACGAGGCTCAAGTTTAGAACTAATTTACAGGCCATCACCAGACCTCAAGGTAAACAAATCCCGAGAAAAAAAAGATTGGATGGGAAGTAGCTAGCTACAGGTAATCCATTCGGAAACTCATCAAATACATATCACAAAGAGGGGTGAATTAAGGGAAATTCGCCAGAGAAATAAACATAATGCCATGGATCCCTCATATCAAGGGTTCAGTCGGAAAGACAAACGAAAAACATCAAAACATATCCCATGAATCAATCGAGACGCCAAATGAGCGAACTCGATCAAAAATATATGAAAAAAGAAAAGAACAAGGTCATAAAACAGGAACATAGGGAAAACAATGGCCAAACGCCAAATAAATCCCGGAGTGCCCCCGGTAGGCTAAGTCATGTGCGCTAAGAGAAGAGAAGAAAACAGATGTCCAGTGAAAACAGCCAGGTCGCTCAAGCCAAAGAAAGAAGAATATGTGAATGCCCGTGTCTTCGTCATGAGAGTGTACAACTCGTCTCATTTCGTAGAAGTTGGAAGGAGAGTGCACGCCGTCTATGTCATGCTTTTGGTAAGGAAGTAAACGCCGTCGTGCGAGAGATGGTACTCGCGTAGTGGTGGTACAGTCGAGTCAAGTAAATGTAATGAATGCTCAAGGGTCGACGAGAAATTCGCTGGAAAGTGAATCAATCTGGTCGGAGTAAGGGTCCATCTCAAGGGCGCTGAGGCCGGAGATAGTCTTCCCAGGGACGTCGGAGTAGATAGCAAAGTCTGAAGAGTCGACGTAGGCATAGCTGCTGGGAAGGTGGGAGTAGCCTTGAGAGCTGATAGAATCAAATCCCTCCATCTTGAACTCTTCTTGCAGTCGCTCGGTGGGGTCTTGAGAGATGAAGACATCGATTTCAGAGCCCACAGTGGACTCTGCTAGGGTTGGCGCCGAGTGAGGTGAGGACATGTCGTAAGGAGAAAGAGCAGGGTCACTGTACAAGCAGTCCTGAGAAGAGGTGGGAGGTTTGGAATCGAATTGTTCCATGGCACGAGCATATCGGTTGTGGGCCATCTGGGAGGGTGACAATGGCAATGGAAGCATGTCGTCCTCGAACTGCTGGGAGCTCATGGGAATATTTGATATTGGTGACTCGTGGTCCACGGCTCGACCGGGGGATGTAGGCGGAGTAAAAGAAGACATAGATGTAGACGGGGCATAGTTGGGAGAGTTAAACATTGGCTGTTCATGGCGGGTGTTCTCAATCTTCACGGGCATAAGGGGGGCGGACTTCTGAGCAATGCGTTGACGGGTACGAGTAGATTTGATCTGACGGGTTTCGACATCGGGACGAGCTTTCTTTGGCGGGCGGCCACGCTTGGTGGTCTTCGGGACAAACCCAGTGAAACCTCCAACGCACATATCACGTTGACGGTGGCGGGTTAGGGCATCTTGACGAGCGAAGCTAGCACCACAGGCACAGGCGAAAGGCTTCTTCCCGGAATGGGTCTTCAGGTGGCGCTTGAGATCATGTCCACGGACGAAGTCTTTTCCACACCGGTCACATACGTACTGACGGTCATTCAGATGAGTCTGGACGTGGGACTTGATGTTCTCCTTGCGACCAAAGCGACAATGGCAGCCGGAGAAGGTGCAGACCCATTTGTTGTCTTTGGGGTCAGGGCCGGAAATGTACTGGTTGATCTCATCACTGGACACTGAACTTTCTTTCACAGATGCTTTGACGCGGGCATCGAGATCAAACTCATCCACGGGCTCGATCATATCTTCCTCAGATTGGCCACTCGACGAAGCAGGAGACAAAGCGCGCTTCCGCTTATTATTGGACGGACTAATCTTGTATGGTGACACGCCACAGGAGCCGGGTGAAGGCATAGCGGCGAGCTCGGCATAGTCGGCGACGGAAGTGGCAGGCGATGGCATATGGGTCATGTGGACAGGGTCTGACCCAGGCAATCCTTGGAGAGACTGGGTTCTTTGCATCTCAGCAGTAACCGGTGTGCGGGGGTATGAAAAACTCTGGGGCTTAGTAGGGGTCTGGTCATTGGTATACATGGATAAATCAAAAGAACCCTTCATGGGGGTGGTATCGGGGGTAAGAGGGGCATTATCTATAAGAACAGTTAGCATGGTAGCGAATGGATGCGGTATATGTTAGACCATACATGAAAGGTAGGGGTTAATTTTGGGAGAATCAGTCTCTGGTTGAACAGAGAGTTGCTGCATAGTCCGACCATAAACATTAGTGTGATCTTTATGCATCATTGCCTGATATTGCTGAGGGAAGGATCCCCAACGTTTCTGCTCGCGGGCTTGGGAAAGCCGTTGGCGCTCTTCTTGTAATTGGTGCATAGAGCCTTTCAAAGCTGAGTTGGAGCTTGGGTTGTCACTTGCAGATCGTGCAAGAGCGGGAGCAATAGAAGTTGGGAATGTAGCAGAGCTACCAGTTGTGTACATCTCTTGCAGTTCCTCCGGGTTCCACATGTATGCGGTCTGATATTGCTCGGGCTGCAGGGAAAGACCGGACGGAATGAACCGCTGGTCATGTTGAGATGAAGATGTAAATTGCTGGCTAGCCATGGCCTGTCGTGAGAAAGCTGCTTTTTCGTTAAAAAAGTCCCGAAGCTGGGTGACCTTGTTTGTCCCACATCGTCGGTCGACAGCGAGTTGTGGACCGAAGGACCCATAGTCCACAGTCTGGCCACGACGATGTGTGCGGCGGGCTGGCATATTGGCCATCACGGGTCGATCCACTTCGAAGCCGGGAGTTGATAGTTGGCGACGGTGACCGTGTAATGTCGATGAGGGGGAGATCATGGCTTCCAGGCCGCTCGAATTTCGAATTCCACGTTTCCTGTCGCAGTGTTAGTCTGTGAACACCAACAATCGCAGTCGCAAACAAGAAAAAAAAAACGAAAAGAAAGTAGCTTAGGTCCTTAACAAGCTAGTGGTCAAGCGTTGATAAGAGGTGTTAATAGATTATGTGAAGTTCAATTCACCGTCCCACCAAGGAAAATAAAGGTGACACGAAAAAGAGGAAAACTGGGGATAGTTAAGGTAGAAAGCGACTCCAATAAAAGACCTTTGAAGCGGGCCAGAAGAGTTGACGATCTATCAATCCAGCCCACGGTTCACTATCAACAAGTGTGGTTGGCATAGCAACGCGGCTGACGGGAGTCTGGGAAACCAGATGTGAGCAGCTGTGACGAGCATGGGCCCACTCCCCGCCTGCGGATCCTGCATCTTTTGTTAGATTCATTTAGGCATTATCGACCGAGATCCCATCTATACAATAATTACCACCTTTAATCCTTCCACCCTGACTTCCTTTCTTTGCCCTCTGCAAGGGCCCGTATATCCGCTGCGAGGAGGATGGGCTTCAACTTGTCCCTAGTGAAGGGGTTGGCCCTCCTGTGGCCGTCGCCATGGGAATGTCCCTGATTGGGCAACTCTGATAGCCGATCAGATCTTGGGTCAACACTGGGGCTGAAGTTCCGTGATGCAGGACTATGTCATTATTTGCCTGAGGCATCAGTGGGCTGCACAGGTCCCATCACATCATGTGACCCTTATTGATAAGCCTTGTCGGCAGAAATATTCTTCCGCTTTGTCCGAACTAGTCCGTAACAAGAAGTGGATCAATCATGTGATCACACAACGATTTTAATCACGAACCGAGTCCCACCTACCTTGAATTTCTTCTCTTCGTCAAGGTTAAGGAAGACAACTTGTCGAGGTGAGTTGATGAAACCAGCAGAAAAAGGTCTACAGCGTCCAAAACAAGATGTAGCCTTCGCGCAAACTTGTTTTGAGTCACTGCTTTGTCTGCGCACGCTCAAAAGCAATATTCTGAACTTCAACTAACCGCATCGCAGGCCTTCATCAAGATGCAGATCTTCGTCAAGACCCTCACGGGTAAGACCATCACCCTCGAGGTTGAGTCCTCGGACACCATCGACAATGTCAAGTCCAAGATCCAGGGTACGAATAACTCCCAACACCGTCCAAGCGACAAAATCACAAGATGACAAAAAATCTAACACCACGCTTCACAGACAAGGAGGGCATTCCCCCAGACCAGCAGCGTCTGATCTTCGCTGGCAAGCAGCTCGAGGACGGCCGTACTCTTTCTGACTACAACATCCAGAAGGAGTCCACCCTTCACCTCGTGCTCCGCCTGCGTGGTGGTGGTAAGAAGCGCAAGAAGAAGGTGTACACCACCCCCAAGAAGATCAAGCACAAGCACAAGAAGACCAAGCTCGCCATCCTCAAGTACTACAAGGTTGACGGTGATGGAAAGATCGAGCGTCTTCGCCGCGAGTGCCCCGCCCCTGAGGTATGTTTATATTCTTCGCATGCATCAAAGAGACATGTACTAACTTTCTATTTAGTGCGGTGCCGGTGTCTTCATGGCTGCCATGCACAACCGCCAGTACTGCGGCAAGTGCCACCTGACCTACGTCTTCGACGAGTCCAAGTAAATGGACTTTGTCTGACTGGGAGTTTTGTTGAATTCGAGCATAGCTAGGATGAAATTATGATTTCCGGTAGATACGGTTAAGCACACTTGTGTCAATACTCAAAAATATTACAAAAACTTCGGCATTGCCAATCTTGATTACATGTTGTAGAGATCAAGTAAAAGCGTATGCGTAGTGCTCATACTCTGATTTAATACATATTCTGCACTGTTGAAAACACGAATGCATCCCCACTGGATATCAATAGTGATCCATGTTCAAGGCATCCCGTTCCTCAAGTTATCGTACTTACTCTCGGGGAAGTCAAGCGCGTTGCATGACTGCTCCAGAGCCTCGGTTCCACCAACGGCATCAACAAATGTACCAATCAAGCTGCCATCATCGGCATTCGCAGCCTTCCCTCCCTTGTCACCACTACTCTCCCACCACATTCCACCACCAAGCTGGTTTTGCTGCACATACTGGGCCTTCAACCTACTCGTCTGTGGGTCATCATAAGATACCATAGTGCGTGACCCAGCATCATAACACCAAGAAGCCCCAATATGTTGAATGAGCAGCTCCTCCGATCCAGGGCGCGGCAACGCCTTGTAATCCCAGACCCCGTTTTCCCAACTTCCTTCGCCAACGCCGTTATACGGCTTGCCCGGCCCGTCAGTGTTGGTGAATGCACGGCCGTACAGTGGCATACCTAACACAATCTTGTCACAGGGTACACCGGCATTAACATAGTGGTCTATCGCGGTCTGGGTGGAGAAAGGTGTTGAAGCTGAGTTGCCGCTATCGGGATAGATGTTTGCTTGGTGACCCGCGTTTGAGTCCCAGCTGCCGGCGTAGTCGTATGCCATGAGGTTGAAAAAATCTAGGAATTGATTCATATCGGAAAGGTGTAGACGATTGAAGTTGTCTGGGCCTGCGGGGCAAGCGATGGTCAGGTAGAACTTGCGGTCTGGGCCTGCGGCTTGGTCGAGGTGCTGGTGTCTGGTCAGGGGTGGAGGGAATCAACGGGATAGTATCAGACATACCTCTCGGCAGGTTTGGAGCAATTCAACCATGTTTTGGGCCTGATCGTCATCTGGTCATATCATCAGCTTCGTGTGTATAACTGTCGGGAGTTATCGAGTCTCACTTTGGGGATACTCCCAATCAATATCAATTCCTGTAAATGTGGTCAGTGCCGTGCTCTTGTTTTCGAGACTGGTCATTGCAACACACCATCAAATCCCAAGTCGAGAACAAGCTGAGTCGCCGTCTCGGCAAATCTAGCTCGTCCCTCTGCGGTGCTGGCAGGCTGAACGAAGTTTGAAGAGTAGGTCCAGCCACCGATGGACAGAAGAACCTTCAGCTTGCGATTCTCTTTCTTCAGGAGGTAGAGTTGCTTGATGCATCCGTAAACATTGTTACCCGAATCATTCCATGAGTCGCCGGGGTAGTGCTTCTCAACATCAGACCAGCTATCGGTCAAATATCTATAGCAATTTAGCATGGCACCAGTGAATAGAAGTGCGAATCTTGGAAGGACTTACACTTCGCCGGTTTCCGGGCGAATATTGGCGAACGCATACAGAATATGGGTCAATTTGTCTGCGGGCAAGTCTTGGGGATTGTGATTGCGACCATAGATGGCCTATATGTGGGGTGGTCAGTTGCATAGTCATCAAAATGAACATTTATGGTCACGAATGTCACATGGTATAATGGGCGAAATCAATAAGGCTCATTCTGGCAGCAGGCACATAGGGACTAGGTGGACGTACCCAGTTGACGAAATAAGCAACGGATCTCATGGTTGCTGCAGGCGGGGTCGTACTAGCGAGGTAAAAATGTTGCACAAAAGCAGCCACGAGTACCACAAACGCAGTAAGATATACAATGGGTGAGAGACGACGAGCCACACTGAAATTGGATCAACAATGATCAAGTTCAATTGTGTCAAGACACTATCAAGGCGCTAGCTTGGTCTGTTCTTGGGGTATAAATGGAGGGGTACCTAATGTCGCAGCCTAACTATTAGCGGATGCATGTACTGGGTTATAAATAACAACGCCACCGAATCATGGGCTGCAGGGGCCCTGTGGCTGTGTGTGGCTAGGAAGGGACCCGTACCTGTGGCTGAATGTCAATCTGCGCTAACAAGTTTCTTCAGAAGCTGTACACCACATGTCAGAAATTGAGGGACTCAAAGTTAAAGAACGATGCCATGAATTGGAAGTCCTTTATAGGGCGATCACACAATCGAGAGCCAGTATGTAGCATGACTTCTCAATCTGCACATGGCCTTTGTGGAACCTGAGGCACCAGTCATGCTGCCTCTCACATTTTTGCTTTTTGACTGAGTTGGTATCTTTTTACGATATCTCCTTCTTCTCTATGCTGTGCAGGTCATTTGGGAGCCCTGGTGGCCTGTGACTGGTATGAAGAGCAACCACGGAGGATGTGGACGATGGCTCTCCTTCCAAATTCGGCATGATAAGCTTGGAGTCGAGTATATCTCGCAGTCATGGGGGCTGTACGGGGCATGCATTTGGGTGTATAGGGTGATTGAATTCAAGTTTCATGGAAGTCTGGAGGCCTCAGAATACCTGTTTAGGTCTAGCGAATAAATTACCTGGCATCCAAGGAAGGGTCCTTGCCACAATGCTTAGCTATGTCCCTACTTGACACTCCCGGGCTTGGTCATACGACAGACCAGACAGAGTAATTGCTAGAATTAGCGCTTGACATCTCTTGACACTTGCACACAATCCACATATCAAACGATCATTATTTGAAGGCCGAGACAGGAAGATGTGCTTGTCAATGACCCTTGGAAACCCTCATTGGGAAGCTTCAGAAAATGAACCTACTTTCATACACTGAAGAGTGGCGGGGAGGCTATTTTACATCCATGAAATATCCCCCGTCCATTAAATCAAAGTAAATATGCATCCGACGTTGCTAATTTCGCCTCTACTATGAGCATGGAAGAGTGTTGGGACTGATTATGGCGAAATTTATCATACAGTATATAAAAAATGAAGTACGACATAAAAAAAGCTAAATCAAAAGTAAAATTCCACGAATAGAAAAATAAAACGCTAAAGGGAACGGGAGGGAAAAAAACCTCCCCACAAAAAGATAAAGGTCCCTGCCGGGGTCGAACCGGCGATCTTTCGGATCAAAACCGAACGGAGTAACCGCTGTCCCAAGGGACCTTGTTGAGATTTGTAAGCTCTTCTTCAAATTATATCCTACCCGGTCTTATTTCTGAGAACAGGCATAATCATCCACCAAGTTAAGCGTCCAAATTTCCATGTCTAGTTTCCTTTTCTTCACTTGCCTTGATCTATGTCATAGGTAGCTTTAGGACCGATATTATTGGTGAGTGCTCGATGTGACCTTGAAAATTTTTGGACTCGTATGAAATTGCATATATATTTTCTTTCACAGTAGATCAAGGTTGGACTTTCTGGTCACACCCGACCGTCACATCTCTCTGCACTTAATCTATACATATAACACAGGGGCAGAACCTATCTTGGTAGGTAGCACAGCATGTGCATGATAACTTCATGTAGCAGGCTACAGGTGCCCGCGGACACGCCGAGTGACAGTATAACCACAGTCGAGAATCAGAAGAACATTGAAGACAAATCAAGGCTGTCAGCCAATCGTTTATCCTGTTGAACATTTTAGAGAATGGTCATACCTAACCAGTAATTGGCCAACTTCTTTTCCTATAGATTACATAAGTAGTCACTAGATAGGGCCATTGGTTCATGTCAACTTTGAACATATCTAGAGTAATCAATGCCACCCATGTGCCTATCGACCAGAAAGGTCAAGCCCCAGGCCACGTTTTTATCTGGGATCCAAATAACCTGCACCTAGAAACCTTCCATTCCATATGTATGACGCTACTTACGGAAAGTCCCACCAGTCAGCCCCAAGACGCTAGAAGCACTGACACCAAAAACCTGAATCATACATTAGAACACCTGACGACACATGGCATCGCACGACCCTGAAAGAGCAACCCGAGGACCGAGACAAGGAAAAAAAAGAAAAAAACCCAAAAGAGCCCCACCACATACTATGTATGGGCCGTTGTGAAACGACGATCAATGGAAGACCTGAGGCAGCAGCAGCTGAAATCAACACAAATGTGGTTCCCAGAAGTGACGGGGAAGCAATTCCGTATCCACCGTTTGATTAATATAAGGTTATTTATTAAAAGAAAAGATAAATTAGTTAATATTAAGATCCAAAGTAGATTCAAAATAGAAATGCAGATTTTTTCAAAACCAACCTCAGCTGAACTTCAGCCGACACGCGCCCGATCTGACCACCGATTGGCATAGCGCTCGCCAGACTAACGCCTTAGCCTCGGATCCACTTGGACCCCTCAACCCCTCACCCAGTCATAGTGATGGAAGGAGTGAGAAGCGTCAAAACGGTTTGGCATGCTATGTTCGCCACAATGGACCTTGATTTTTTTTCTTCCTTTTTTTCTTCCTTTTTTTTTTTTTTTTTTTTTTTTTTTTTTTCTTTTCTTTAACTTTTCCTTTCCTTCCTTACAGGGCCCGTTTTCCCAATGTGTTTACCTGCAGATGGTTCCATAGTTTCCCAACGATTACTAACCCGCCCAACGATTCAGTGTCCGTAGTAGCAAATCTATAGTAATAACGACATGATTACATATATGAATTCAGTTGCAATTATCCGTCCTGTCCAGTATCGATTATAGTTGATTCTCCCACGGAGACGCCGGATCCAAGTCTGGTCTAGCATTGAGTGCATACCGCCTATTCTAGTGGTCCGTGATCTATTTCACCGCTTGATACCCATGTTTTTATCTGTTCGTCATTAAGGTAATCTAGAATTTGTTTCAGCTGCTATGTCTGCCTCGCGGCCCAGGTGTCTGGATCCCCGTCTGTGCGGTAACCCAATCGTATCATCGGACAAGGGTTTTCCTGTAAGTGGACCCCTAGCTTGCAGTGGGGGTGAAGATGCAAGCCATCCCAGCCTCTGGATCTGGAAGCACTAGTGCAGTAAGGTTTTTATTTTTATTTACAGTATGTGTTTCGGATGGGTAGATTCTTAATGTATACGTACTCGTTGAAGCCCCACGGGTCTGGCTCATAGCTGTGGAGACTAACGGGCTGATGATGCCTGAGTTGAAGAAACGGTGCTCCATAGTGGGTTTTGCTTAGTTTGATTCCACTTTGGAGATGAGAACTTGATGTTGCTGTGGATTTGTATCGGTATCTCCGTCTGGTTTGTAGTATACAGTGTGAATGGAAATCCAGGTGGAGATTAGACATGTTAATTGTGAAGACCCGGAAGTCTGATGCAAGATTCTCGTTTACTCCCACATACGGTACAATGAGGTTATACTCAAAACGCCCATGCAAAACGAAAAAAATGATAGTCAAATGAATATAAAAACCCAAAACAAGAGGGGATATCTTCGCCATGCTTGAGAAACATTGATCTACCTCTCCTTTTTTTTGTGTCACTTTTTTTTTTCGTAAGTTCCGATCAACCACAGCGACCCGCGCTGTCCCCGCCGGAAAGAAAAGGAAAATTGTAAAGAAAAAGTCCCCGCATACTTCGTACCCATCCCTATTAGAAACAACCCCGGAGAATAGTACAATCCTGAAGACCCGTTGACCGATGCGTCATAGTCATATAGTCCATTGTCGCATTACCGCCCGATCCAGCGCCGGATAGTATCCAGAGAAGGATCGTCATCGAGCCAGTGACCAGCTCGTACGTCGGCGGCACGGAGATCAGCGACGACGTGTTGATCGGTGACGCGCGCTAATTCTTGCTGCAGCGAGGCGTGGCCGGCTTTTAGGGCGGCGGCATGTGCTGGTGTTGGGCGTCCACCCCGAAGGGTAGTAGCGCGAGCCATGGCCCATCGTCTAGCGGCGGCGGCTCGAAGGTAGATTTTGTGTGCCTGGAATCGACGAGCGCAGCTATCGATAATGACCCTGATAAATGTCAGTTTTTTGAAGCAATTGTTCGTCCTGGACCAGTTACCTTTGTAGTTCTACCCTTTCTGTCTCAGCATTGCCTTGGCCCGTTACTGGACACGGGTGGTAATTTGCGGACACCAAGCGCTGGGCAGCGGTATGGCAATCACGGAGCACGATGTAACCTTCTTCGTGTTGGTCGTCTGGGTGTACATCGACGTTCTGCTGAGAGATATGCAGCAGAAGAGTTCGGTAGTCGTTGATGAGTTCGGCTACTCGCACTGCGCGGGCTTGATTGACTGTTTCCCGATGAATATCAGCATCCAGACTCAATTGGACGAATTGATCAATGCTTACGTCCGTCTGCCATTGAGAGTCGTTTGCCGTTATTATAAATTGTAGATGTAGATGTAGACCTAGGAAAAAGATGGGACGAGGAGAGGCTCGTAGAGAACGTCACATCAAAGATCAAAAAAGAAAAAGAATGAACGTGAGGTATAGAAATGTAAGTTAAATCGAAGTCAATGGTTAGAGAGTGAGACGAGGATCCAAGTCTCTTATAGGAATGATTGTGAGAGAGAACAGCGTCATCCCACGGTACCCCATACCATGACAGCAAACGATCTCGAACCCCATGAAAATTCAGGAAATCAAAAATTCCAAAAAAGAAATACAAAAAAGGAATTATGCCATGACAGCGGAGAGGGATCGAAGAACGCTGCACCAATAGACGGTGAAGAAAGCAAAATTAGGACAAGCACAGCTGGGAGGTGGACCGGGCCACACGATAGCTCCCGAGAAAACCGTCGGCAGGAGAAAGGGACCCATCCCTGGCGTGTATTTTTGGTTAAAAAAACACGGTAGTTCTGAAAAATGGGGCACTCGAGAAGACGACGGGTGGAGCCCCGCGAGATTAGGTTCCTGTGCGGCCGATGTGCCTCTCTCGTCGGCGAGGGGAGAGATGGCGTCTGACGATCATGATTGGTGTAGAGCGGCTCGAACTACTTTTCGGCGCATCCGCGTGGGAACCCTGTCAATTCGAACTTGGCGGATGAGTTCCCAAAAACATTGGCGCAGGGGAAAAGGATTTTTTTTCTAATTAAAAATTCTCAGATGAATATCTCGGACATGAACCTGGGAAGAGTTCAGCAGGAGAAGAAGTTCAGCTATGATGGAGACTCGTTCAAGCCACGGTCCTGGCCGAGCCACATGTGGCGTCGGCACGGACAGCTGAGAAGCTGAAGAAAACTGTTCGAACTGATCCCCTACGCACGGTCCATTTCTCCCTTACCTTGCATTATCACTGTATACTCTCTATATGTGATTCATCGATAAGCAGGTGGCAAGGTATTTCTGCCATGACCCACCTGAACTGATACCCCCGGAATTTCTACCGTCATCCTTGACGCGCTAGCCAGCATATCTATAGTTGCTGCAGGATGATAGATCCTTGTAGTGCGTCGAAACACAGCCGAAACACCAAGCCTTACAGAAAAGCAAAAACACAGAATAGGCTTATGAAAATGTTCAATGGAGTAGATTCATTCGTCGTTCTTTCTAAAATAGAAAATGAATTTCACAGCACACTCTTCAATAGGTCCATCATACTGCATCCAATCTGCAAAATCTTGTAATTCTGCCATTGGTTTAGTCCTTCTCTGCGATGGCCTGCAGCCGTTCGTCAATCTCCTCCTCTGTTAGGGCCCGGAACGCTGTAGTTGTGCCCTGGCCATCTTCCGAGGGACCACCGACAATGCCGACCTCCAGCTCATGTTTCTTGAAGTCAACGCTCAGCACATTGCTGAGAGCAGTGATGCCCAGCTCCACAACTTCCTCCCAGGTGCCCGGTGCGGCATCCTTGTTCTTCAGCTTCTTCTCCAGGTGATTCAGCGCCTCCTGTTGCTTAGGACCGGATGCAGTCGCTTTGTATCCAACATAGTAACCGGCCGGGTCACACTTGTAGAGCTGGGGCCCGTTCTCATCGTCGACGGAGATCAAGGTCGTCGCCACACCGAGTGGCCGCATGTAAGCCTAGGAAAGATTACAGGTTAGTGACCATTCAAGTTTTGGTGAGGAACTGGGGGACATACTCGTTGTGTGTAGACCTGGTTGATATTCGCCAATCGCTTCGCCAGAACGTCACAGGGCATCTCATATCCGAACTTGTACCGGAACTCGGCAGCCTCCCCACGGGCACGGTCAACGGACGCCCGAGCATCTGCTATGGAGCCGGTCATGACGCAGCCCACCGAGGGCGAGATCTTGAAAACATGTGAAACAGAGGATGGGTCGATGAGTTTATCCTAACCAGTCGGTCAGTTGGTTTGCCTGTGGGGGTGAACCAAGTGCGACTTACAGCAACTTTCTTCTGGGACAGCACGACGGCACAGTCCTTTCCTCTCACACCGATAGAGGTGATGTTGGCAGAGGTGATGGCCTTGAATGCATACTCTATAGCGCAGATCCATTGTCAGTGGTCCGTGAGCATGACGGGGCATCACCGGTGGTCCGCCCCAAGCAACGAGCGGAGCCGGCGACGAGCGATGCCGGTGCATTCGTAGAGAACAAGAACTACATACCGACTTGGTACAATCGACCCTGATCCGAGAAGATGGTGATATGTCTATCGTAACCTGCGCTTCCTGATGCGGAGAAGAGGGTCAGTCGGGGCTAAGGTCATGGGACTGGTTCAGTGGTAGAAGCATGGGCAAGACATACCGGACATGGTAACGGAATATGAATTCTTTTATAGCGGTAGAAAGAAATGGGAGGGACGAAATGGGGGGGCAGCGAGATGGATGGAAAGGGAATTGACAGTGACGCGTGCCAGCGGTGCCTAAGCTTGAGTGAGAGAGCTTGAGCTTGAGCCTCACCGCCTTTGACCAACCGCTACACTGCTACAACCTGGGAAGTTCAGATGAATGAGCGTGCCTTGACTTTTTCAATTCGATTCGAATTATGATGATGGAATGCTCCTTGAAAGTTTAGGAGATCTGGTTTATCAGTTCTACCAAGCAGAGATTCATTGGGTACTTCATAGCAGTATTACGTGAAGCACCTCGAATCTAGGGCATCGGCCCATGCGTTGTTGCTATTACGTTGGTATACAGATCACATCCCAGTATTTATCTTTTGATTAATCGCTGTACAAACGGCTGGATATCTTTTCTAATACATGCCAGAAGAACCAAATCCCATCACAAATCTTTAGTCGCTATCCTCACTACTCGAGATGTCAATCACAGCGGTTCTGACCTTCCGCTTTTGCTTCTTCTTGTTCTTGCTGGGGGCAGGCAGTGCGGGTGCCAGTTTCTTCTCCTTCCTCAAAGCAGCCTTCTTCTCCTTCTTCTCCTGCTTGTTTGCGGCAGCAGCCTTGGTCTTGGAGATGGGAGCAGGGACTTCACTCTCCGCTGGAGAGGGCTTGTTAGCCACAGGCTTGGATTGAACAAGCTTGGATTGGATCTTGGTAGTAGCCGGCTTGTCGTCATCACTATCCGAGTCTGAAGAGTCATCATCACTGCCAGAGCTAGAGGTGTCATCGTCGCTGCCAGAGCTAGAAGTCTCGTCGTCACTGTCGCTGTCACTCTCACTGCTCGAGATATCGACAACAGCAGTACGATTCTTTCTCTTCTTGTTCACAGGCTCCACCTTAACAGGCACCTTCTTCGGAACAGACTTGACAATGTCGAACAGCTCATCGGACATAGCATAGAAGACAAGCTCGGCCCGCACTCTCTTCTGAAGACGCTTATTCGCGGCGGGCTTCAACCCCTCTGCTGATCCGGCAGTGTTCAATTCGGCACCAGCACTTGCAAATGAATCCCGAAGCGCATCGACAGCCTCCTGGAAGGCAGGATCCTCCTCCTTGCCATCCTTTGTCGCAGCTTCAATATCCTCCTTCAGTACCTGAACTGCACCCTGGCTCAATCTTGCTTTCGCCGCATCACCCCTCAATCCTTTCAGGTATGACAAAAGCGCAATGTTATACCGAGAAGGGACATGTTCCTCGGAGTAGAGATGCTTGAACAGGTTTGTCTCGCGATTCTTCTGGAACTTCCACGACGAACGATCGTGGTGGTAGTGGCTCAGGTAAGACATGATAGGCGACTCGTGTAAATGCTGTGTCGAAGATGACGACGGCACGGGGGCTGAGGGATCCTTGTTCTTCTTTGCCTTCTTCTTCTCGCGCTTGCGCTTGCGCATTTCCTCTAATGCTTTCTCATTGTCGGTTTGCAATTGCTGTGCTGGATCGGCGGTGACTGTGTCACTGCTGTCGGAGTCATTATCATCGTCATTTTCAGCTTTCTGTGGGGCTTCGTCTTCGGCATCGGCGGCGCTCTCATCTCCGCTCCCGTCTTCAGTCTTGGTCCCGGGCCCGAATGAGACCCTCTTCTTCTTATCTTTCTTCTCCTTCTTCTTTTTCTTTGTGGATTCCTCCTTCCCAGCGTCGCCTTCATCTTCGACCTCGGTGCTATGTCTCCGCTTCTTGCTCTTAGTGACTTCCTCTGCGTCGTCAGATGACTTCTTGCGCTTCTTCTTGTCCTTGTCGGCGCTCTCATTTGGTGTCACTTGTTCAGACATCTGTATGTTTTCGCCGATACTCTCTCTGGCGTGCTTTGGCTTGGAGTTGGTGTCTTTTGTCTTCGCCATGATGGGTGGTTGAAGGATAGGATCTGCAGCGCAGGTACCTCGATGAAAATCCGATTTGGATGTCGCACAATTGTAATGGATCCAATTGTGAGTACAAGGATTTTCCAAGGGGTCCCAGGTTCTTTCCTGAGAGCCTGATTGTTGTGAAGATTTGATTCTACGATGGCGCGAGGCGGAGTTGACTTTTTTTTTTCTGCCGGATGAGTTGAAGGCGGTCCTTGATAAGATTGCTTAGAGCCTTGAGATACCTGGGCGTAGTCAACGGAGTACACTCCAAGGTTTCAATTGATAACTAATGGAACATCTACTTTAATCTATTTGGATATTCTGATTCCAGAGATTGGTATCATGGATTCGTCTCACATTAATAGGTCTTTCCACTATTGTACTTTTCTCCTACAGAAACGACTGGGCATAATCTCACGCCGCAACTCCATTAGCACCTTGTTCCTGGGCATCTTTTCGTTCCCTCCGTGGAATGCTATTCCCTTCAGTGCCCGAGCCCGTGGCCTGAGCAGAAGCCGCTTTCCGCTTGGCACGCTCTCTCTCCCTTTCTTTCTCCTTATCCCGCGAGCTAGGACCTGTAGCCCGTCGTCTTTTTATAGGCTCGTATACATCATTGAAGTTCATGTTGACACCCAAAAAGCGCATATCAACATCAGGTTGATAGGCAAGGTCCCCGAGCAAGATATTCAGGCGCGAGCGGAAATCAACAGAAAGATCCCGGAGCCGCACGCGTAGAGACGCGAGCATGTGGTCATCAGCCGAGGAGTCCTGCGCCGAGAGGGAGAACGGAGTATCGAGTCCGTCGAGACCAGAGCTTGAGGGTCGAAGATTTGGTGTTGAGGACATGGATGTGCCCCCACGGCTATTTGTGCGAAGGGGTAGGAGGTCACGATCTGTGACGCCCCAACGGCCCTGTGCGGTGCGGGTTTCAATTTTAGCATTTAGTTCCTGGCGGCGAGTGAATTCCGCGACAGAAAATGAGTAGAGACCATCGACGGCGTCCTTATAGGAGAGCATGATCTTGAGAATGTGGTGGAGCTGGGAGAGGAAGCTTTCTTCAGGTTGCTTGGCGGAAGCGGAGGTGGAAGAACCATAGCGTGGAGAGGCCGAGCCAAGAAGACCCTTGTGCGTGATGGAGTTGAGGTATTGTTTGTGAGCCATGATGAGATCATCGAGCGTGCAGTCTGGTTTGGATATGGCTGCCTGCAGCGTGTCCCAGCTGGATTCGATAACCTCGAACAAGATATAGTACTGGAGTTGACAGACAAAGTGGATCATTTCAGCAATAACACATCGTGCACGCTTCCAGTCTGGTCCAACTTTGTCGTCAACGTGGGCGAGTACACCTCTTGCACCGGTCATGCAGCGGCGCCAGGTGCTGTTGAGAGCGAACTCGACTCGCTTTACGCGCCAGAGAAAATTGAAAACTTTGAGATATTGAGTTGATCCGTATGGTGTAATTACGACGTCAACGGGGGCATCGATCTTATATTCCAGGGTGAAGCAGTCCCAACCAATCTCGCCGTGACTGAGCTCAAGCATACGTGCATCCAGCCGGCGGAGCACATCTGGCGAGTCATACTGCGCATTTGAGGCACGGATAGCATGTTCCAACTGAGCAGTGAGCGTATGTCGGTATTGGGAGTTTGCAGGGCGGTCCAGGTTCGAGGCTAGAGACTCCATCAATAACGCGATGAAGTCACCTTGTCCTAACAACAGATACTTCTTCAATGCCTGCAAATGATCGAAGAGCTTGAATTTGTTGTCCATTAGGTGGATAAGACGAGCCATGGTGGTCTTGTAGGCCTCATCAATGGATATCTCCAGAGTGGCAGTATCGCCGTATGTAAGCTCTTTTGAAGCCTCCTTGGAATATGCCTCCACCCATGCGGAATCACCGCAAGCGTATCGGATGAAGTTCAAAGACTTTCCAATGAGGAAAACCTTGTTTGCAAATTCTTGGGTAACGATTGAAGGAAGCATTTTCTCATCCAAGACGTACTTTGTTTCCCAAACGCTAGTGGCGATACGGCGGGGGTCCTCATCGGGCTTTCCTTTTCCTTCCGCAACAAAGAATTCCTCATATGGGTCAGAGAGTTCACCATCGTAGATCCATGACCGAAGCATGTCATAAAAGGGTTGTGTGACATGGACTAGAAGCTTCTCTGCAAAGGCACACACAAAGGGATCTCCGTGCGATGAGGAAAATCCATGGATCAATGATATCAATTGACCTCCTTTCTTGTCTGGAAATTTTAATCAACATATGGACGACACGTATAATTATCTTCTTGACCGACTACTCACCTCGAGATTCTTCAACAATAAGGCTCATCAGTCGGAGAGCCATTGTGGCATCCCTTGTCCAAACCACGCAACGCTTCAGGGTAACCCCGCCCTTCCGAACGCTTTTAGGCTCGCTTGCGTTGCCAATGGTAGTAAGTGCCTGTCGAATCTCCGCTTCTAGGGTCGCAACCAAGCTAAGATAAGACCGTAGCTCGTTAGCGATGGCAGCCCGGAGACTCTGATTTACCAGCCCACCCTCTGTAGTTTCCACAAAGGCAGACAATCCTTTGTAAAGTAAACAAGGCTCGGCCAGGGAGTTAAGCAAAGAAATAAACGGAGCCGGTAGATTAGGCGGCAATCTCAGGATGGAAGCTGATTGAAACTGTAGGTTCGTTGAAGACAGTCCCTGCAAATTGAAAGGCAGGTCGCGCAAGAGCCCATGTTCAAACTCCTCTGGAGCCCGAGGTTGAGCAGCCGGCGTTGCTGTAGACGGTCGAGGTGACGCCGCATCCGCATGTTCATCTTCCCGGTCAGTCATCGCCGTATCAAAGCTGCTCGCGACACGACTAGCACGCTCCTCTCGTTCCCAGTCCCGACGCAGTGAGCTCTGACGCTCTGGTTTAGACGACAGCGGCACCCGTTGCGACGCGGAAGAACTAACGGCAGGACCCTCATCGTCCTCCGAGTCCAACGGACGAGACCCAGTACCGCGTCGAGGCCGATTACCCCGACCAAGCATATTCTGCAAATTGCCATCATCCATAAGCGGGCTGCGACTCCGCTCCCCGCCATGTTCAGCCGCAAATTCGTTCTCGTCTGATAGCTTATAGAGCAGGTACAGGATTCCCCATTTCTGTGAAAGCACGGGCTGCGTCAGGAGCTTGGAGTACATGTTTGAGAACTTCACTGCTAGCTCTGGGCTTGCGTTCTCACGCCGCAGCTTACGCTTGATCAGGTCTGCGGCATTGTTAACATTTTCTGCTCCCGCGATACTACCCCGACGACCTGATGGAGAGCCGCCCTCCGCGGAACCAGAGGCGGTATGGGTGTCAATGATGCGCCAGGCACGCTCGAGGTAAGCGCTATGACGGCGTTCTTCGGCAGCAACGAGCGCTTCATCCGGGTCGGAGTAATCGTCATTTTGGAGAGCTGTGATGGGGAGCGCGGGGGTCAGGGAGTCGACTAGTTGGGAGAGGGCATCGTCGATGCGGCGCGGGCGGGTGGGATGTCGGGTCGAGGTCGACATCTTCCTGCCCTTTCCCCCGCTGATTGGGGGCGATTGTCGTGGGTTGGTGAGCTTGGGCAGGTTTGGAGTTGAGATTCGCTCTTGGGTAGTGATGGATTGATTGGTGTCGAAGGACTTGGGCGGCGAGCTTAAAGGTTCAAGGCGGTGGCTTTTCCAACAAAAAAAAATTGTGTTTGCCTAGGACCAATCGAATGGAGATGAGAAGCTGGCTATATGAATTGAATTGGGAAATCGTGGCGCATGGTATGGCGGCTTCTATGCGGAATGGGTTCGTGTTTCCGATGTTTGGGTTGTTTGGTCAAACGCGTCTCTTATCACTTATCACATCTTTATTTATGGGGTACATGTACACAATTACACAATTACGTAGCTCGTTTCAAGTTCAATTGTAGAGCTATGGTTGTTCGATTGCTCCAGGATTCCATTCAAGGAGACTAGTTAAACAATAATAGAATCAAACCACCCAAACGCCACCTAGAAATCATGTATCTCAGCAACCCGGATCAGAAAGAACACATGCACCCGCGGGTCCTCCAAATATTAGACAAGCGAAAAAGAGTAAAAGGATCTCCCAAAACGAAGAGACAAAAATTAAAAAAAAAAAAAAAAAAAAAAAAAAAAAAGGGATGTCAGAAAATACAGCGGGAGAGGAAACCAGGGGGAAATAACGTGAGCCATCAGAAACCAGAATAACCTTGAAGCAGCCATAAAAATTTCAAGACGCCAAGAAGACGCGCCCTCCAAAGACTAAACGGAATTCATTCGTTCAAGCCACCGGAATCAGCCCGTCCAGTTTTTGAATCATGTGCATCATTAACACCTGCCCATGCCAAAGTTTCGGCGGAGCTATAGCCGAAATAAAGAGAGAGAAAAAAAAAGATTTTGGGGATTTGCCCTTCTCCCCGGTGAAAAAGGCGTGTTGTCGTATCTAAGCAAGTGGCTTGTATTTTGTCTTGTCAATTGAGCAAGGACAATTGAGAAAAAAGGAAAAGTTGCCCGCGTCAAGAGACTTTATAATTTCCGTTTCACGCCCGACGCATGCCTTGGGAGGGGATTGGTGCACCCGGTGGCATACCCATCTGACCTGGCATGCCGTATCCGTGGGGATCATATCCGGCTGACATGCCATTCATCATAAGCGGGCCAAGTCCCTGAGCTTGAGAGACGGGGCAGTCCTTGTGGGCGAGCAGAAGGGTCTTAAGATTCACAATCTCCTCACGGAGTTGAGTCACCGTAGCGGTCAACGCGTCATTCTCGGTGGTGAATAGCTCAACCTTGGCTTGCAGGTTAGCTAGCCACTGCTTCTTGCGTTGACGACATTTTAGGGCAGCGACACTGGAATAATATTAGTACTTATACAGTCACGTTGACATTGGAGACTGAAGGCGACATACCGGTTGCGCTCTAGGAAATTGCGTCTCTTTTCTTCATCTGTCATCTTCTTGGGATCTCCCGAGAATTTCTTCATATCCTCATCATCTGAATCCATATCTGACGGCGGCTCAACGCTGTTGGGCTTCGCCTTCTTATTGGGTCCTTTGGCAGCATCGTCGGCCTTGCGACGGTTGTTGGCAGCCGGTGCGGCCTTGGGCGCATTCTTCTTGCCCTTGCCCTTGGGTCTGGAGAGTTCCTGCTCCGATCCATCACCGCTCATCTCACGACCACTGGTGCCATTCGTGTTGGATGAAACGCGCCGAGCGGCAGCGGCGCGACCATCATTCTGCATATTCGGGTTGGCTTGCATATTGTTCGCCTGGCCACCTTTAGCTAGCATAAAGAGACCATTGGCGGCATCAGCAGCATCGTGTTGGGTGAACTGGTCTGCGGGGGCAGGCTGAGGAGGCTTAGTGTCCATGTTCGCATTCGAGGTAGGATCTTGTTCGTTTCCTTGACCATTTGCGCTGTTTTTCCGAGCAGTCAACGCGGTACGATGGAATTCAATTGTCGACGGCGTGGCACCGCCGTTCTGGAGTTGTTGTAGCAAGGCCTGAGAGTTAGGGCTGGGGGCTGGAAACATCGACCCACCACCACCAGGCGTTAGACCAGTGCGAAGGGATGATTCGTTGGGCGTCGGGAAGCCTCTGCCAATACTGTCGAAATAATCATTAGATCCAGTGGGCCCGGGAAGCATGGCGGGGCTCAGAGGCCCTGAGCGCAGGGAGTTGGACCAGTTGTAACCGCCGGCAGAGCTTGCACCAGGCAAGGCCGGGGAAGTGAGGGACGCGACGGGCGGCAGCAGCGACTTGCCGGGGGTGTCACCGGGGTTGCTGCTAAAGGATTGCTCGAAAGGGTTTGGCTCCAGCGAGAAGGGGTTGTGCACGGAGTTGAAGTAATCCGGGGTATCACTAGGGGCGGCGCCGGCTGGGCGTCGGGGTGGCGCCAGCGAGGTTTGCGAATCGGGCTTCTGGTCCTTCCCTGAAGACTGCGAGTCTGGAAGGCGAGTCAGCATGAATGATGAGGGTAGACGATGACGCGCGCGATAAAGGTACCAGAAGGATGTCGAAAACGAGGGCCCTTCATTGTGTGGAGGAAGAGTAGAAGATCGATGACGCCAGTTGTGAGATCATCCAAACGGTAGAGGGGGGAAGTTGAGTTAAAGTAACTCCAGGTGGCGGATTACCAAGAAAAGATAGAATAATTATTATATTCGGCTATAATAATCATTCGTATTCCTTTTCTGTTTTCTCGTTTTTCTTTCTTTTCTGGTTTATCCTTTTTGTGCCCACCATATATAATCAAGAGCAGGGGAATATCAAGTGTTGGTGCAGAAGGGGTACGACACATAAGGGAACACGCGCGCGCCATCAGGCATTCGACGAACCTTCTTTGGAATTTTTTTTCGAGTCCATAGCGGACAAAGTGTTTCTGATGGTAGTCGTACTGGGCGCGACAGCAGCAGACATCCTTGAAAAAAATTGTCAAGTTTCTTTCTGAGCTCAAGCGCGCACGAAAAGAGATAGAGATCACTGCGTGGCTTGCAGGCTGTCCCGATGAGAAGAAGAGAAAGAGGGAAGTGACGTAGAGGGGGAATGACGACAATTTTAGGGGAGAGAAAACATTAAGTAACATGGGAAATTACGGCCCCCGGTCGATACCGTCGTAATACCACAGTACCATACCCTCACCATAAACAGGGTTGATGGTGATTTATAATAACCCCACGCATTTGGAGCAGAATGGTACGGTAAACCCGAGGTAACCGATGTAACAGAAAACTACTGTATAGCCGAAGCCGGTAAAGGGGAAAAGGGAAAGAGAAAGGAAAAAAAACCAGTTGCGTACTGGCCTTGACCCCGAGTCTAGACTGGTTGCACCTGCAAATTGAAATTTTCATTTCATTTCCTTTTTGAAAAATCCTCTATATATTACATTGGCCTAGGATCTTCACTTGAATCAAAACTAGGACATATCCACACATACAATGGTCTGCGCTATAAAGAGCGAAAGAGTAGGAGAGAAAAAAAAAAGGTCACTCGACAATGGACCCTCGCATGTCGAGTTGTCGAACCTGGAGAGACTTAGTGGGTCCATTACCATGTATTAAACCAATGAGAAATAATACATAGCGTCGGAAGCGGAGTCGACCGTCTTTCCGGGCTAGATTGGGAACTGGCAACAAGATGAAAAATTTTTTTCTTACGTTTTCAAGATCTTGTACTGACGAATCAAGAATCGGCAAACAGTATATGGAGAACAATCTCAGAGACTGGTATGGTATTCAGCAAAGCCCGTCCCTCTCTATCAATTGATTCATATTTATCGCGGGAAATACAATACAACAACATTTGCGGTGACAGGGGGGGGGGTGTATGATTTCACGATGACGACGACAGGAATGTGTCCCGGATGCTGGGTCAGCCGAGTGGAGTTCAGATGTAGGGCGTGTCAGCCAGTCAGATCTATGCACGGACGGGAAGTTGGAGACTAGGATTCCGGAATGCAAGACGCTGAGTGGCTGGCTGGAGGTCAATGGAGGTCAACTTATGGTGAGTTGTCGCACTAACCTGAATCCGATTGATGACGCAATACACGTGAGTGTTCCCGGTCCACAAAGTACGGGATGACGTGCGTGGCCTGTGAACCGGGTCTAGATCGGTTACAGTACTACAGAGCGATAACAGCAGATTGCAATATAAAATATGATACATGTACTCTCATTGGTGTATGAGTCCAGCCATTGATAAACCATGTAATTCTGTGCCAACTTTCATCAAATACTGTAATGCTTTATAATAGTTAATTACATGGCTGTGTCCTAGGTGAGGCGCCGATGAAACCCTACCTAATCTCGGACATGGTTTCAATACTGTAAGATAAGACGTTATCAATAAGGCTTAATTTAAATCAGTACGAAGAATCGGATCAGTATCCTCTAAGATGTGTGATGCAGGATGATCATATCTAGGATCCGGGGTATACAGAGTACAAGGGCTCAGATCGGTGGCGCATACTCTGTACTGATAAGGGCATTCGAGCTAGCCAATCTTGGAACCTAGTTTGATTAGTGCATCATCTTCCAACCCATTTGTTATGGCCGAAATAATAAGTATTGATGTATCTCCAAAGTGTATTGAAGGCTCGCTTCCGTCTTCACAATCCGGTCATCAATCTTTAGTTGTAGGCTAGGGCACATATGAATTCCTTTTTATACATTTGCAGTCGCTACATCTGCCATTCTATCATTATTCTCGATGAAGCGAAACCTTAATGTGCGCTTCCTTTACGCATAGAGAAAAATGCAATTGGTCGGTTCCCTTCAATTCCCCGAGCCCTATAGATCGTTTTTTCCGGTGCCAATCAAGATCAAATATCTTTGCCATTAGAATTTGGACTCCCTGGCTTCTTATCAATCTTACATGGGTCCAGCCTTGCTTCGGTTGGAACGTAATTCTCGATGTTTTTGAATGGTTTCAGTGACAAATGTCCAAAAAAGAAAGAGAGAAAGAAAATGGTAAAAGTAAAAGTAATAAATAAGCTTGGAAGAGCAACTTCTAGGCATG